TATATATATATATATATATATATATATATACGTAATTTATGTAAGCACAGAGTGCAGAACGTATGAGAGTGAAGGCAGAGAGAAAGCCTTTTATGTTCGCGTGTGCAGTGGATAGAACCCAACCTGCTTTTTGCGGATCCTATGTTGAACGAAGCACGGAGAAGAAAACAAAGAAAAACCGCAGCTTCGAGAGAGCGTTCTTTTTTAAAATACAAAATAATAATAAAGAACGAAATAATAGTAACAATAACAAACGTCCACACACGGGTTAAAAACAGAAATACGAGAGATAGAGACAACACGAAATGCACACAAACAGAGAGTAAATGATCTGCAGCGAGTTACAACAGAACAGTGAGCGAGAAAGGAAGAACACGAATCGAATCAGCGAGACAACGAAATTCAGAGGGAGGAAAAATAGTGCGAAGAAGAGCAGTCAGCTGGTTCCGCCTTTTCATTTAGATTGAAACGTCGGTACTGCGGGAAAGGGGGCGGGGAGGGGTATAAGCCAAAAAAAAAAAACTTCTTTCCATCCAACGGCGCATGTCTTTTGTTGTTGGTTTTTTTAAAGGACGTTGTGGATTTCTGCGCGGTCAAAGCTGTTCTGTTTCACTGCACTTTTTATGTTGGATTGCGTGACTTATGCGAAGCAACCCCACTACTGATTAGACATCGACAGCGATGTTCAGTTCTGTCACGGCGCCCGTCACACACGCATCCGAGACGACACACAAAATAGAAAAAGAAGTGAGGAAGTTTCTCTTCTCCGTGACCACCAGCCCTCGTCAGAAAGGCGAAGAAAACAAAGCGCACGCACGTCGCCAGCCTCTTTCGGTTGTTTTCATTCCTTTGGGGGTTGCTGCGCCTCATCATGAAAGGGGCGCATGGAAGGATAGGGGCCGCACAGCGGTAGGCGCCGAAAGAGCTGCACGCGGCCCTGCAATTCTGCCTCCATCGGCTCCCAGTGCTTCGCCGCAAAGTGAGCGGCGGACATGTACACCGGCTCCCCAAGTGCATTCGCATCTCCATTCGCATCAGCCGTGGTGGTTGCGGTGCTGCTGCTGCTGCTCCTTCTACTCCCGTTGCTACCATTGATGTCGCCGTCCACGTCTTGGAACGTAATGTAGGAGGAAATCAGCTGCTCTGCAGCTGCACTGTCCAGCGACAGCGGTGAAGTTGAGGGCGACGTATCATCGACAGGGTGAGAAGTAGCCGAAAGGGGTGTGTTGCGCACGTACTCGAGCGTGAATGCGTTGGGGTCGCTCGCACGCTGGTGGTGCGACCCTTTCCTGTGTTTCCCCCCACGTCGAGGTACGAACTCACACGCGTTCGCCGCAGCCTCGCCGCTCACGCCATCTGTGCCGATACGCTGCTGCACCTGCTTCTGATGCTGACGCCAGACAGGCGTTCCCTCCTCCACAATACGCTGCAGTGCCTCGTGAATGAGTTCCGATATTAAGTTGTCGCGTGCGTGAGTCGCGATGACGTTCAGCACCAGCGCATCGGCGGCCAGCTTTGAGAGAACGGAGCGTGGGCGATCCTGTCGATGGAAGTGCTCCAACTCACCGATGCACGCAAGCAGGACGGAGGCTTTGTCGTCACGCGATAGCTTCCACGAAACGGCGGGCGTTGCTGTGTTGCACGTTGCTTCACAACTCCCGGAAGCAACAGCCTCGCTTGACGCAGGTGTCGACTCTTTCTTGGGGTGCGGTGTGGACGGCGTCGCTTCCGAGGAGCTTTCGCACACTTCCTTCGCTAAAGCGTCGCTGTTCTCTCCACACTTGTCGCTCGCAGAGGAGCTGCTGTTGGCGTCATCATCGTTGTGGCCAATGGCACCCGTGCCACTCCCCACCTCGCGAGCGTTCGCCTCGCTCTCCCCTTCCAGCTGTCGCGGATCCTGCAGGGCGGCAGTCATCACCTGCTCCGCGTGCGCACGCACCAGATTCTGCAGAGACAACTCATCAAAGAGGCGCGCCAGCTGTCGGGTGGACATGAGAAACGCGGCCACCGCGTTCAGCTCAACATCAGTGAGAACTGGCGCTAGACGCGCCGTGCGGTCAATCACCTCCCGTCGCATGTAACTCTCCCCCAGCAGAAGTCGCGTGAGAAAGCGGTCAGCGTTCACCTGCAGCACACCGATCGCGGCCTCACCGCTGTGATTGTTGCCTGCCGTGCGCTGCGCCTCGTCAGATGGCGAGACACAGGGCAGCGAGTCCTTCAGAACGTTTTCCTCCACCAAATGAAGCAGTCCGGCGAGGAGGCGGCGGTGTCGCCGCTCCACCTTCTTCATCGTAAGGGCATCCACCTCCTTGAAGTCCAACGCGATGTGCCGCTCCAGGTGCTGCATCAAACTCTCACTACTCTCCGGCATCACAAAGTAATTGCAAATGGCGGTGCGCGCTACGTGCCCGTGCTCAAGGCGGTGATCCTGCCACGACGAAAATGGTGTGTCACACAGCAGGCAAATATTTGGTACATCGGTGGTAGTGGAGGACTGTGCCGTGGAGGGGGGCGCCGTCTTGAAAGCAGACGCCGAGGAAGGAGTCGTCGCAGCCGCGGAAGCAAGGCGACGCAGCGGTGCGAAACATGGGCAGGGACTCATGCACCGGCACGTCTTCATGCGTGCACCGCGCAGCGCTGCTACTGTGTACGGTGCAGCCGCAGTGGTTTGTGTGCGATGGGCCGTCGCGATGCTGCCGGAGCGCTCCGACATGAAGGAGATGGCCGCCGCAACGAGTGGCGTTGCAAATGTGCGACGGACGGCGTTTGACCTGCCCACACAACGGCGCATCTTTGTGCTGTGCGAAATACCTATGTGCCTTTGTACTATTTTGTTAAACAAACATATATAAAGTGCTTTGCACAGCGCCGCTGCAAGGTTGCGCTCGTCCGATGAGGGCAAGAAAGGGGGGCGGGGGCAACAAGGGTCGGCTAAACTGAACAAGCTGGAAAAAGCCAAAGACGAAAAGGAGCAGAAAGAGGAAAGTGGGCGACGATGCGTCTCTTCTGATTTAGCATCAGTTTACATTCAACGATATGAGCCCGCCTCCGGCGCCTATAGCGCGAGAGAACGCACGTTTCGCGCAAAAGAAGGGCATTCTTTGTGTTCAAACCTGTCATGCATCCCGAATACCTGAAATGTCAACTTTGACGCCGGAGACGATTGTGGCCGAGACAAAGCATACACCTACACATATGAGTCACTTGTGGTGTGTCTGGAGTTGTCAACGACAGCAGGTGACTAAAGCAGAAACAGAGGAGGAAGGCGCGTGCCACGACGCAGAAGAAAAAGAATAATTGCCGAAGAGGTTTCAGAAAGAAATAAAAACAAATTTAAAGCAACAGAGAGAGAAGAGAAAGGCCTTTAGAGATGGAGTTGCGCCAAACGTCCTCTCGAAGAAGAAGGGTCCTCATTGCTTGTACGCGCATTTCAAAACTGTACACACTTGTGCCCTGAAAACGGTAAAGATGAATCCGCAGAAGGCACGGACAGACGAAAAGCCTGTCTCTCCTACGAGGAACTTGAGTAAGCGTGCGCTCCCTTCGCAGTCTCCACACTGGTGCTGCAGTGCTCATCGTCACATTTGCCGCACCCCCTTATCGGGCACATTCAAAGTTGAAGGGCACAGCTCAGCTTCATTTTCTGGAGCCTCGTCGTCGTCTTCTGCGTCTGTGTCGTCCTGCAGCAGCCCCTCTAATAAGGAGATGAGAAAAGGTGCCAAATGCACCACCGGTGTCGCGGCGTACGCCTCTCCCAGAAAGCCGGCCAGCCCTGTGTGCGGGCCCAACAAACGCAGGAGGTCCCCTGTCTGCGACTGAAACACCGCCGCCGACTTCGCCGTCTCTTCGGAGAGTCGAGCCGACTGCTTCTGCAACTGTGCGACCTCCGCGAAGAAAACGGCATCTGAGGCGCCCACCGCGTCGTGCGCGTTCGATCCTGCCGCTGCGGTGAGCACAGGAGTCGCTGCGACGTCTTCGCAGCTGCTCTCATGGGGAGAGCAAGAAGAAGGAGAGGGGGCAGACGTGTTCTCGCTTCGTGGATGGTGAGATGCGCAAGCACGAGGTGGAGCAGACGAAGAAGGAAAAAGGTGTTGACGGGACGCCGTCTCGACTTCGGCAGCACGAGCGCACACACGTTGGGCCTCCGAGATCAGGTCCGCCAGCACCGCGTGGGACGCAGCGGCGGAAGGACTGCCCTCTTGCGCCGCACCGGTGGGCGGCATTTTGCGCTCTCCGCGCGGAGACTGCCGAGGTAGCACCGTCTTCGAAGGAAATGCGTTCTCTGTTGGAGCGCGGTGCGTCTCCATCTCACGGACGGCAGCTTTTCGCGTCATTGGCGCCGGCGCTGACGGCTGTTGAATGCCAGACGTCGTGGTTGCTGCATCATGGGCAACGGCGGCGGCTGTCGCAGAAACATGTCCAACCTCCTCATCGTCATCTTTTCCAATCGCCTCTGCAGATGCTCCCTGAAGAGTCGCCTCGCTCTTGTCTTCTTCGTTCTCGTCTAGACCCTGCACATTATCCTCGCCCGCGCTATTGGTGCCCGCCAGAGGAACGCCGTCCCGGCTCTCAACGTTGCAGCGGTTGTGGTCACCGTCTTCGTTCGCTTGACAGACTTCCACGGTCACCGCCTCCGCCACCTTTGACGCCTCTTGCGGCGGCGTGCTGGTGTGTGGAGCTGCGTACTCGGGGGCAGCGGAGGCGGCGGCGAGCGCTGCGGAGAGAGAGAGCTCTGAAAAGAAGGGTCCTTTCGAATTCCGCGGCAACACATTCGGTCCTTGCCCATTGCCTTTATGACTCTCCGCCTGTGCAGCCTCGACTGTGTGTGCCGTAGGAGGTAAGTTAAAGTTGAGTGGCCCTGTGTTCACTGTTGTCTGATTGCACAGAGACGTGGATGGTGTGGCGTTGTGGTTGGAACGGCTCGTAGTCCTCGGCCCTCTTGGTGCGTCTGGCGTTGTATTCGCAGTGCGAGAAGCACTGTCGCTCTCTGTGAACCCGCTGACTTGATGGACCTGCTCCGTCGGGTTTTGCGGGGGTGAAGGTGGCAGGCGCGATTCGGGCCCAGTTTGCGCGCTGTCTTGACCAAACACACGCGTGTGCGTCTCCCTCTTCTCCTTCGCCCCATCATCTCCGCTTCCCTCTCCCCGACTCAGAAAGAAGGAGGCGAAATCAAAGTTGAAGTTGTCCGCCTCGTTGGCCGCGGCCTCTGACGTCGCCGGTGGGAAAAACGAACGGAGCGCATCTTCTGTGTTACTCGCGGCGGCAGGAGCCGCAGGGTCGCTCATGTGAAACAAGAAGCCGAGCCCGCTGTCCTCCTCCGGTGAGGCGCATCTGGCCTTGTCACCTTCGTGAGGTCCGGCAGCTGCGTGTGGGTTGTTGGCCGAAAACCCCACTGAGGTCTCACCGGCTGTCGTGTCTGTGGACCACCCGTGAAGGTTTTCCATGAAACTGTTAAAGGAGAAAGGAAACGGCATGGACGGGGCCGCTGCGGAGTCGGGTGCACCAGCGTCAGAGGAGGCGATAGAGTTCGTCAAATTCATCGGTAACGCTTCCACCTCTGTCTCGGTTGCTTGTGATGAGTTCTTTCGTGGGAGTGTGTATAGGTGTTCGTGTCTGTGTGTGTGTGTGGCCTGCAGATTTGTCTCTTCAGTTGTCAGCTTTGCCGTGGTTCGATTCTCCTCTACAACTTCAGCAATACAACGTCAACCAGAAATGCGGGCTGGGCTTTGCTTCCGTAACGCACAGTTGTCTTTTATTTAGAAAAAAAGAAAGAGAAGAGCGAAAGGGTTGGAAAATAATAATAATAGTACTAAAGAAGAGCGCACATACCGAGCAATGAGGAGCAGCCATGTCAGAACTGGCCGCAAAGATCATGCAAGTAACACATAATGTGCTCCAAGCACATCAAATATGTATAAAGAGAGAGAGAGCTCACCATGCATGCGCGTTTCACGGGCATTCACGTGTGACTTCTACTCATCGTCCGCGTGAAAAGCACGGAGAGATCAGAAAAACACATGAAGGTGAGAAATAAAATTTAAAAACCCCGATACGAGACGTCCTTCCATCCATTTGAGGGCTGATGCGCCGTTGTTCCACATCTGAGGCTTTTTTTTTGGTTGTTGTTTGTTGTTTGAATGAAATGAATAAAGAAAAATCAATCAGAGAAAGTAAAGTCGGCGGAGGGATTAAAGATTCGAACAGGGCGGGAAAAGCCACACCACATGAAAAATGGGGAAAGACACCCGAAATGCGGATGCCTCGCTCTCCACGACATGCAACGCAGTCCCCACATTCGGGGAAAGAAAAGAGAGAGGCATTCTGGCACTTCCTTTATGTTCTTTCCTGTCTAGCCAACGCGCGTGTGTGTGCGTGTGTCTTCACCATGCGCCGAGGCAGCGCCTTACGCCTTCGGGGTCTTGAAGTGGTTCGCGATGCGGCGGTTGACCTCCTTCAGGTAGCGGCAGCGGCCGGTGCCGGTGCGACGGCGCTTGATCGCCTTCACGGACCAGTTGAAGCGACGGCGGCTGGCGCGCGGGTAGGCGCAGGCGGCGCAGCGCTCCCACTGAACGTGGTAAGAGTTGCGGCCACAGCGGCGGCACAGAATGTGCGTGCGCCCGTGGCGCTGACCCATCGACGTGGTACCCTTCGTCATCTTGAGATCTTACAAGAGGAGAATCACCCTTCGAGACTGTTCAAACGTAAAGTTGTTTTGGGGGTTTGGTTTGGTATTGAGGACGAAGACGCGACGGAGCGGGAATGGGAAATGCATGGGAAAACGAAGGCGGGAAGTCGAAGAAAAACGGAGTCGATTTACAAGCAAAGCTGAGCTTTCTCTGAAGAAAGGACTGCGCCAAGAAACAAAAGGCGTTCTTTCTTTCTAAATATTCATGAAGAGTTGCATGCAAAGGCACAGCAATGATGCGCAACACACACACTTGGATCTTCACAGTAGCAGCATATACAACGCCATCTTTGACTTTAAAATTCGCGATCTTTTTTTCTTTTACTTGTTCGTTGTGAAGGTGCAAATCCTTTTTGGATATGTCTTCAAAATAGAAAGCATCGGTGACATCAATAAAGGAATTCAACGCGTTAGATGCATCCCAGAAGAAGCATTCTAAAAAAGACGCCGATTATTTGCATCCTCTACGCCTCCACAGTAACACAGATCCACGGAGACGATTCCTGAATGTCAGTCGAGGCGTGCAGCTCGTCGTTATCCCCATCTGCTTGCTCAACGATTGGATCGCCGTCAGTCGACGGATTGGCCTGCTGTCCCGACTCCAATTGCGCTCCATCCAACTCACTGCACGACTCCGCCGTCGTCCCCTCCGCAGTTCTCATCGAGGAGAGGAAAGAAGCCGCGCTTGATACCGCAGGGTCTTTGGAAAAGGGTATGTGCCACGTAGAGACGGCAGCTCCGCCGTTTTCCGCCTTTACACGTTCTCCCTCTGGAGAAGCAGACGTGGTCGAAGAGGGCGGTGGCGGCAGCACCAAGTCGTGCCGCTGTATGCACCGCGCGTACGGCGCAGGCAGATCCCAGTACAGCTCCGTTCGATTCTCCACCCGGCCGCAGCGGAAGCCGATGCGGTGCCGATCTCGCCACCGCGTAAATGCACGTGGACTCAACAGTCGAAAGTGATGATCGCGCATTTTGTCGTTGGTGCACACCAACGTGCGATGCGACGTTGACGCAGCCGTGGCAGCACGTTGCCGACCCTCGCCCCTTCTATCGGTTGGATCCGTCATTAACAGCGCGCCGTACAACCAGCACAAGTCGTCATTCAGTCCGGTCGGGGTGCAGTACAGCCACCCCAGCGAGCGCCAGTGCTGCACAATGACAGCAGCCTGCGGTGTCATGAAACGCGGCTCCACGTGGCGCTCATGCAGCATCACGAGAGGCCGCCGCAGACCGTATTTCTCCACCGCCAGCTTCACCGCGCTGTCAATAAGATCAAAGTTCACCCCGACATCCACTCCTTTGGCGGAGGCCTTGCACTGCTCGTTGAAGTTCAAGTCTTGCGCCGTGATTTGACCTTCCGCGACGCCGCGGTGCAGCAGCAGCTGCTTCTTCGCCAGGTCATACCAGCTGGATAGCCCGTAGTAGCCGAGATTGGCGCCGTCGATGAACACGTCGACACGATCGCCGCTGTCATAGCGGGCGTGGATGTACCGCTTCCAGTGCTCAAAGCCCAGCAGCGCGCGACGGCTGCGGCACGCCTGCGGAATCACGAGATCCTTCAGTTCGCTGAGAAGATGGTTTCGGCAGGCCGCCGTGAAGGCGTAGCCCGACAACTCCGTGTGGCACACGGGGCAGACACCGCAAGCTTGAATGAGTGGCTGGCTTGAGGCCGCACAGCTGCTGCTGTTTTTGTCGCTGCCACCGTCTTTCAAGCACACCTCCGCGCTGTTCAGCAATGCCTTGCTCGTACTCTGTAGAGCTGTTCGCTCTTGCTGCTCCATCCGCGCCACGGTCGCCACGTGATACCGAGGCACACGAGTGGTTTTCGCTCCCCCAATCCTGCTGTTCGCGCTATTCGCGTTCGCCACCCACGGCTCCACAACGTCTGCCAAAAAAGCCGCACTCACCCCCGGTACATGCTCCTTCATTTCCTCCAGCATGAAGAAGAGGGTAGAGATGGGTTCGCAAAGCTGCACACACACAGTGCCGAGCGCCACGTAGTCAGGCTCCGTCAGCTCAATCTTGTGCTGGAGCGCCTTCTCATACACGGCAAAAGCCAGACGGCGGTCCTGTAGTTTGAAACAACAGTAGCGAAGAAAAACAGAAGCACTACGCAGGCGTAGCATTCCGTGTTGCTCCAGATACGCGAACATATGTGTCGCCCCATCGCGATCGCCGGCAGCGCATTGAAGGCGGAGAACAGCGAAGAGAACGTGTTCGGACCTAAGCCAGTCGTTGGATATGACGGTGGTGTGCCGACGCACCTCCGAGACGAGAGAAAGACCGTCCGCTGCGTTGTTCGCCGCATCGCAGGCGTAGAGAGCCGCAGCGAAGGCTTTGCTGGAGAAAATGGCACGCTGCTCGGTGCGGGAAGAGGACGCTGAGACAGAGTTCGTGTCTGTTGCTGGTGCGCCTCCTTGTGGCGGTGGCGCCGGAGGCCACTCTCCCCACAACGCGCTCTTCACCACTCGCACGGCTTCGTGTGCGTTGCGCTGCCCGACGAGCGTGTTAACTTTCCGCAGGAGTTCCTCCTCGGGCGATTTCGTCCCTTTTGTGCTGTTCTTCCTCTGCAGGCTTCCCTTGTTGCATTGTGGGCTGGCAGCTTTGGGTGTTAGCGGGGAGGCTTTACTCCTCACGGCGACGTTGTGGTGTACAGGCCGGGCAGGGCACACGATCCGCTGTGCCTCTACCCGCATGAAGTCGCCGCGCGCGAATCGGCGCAGTTGTACACCGCAGCAATGACGCCCAATCGTGAGCATCGATCGAAGTCGCTGCATCTATTTTTCTTTATATGTGATGAGGATGATGAATGAAGAGATCGCCGCACACGACGGGTGGGACGGTGCGCTAGTGTAAACACACAGATGTATCCTTCGGCACCCCCGTGCCTGTCGAGCCGAACAGAACAGCCACACACGCGAACACATAATCAAAAAAAAAGGAAAGGAAAGGAAAGGAGTGAAAGAAAGGTGCCATCAAAGTACAAAGAGTGAGATGGGCAGCCAAGGCCCACAGTGACGCGCCTTTTTCCATCTCCTTCTTTCAAGTGGCGCTGAGTAGGCATCGCACGACACGGATGTATTACTTTAAAAAAAAAAAAGGGAGTTCATTCGGCGAAGAGTACAACGCAGTTCGCCGATTTAATCGCTCCGTGGCGGGGCCTCTCATAGCAAGCTGCGGAGCTGTCGGCTATCATCCGTATGTATAGGTTCTTTATTTTTTTAGTTTCGTTTGCTTTCTGAGACGCAAGAAAGTGGAAGCAGCACCCTGAAGTCAGCAGCCACCACTGCCTGGCATGTTGCCTTCTTTTGTATATTCTGCTCTGTTGTTGTTGCTTTTGGGGGGGTGCAAATGGTGGCAAAAGAAGAACCAATAAGGAAAGAAAATGAGAGAGTGATACAAGTACACAGCGTATAGGCGCGAACTCATAACCATGATGGAGAGAAAGAAAGATAAAAAATACCGTCCAACAACCAACCACTCTGCACACTTGTTTCTTTTTGTTGTTGATGTCTAGTATTACTCGTCCGGCTTGCCCAGTGCTGATGTACACACGCGCACACACGCACACAGGCAGTGTCGCTTGGAAGACAACGCGAATACATAATAATAATAATACAAAGCGTAATATGAGAAGAAAGAAAAAGGTTGAACAGAGATGCACGTGCGAGCCTAAATTTAAAAAAAGTAAAAACCGCCGGCACACTTCCTTGTCGTAGCTTTTTCTCACATGGTTGGAGTTCCAGTTTGGCTCTCCGCCGCTGCCTGCGAGGAAGGATCCTTGCCTGCCGATGACTCATCCGACTTCTTTGCCTTTGCAAAGCGCTCGTCTTTGCGCGTAGGGGGCCACAGCACTCGCGGAAATAGGTTCAGCTTGTGATAACGCAAAATGTGCCACTGAATGATCATGACGAGCCACACGAGAAACGCGGAGAAGTAGGCACCCCACGACAGGTAGCCGAACACAAAGGTGCCGCGGAAGAAGTAGTGCCGGTAGACCGCGCACTCCGTCCGTTGCAGTTGCTCCGAGCAGACGCACAGCGCCACCTGCACCGCAACGAGGGCGATGGAAGTGAAGCTAATGCGCACCGCCATGGCATCTGTCAGTGTGATGACAAGGAAGAGAACGAGCATGTAAAACACACTGAACGAGGAGAGCACCAGCACAACGTTCAAGTACGCGTTGCACACCGCCGGATTGGGTCGGTTGACGGTGTTCGCCGCGATGAGGAAGACGTTTGTTTCTAGCAAAAAAGCGGTGAGGTAGTACAGGGCGTGCGCCGCGGCGTTGTGCCACTCCAGCAGGTGCGAGACGCGCGGCCTGTTGAAGCACGCAAAGCCGAACCCGTCAATGGAGTCGTGTGCGAAGAGGAAACCGACGTAGCCGGCAATCGCGACGCTCCATTGCGCGATCACCGCCACCATCAGCATCGTGTAGGCCCAGCGATGGCGGTACTGGGCGTCGATGCTCACCTCGATGTTGTTGAAGTAGGACTGCGTGATGAGCTGAGGAAAGGCAAACCAGACCGCGTAAAAAGCGCCAGAGAGACGGCTGCAGGCGACGATGTTGTGGCCGACAATCATGCGCTTCTTCTTCACTGCCATGCTGTACCTGGCAAGGCACATAATGTCAAAAAGGGGAATGACCGGCATCACCGCCACGTACGGCGATGGAACGAAGACTTGGTCGGAGTCATTCGCCGGCGGCTCGTACCGCTGCTCATCCTGTCGACTGCGCACGGCGTAGATAATAAAAATGAGGTACAGCGCCCACCCACCGCCGAAGACAATCAGCGTGTAGAAGCCGTAGCTCTGCAGGTTGTTGTCGTCCATCTTCATCCACACCGTCAGCACCACCGCCACCGTGACGGTGCAGAAAACGACGGAGAGAAATTGAATCACCATAAAGGCCAGATTAAAGGCGTGCATCCCATGCGACTCGTAAACAAGAATCGAGTGAAACGGTTCATCCGGCAGTACGTGCTGGTGGTCAAACATGAGCTTGACGTACTCAAAGCCGCTGCGCTTCAACAGAGAATACTGCCCGTGCGAAAGCCGCACAAACGGCATCGTGAAGAAGGAGCTGAGGTACTCGTAGATGCCGGGGCTGAGCTCCCCTTCCGTGACAGGGATCAGCTCGTCCACCGTGTCCTGCACGTTGCGCTGCACCTCCGCATCCTGTACCTCCAGCGTGCCGGAGTCGACGATCATGCGGACCAAAAATGGGTTGTGCTCCGCCGCTGCGATCTCGAACCCGCGCACCGGCATCTCGGCCGACCGGGACGCCAGCGCCGCCGCCACCAGGTGACCGAACGGCTCCGTCGGGTTGGTGAGGTAGCCCCGCAGGGCGGAAAGGAGGTCCACGACGTAGGCGTGCGGCTCTTCCTCGGCGTCGTCCACATCGGACCCCGAGACGTCACCGACGTTGTTGAAGGAATCGTTCGCCGCATCGTGGGACTCCACTCGCACCTCGGGGGCCTGGATGGAGGGGTCGTTCCACAGAAAAGGCTCCTGCGCCGGGTCGATCACGACGACGTCGAGCGGGATCGCGTCGCTGTCGTGCTGGGAAGCAATACTAAACGGCTCAAACGAGGAGCGGTGGGTGCCGCCGCCGCCACCGCCGTGGGCCGGCGACACGGGTGGGCGCGAAGGCGGTGCGCGGCTGTCCGGATTAAACGCCCCGTCAAACCCCGAAGAGACGGAGACGGTGCGGCTGTGGCGGCCACCACCCTCGCTCAGGCTGTTGCTGCTCGCATGCCGCGACAGGGAGCGGAAAGACTGCGACGCACGACGACTGCGGGCTTGCGCGGCGGCCGTGCGAGCGTGGGTCGTGACAAGGTTCACCGCCCCCGGGTTCACCAACCTCTCCAAATACGAATTCACCTGATCGCCTTTGCTCGCCACGTAGCGCTGCGCCGCGGCCCACCAGCCGTTGTCGTCCGCCGTGTGTGTCATCGTCACCGTGGCAGGCGTCAGTAGTCGCGGCGGCAAACTGACCTGGCTGGAACTGAGTGGTGCCTGCAGCTCGGACTGAGAGATGGGCGAGCCAACGCAGGAGCTGCCGTTGCGACGGCTGACGTGGCTGCTGCCGGATTTACTGCCGGCGGCTAAGTAGCTCGTAGGAGGCCGCAGGGGGGGCAGACAGGGACGTGCGCGCGGTGCGTCACCCTTCGTGGTGGTGCCTGCAGCGGCTGCCGCCTCGCCGCCGGGGGCCCATCGTACTCCCACGCCGCCGAAGCCGCGCGTCGTGGGCACCATCGGCGAGGACAGCGCTCGCCGCCGCGTATTCGGCGTTGCCGCAGCGGAGTTTGGTGTGGCGTAGGACGTGCAGGTCGAGGTGCTGGTGCTTGGCGCCTTCGTTGCCGCATCCTTCCTCGGTGTGGAGCAGGCAGGCAGTGCGCTCAACAAGCCACGGAGAGTGTTGTCGCTTCCATCACCGTGGTGATGGTCGAGAGTACCTATTGGTTCGTTTGCCTGGGTGAGGTTGTGCGGCGTTGATTGTACCTCTTGATGCGACGGGAAGGTCACGCCGGCAGTGACCGCCTTCTCCGACGCAGAGGACGCGGAGAGGGTGGAGGGAGACAACATGGAGAGGCCGGGCGGCCGCTGGCTGACAGGTCGCTGCGCCCCGCGCGCTGTCGTCGGGCTCGGGGTAACGCTGATCGACACCCCCGTTGGCGGCCGCGTCATGGGCGACGCGAAGGCATCGGAGTCGAGCGGGGTAATGCGGGTTTCGTTGTCCCCCGCCGGCGTCCTGGGCTGCAACGACGCGGTGGAGTGCACGTTGGAATCTAACTCATCCACGTCGAGGTTGCAGCGAGAGATTTGTGCGGTCGGGCACTCGGAACTGCTGTGGAAAGGAGACACATTCGTTGTCGACATTTTTTTTATCTACTTCTTTTCTCTTATTGTAGTTCAAAATAAAAATTTCTTTTGGCGTATGAAAGGGGGAAAAATACCGCCACTGAAGATTGACCTTGTGTTGTGCTTGAGCGTCACATATACTCGTCTATTAGCAGGTATTCTGAAAACCGAAAACTCACGGATTAAGAGATTTCGATAAACGTAGATATAGATATAGAAATATAAATATACAGGAAGTTGAGAACTAATGGAAATGCAGGGAAGCAACCGCGAAAAAAACAAGCCTTCCACTTACTATTTCCTGGGTAGTTGTGTTTCTTGAATTGCCTGCCGTTCAACGATGCTTGTGCCTCCTCGTACGTCAAAGAGCTAGAGTAGTTCTTACTCAAAACAGAAAAAAAACACCTGCGAAGATAGTTGCGGCGGGGAAGTGAAAAATGTCACAGACAGCAAAAATACCTCAAGGAGAGAAAAATACTGTTAAAAAAAAAAAGGGAGGGCCGAGACGACTACCACTCTTCGAAGCCCATTTGCTACGGCGCGGCTAATGGAGTTGAGTTGTGCGGAGTTGGTGGAGAGGGACGAAAGGCACAAAAAATTGAGAAAGAGAGAAAGGAAAGAAAGGGAAAGAAAAAGTTGGGAAGAGCAACTTTACGGGCCAAAACGCGCTGCATCGCCGTATCAGCTTTGCCGAGAACCCTCTCTTTGCTTTGCAATAGACATCATTGCACTGTAGCACTCATCCAGTACGAGGGGACTCTTGCGACGCAGCTCAGCGGAGAGGAAAGACAGAACTGTTGCCGTTGGCAAGAAGAAGAAAAGCGAAAGAAATGCTGAGGTACGCACGCAAAAGACTCGCGTATATAAAAAAGAAGGAGAGACGCTGCATCTATTTCGTTTTGTGGGTGTATGTGCGCCTTAACTACTTTTTGATCTGCTGAGTGTACGCCCGTAAAAGAAGGCGTGTCCGCGTCGTTCAACGTATGTGTCTTCTCCGCATTAAAAGACATCGGCGCTCCGTTAACCAGCGCTGTGCACGTAGGTGTGCGTGAGAGAAAAATACACACAAAATCATAAGCTTCTTTAAACCCTGGAGAGCAAAGAAGCGTAGCATAGAACTGTAAAGAGACTACTATTGTGGGGAAGCCGAAATAATATATATTTTTACTCCGCAGACGGAAGAACAAAAAAAAGATGAAGCACCTGCGTACATTAAGAGAGAATTCAACTTGCTCGGTTATGCGGAACAAGGAAAAATACAAAAAAAATGACGTGCTTCCTCGTGCTTTGCCGTGGAAAACCGGAAAATGTCTTTTGACGCGAAGCTCGGCCTATTCCCATAAACGCAGCCATCAAGAACGGCTGCCATACCCACAGCCTTTCTTTAACTTCGTCCGCTTCCCCGTACACAGCAAGAGAGAAGATATGCCCACTGACGTGCGGCGGCACTAAAAGCCATGCCCTCACGTATTCGCAAAAACGGCCTCCAAAATAAATAAAAAAATAAAAACGATGAGACACAGGGACCACGTCACACAACGATCATACTAACAGAAAAAAAAAAACGGAAGCGTTCGAAGAGATGGAGAAGGTCTGACGCCCCGAAGCAAAGTGGAGGCTTTCACTTTTCTTTTATTTCCTTTTGTTTTGTGCTAAGGCGCCTCATTTGATTATTTTTTTCCGTCCATCAAGATTCGTTGATGCAGCAAGACACTTCTCCCGCAAATTATTGGACGCACGACAACAACAAAAATAAAAGCTTGAAGGTGACAAAAACAAAAAGAAAGGCGCTTTTTAAGTGTCCAGGAAAGGAAGAAAGCGTCGCCGCTTGACTCACGAAAGGGAAAAGAAACCAAAGGAGAAAGAAAAATGGCCCACGCTGCATTTCACATCATCCCGCCTCATCGTCGCTTTGCCTTTTCCCTACTTCCCACCACCACCGCCTCCTCCGTCTTTGTCTATGTTTTCTTTTTCTTTTTGGCGTGCTCCTTTCTTTACCATTTTATTCTTACACCTTCACGAAAAGCGAAGACAGCGAGGCCTCCTTGTGAAGGCTGTGCACCGCCTGCGCCAGCAACGGCGCCGTTGTCAGCACCGTCAGCTTATCGCACTTCGCGGACGTCGCCTTCTGATCGATGGAGTCCGACACCACCAGCTCCACTAGCGCCGTGCACGCATTAATGCGCTCGCAGGCGGGGTCGGTCAAGATGCCGTGACTGGCACACGCAATCACGCGCGTCGCACCCATCTCCTTCAACAGGTCGCACGCCTTGCACAGCGTACCGGCGGTGTCGACCATATCGTCGATGATGACGCAGGTGTAACCCTGTACGTTACCGACCGTCTGCATCGAGTCCACTTTACCCGCCTCCTTGCGACGCTTCAAGATGGTGACAATGTGACTGGCACCGATGCGATCCGCCAGCACGTTCGCCCGCTCCACACCACCGGCGTCGGGGGAGACCACGACCGTCTCGTTCTTGTCGAACCACGGCTGACGCATCAGGTACGTGGCGAACTCAGGAAACATCAGCAAATTGTCGACGGGGATGTTGCGGAAGAAGCCTTGGATCTGGCCGCAGTGTAGATCCATCGTGACGACGCGGTCCACGCCCATGCACTGCAGCAGCTGCGCCACCGCCGACGCAGAGATCGGCACACGCGGCTCACTCTTGCGGTCTTGACGACTGTAGGCGTAATACGGCACAATAGCGGTAATGCGCTTCGCCGATGACAGCTTCAGCGTGTGCACGAGCAGCAGCAGCTCCATCATGGCCGTGTTTACGTCGGTGTTCTCACTACCAGAGGTGGGTTGGATGATGAAGCAGTCATCGCCGCGGACGTTGTCCACAACCTTGATGTTCAGCTCGCCATTGGCGAAGCGCTTGATATCCGTTTGGCACTTCTCTACGTTGAGGCACTTGGCGACGTTGTCGGTCAGATCAGGGTTGGCGGTGCCGGAGATGAGTCGAATGCGGAAGCTGGTTTCTACAGCGGGGCGAATGTGCTGACGATAGAAGAAAGTCTCACCAGCGGCAACCTGCTGAGCTTTGTGTGGCTGCGGCTGCGGAGAGTCGCCTGACATCGAAATTGAAGTACTTGGCTGAGTGTGCTGTCTGCTTTGTGACCTTTACTACGTACGCCGGATAAATACAGGTGATATTAACGCTTCCTGGATTAACGCCACTAATAAATTACGTTAGTATATAAGTATATAGGAATAGCTTTTGACTGCTGTTGTTGTATATATTATCCCACGAAGCTGAGCAGTTCAAGAGAGCTTTCTCTGTTTCTAAGTTACCTATTGGAAGCAATTAGTCGATGAAATAGCGCTGAATCAGAAAATCAGTCGAAGCGGACTCGTCAAATACCTTACACGGCACGTGTTTAAATGTGGAGGCGCAAAGAAAGGAAAAATGGAAACGGGAAAGAAAAAAAAACTGGATAGGTCGACAACGAAGAAACGAGGGCTTTCCCATAAAAAAAGGGAGCAGATCGAGAAAGCCGCCGATGCTGTGCTGTGTGCCACTCGGGGGGTCGACGGGCCGATCCGGAGTGAACGCGTGCAAAAGGCACAGATTCGCGGTGTACACCGCCACACGATCTCAGGAGCCACGGCGGGGGCGGAAAAGGGGAAAAAAAAATAATAAACTAGCTTTGAGTGTGAGTGTATAAAGACCGACAAGGCATTGAAAAAAAGCGTAAAGAGAGAAAACGGATCGGGAAAGACGCACCCGTTGCGACGCAAGCAAACTCCGCTCAGTCACGAATCTACAGTTGGGCATTCTTATCTACAAAGAAGAAAAAAAGAAAATCTAAAAGAGAAATCTACAATTCATAAATCCTTACAGCAGTTCTACAACGCATCAGACTACTCAATAGGCTTTTCTATCTTGATTAGCGCGAGGCAGGGAACCCGCGCTGCGCTTCCGGGTTCCTTTTGGCCTCTCCCCCTCCCTCACACACACACACTCACTGGTAGAGTGCGCGAAATGCAAGCCTACGTTTTAATGTATAGTGCGGATCTCGCGCCCATTTCTGGTACTTCATGCGCGGCGTATTGAGGGAGGGGTGTTGCTTCAACCCCACGGCATCGGCACGCGCACCTTGGAGAGCAACCACACCCGTCACGGCGTGCGTCGCGTGGCGCGCACACGACCGCGTGTCCGTCCCACTGTGCAGGCGTGCGCTGAAAGTACGGAGGGAGCACGCATTGCCTGCATTGGTGGAACGGCACAGCGCCGTGTACGCAGCGGCCGTTGCTGTTGCTGCCCGGGGAAGCGTTGGACGCCTTGCTTTTCTCCACAAGGGATGGTCCGACCGGCGGCGTGGGTTGTGCCATGTTTGCGGTGGTTTGATCGGCGTCATTTATAGGAGAGCGTTCAGCTTGGCAAGACCGGCGCCGCCAGCATGCTGCGCAGTGACAACGATCAATGCGGTGCTTCGCGTCATAGTACTGACAGAACGCACAGTCTTTTCGCTGATAAGCCGAGGGCATTCGCGCTCATGTATCTGTTGGATGCCTAGAGAATTTGGAGTCATTATCGAGAAGCAAGAGGATGCAGCAGAAGAATAATTTGAAGAAAAAAAAGAAAGAAAAGATGTGCGGAGCAATTGCTCTGAGTAAGGTTACAGCAGCATTCCAGTGTTCGGGTCCGTCTTGACCTCAGGTGGCGTCACCGAAGTCGCACATGCTTGTGCACACAGCTCGCACGGAACATCTTTGCAGGGGAGTGCTGGTGGCTGCTACATCGAAGCCCGGAAGCCGCACTTCTTTTTATCAAAAAGGTCATAGGCATGTTTCGTTCCATAGAACTTTCCGTTTGGTTCGTTACTGTTATCGGCAGGCGTCCCATCAAACGACGACGTCTCTGCCCCCGCACCTCACGATAACCTCCCCACCATCGAACTTAAACACACCAAGAGGAAAAGTGCGACTGAACGACTTCCACGGGCTCGGAAAAAAGTTCGCTCGCCAGTTTAATTTGTGATGTTGATCCCTTATTCTGTCCTGATTTATTTGCGCTTCCGTGATGCCTTGCTCGACGAGGCCGCCGCCGATGAGCCGCCGGTAGAAAGAAACTTCTCCGAGTCCTTCTCGCCTTGCGTCCAGATCGATTTGGCCCAGTCCGGAAGCATCCCCGACTCAGCCCACGGACGCTGCAGCTCGCCCTCCGCCTTCTCACCCTTCACGTAGATGCGGAACAGCTCCGACTGGTAGAGTGCCTTCGGGTTGTTCAGACTCTGGAGCAGGAGAGGAAAAGGGATGCCATAGCGGGACGCAAGAAAGGCGCTGATCGCAGCCGACATGCCCGTCTTGGTCACCAGCAAGTCGCGCAGCTTCCCCAGATCGTACTCCCAGTGCTGCTGAATGCTCTCCTCGTTCGTGTACGCGTCCTTGACCCGGATGAGGGTCTTGTCGCCCGTCTGCCAGATCCGGATGAAAATGTAAACGCCCACGAAGACAATGACGATGTGAACGGCGCAGAAGATGTAGAAGATGCGCTTCTGGACCTCCGGGTCCGTGCTGTCGATGCTCCAGCTCACCAGCAGAATGGTGAGAGGAACTAAAATATTCATTCTTCCGGGCGCAGATACACCTCTACGGGGTGAAATGTATAGCTTATTCTTTCTTTTTTTTTAAGAGGTGATATGTCAGAGTGATGTAACGAGGTTTAAAACGTTAGCGGAGACGTCCGTTAGCGAGGGACGGCGGTTTAGACACGTGCGCGATTGGCTGAAAAAAAAAAACAGAAGAGAGTAAGGGAGACAGAGAGAGAATGAAGTGGGTTGAAAAGAGAGAAAAGGTTGGGACGATACACTGTGTGTGGTTGTTTGGGGGTTGTGTTTCAGAATAGTGCCGGGAATCCGAGCAAGCCGCGGTGCAAAACCACAGCGTGACTTTTACTTTTTGCTTTGTGGAAGTGTTGTTAGTGCAACCGCCTGCTCTAAAGCGCGGCTTTCAGAAGCGGCGACAACGCACTTCCATTAACCTTTTTGCAGTTCCTTTTGTGATGTACTTCTCTTATTCTGTATTCAACAAACTTGGTTTTTACGTTAGAGGAAAAGAAATGCACTCGACAGCGTTTATTCGACAAAGCAATAATTAGGCACCCACTTTGAGATCCACCGCACGAAGAAAAGCAAAAAAAAAAAAGGAAAAGGCTACAGCGACCTGCAAAGAGGGAGAAACCAAAAAAAAGGTAGGAGGGATGGTGTGTGTCAGGAAAAGCGGCTACATTTTCCCCTGTCGTTGTATATAACCTTCACACAACATCGCAGAGCAACACTGGATAGCGATTACAGAAAAAGTTTTACGATCTCCGCGGTCCGTCTGTCACCTTACTTTTGTTTTCTTACGTGCTCATTGCTGATCTCGCTTATTTGAAGTGTTTTTGAAGAAATTTTGGGTCCGTCTCTTTTGGGAAGACGGTTTGGGTTTATCATCAAGGCAGGCAGCTCGTACAAAGAATCTGCAAAACGGGATGTGGGCAGCCGGAAGACAACACGCGACGGCGTTCTGAGAAAAGGGAAAACAAAACACACTCTTTCCCGCTAACGAAGAGCGCAAAAACGGACCGCCACGGCATCAGGCAAACGTAAAGGAACTGAACTTCGGACCAACAGCACAAAAGGAATTGATCGAGAAAGAAAAAAGAAGAATCCATCGAATCTCTTCTCTCCTCGTCCCTCTCCATGAAACAGTTCAGCAGCACCGCCTCCCTCCTTCGTCGCTTAGCGCATCAGGGATTTCCAGTTCATCGGTCGGAACAGATTAAGCCCCTCGTAGTCCGTCGTCACGACGAGGCCGGGGATCTGCATGTGCCAGTGCGCCTCCTTGGGGTGCACCAGGCCTTGATGCTGGAACATGAGCTGGTCCGGGTACTCCTTCAGCTTGCTACTAAACAGTTCGCCCACCGCCTCCTGCTCCTCGTTGGCGTCGCGCTCCAGCGAAAGGTCCCACAAGGTGCAGCGACCATCATCGCTGGCCACGGACAGCACACTCTCGTTGTGCGGAGCAAACTCCACCGACGTGATGGCCTTCCTGTGCAGGGCGATACGCTGAATCGGGTCGGCGCTGGCGACGCGGCGAAGGTCCCACACCGCGACGGCGCCGCTCTCGGCTCCCGTGACGAGCAGGTGCGACGCCTGCCGCGCGCGGTTCCAGTCCGCGACGTTGATGTCCGACGGGTCTGCCTGGAAGCTGATCTTACTCGCCCGCATATCGCGCGTGTCCCACACCTCGACCACGCCGCCGGCACGTGCAGTGATGAGGACGTCCGCCTGCGTCGGGCTCCACTGAATCTCCTCGATGGACATCGCCCCGGCGACGGTGCTGCTCGCCGCGTTCTTCCAGCGGCCGTCCTCTGTGGGCTGCCACACAAAGAGGGCTCCGGCGCAGTCACCGGAGGCGAAGACGTGCTGCTTCACCGGGCTCCAGTCCAGCCCGTAGCCCTCCGTCTTGTGTGAGGTGGACGGCGTGCAGAACTTCAGCGGTTGCGCCTTCTTCTGCCCCGCCTGCTCCGGCTTCTTCCACGACTGCGCCTGCTCCTTTGACCAGTTCGAGAAGTCCGTCAGGGCCCGCACGTCGGACTCTACGTCGAAGACCTGCACGTGGCCGGCGTCGGACCAGACCGCGACGAGCTGGCTGCCGCTGGCCGGGTTGTTCTGCGGGCAGCACCGCACCCGATTCGCCGTGCCGTAGTGCTTGATGGTGCGGTGATGCACCACCGGCTCGCCGTCGTTCACCTCCTCCGCCTCGTCGCCGTCCTCGTCGTCGCCGCTGGCGCCCTCGTCGCCGATGTAGTCCTCCTCCTCGCTCTCATTGTCGCTCGCCACATCGAACTTGGTGCGGCACATGTTCGTGATGTGCAGCAGCAGCAACTCATTGCGCGCGTTCTCGTCCGCTTGGGTGCCGCAGACGAGCAGGGTGGATAGGGGGTACCTGGTGTGGTTATCCTTGTTGTCCTTCACGATATCGAAGGAGAGGCAGGGGTACTCGGTGCGGAGCTGGAAGAAGGCGTCGTAGGCCTTGTTCGAGAACTCCAGCTTCATCAGCGCCCCGCCCTCGGCACCACTGCTGCTGTCGCCGCCGCCCTCGGCCATGGTGGCTTCCTCCTCCAGGTCGCCGCGCCAGATGGATACCTCGCCGGCGCCCGTCTCACCCGTTTCGCCGTCGCCGTCGGCGTGGCCGGCGTCTTTGAACGAAATGGACTTAATACCCTTCGTCACATTCACCGCGGACTCCTTCTGAAATTCGGCGTACTCGTCATCGTCCTCGTCGCTGGCTTCGATGATTTCCTCCTCTTCATCCTCGCCATCCTCGACGGCGTCACCCTCCCCGGCCTCGTCCTCCCAGCTGTCATCGTCGTCCTCCTCTTCCTCTTCTTCCGCCTCTTTTCTCTTTTGCTCCTCGAGCTCACGCAGATGGCGCGCCTCCTCCTCAGCGGCCTGCATCTCCTTCGCGTCCTTGGTGCGGGAGCGGGCCCCAGGTGTCTCCTCGCCCTCTCGCGATGAACGTTTGGCTCCGCGCTTCATCGCTGCTCGTACGTGTGTGTATATAGGCGAATTCAATTTTGTGTGTGTGTGCTGCGAGGGTGCGTCTGTCTTTTGCTTTCTCTTTCTGTTGCTTGCAATCCGATCAACAGCTATTTCTGATCCATTCTTATCAACGAAGAAACAAGAGGAGCAGCAAGCAGTGCGTTAAACAAACCCAAGAAGAGAGAGAGAGGGAGGAAAGAACGAAAGGAGAATGCGAAACACAAACGAAAATAAACCCGTTACGGCGCTCTGTGAAGGGCACCGTGGCACCTCTTCCTCCTCGTCACGTATCTTGTGGGAGAGACAAGCACGACAAAGTACCATTCAAATGCCAAACGCAATAACAAAAGTACTTGTAGCATTTCGAAGGGGGGATGCAAAACAGACAAGCAGCAAACGAGGACACCGCTACCGATGTGATACAACTTCACACACAGGACATCGTACTGCCCGCCTCTTCTTTTCGTTGCCGTTGCTGCTGCTGTGGTTCGCATCCGCTACACCAACACACCCACAACAGCAAAAGAAAAAGGGGCAAACTCCGCGGTGTACCTTCATGGCGCTGAGCTAACGGGCGCTTGGCGAGTTGTTGGTAATCAGCCGCAACAGGAAAAGGAAAGCCAATCCAACATTTCAAAAACGATGAAGCAAAACCCAAACAGAAAAGGAAAAACAATTTGTTGGATAGGAAGAAACGGAGAGAGCGATCGCTGTTTGAAATCTAGACTTCCGTAGCCTACAATGCAGCTCTCACCCGATCCTTTCGCTACGACAGAGCCTGGAGGTTCTTGAGGCGCTCGGCGATATCGTCCTCGTCCACCTGCTGGTGCTGCGCCGGCATCGAAATCTTGCTCTGCACTCCGCCGCCCAACTTCTCGCTGATGTCAATGTTGTTGTCTGCCGCTACCTGATCCATGAGGGAGTCGACCTGGTCGATGGGCACCGTGCCAGCCGAGGAGCTCACGAAGGCTGCATCCATCACACCGAGGTTCACGTCCATGGTCCCCACCTGCTGCTCGAAGGTATCCATCACCTTCGCAATCCGCATCGGGTCCATCGAGGAGAGAATCTTCTCCATGCCCTTCACCGATGTTTTCATGGTTTTGGTGACCGTCTGCATCTGCATCGCCGTCTGCACGCGCGACGCCGCGGCATCCAGGCGCGACGACAGCCGCAAATAGTTCAGCGCCTCATTGCGCTTCCGAATTGCGTTCTCAGCGTAGATGCGGGCTGCCTCGGGGTTGCCCTTCTCGAGGGCTTTCTTCACGTTCAACTTCTCTTTTTCCGACGCCTTCTCCGACGCCGCGGCGCTCTTGCTCATCTGCTTCGACGCAAACTTCATATTGAAGATGATGTTGAACATCTCATCTTCCTTGCCCATTTTCGTGTGGGTGTGCGGACCGGCTGCTGTTGGCAGCAGGAGAGAAGCCAAATACAACGCTAAAGGGGGAGGAAAGCTGCCTTCTTGGTCGAGAAAAAAGGCGGGAAATGCGACACAGTCCGCGGGAGCGCTTTGCGTTGTCGTTCCACTCAGAAGTCGCAAAGGTTAAAACTAAACCAATAAAATAATATAAAATAAAGTAACAGCGGATTGAAACTTCGGGGACAATCACGTTTTTAGCAGTGTGGTAAAACAAAATGAAATGTCGAAAGCAGAACTGGCATGTAACGACTTCTTCAAGCGAAGCAGGCAAGACACGAAAAAAAAAGTGAGTTGAGCAAACACACGCAGAGAGAGATGTTGTGAGGACTGTTGAAGAGCTCGCGTGTCCTTTTTCTTCTTCACGAGAGAAGTACAGAGGGGGGGGGGGGCACAGGAGAGAAAAGCTACGCGGTGCGACGGTCCGGCCAGACGATACTGAAAGAGAGTAAACACCACCACCTTCGCATGCTGCTCAGCATTCAGCTTTGATGCACGAACAGACCCCGCTTTACCTAACTGCTTATGAATTACGAATACGCATTTACAGGCGTTTTGCTTTTCGCGAGAAGCACGAGTAAAAGGCCGAACAAAAACACATCACAGGAAACATCGTCAGAAAGAGTCTGCTGCTGCACAGATCTATGGAAACGTAAATCAAAAAGAAAAAACAGAAGAGACGGAACGCGAGTTAGAGCAGAAATCGAGCATACCAAAACTGTCGCAACCTCACACAAGCACACAAAACAAAAATAAGGAAACGTCCAACGCGCCAGACAGACGCCATCGCAAATAAGCGTTATCAACGGTCCTCACTGACCCATCTCCTTCGACAGTCGCGCTTCATGCAATATAGCATACAGCAGTGGCACTGACGACGGTGCAGCGGCCATGTTCAGCTCGGATGCGAGTACGCGGCGAGGCACTTGGCTATCCGGCGTGCGCCCCTCTAGCTGAAAGACAGCTAATGTGTGCTCGAGGCCGTTGAAGGTCAAGTACTCCTTAATAAGCTCGTTGATGATCATATTCTCCGGAGGCACCGGCGGGTTATCCACTGCACGACTATCCCCATTGGCCGTGACATCGGAAAGGCGTTCGACGATGGCGGCACGGAGCTCCGCTTTGATGCGGCTGATAGTCCCGTTTGTTTCTAAAGACTCCCGCATCGCCGCTTTCAGGGATTCTTGACTTGACATTTTTCTTCTTGCGTAAGAGAAGTCGCCGACGGTTACAATTGCTGTCGCTCAAGTTGGTATGCTCTATGCGTATTCGAGTATGTGTACGTGTGTACGTGTGTGCTATTTTCCCCCCGCAGATCGCGCGCTGTGAGCAGGAAAGAAAAGGCCACCTTTTAAATGCAGCTGCAAAGAATAATAAAAATACATGCAAAGACTCGTTCCATTGTTCTCGAGGGAGGTGAAACAAGGCGAGAACGCGGAGTACCCAAAGGAAAAAAAAGGATAAGTTTTAAGGTGACATGGCAATCTCCACACTATCATCCTCAGCGACGCTCATTGACTTCTTCCGTAAGACATTTTCTGCTCCGCTATGTTCCACTGGGAAGTGAGTGACATTTGAAAAGGTACTTCTCTGTGTTATGGAGACACACGCACTCACACACACGATGAATAAAAGCACGGCATCCAGGAAGGTCAACGTCTAGCGTCACCCTACAAGGAAATCAATGCGATGCAGCTCCGCAAAAAAAAAAAGGCTGATTTCTTTTTGTTTGTTTATCTTGCTTTCTATGGATTAATTAACGATGTGCGCGGCGCAACACCCTACAAGAGAGCCAGCTTGCGCATCACACACATCATCACCACCGCCCCCACCACTACACCGCCTGCGGTATACAGCGCATCTGTCGACAGCCTCTTCTTATTGTTAGGTGAAGGGGAATTAGTTCCACCTCCGTTGGCGGCATCAGTAGGCACCGCGGGTGTGCTCCTGCCCTCACGCGCACCGCTGCTGCCGCCGTCTCTGGTGAAGGCATTCGGCAGCTGGATCTTTTCAGATATACCGGCGTGCACCAGCAGCCGCTCCACCGCACGCTGCGTGGGTCCGCCAGTGCCACCTCGCCCCGCTGGAGGAGAAGATGCACCTGCTGCGGCTTCATTAGCAGCAGCAGCAGCGGCGGTAGAAGGTGGAAGGGTTGCTGCTCCGTCACTTTCGGCATCTGAGGCAGCCGCGGCCTTTTTGTTCCGCTTCCGCTTCCGTTTCTGCTCCGTCGTCGCCGCCGCCGCGCTTCCCTCTCCCACGGCAACACCGCCACTGCACCCCACCCCACCACTTTCGGTGCCTTCCTCGGTGGACTCCGTTACCGCCACCACCGCCTCCGCCGCTGCTTGGCCGGTGGGTTTCATCTCCAACGGCAGCGCAAAATACGTGCAGACACTCTTTGCCGGCTCGTCATCATCATCGTCGTTGTTCGCAGCGGCGTCGCGCTGACACACCAAACACGCCTTTTTGGAGAGCCCCACCACCTCCGCCGTGGCGTGAAAGCGTCGTGTGAGGCGCATCTTCGCCACTACTTTCAGCTCTTCATCTTTCCCTTTCGGGTTGTAGGTGCATTGCAGCACTGTAGAAGACCCTGTCAATGCTAGCAGCACCTGTGTCTCGCTCAGCATACGTGTGTGCAGCTTCGGCGCCGGTAACGCAACACCATGCGTCGAAGAGGATCGCGGTGATCGCCCTGTCCTGTCGGGGACGTTTTCTTCCTCTCTCTCACTTCGGTCTGCGCCTTCATCACCTCTGCCTTCGACTTTGTTGATCGCAGCAGCGCTGGTGTTGCCCTGCAACGCACGATTGACCGTCTGCGACTCGAACTGCGTCAACACCGGGCGCGGCGTGTGGACGGTTCCACTGCGGCCCACGTAGAACCCATGCACCGTCCAGTCATCGTTCACCACAAACACAAAAGGCCCGTCGCTGCTGGTGGCCACCGCCACTCGCGCCTTACCGTGACGGCACCTACGATTCGGCAGTTGGCACTCACTCATCATTTTGTTTCGCTGCAGGTCCCACAGCCGAAGACTACGTCGCGTGGTGCAGATATCACACAGAATAAACCCCGGCCCGGCAGCGGGGGAGGCGGAGGTCGTGTCCTCGCGTATCACTCTCAGCCGCACCGGCGCTTTTCCCACCTCCACCAGAATCGTCGACGAGGTGTTGCTCGGCGTCGTCTTGCTGTTGGCTGGAGAAGTGAAGGGCGTGCTCCTGTCCTTGTCGGGCGGCACGTCCAGAGCAAGGTATCGATCGCCTACCCACGCGACGCGCTGCGCCATCGCCGTGATCAGCTCCGTCAAGAGCTCGCCGACCTCGCCGTTGGAAAAGGAGAACAAGCGCAGCACCGCCTGTGGGGCGTCCAGTCGCTCCGGGTTTGGCGTGGCAGAAGCAGCAGCGCTGACGCTCGGGCACACCATCGCAATACGCGTCTGCGCCTTGTTCAGCGCGAAGGCGTAGACGACACCGCCGTACAGCAGCTGCGTCGCTAACGGGGTTGAAGAGGTAGCCCTGGTTGCTGCATCGTCGCTGATGGCGCTGGGCCGCTCGAGCAGTAGGTGGTGACTATCGGCGTGGATAAACACAAAGCGGCCGTCTTTGAGGGTAGCCATTTGCGCACTTGTTTGTGTGTGGGGGGATGGGGAGTGGGTGTTCTCCCTTGTCAGCGCAGCTTGCTCCGAATAAAAGTAATGATAAACTCTCTCCACTAGCGAATTGGGAAGCCAACAGAAAACAGCTTGCCCCCAAGCTGGAGAGTCCTCAAGAATATGTCGCCTGACCCTCAACAACAGAGAGTGGGAGAGCTGCCGGTTTTCGCGACAACAAACGAAAGGGAAGCGCAGCGGACACCGTTGCAGAGGGAATAACAAAAGAGAGGTTTAACGAAGATTGAAGAAGACGCGCAAAGATCATTTGGAGCGGCATTTTTCTCTTGTTGTTGGGGGAAAAGTTGCGACACCGTACTGCGCTGCCTTGAGGTGGCACCGAGCTTCACTCGCCCACGGAATGAAAAACAAAAGGGAAGGTTGTGTGTAGGGGGGGGGGTATTTTGAAACTGCGCAAAGTGAGACACATAGAATAACCGAATTCCACTGAGAGGGAGAAAAAACTTATTCATTTACATCGAAGGTATTCGGCTGCTCGGGTCTGCCCCCACTTATGCACGCGTAGAGCACAGAACCAAGTCAGAGCAGCCAAAATAATAGTAAAAAAGCGTCGGTGAAAGGAAGCAGAAGAAAGCCAAATCCACGGTTGTGTTGCCATCTCCGCAGAGGAGGCAAAGCCTACGTGTAGGTGTGCGCACAGCACATCATTGGTTTCACGCCAACACACGCTCACGGAGCTGACACCATGGACGCTTCCGTCGTCAGCGTCAAGGAATCCTTGAGCCGTGCATATTGCTCCTCGTATACTGCTCTTACAGCCTTTGCGCTGTCCATGAAATTGCGCCGTGTTGCGTCGAGGAGACACCGCTCCTCCTTCTCCTGTCCAACAAGCAGGGACACAGTGGCGCTGCAAAGCGTATTTGTCATGCTGTTGGGGAAGATGGGTGCTAATCGGTCTAAGTGCGGCGATTCGAAAGCGTGCCCAGAGGTGCTGGTGTGCGCCAGCAGGCCCTCGCGCTGCCCAGCACGACCTACATGGCACGCCTTGATAACGAGCGAGTCCAGTGCCTCGTATGTAACCCCCATCCGCCGTAGCGCCTCGTACGCATTAAACAGATTTGTCGAGAAGCAGTCCGTGTACTCCTGAAAGATACGCTGGCGCGCTTCGCTTTCGTGGACCAGCAAAGGGTGAAAAGCATCACTCAACATCGCTCCGGGAAAGGGTTTGTAAGGCAGAAACGCGCTGTCGCCCTCGATCAGTCGACGTTCCGCAGCCTCATTCGCAACCAGGCGCTCCCGTTCCCGACGGCAGACCCGTGCGGTAGATCGCAGGAGCTTCCATTGTAACGCGTCCCACGCCGAGAGGTACTCCTCTACCAGCCCCAGCCTATCCTGCACTTCATCCTCATCTATTACCTGCAGTCCACCTTCCACACACGCGGAGGAAGATAAGGCAGAAATGCAAGAGAGGCGGTACACGTCCCAGCCACTAAAAAAAAGTTCCATTGTCTGTCATTGTATTGCTATTGTATTCTACATACAAGAACAAGGCGATTATATCAACAGCAATATTATGTCGGTAGCATCACGTAGTCATGAAAGAAAAACGAAGCCCGAGGGAATCACAGATGAAGTTGCAACAAGAGAAGGAAGTGGTGGTGGGCTCGGTGGCGTGCGGCATAAGAATCGTGAAAGTACTCTGCGCGCCTACAAAATAAGAGCGGAGCGGCGCGTACGAAACGGCAGTGACTTTGTGCGCCGACAGAACAGACGTTCGTGCCATTTAACCTCCCTACGCTTTCGCCATTGGGCACCTTTTGCAGAATTCCATTCTCAGTGCATGGAAGAGCAGGTAGTTGGCGCAGCAGGGAGTTGACAAAGGACAGCTTTGTTTTAGCCGTGGACGGCAGCAACGAATCACAGTCGTTTAACCCTGGAAAGTGGCAAGTCTTAGCACCGCGCTGATCAACGTGAACCACATCCCCTGAAAGGAGAAAATGCACCTTCTTTTTCTTTATCTCTCGCACTGCTTCGACAAAAGATGTTGGACACTGGCTTTCATTTGGGTGTTTGGGGAGGATTGAATTACTTGTTTGTTAACCGGGTGGTGCTGGAAGCACGACAGAGATGGAAATGAAAGAAACTCGAGAAAACAAAAGTCGACAAAGTGCTCTTCTCACCACAACGAAAAAATAGGAAAAAGAAAAAGAAGTTGACCTCGACAGCATAAGAGAACGTCTTCGCTCTTCCAGCCTTTTCTTCCCTCTCGCTCTGCCGTTGAAGTTCGCCTCATTCATTCTCACTCTGAAGGGAAACGCGAGGAAATGAAACAAACAAAAAAAGAGATTAGCCATCCTTTAACCACGACAGCACGCCCACACACACTCACACACGCACCGCGGTCTGTCACCACGCTTAATTTAGTACTTTGCAGCCTCCTCCCCCTCCGTCAGTTGTGAACGCCTCTTCCCAGGATTAATCGGTAGCGCTGCTGAGGAAGAGGATTTTTCGTGGCTTCCACCAAGGAGAAGAGAGGCAAAAACATCAACAACATTACAGACACACTTCTCCCCTACGCAAATCTTGAAACCGCAAAAACACACCAGAGAAAAAAGGAAAAATTAGACGTTGCTTTATACGAGAAACAAGACGCTTAACAAAGAAACATACGTTCATTAGTATTATAGTGAAAAGCACGGCACTCAACATATATATCGTCGCAGCAACGCCACGAAGGAAAGGAAATGTGTGTCAGTAGGAGCAACAGCGAGGAGATGAACCGATGAAGATAGACAAGAAAGGCACCTGGAAGGAACCAGCTCCCCTCCTCACCTCTTCCTACTTCCATTCGCACTTCTTTTCCACTTAACGCCGGTTACGAGCACCATTGCTCTTCACCTTGCCCGTAAACAAGTGCTTCGGGCGCAGGTTCGGTATGTGGTGGTCGCCCTCGCCCTTGCGAGCCTGCCGGGCAAGCGGCCGCAGCTTCACCTTGCTCAGCTTCACAGCGCGCAGCTTCTCGTTCACGTCGCGGAAGCCATCACCGCGGTTGACGCTAAGGCTGCGCTCGCGATTGGCGGAGCTCGCGCTGATGCTACGCGTGGATTTGGTACTAACGTGGGCCGAGCCAGAGCGGTCGCGGAGGAGCGCCTCCTGGGCGACGGACATGGAGCGGCCACGCTTGCGCGTCGTGGCCACCTCGCCGCTGCCGTCCGCGATGGACTTGGAGCGGGTGTCCTGGCTACCTGTGCGCTTGTTGAACCTGTCGATGGCAGCGGCCTGGCTGTGCGTGCGGCGAATCGCCGGATTCTTCATCGCGCGCTCCATCTTCAGCACCTTTACCTTGTCCTTGATGAACTTGACTGCCTCAAGGGTGTCGTCGTCGAGGGTGTGCGTGGCGGGCTTGCGCGACGCCTCCAGCTCCAGCTCCTCCAGCCGCGCCTCCTCCTCCGCCTCCAGCTCCATCAGGCGCTGGTGGATGTCGGGGTCGATGTTGTCGTAGATGTTGTGGCCATCCATGATTTGGGGAATGACATCATCCACCCACGACGGGTCCTCGAGGTCCCACGTCTTGCGTTCGTTGGTCTGGTACTGGCCGGGACCGCCGTTCTCCCACTCGTAATCGCGCTCCGTCTTGCGGCGCTGCTTCGGCGGCTCGCCGGTGGCGCGCTCATGCAGCACTGACGCCGGCACGTAGGGCAGCCGCTCCAGCTCGTCCCGCTGCTGCGGGGTGGCGCAGTAAAGGCGGTTCTGGATGGCCTGGTAGCGGCCAGAGCCCTCCTTCTGCTCGGAGCGGTGGGCGAGCAGCACGTCGCAGGCCACCGTCTTCAAGTCACCGACGCCGACGTCCGTCAGCGTGCTAGTCGTAATCCATTTCGCGTCCGCCTCCTGGATGGCGTCCATGATCAGCTCCTGCTCCGCCGGCGAGACGTCATCAATGGTGCACACATCGCACTTGTTGAAGACGACAACGACCGGCTTGCCGGTGAAGAGGGGGCCGACCGACTTGAAGAGGGAGACCTGCTGCTCGATGGAGTAGCCGCACTGCCCGCTCAGGTCCATGAAGAAGAGAATGCACGCGCGCAGATGGGCCAGCGCGGTGATGGCCTGCATCTCAATCACGTTGCGCTCCTCCAGTGAGTGGTCTAAAATACCGGGCGTATCGATGACCTGCCAGGTGGCGTACTTGTAGTCGGTGTGGCCCACAAAGAGGGACTTGGTGGTGAAAGCATACGGCTGCACCTCCACATCCGCACGGGTCACCTTATTCATGAAGCTCGACTTACCTACGTTCGGGAAGCCAGTCACGAGCAGGGTGCGCGCGTTGGGGTCGATGGAAGGGAGACGAGACATGTGCTGGCGAACCTTCTCCAGGTAGGCCAGGGCGCTGTTGAGTTTTTTGCAGGCGGTCGCCATGCGGCCCAGCGCGGCACGCTTCAGCTGCTTGCAGCGGTACAAAGAGTCACCGTACTTGAGCAGACGGACGTAGTCGCGGCCGATGTTGTCCACCATGTGGCGCACCGCACCGACCTGGCCCAGCGCCACCTTGTAGTGGTCGCGGTCGTACAGCACGTGCATCAAATCACCGTAGAAGGGGTGAATGTCGTCCATGCGGGGGAACTCCTGCAGGATGTAGGTGAGCTTCTCGTTGATGGTCTTCTGCGTGAACTTCACCTTGCGCATGTAGAACTGGCGAATACGCGAGATGTGATAGCCACGGTGCACGATGGTGGGGGTCTTGCGCTGCGTTTTGGAGAGGACGATGTCCATGAAGTCCTTGTAGGACGGGACGACGGTGATCGTCTTGAAGTTGTACACGGACGTCATCGTGAATGCCTTACTCGTGTGTGTGTGTGTGTATTTGCGTTTAAACCCACTTTTCAGGGACTTATAGTCAAATTAGCAGAGCAGATGACTTTCGAAACACTTTTTGGACTTACCAAAGAGAAAGAGAAAAAGAGAAAAGAGAAGCGTGGCAAACTCAGAAGAGAAACAAAGGAAAAAATAGCAGGACGGAATCCCACGTGAAGCCAACAGATGATAGTTCCTTACCCTGACGTACAGTTTTAGACTACACGTGTGATAAACCCAAAACAGAAAAAAAAATGATACGCAAATGAGTGGGAAAAGATATCGGTTGCAGACAGATTGAGAAGAAGATCAAGAAGACAGAGAATGTTGAATATATATTTTTTTAGAAAGAAACGCAAATCTTGTCTCGTTCCTTCTCGATGTATGTGGGCACAGAGGTGTTGCTCGCAGAGAGGTCGGTTGAGTCTCCGAAGCTGCGCAAATACAAGAAAGCACGTCAGTTGGCGTCCGCAACTTCTTAACGTAGAAATCCGAACGTGCACACTCCATAGCAAAAAGAATTGCAAGATATGCTGCTGTACATCTCCACAAGCAATAATCGAAAAACTTGTCGTGGATATACATATATTTTTTAAACTTGTGTTGTATTTTGTTGTTGTTTCGGGTATATTCGCATTATTTCTTCTGCACTTCGCAACGCTGCGGGTGGAGGCACTATACAGACACCAGCACCACAACGCTCTTGAAAACACCATCCAGCAAAAAAAAAAGAAAGAAAACTCCAAACACAAACAGACACAAACAGCAAAACACACAAAATATATATTCAATAACACAAAACAGTGCCTCGTGTTTTCGCAGAACTAACCAGCACGAATATATGCGAAAGAGCCGGAGAAGGGAAAGGGAAAAAAAAGGATTGTTGGCACTGTTAAACCCGTCCTTTTAAACAAATGCGATCCATAAACCACCAAAAGAAAAAAACTAACACGTTCTTAGATGCAGCAACGAAACGGAGTAAAATAAAACGTGAGTTGAAAAATTAACTGATGACGGTTTGAAGCATTGACAGCAACTACCATGCTGCTTCGGGGGGGAGGGGGTGTTGTAGTCGTTATTGTGGCGCTGTTCTCTCTTGTGGAACAGCGACTTTCTCAACTCAATGTGATGTAGAACTATTCTTTCTCGGCATCCTTTGGAGTAACAAAAAAAAAAAACTGGCAAGAGCTATTCAGGCGTTTGCCAACCGACGTTTGAATACATCCTATTCCGACGCCCCACAACACTTTCCTCTCGCCCTTTTCATCGTTTCCCTTCTGCCTCCCTTCTTTCTCTTTTACATCCCCCCACAAAACTTTCAACGAAAGGAAAAGTTTCTTGACACGATCCTGCCACCTCTCAGAAAAAAAAAAGAAGAGAATTTATGTGTAGATCGTTGTTTTTCAATTATTATTTTTGATCGTTCTTGCCGCTGCTACATGTGTGTGTGTGGATGTGTGTGTACGTGTGCGCTCGGATGGTTGGTTAATGATGACATTCAGTAATGCATCTTTGGAAAATATTATTGGGCCTTGAGGAATTCAATGAGCCTCAGTTGCGGATGGACTTCCATTCAAAACAGACACAGTGATAAACAAAACACCCACATGTATCCCTTCAGTGCATTTCTCGTCAACACAAAAACCACTAGAGGTTGACATGATGGATAAGTTGATTAAATACTGTATTGGTCAAGTCCAAAACAAAAAGAAACATTTTTTTTGTCCGACCGCAGAGAAGTACCAAGAGGCAGGAGTCAATGAAGGAAGACGGCAACGCCAAACAATAGCAAACAACAGTAAATACACACCTTTCCGTTTCGTCATAATAAACCTAGCAGAAGCTTCGCAAAAGGGTTTCACTGGGTAAAAGGGAAGAAAACGAGAAGACACAACATGCTCGCGCATTCAAAGGACAGAAAAGGGAAAAGGGGGGAAAGAAGAGTTCGACTACTTTTCCAGATCGATATTAATTATGAAAGAAAAAAGCAGAACACTTGTACTTACGCACGAACACAACAGGACCTGAATCAAATTATTTAAAAAAGAAAATCCAAGCACGTATTGACTTCTTTTTTTTTTAATCCTCATTGCGCTTCGCTCACGGAGTACCCACCTTCGCCGTCAAGGAGCACAACTGCACGGTGCAGCTTGCGCAAGGTCTCGCGATGCGACACGGTAATCACCGTCACGCCGGCCTTCTGCAGCAGGTCATAAAAGTAAGGCTCGTCGTCCTGCGAGATGGCGCTGGTGCACTCATCCAAGAAGGCAAACAAAGGGCGGTGCAGCAGCACTCGCACGAGCGCCACACGCTGTCGCTCGCCGCCAGAGAGCACCTGCTCCCAATTTTTCGACGCATCCAGGCCGCCCTCTCGCTCCATCATCCCTCCTAGACCGAAGGAGTGCGCCGCGTCGATGATGACCTCGTCTGACACAAACGCCGTCTCCGGCGACTCCCTCGCGGCGTCCTCCACCGCGCTGGGATAGGTGAGTAACGCACGCAGCGAGCCGGATGGAAGGTAGGTGCGCTGTGGCAAGCACATGAGGGCGTTAGTCCCGGAGGGAATTGTAACGATGCCCTTCGCAGGCAGCCAGAGACCGCTGAGCACGCGCAGCAGCGACGACTTGCCGGAGCCGTTGCTGCCCATGATCAGCGTGTGCTTCCCAGGCACCACGGTGAGGCTGAAGTCACGCACAATGCAAATGCCGGCGGGGGAAATAATTTCGATGTTCGACCACGCCACGACGCTCTCCGCGTAGCGGACGTTCGCAAGTGCGTTGCGTGCGTTCATGGCGTTGATGCGATCGAGCTTCTCGCGCAGCTCACCGAGGCGGTGGACGCTGCCGCACAGCGCGCCGACACGCTTGTGGATGAGCAGCATGCGGCCCAGTGCGCCAGAGAAGGGGACGTAGAGCTGCACGTTCTGCAGGAACATCTGCGTCAGTTCGCCCTTGGACATCAAGTTGCGCTGATCATAGGCGACAAGGCTGCATACCAGGTAGCCGACCAGGCTCGCTCCGTACTTAATGAGCAGGTTATCGGAGAACCCACTCATAAACTTGAATCGCTTGATCTTGTACTCGTGGCGGATGAGAGAGCGCAGCAGGCGGCCGGTCTGCTCCCGCTCGATGTCCTCGCCGTTGTAGAAGGCAATCTCCTCAGCGTGGTTGATCAGCTGATACTGCTTCGTCCGCAGGTTGCCCTCCTTTTGCTGACTAACCGCGACGAGTTGCGCAAAGTTGGGCAGCAGCACCGCCATGCCGGTGGCGACGAGAAAGTAGTAGGACATCAAGAAACCCGGGGCGGCGAAGCCGCCATGCTTGGCGAGCTCGAGGGAGAGCGTCACGACGTCTAGGATTGGCTTGAAGAGGGCACGAAAGAGATGGGCTACGCTTTTGCAGAACTGGTTCGCGTCCTGCACCATCCGGTGATCTGGGTTGTCGATGATGGAGCTCTGTGTGGCGATCATGTACACCGTATTCCCCTGCAGGTACTCCTTGTTCAGCGCCGCCTGCAGGTTGTCCCGCATGCGCTGCTGCACCATCATCTTGATATACTGCACACCAATCTGCAGCACAGTTCCCGGAATGGCCAACAGCCCAATGTCCGCCACACTAAAGAGAAACAACTTGATCTTGCCTTCCACCAAAAAACGTCCATTGCGGCCCACAGCAGCGGCAAAGAGCAGTGTCAGCTGGGTGCGCAGGTAGAAGAGCACAACGAGCAGCATGGCGCCGCCAGACTCGAAGGTGACAAGCCTAGGGAAGGTCAGGCCGAGCAGGGAGCAGAAGCGACGCCAAAAGACGCGGTCTAGCTTGATGGGCTCCTCGCCTTCATCACTGCCGCTGGTGCGGCTAGGCGAGGAGTGCCTCGACCGCCGCTTTGGGGTGGCACCTGACTTTCGGCGCTGTATGAGATCGCTCATAATTCGCAACGCCGCTGCTGCACAGAGCAGCTGGGCGGCGTAGAAGCCCAGGTTTCGCCCCGATGCAAGCTTCGATGCCACCGGCATGGCTGAAAGAAAGGGAGAGAGATATGTATAGCTAAATAACTCGTACAATTCGTTGTTGCTGTTTAGCGGAGATTACTGGTTCACTGCCTCGAATGTTCGAGAAGATATCAATATTTATTTCAAGAGAATGAGATGAGCTGTAGCAACGGGTTCGCTGGCGTTTGGGCAAACGTGTGTGTGTGTTTGTGTGTGTTTTCAATGCGTACGACAGAAACCCTTCCTATTCACCAAGGAGTTTGTGTGCTTTCTCCCTCCTTCCGTTCTTCAGTGTCGGGTGGGAGACACCAATTCAATAAGAGCAAACTCTCAACGAGTTGAAGAGAAAAAAAAGAAAAGAAGCCAACTGATGAGCTACGAGAAGTCGTTGAAGGCGATTATTTCATGTGTATGCATGTGTGTAGGCAAAATGTGTATCAATACAGTGCGTGGAAGAAGAGAAGAGAGAGAGTTCGGCATCAACTACTACACACGAAGATAAGACATACGTTAACGCTACTAGATGTACGGGATGAGAAGAAACGCTTTTCTGCAGTGTCTCGATGCGTTTAAGGTTGTTACTGTCTTCATTGTTGTTATTTTAAGCAGTTGCCGTACTTTTATGTTTGACAGCATCCGCGCACCCACAGAATTTATGCTCCTGCCTGAATGGGCTAGACGAGTAAGTAAAAAGTGATAAAGCTGGAAAACCACGGTGCACATACCAAAGAATGTTCGAATAACAAACGCAACAAAAGCGAGGAGCGTAGAGTCTCTTTGGGGTGCTTGTGCACCGTGGCGATTCCTATTCCGCATCCACTGAAAAAGATAAGAAACGCGCTCCTGTATTCGTTTCTTGGACCGTCACCACCACCGCATTGCCCTCGTCGAAGTCCCTCTTCAACTGCTTCAATGTAGCAGCGTCGTCGACGAACACCTCGTGCGCGTACTCGTTCCCGTCCTCTGTGTAGAGGGACAGGGTGGCTTTGCTCTTACCCGCCTCGACAACGTCCATCAGGGAAAGCTGCCGCGCGATGCAAACCCCTGCCGCTGCCGCGCCGCCCCCAGCAGCCGCGTTGCCGGCATTTCGGTTGCCGCCCGGCGGCCCCGCTGTGCCGAGAACGGCCCAGTAGAGACTGAGGAGCTTGTCCTTCTGAGGGGATGTGAAAACGGTGAAGGGCATCTTCAAGGCTTCATCGAGGAGATGCAGAATAGGAACTGCTGCCGCCGCCGCCGTGTCGTCGTCGTCACCTTGTCCGTTTTCCTCGTCGTTGTCCGCCTGCCCGGTTGCCGCGGTTTTGCTCGATGCAAAGCCTGCACCCGGGGTGGAAGAGGAGGGCGATGTGCTTGTACCCGACGTGCTCGCCGGAGCCGGCGCTGGAAGACAAGACGCGTGATGCGTCGCGTCGTTGCCGTAGTGCGCCAATACAGCCATGTACAGCGCTTGCTGCGCCGCTTTTGTGAAGCGGTACTCCTGATTGCGAAAGAGGAAGCGGCGCAGCGTGTTGATTTCTTTTTTGAGCGCAGGACCGGTCAGGTGCGACTCCGCAGCCATTTTAAACTGCTTCGCGCGATCGTCCATCCCCGACATCGCGCGTGCGTGGAGCCAGGTGCTACCTCGGCTTTTTTTTGTCCGCTTGCTTGTTTTTTAGCCCACCGCTACGGCAGCGAACTCCTACAACGCAACGAGAAGGACAAGAGAAAAACGCAGTCGTAAATTCAGAAAAGCGATAGCATGTGTTGAATGGAACAAAGAAAAACATCGATAGGTGTGTGGATGAAGACAGAGAGGGAAACAGCGAAACAGATGCACGGGTAGAGGATTGAGCAGGATGCTTTTTCTTATGGCCAACGACGAGCTAGAGATCACAACAAATCAAAAAATAATTGTGGAGTGCATCTTCTGTTGTTGTTGTTTTGCTGTTATTAAGATGCAACAAACGCATGAGACCATTTTTTCTTTCATTCTCTCTTCACAAAAAGAAGCCCAAATATTTCGACAGCGCTTGTGAGGGAAAAACGAATCAGCAACGGCGTGCGTGGACAGTTATGTCAAATATTCTGTTTGTTGATGTTGATGTTTGGGTGAAGCACAGCGGCCAGAAAAATAAAACAAGCAACATTGCAGATGAGAGTAGCAAAATCGCAGATCCAGGAAAACAGGCACGCACGCACGCACTCACTCCTCCTCTTCAGGGCAGAACGCCTAAGGAGCACTTAGTACATAAAGAGAAGGTGAAAAAAAAAGTACGCGGCAGCAGGAAGGACATCGGTTTACTGAACCAAGACAGCAATCCAGAGTTTTTTTACGACAAAAAAACACGCATCGCCACGCGCTGGCGGATTCGGAGTAGCACAAGCACGAAGCAGGAAAACTTACACAGTAGTAAAAGATATCTATATCCTTTTTTGAGTGTCTCCGGACCCCTGCGGAGAAGCAAAGCGCTTTCTTCGCGTATTTCTCTCCGCTAGCAGCAGCCTTGGTCACCTCCGTTGCCGCCTTTTTCGCTTAGATTTGTCGCGCGCCGTTTCTCGTACCGCGCCGCTTCCTGCATCTTGTCGTACGCGTTCCGCGCCACCTCGTCAAAAGCCTGCGCCACACCAATTTTTGTCTTTGCTGACGCCAGCGCGAAGAGCATGTTGTTCTGCTGCGCAAAGCCCTGCGCTACGGACTTGGGCAGCGGCATTGAGTTCTCATCTGGGCACAAGTCAGTCTTGTTTCCAATCAGCAGAAACACGACGTTGTTGCGCTCCATCTCGTCACGGCGGCAGTAACTGTTGGCCTCGTCCAGCCACTTCTGCAGTCCGTGAAACGATTGCGGCTCACTGACGTCGTACACAAGCACCACAGCCTGCGCGCCGCGGTAGTAGGAGCTGGTGAGGGTGCGGAAACGCTCCTGACCAGCGGTGTCCCAGAGCTGCAAATTCACGGTCGCTTTCGCGCCGGTGTGCGAGTCCACCACGTTCACCTTCTTGATCTTGAAGTCGATGCCGATGGTGGCTGAGATGTTCTCGTCAAAGGTGCCCGTTGTAAAGGATACAAGCAAGGAGGACTTGCCTACGCCGCTGTCGCCAATCAAGAGCACCTTGATGGTGCGGTCACCGCTGTCAGACGACATGACACGCGTAAATTCTAAGAATAAAAAAAAAGAGATAATCGTGTGTGCGTATGTATTGTGTGTTCACTGCATTCGAAGATGGGCAGCGTAATCGTCATCAAATTTTTAAGAGAAAATAGTGCGTGCGAACATCACAGAAAGCCAGAGGAAGAGGAGAGAAGTGAGGAGAAAACGAATACAACGTGAAGATCAATAGAAGGTTCGGAATAAGCCATTCCGTGTTGGTCGTTAAACCCAGAGACACACTCTTCCAAAACTTCAGCCTAGCAGAGGATTGCACGCCATTGACATTGCGCTCCAACAGCATTATCGAGGAGGGAGAAAGGGAAAGAACGAACAATCATCGAAGTACAACATCAACGTTTACTGCCTTCGGTGTTCACATTTACGCTGCTCCCAAAACAATAGCAAACAAACAAAAAAAAGGCGGGAGACAGAGAAAGAGAGAGAGGCACTATGAAGTGCATCCTTTGAATGCTCCACAAGAGCGCCGCGACGAGAACCGCCAGAAAACAAAAGTCAAGCAGACCAACACAAAGGACGAACAGAAATGTACAGGTACACACATCCAACTACAAACTGCAGTTGCGCACAACGCGGAGATGGAACGGACCAACGCATCAGTTCCATAGCAGATGCTTCTTCGCATTCCCTCAATCGTCATCGTCGTCATCATCGTCGTCTAAGCCGTACACTCCGTACCACAGGTCCACGTAGCCTTCGTAGATCCAGTTGGTCATGATACAGTACGTGAGGAAGCACATCCCGTTTGCGGCGCCCATGAGCAGCATCCCTTGTGTGGAGAAGCACTTAGGTCCCATGGCAGACATTAAGGTGCGGCCAGACGCATTCTGCACGTCCAGGAGTTGATGAGCCAACGTGTGCAGAGATGACGGGGCCACCCTGCTGCGCAGTGCCGTTGAGAGGCGAAGCATGTGTGTCCTGTGCAGGGAATGCCAAGCTAACGCGGAAATAGAAGGAAGGCCGAGGAAATGGAGCCGTCAGACACTGCCGTCTTGTATCTCCGTTGCGCCTGTTGAAGAGCAGCGTCAAAAAAAGGCAGGCAGCTCCCCCCGGTGCTCCACTCTTCACACGCACACAACTAATTTGGCGTGCGTTCGCTAGAAAACTCAGCAGCAGCAGAGGAAGTTTCAATACGTCTAGTACAATGCCTCAAGCTTTTCCTCTCCTTCTCCTACACTCCCTGCCGATGTTGTTGGCGCTTCTACTACGATCCCAAAAAAAAAAGAGAAAGCAGCGTCGACAAACGTATTCGCTCTTGCCCAGCTGCTTTGTGGTGTGGTGAGAGAACTGAAGCGAACCACAAGAGAGAGGTGAAAAAAAAAAATACAATAAGAAACACGCGAGATGAAAAGAAAGGGAGACGAAAGAACGAGAAACGCAGCGCGAGTAGTTGTGAGAACGGCGATCATTTGCAAAGGTTCTCGTTGTTGCTGTTGCTGTCCAGCTTCCAAGAACACACCTGCCTTTCAAAGAAAAAGAAGGGAGGAAAGAGTGCGACGGTAGTAGGATTCGTGTCTTTTCCCGGTAATGGCTGCAACCTTTTGAATCAAACTTGCTTCTTTTTTAGAAACCCGCAAATACGCGTAGGGCCTTTACCTTCTACCTTTCCTTGGAACGGACGTCATTCAAAAAAAAGGGAGCTCTTTTCCTTCTTGATTCTTCCTTTCGTAGCCAAAAGACATCGACGGTAACAGTTTACGACACGAGATATGAACCAACCAGTGAACACACAACGCAAGGCGGTGGAACACGCGGAGTTGAAAACACAAAATAACACGAACGACGGAGAGAGAAAAACAAAAATGGACATTTGAATGTGTAAAAATGAAGTCACTACATGCAGACACGCACATATAAAAGGAAGAAAAAAAAAAGAACTCGAAATCTAACAGAACGGTTACTTCGTCCCTTCACAAATTATCTGTTCTCATATGTAGCAAAAATGAAGGTAAACTCTACCGACGCAAAGAATCCCAGTAAAACGGAGACAAGCGGCTGAAAATGAAATGCACGCAAAATTTTTAAAAAAAGTGAAAAGGGGCTTCCTCAAGCTTATCGTGAAGTTACAGCTAAAACAACACACACCAAGCGAGTGATGAGATGTCCTCACTAACTTGACAAGACAGGAAGCAGAAGAAAAAATAAATACAAACGAAGATTTCCATCACTCGAAAGACAAATCAGTGACTCACCAAAAAAAAAAAGGCTGCGGCGACTTTGAATCACATGAGGGTGCGCGCCGTGCAGCCTCATAAAAACACATAAAATCGAGCTCCAGCGAGCCAGAAAACTGTGTCGAAGATCACATACAAAAAGTGGCCAGATGCAGGGGAAAGAAAGGTATTGAGACTGAAAAAAAAATCCTCATGGGTTTCGGTGCACTGTCAACATTATTGGTTAAGCGAAAAAGTCACTTTGGGTAAGGATGCAGGAAGACGCCATCTTTGATGCATGTTGACCTCTCCATTATAGAGGGAAAAAAAAGCATTCGCTTCGTCAATGAATTGCAACTCCACACTCCGTTCGAGTAAGAACACGGCAGGGAGTTACGTCTAGGAATCTTTTCTGTTGTTGCTGCTATTGTTGAATTTTCTTTTCGAAGCACATTCCTCGCGACATAACGCGCGGAGACTCTACGGTATCACGAGAAAAAAAAGGGCTTTCGACGATGTGGAGGTCTTTGCATAATAATAATAAAAAGGACGCGCGGAAAAAAAGACAGAATGTCATAGAGAACAGAACATTTTATGCATGTCAAGACGGTTTTTGGTTAGAAAGGGCGAGAATTTGACCCTCGCTGCATCCGCAACAAGTAAAAGATACAAAATTTTGAGAAGATGATGAAAACAAAACTTGAAAATCGTGCTCTCTGTAAATGAGGGAAGAAGTAAAGTAGGAATTCATTCATTCTGCGGCTCATTGCAAGCGAGGCATGGATGGTGGTGCGCAGAGCATGTTGTTATACTTGCATTTACAGTTGTGGATGGTCAGCAGCCCGCTCTCGAAACAGAACATACGCAACGCTATCCACAAGCTGAGGTTGTGAAGAGAGAAGCTCGAAAACCAGGCTTCTTGCAGAAAAAAAAACGAAAAGAATGCTCTTAGATTGGGTAGAAGAAAAGAAAAAGAATGACGCAGTGGCACCGAATATGTGCGCAAAAGGCGATGCTTGTTCACCGCATTCGTACCTAAACACCACGAATAGAAAGAAGAAAAAATGAAAAGAGTAGAAACCACTTTGCAACAAGAGGGTTTTTCTCACTCGTACGTCAACGCAAACGAAACCGCAAAATCAAAAAAAAATGGGAAGAGGAGTGGTGGAACATAACAAAACAATTTTTAAAAAAATGAAACGAAAGAGGGAAAAGAGAGATGGGGAATTCATAAATAAAACCAAAACACAACGTGGTTTGCACATGATCAGCACGTGAAAAAAAAAAGGAAGAGGCTAACTTTTCTCCTTCACAAAATACAACGACAAACAGAAATAGGAAGGTCGCTGCTGTTCTGTTCTCTTCGTCAATTCAATGACCATGTTTGAGCCAAACCAGCGGATGAGATCGCATGATCACAAATTCGCCGCTACCTCTGCATTCTACAAGTATGCAAGTGCGTTGTGTAAAATAAACATCTATAATAGAAGTAATAATGCGCGGCTCCTCAGGTTTCTCCTTACCCGTTCTGTCGAAAGTCCTACCTGACAAAATTCTTCGCTAGAGGAGGCAGCACCGTCGTCGAAGACGGAGGCTCTTTTTTCGCCATAAGCCCTGCTACCATGTTTTGTCGCTGTCGCTGCGCGAGCGCCTGCCTTGGCTGTGCCAACCGCTGAGATCCGTTCAAAGCTGGATTACGGCCTCCCGCCCCTTCAGCTACTGCGCCAGAAGCGCCTTCGGGATCGTGTGGCCCTTTTAAGTCGCGCGTGCCGTCATCACGTGTGAAAGACATCCTGCGTTGCGTGCTGCGCGGCGGCGCGGCCGATTCCCGCGTCTGTCGCGGTGCCGTCGTTACCCCAGCACCGACAGCAGAGCCGGGAGCTGACGACCCCTTTGGCACGCTGAGAAGCAGGACCGCTTCTTCGCTGCTGCGCAACTCCTCATCTACAGGGACGTGGTTCAATTGCTTCGCAGGAAAATTGAAAGAAGAGCCCGGCTCGTGAGGGCGGCCTACGTTAAGGAGGCTGATACCTCGGTTCCCTGCTTCCAGCCCTAACTCCGACGGCATCGTGTAATCTTTCGTGTGAATACGCGACCTCTCCGTGGCCGGAGGCTGGCCTTCGTAGGGCGGTGGCGAAGGTGAGCCGTCGATGACCAACGAGTACTCTCTTCGTCTGGCTGCTGGTGCTTTTCCTTGTGCGTCTTTCAACGGGAGGGGCGGCACCAACTCTTGCGTCGAACGCTGCTTTGCGGAGTAGCTTACACTTTCATGACTCGGGTCCTTGTTACCGGTGTTGAATCCGGCCACGTTGGCAAATAGCAGCACACCATTGCCGTCGCTCCTCACGTTTCCCTCGACGTGCTCCTTCTCGGTTGAATGTGCAGCAGATGCGCCAGTCGTTTCGGAGCTGCGCCGCCGCCCCAACACACGATTATTCCTGTCCGCCTTGCTGGGAGCGGTGGGACCGTCGTTAGGGTTGGATTTGGCAGAAGGAAACGCGGCCGCCGTGATGGCACCGTGACCGACCTCCTCGTTGGGAGCCGTCGCCGCAGCCGCGGCAAGGTCCGCATCGCGCCTTGGGGCTGTCCGCTGCGTTGGTTGATGCGTCGTGGCGACGGACGGAAACGCAGGCAGCGGCAGCACCGTCGGCGAGAGGACACCCCGCTTGAGCGCGGGAGGCTCGTGCCCGCTCGCACCACCACGAGGAACGTCAAGGGCCAAAGTAGTGCCGCCAGCCGTCAACGCGGTGGCACCACCGTCGTCTGTGGCCAGTGAAAAGTCGCGCGTCTTCTGTGTTTTAGTTTCTGCGGTGATGATAAGACTCGAGGGGGTAGTCGTCGCATCCAGCATCTCCACGTCCGTCATATTTGTCGAGCGGCGCCGCCGACCGCGGCCAGCCTGACGACTGTGCCGATGCGACGCCGTGGCTCGTTGCGGGGCGCCCCCGGTTGACTGGGCCGTCGCACGCGGCGCGCTGCCGTCGCTCGAAGTAGTCAGTGGTGGAACAGAAGACCCGCTGGGACTAGAATGGTCGCCGCCCGGCAGTGGGCCAGAGCGCCTTGCGCGAACTGCAGGCTCCAGTGTCGCCCGCGTGTTCGGCTGGGCGGAATGTATCGCGGCTACCCCCGCTGTCGCCTCCCCTCTCGCCTGCCATACTGGCTTTCCGTGCGCCGCTCCCACTGGCATCGCAGCCGTGTCGCCTTCCTTCGATTCAGGGGCGACAGCCAAAGAAGAGGCCTCAGCGTTGAGAGCTACCGCAGCAGTGCTCTTGTCCTCGGTGTTCGTTGGAAAAACGAACTCCTCACGGATCCACTTGTGCCGCATCGCATCGCGCGGAGAGACGCGGGCAGCCGGGTCCCACTGCAGAAACTGCATGACGAAGCTGAGAAAGTCGTCGTCCTCCCGCACGCCGAGAAACTTTGCGAGCGACTTGGAGCCCGGCACGCGGACTCTGCCTTTTTTGGTTTGCCGTTCTCGCGGCTGCAAATGCCCGTCGAAGAACTCACGCTTCCTTCGCGCAGAAGAAGCTTCGATGAAGCTCTGAGGTGGAGGCCCTAAGTACTCCATGATACATCCTAGCTGGTCCTTCTCGTCGTCGCCTGGAAAGACAGGGTCACCGTTGGCGAGTTCGCACAAAATGCACCCAAAGCTCCACCAGTCAATCGCCTTCGTATACTTCTGCTCGAGAATGACCTCAGGCGCGCGGTAGAACCGGGACTGGATGTACATGAAGGAGTTGTGTGCGTCGAAGCTTGCGTCAAAGCTTGCAGAGCCGAGGTCCACGAGCTTCACCACAGACGGGTCTGACCCGCGTATCAGAATGTTCTCCGGCTTTAAGTCGCAGTGCATAATGTTCTCGCGTGCGAGAAAGGTCAACGCGATAAGCATGCGTGCCGCAATCCCGCGAACTAAAGACAGCGCCATCGGGTAGAAGTCTTTTTCTTTTAGGTACTCGTACAAATTTGTGCCTAAGAGTTCATAGCTAATACAGATATGACCGCGAAACGAAAAATTCTCGATCATGCGGACAACGCCGTAGAGGTTCTTAGGATCGCGGCTGTTCACGTGCTCGAGGATTTTGATTTCCTGCGCTGATTGCTGTAGTATTTTCCTCTCGTTGCGAATTAGCTTCACCGCAACTATCTGCTCGTCAGCGTGATCAATAGCCTTCAAGACCTGGCCAAATGCGCCGCTGCCAAGCTCTTCTAATATTTCATAGCGGTATGCTATGTGATCCTTGGCGTGAAAGATATACTCGCCGTCGCTAGTATCATAGCCGTCGTTGGGACCCGTCGTCGGAGCGTTTATCTTGTCAGTGCAGCCTTGTCCGCAATAGTAAATAACGGGATAGCTTGATATTTCATGCCTTTCATACGGTGAGAGACAGCTTCCATATTTTCGCATCCCTTCTGAGACGGACATAGCTGCAGAATGGGGTGCATCATCTTTGTCCTCGTGTCTCATCTCCCCACTCTATGAAACACCCAAACTGAATAGAGCACGGCGCTGCTGCTCAAAAAGAAGACAAAAGAATGAGAGAAAATGAATGAAGTCAGTGAGAAAACGAGAAATGAGGGGGGAAAAAGGCAACAGCTAGCTTGAGCTCTCGGCTAAAGCCTTCCTGTTCTTGACTGGAACGCAAGCTTCCGTCGAGTTGCACTGGTGTCGCAAACGTGGATCTACAGGGACCTATTCTTTACAATATCCTTTTCTGGCGGCCATAAATCTCATGTAAAGACTTTGAGAGCAGAAGCAGCGTTTTGCGCTCATATAGAAAAAGAAAACATAATGACAGCATTGAAAGCATTGAAAGCAGAAAGAAATGATTTAGAAGATAGAGTGGGACGAAGAAAAGAGGAGAGAAAACATGTTCTTGCTCGTGAAAGACTCTTCTAACGTATTTCTTTTCTTTTTATTACGCGGTTTCTTTAGAAAACATGGACCAAACAGAGTCGATTCAGCTATGAATCTCCTCATGAAAGCAGCAATAAGTGTCGTTATTACACCCTTTCTTTCTTTTGGGGGGATAGTTTTGCTTGCGCACATGTAGGTTCATGACCGTGTTGCTGTGACTCTACTTAAGACACTTGGAATAACATAATGGAACAAAGCTCTGACGGCCACTGTGTTCTGCGCATCTGTGTCAAGATGACAACAATTCAGTGAGCACGCGCTCCATCTCTTGCATCATGTTGTACCACACCATCCAGTCATCTGGTTCTTCCATCACATTCGGTTCCACCAACTCGAAAAAGCGCTCAGAGTAGTCTTCAAAGCCCAGAGGCGAGTAGGTATGCACTGAGAGCGGACGGCCGCAAGGCAATACCAGCTCTTCACCTCGCTTTTCAAGCCTCACGCTTTCCACGGAGCGGTTGGGAACGTTTGTGTAGCGAATCGAGTAGCCTATGCGACACCATAATACTTCCGCGACGTTGACGGCCGGAGCGCAGAGGCACTGCTTTCCATCTGCAGAATTGATGGCGATCAGGCAAGGGTGGCCGTAGTCGCCTATGAGATGCTCATTATTGTTCCGCAGCCGTCGTATGTTCAGGTCCTCCGGTGTTCTCAACAGAGCCGTGATCAGTTGCCGCGTGTGCCCGACCAGCTTGCGCCGCATCGCCGCATCTGGAAGAGCAGCCAGCAGCACGGAAGGTATATTTGCGACGTTGTGGATCGCTTCCGTTTTCTCTTGGAGGAGTTTCTGTTCTGCATCTCTGCGCTGCAGTTCCGCTTTCCACTTTGCTGTTTCGCGCTCTTCCAACAGGCGAATGATGCGCGCCTTGTCACTTCTCTTTCTCTCAACAAGCGCAGCGCGATCAAACTTTTCTTCCGCCGCGACAACAAAGCGATTCTGGCTCTCAAATGTGACAACGTCTGACAATCCATGTTCCACACGTGACTGCCACGCTTCCTCTTGTGAGCGTTTTAAAATGTATTGGTTGTGTACTTCTTCTGCTTTTTCCAGGGCAGGAGACCGTTCCATGATTGCCTCTACATCAAAATCAATCCCCAAAACGACCTCAACGGGGTTTGTGTTCTCTGCCTTGCTTTCTTGCGACGCATTTTGCGGCTCAACATTTTCTGAAGAAAACGAAGGAACGAGCTGTTGAAGTATACTGCAGAAAGACTTGAGAAGTTCCTCGATTTTACGGCACATGGTTTCGTTGTAAATTTGTTTGTTCGGGTCCGTTTCGCGAGCTTTTAGAACCATTTTGCGAATGCGCGGGCAGCCGTCAACGATGGACTGGTAGATACGCGAAGAAACCAAGTACAACTGTTCAGGGTCAGCAACTGTGTTTGAGGGGGCAGCTGCATTTGCACCTTTCTTGCCGTCTTCAGCAACGTGCGTAGCTTTTGCGATCGAGCTGCATAGGTTTGTGACATCTGCCGAAAGCAGATCCGTTAAAGCTACCAGTTTTTTGTATTCGGTCATGTGTGGAATACTGCAAAAGAAAAAATGGCGTTAATGATGTGACTTTTTCGTCTTTGTTTATTGCAATGAAGACACTCGTCAGGCCTTTTCTCTTTTGTGAGAAAGCGCAAGACCGTAATTGTGACAGTGGATAATGGCTCATACAAGAAAAAAGATAAAAAGAACAGCAAGAGGAAGTTCGCAAGTCGGAATTGTTAGAAGCAGGCTTTTTTGCCGCAGCGATACAATATGTAAGAAGTAGCTTTTGCATTGAAAAGAGAACAAAAACTATCTGCGTCTGCATTAGAGCTCGTGTGTTTTGAAAGGAACAGGAGAATTCATTTTTGAGTGCTGAGGAATCTTAAAATGAGCTCTCATATGGTCTTAGGTTTCTGTGTTTTTTCTCTTCCTAATTGTTTCGCCTCCGTGTTTATTTATAGAGCACCTTGCGCTTGCAGTTTTAAGCACACACCCAATTCGTCCACAAAGTAGTTGTTGTCAACAATGGCTTTGAAAGCGTTAACTGGAACACAGTACTTTCTTTCGATTTCTGGATCAACGATGCTCGCTGCGCCTTCCGCCTCTCGAACGTCGACGATAGAGTGTTCATCGCCAATAAAAATATTATCGTCGAAGAACGCATAAAAGTATTGCGGATCATTTTGTGACAGAGGGAAAACTTTTCCACCGGTTCTGCGTTCAGCGCCTTGGGCCCAGTTCGGGTAGTAATCAACGAGTCCACCAACATTGTTTGAGCGCGCGAAATAATCAAGCATGTGGTCTTTTAGATCCACAAACGATGTTTTGTACGCCGACGTGCATCCAGGCAGTTGTTTAAGGTGTTCAAGTATCTTTACAGCATCGGTTTCCTCATAATGAGGACCCAAAAACGAAAAAAGTGACACCTGCAGACCGTAACAAATGTACATTTCGTCCTTGTGACGGTAAACGCTGCCGCAAAGCGGTTCCCTGTAGCTGTCACGCATTCTTTGCAAAATGGGACCAGACGGTTTACAAAAATGTGTGCCTTGCACAAATGCCCTCCACTCTTGCAAAATGGACTCCAAGTCGCTTCCAAACGTCCTGAAGATGAGAGTGAACGGCATATCCGACTCGGACAGTATGTTGATCAGCCTGAAAAATGAGGGAATGATGCGATAGTATTCGTCGCCGTGTTTGAGGTGCTGCCGCTGAAGCTCAACAAGCGGCGCGTATGACTCGCCAGGCTGTCCGGCGTGCGTAAACTTTCTCGTAGCCTGGCGTCGCAAATTAGTCACAGTCTTCCAGACGGCATTCTTCTCTTGCTTTGGCAACTCCTGCATACCGGCTGGTTCGCAGTGAAGGCGATCAATATACGCGTCATATGTTACTATATCGCCTTTTGGCGGTAGTGAAACGGTGGCGTCTTTGTCAAAAGGGCCGTACAGCGCCTTCCACTTGTTATCCTTTGGATCGATCAACCCATACACATTAGCTGCAACGTTGCTGTTGAGCACGTCTTCCAAAGTGCTGCCCCCGGCCTGATCGATTTGAATAATTGTTTTGTTGATGTCCATATGCAGAACAAGGTGCCTCTTTGGGCATCCTTCAAGAAAGGGCCAATGCATTTGAGCCAAACAGCGTCGCGACATCCAATAGCAGGTAAGAAAGCTTTGTAGTTTCTGTATCACAGACTGGTCAGAAAAAAAAGGCACCCACAAAAAGGCGAAGAGAAACTGAAGAGTAATAACTTACTCGTTTTCTTCCACGTAAATAGATAGAAGGAAAACCATTGCCGAATGTGACCCACTTCAGATCAGATTGCTGTAGCACTGACTAGAAATTTTCAGTTAGAGACTGTTGTGAACGGAACAACCACAGTGTCACTCGCATTCGCTAACGTTGTCAGACCTCATCCTTACTTTGACGGTTTATTTAGGTCTCCTTTGTCACTTTTCTTCGCAGCTCTTATTCGCTTCTCTACCGCCCTTGGAGCACCGGTGCAGCAAACACTCTGTCATACAACCTCTGGACACTGAGGGGATGATAACCAGTAATACGTGGGAACACCTCAAGCAGATACCACAACACGTGCCCGATAACATTCCCAATCACTTCATTTGTCATACCTGAAACCATGGTATTGAGGAACATGAACACGAATGGGAGAAGACGCATTGAAATGGGTAGCACAAAGAAAATAGCCACCTGCATGTCCTGAAATAAGCGACTCATCACGTATGTCAGTACGGTGCCTAGCATGTAACTTAGGAACGGCACGTCAACAACAGAGGTAAATCGTAGTCCTAGAAGAATGGAGAACGTGACGAGGAGCAGAAAGAGATAGTCCAGAGGCTTTCTATGGAAGTACTGTGCCTCCAGGTGTGAGCTGACTAAATAAATCCACTGAATCTCCATCACGCAGTGTGCGCTAATTGGGCCAACAAAAAAGAAATTGGTAAATAGACGCCAGTACTGGTGTTCCTTCAGCACGAGTGAGGGACTCAAAATTATATAAATTGGATGAATGACCTCCAAAGACGACAAAAACCCAAGAATTGCCATCAGGCCGCAAATCACCACCGTGATAGGGGTGTCACGCAGCACATTTTCGAAAACACGGTTCATTTCACCCAAAGCCCCTCCCTTGATAAGAGCAGTAGAGAGCAGCCACCGTTCTATGTATTTCCTTTGCGTACTTAGCGGATTTCTGCACGTCAATAGAAGAAAACGTTGTGGGCAAAGAAGGGGAGGAGAAAATACGCAGGTGCAAAGATTGGTTTTCAAACCACACGTGTGCTCGACTTTTTCTTTTCATTGGTGAACTTGGGTGAGCGATGACATCATCGTTCACGCTCTGCTTTAAAAGTGGAAACTTCTCTTTTTGGCGTGCATTTGCATCCTGTAATCCTCTTTGCTGGCCTTCCAAACGGCTTCAGCGTTGCAGCAGCGATACGGCCTTGCTTTCAACATGCGAGCCTTTCCTTTTCTCTCTAGGGCATGAACGCAGTCAGATAACATAGGAATTTCCTCTTGTCAAAAGCTGTCATCCAGCCTCGCACTTCAGCGGGGTGAAAATTGGCACTGTAGCAACACCGCAAAACGCAAAACGCAGAAACTCGTCCGCCACACAACACTTCTCTTCCTTCTTTTTCCTTCACCCCCATACCCCCCCCCCCATCTCCATATTTCTCATCTTCCCGTCGACCCCCTGCACTTCTGCCACTTTATGCGCAAGCAAATAGCTCCTTGCACTTGAAGTGAGCACGCGCTTTGTTCGAAAAGACTGAGAGTGCAGAACACATTTTCTCTGTTGACCTCCAACACGGCGAGTGTTTTGCAAACTCGCTAAGCAGCTGCGACAGGCGTGCAGTGTTGGTGCTACATAAGTCGTCCGGTAAAATGGCACACAGGCTTTTCGAAACCTGCCTTGATCATCGTTGGAAAAGGGCATATCCCATGTTCGTCAACCTGCGCAAATTCCCTACCTCGCCAGCAACAAAAAAAAAAGAATAGAGCTTTCCCTGGAAAAATCTCTCCGGGCGAAAATAGAAAAGGGGCAAGTGAATTGACTCCCTTTCCTTGCTCCTTGAAAGTGATGCAACGCGAATATGAAAACGACACTTTTTCCCTCCGGTTTCGCGCCCCTTCTCCCTCCACTGTTTCCTCATTACTGCTTGCTCAGAATGTCATCGGCTGTGGCTCTTTTTGGTGGCGCGGTGGTTGGTACTCTGGTGGTGTTGAAGGTGGTGCTCACCCCGCGTGCTTTCCGCACTATTGCGATCGGGGTGGCTGTTGGCGCCGTGGGTGGAGGAAGCCTTGCCTATATGAACCGACTGCGTCACCACTCAATCACAGCAAGTTTCAAGCCCGTCGGCCTCACAGCTCCGCCTCCCAACTTTACGTCTATGCAGCCTCTGCTATACAGACATTTGACGGAGGAGTATGAAAGCCGCGGCGAACTTGACCTAGGCGAGGAACACATTACGGTGCAGCCCAACGTTTTCGCACAAATTGGGATTCTCGACGTGAACGGCATCCGACAGATGTGGACAAAGGCGATCATCCCATGTCTCCGTGATGGGCGCGAAACGAACCTCCTCGACAGCAGCGACGGATCGCAAGCCGATCTGGAAGCACAAGTAGTGTTTTGCGACATCGGCAGCGGTGTCGGGAATGTGTGTTTGCAGGTGCTCGCTGAAACAAAATGCCCTAAAAGCGTTGGTGTGGAAGTCATACCGTCTCGCATTGCAGCAGCACAAGAAGCATCGGCCGAGGCCAAGAAGCTTTTTTCTGACATCTTTGCTCAGAAAAAAGCTGTCTGGTTGGAGGAGGACCTCGTACATTGTGCCAGTCAGCTCAAAGAAGAAGGCGTAAACGTTCTTTTCACGCATTCGTGGATGTTTGACGACTCTCTTATGACAAAACTGACAGAGGTCATCGCTGCAGTCCCCACAATTGAGTGTGTTGTCACTTCACGCAAGCTGGACGATAGAATTCTCGCGAGCACCACACTACGTCAAAAAACGCTGATGTTCTTCTCCGCTGACTGGAATGACGAAGCTCCGTTTTATGTGTACGGGAGGTGACATGTCGCCAGCATCTCACTGACTGAAACTCACGCTAGAAAAACTGCACAGGTGCGAAAAGAGCTGCATTTACAATCTCCTTGCTACCGGACGCGTACTTATCTTGCCGTAAACTCAAAGCGCCAAGAAGCGCTTGCAAAACGCTACGTTTTCATTTCATGAAAGCTGGCTCTTTTTTTTTTCACAGTGAGTTCCTAACTCTCTTTGCTGCCGAACGGTCTTGTAGATATAGTCCTCACGCTTGAAGTTAAAAGATAAAGCCCGTGTCTGCAACGGTGATCAAGCACTACGGTTGTTACCTTAAACGTAAACCATATTGTCAACTTCACAGAAGCTGCTATATATATATACAATGTTGTAAATATTGTTGTGGAACTAGGGAAGCTCAGCCGCTTCTCTTATTATTCATCGACCTTTTAGCATGATGATGTTTTCTGAAAGCTCTGACCGAGACCAGTCACTAGCTGCTTTGTTTCTCTGCTTTCGATTTCTGAATACAACGGTGTTTGTGAAACGTTCTGCGGCCTCTGCTGCTGCATTTTCTGGCCAGTATCTGATCCTGTTTACTTGTATTTTGCTTCTCTTCTCATCTATGGATTAAACTCTCGTGCCTTTTTCTTTCCTCTTCATCTCTATCTCTCTTTGCTTTCCTGTCTCTCTTACGAATCTCACTTTTCGTAACGTCCGCGGTTATATTGTTTTTTTTTTTTCTGTATTGTCGCCGCGATGGATTTGTTCAAAGAAATCTTTGCGTCTCTTTTTATCACAGTATAAGCAATTCAGAAGTTGACGCTGTGTTTTTGATTCTTTTTATCTACTCCAGTTTAATCTAACTTTTCGAAAGTTGCATCCATGAGCACGACATATGATCCAGAAGAGCTGTCGATTGAGTTCGGCAGCGAGATTGACTCCCTCTTCGACGAAGAGGATGAAAATGAAGAGGAGTTTGTGTTTTCGAGCGAGTCGGTTCCGCTAGTGAAAGACTTGATGAAACGGCTACTGAAAACGTCGCGCATTCTAAAAGAGAAAGCCTCCGCGGTGGAAACTCAAATCACTGCTGCAGCCAGCGCGTCGGAAAACGATACCGTTCCTACACCAGCTGCCAGCAGCAGCGCTGCTATTGAGCAAGAGGCCGCAATACGACAGCTCGTCGAAGTGCAAGAACTCTACAGCTTTTTATGGGCTCGCCTGTTATGCGTTCTCGACGAAGAAAATGAACGTTGTTCTGACACGTATATGACCACATTGAACATGGAGGACCGTGTTCCTTTTGAGTCTCTAGCTCATGCGATTCATCACAACACCGTTTTCTGTGACCACATGGGCGAATTTGTCGGTTTCAATTTCGACCAACGGCTGGAACGCGACGAAACAGCAAGCATACCAGGACACCATCTTCTAATGGACTACTACAAGGCGATGATACGTACGCAGTCTACCGTCGCTCAGTGTTCGTTGTTAGTCGTGGAGGGCTCTCGTGAGAGCTTTTTAGACCCGATCTCCATGTACGACCTCTGCAAGACGTTAGCTACGGAAAAGAACCCTCGCAAACGACTTGTCCCGCTATCTCTAATGTTCAGTCTGCTTGATCAAGATGAACAAACCGTGGCCGAGGCATTAGCGCAGAACATGCCAAAGGTTCTGCTCCAGCGCTTTCGACATTGGGTCCACCAACTGTACGGGTACTTTCCACTGTATCGAGAGAGCGCACCCGTTTCACGAACTCAAAGAAAGTCGCCTCAACGGTATCGTTCTGCCGCGGTTGCAAGTGACCAAGACTCTCGTCCTTTGTCGCGGAGAAGCTCCCCCGGTCGATCTCCTGTGGCGTCGCAGCGCCATTCGCCAGTAAACCAGGCAGCGGAACACAGCAACGGGGTTCATGCCGCTGAAGCAGCCTCTATGATGCCAGACTCACCGCTTCCGCAGTCTACCGTGCCGTCATTCTCACCTGAGAAACCATCATTCGAAGAGAATTCGAGAAATACCCGCAAGCGAGAGCGCCGGAATCGAAGTCTCACCCCGCTGGTGTCAAAGCACGCCCGCCACGACCCATCGTTGTATCTTGACTTTTACCTAGACAATTGGGTTCCGAAAACTGGTGACCGAGTTGGGCGCGGGCCGGGCTGGAATAGCGGAGAACAAGGAAAGGGCTGTGATTACGGCGTGGTGGAAGGGTGCACAGAAAACGAACTCATTGTCCGTTGGGTTCTAAGTGCCGACTCCGCTGCGTCAGGCGACGAGGATCGGCTGTTTTTGTATCGGTTCGGCGCACCACATTACGAAGTCGTCAACTGGGAAACGTATTTGAGAGTGAAAACGAAAAGCACCTCGCAGGCGGACATTCGGCTGCTTGAGCTACTGCAAATCAGCGTTGTTGTGGGAATCTTGTGCCAGCAAAGTGATGCAATTCTGCCAGCCTTGCAATTCCAGACCATCGAATCGACGCTGAAAGTGCTGGACTCCATCGACGTCAGCGCGAGCAGCGCGGAGAACGAGCAGGCCAAGGAGACTTCCGAGCGCGCTATTCGTCAAACGCTCGCTGAGCACAACGTAGATGAGGCGACACTGGATGAAACAATGAAAACCCTTGCACAATGGGATGTCAACTTGATGGCAGTCAAGCGGCGCTACCGCATGGAAAGGGAAATGCTGGCGCGCATCGGGTGGGTTCTCAGTGCGATCCTTTCTCACAAAAAACTGGCCCTCCTGTTTTTAGATGCAGACGGTGTCAGTCGAATACTTCATCTTGTCGACGGCAAACTAGAAGCCTACACTACTTATGGCTGCGCGATTGTGTTGTCGCATTTGGCGAAAACAATTGTTTTCGAGGAGCTGCTGCGGCGGCAGCGGGAATACTTTGAGCCCATCATGGAGTTTATCATTGAACAATGGAGGCACACCACCAACAGTGACATTCAGAGCAGCGTGGGCGCTTTTCTCTTTCATTCGTTAAGCTTTCCCATTGTGGTGGACTATTTTGAAGCGCACAACGGCCCGGTCGAGTCCATTGAAGCCTTGGAAAAGTGCCTGAAGGACTCAGAAGAGCAGTTCGACGTTCTGCACAGTGACCTGCTCCTCGCTTTGCTGCGCTGCATTAACATTTACCTAGTGACGCACCTCATGCTGTCGACTAAGGTCATCTTCCGCAAGCATCGTGTCCTCTCCTCCCTAGTAACGCAAGCATCGCGAACTATGTCGCTGCCGCGCGACCCGCCTACTGTAGATGCTATATTGGGTTTTCTAGCCGCACCCTCTCCTGGTCTTCCTGGCATGTCAGCGGAGAATGTGCAAAGCCTTCTCACGCCGGAGCGTCTGGGTGCGATCCAGAAGCTCGTTGACAAAGGCATGCACACACTGCTGCTCCGCTGCGCCAATTTCTTCTTTGTCCAAAGCCGATGGGACTTGCTGGTCGCTTCGTTGCAAGCGCTCTGTGCGTTGACGGTGATTCCGTACGTGCGGCCGCTGATTGTGGAGGTGCGCTCACACGAATCAGGGATCGCACAGCTTTTGGCGATCGTTAATGATCTAGCGGCAGCGTACCACAACCGCAACACGTCTCGCGAAGCACACCTCCTTCCGTGTGTCGTAGCAGTGCTGCAGATCCTCATCCATGTCACCAATCCACCAGTGGATATGGCAGACGAGAGCGCAGTGGCCAACTTCAACAACGCATGCGGCGCGTTTCGTGCCAGCGATGGCATTCGCGCCCTCTTGGAGTTGCTCAAGATTCGCAAGGACGCTTCAATGTCCGCCAAACTCAATTACTTTCCCGTTATTGCGCGAGCTGTGCAGCTGATGGTCGTGCTGCGGCGCTACAGCGACACGAGCGCGCTCTTTGAGGCGCTGAACATACACACTCTGGCACAAGATCTTCTGGCACAGTATGGCAATGCGCAGCGCGAGTTTATCTCCGTCGTGGGCGCCCGCAAGCTTCCCACCGATCTCGGGCCTGCAGGTCACTTCATGGACAACCTGAAGTGCTTCATGCCGAGCGCGTTTGGTGGTGCAAACCAGGCCGATGTCGTGAAGGTTCACACCGTTGACCCGCTAGAGATTGAGCAGCGCCAAGCCATCATCGGTCGCGCAGTAGTGGACTACTCGAAGGAGTCGCTTTTGGAGCTCATTGCGGACCACCTGGACAGTGAGGGTCTCATCTCGGCCGCGACTGCGCTCCGGCAGGAGGGAAACATCAAGCCACCCGCCGTGATTGGGACTGCCAGCGTAGACGGGGCAGCCACATCCATGTCTATCAGTGACGCGACCGTCAAAGGGCCTAGCCCTTCACTTGACGGCGTCATCCGGTCCTACTTGCGTCAGCAGCAGGAGCGCTGCCCGAATCCCATCGAAACGCTTCCTCAGTTTGACCTCACAAAGAAACACGTGTACCTACCGCCCCCGACCCCGCTCGATGACACGCGAAACGAATTCAATCGTTGCCTGCAGCACCGCTCGGGTGGCAAGATCACCTTGCGCACGCAAACCAACGCCAACTGGCTCACGTACCGCTACCCGGCGTTCATGTTCGACATCACCGGCAGCGGCGACGAGCTGCAGGGAGAGAGCGTCGGCTTCTGCGACAACGGCGACGCCATCGTCATTGGCACCTCCGAAGGCGCAGTGGCGCTCTTTGACACGTTCCCCGAGGAGTCCACGGATGAGAAGCTTCTCGAGCAACACCTCGTGTTTGAGAACGAAGCCGTCGCCTCGCTTGTCGTGTCGGACGACGGGAGCCTGATTGCGGCAGTGAACGATACGCATAAAGTCCACGTGATGCGCCGTTCTCTTTTGCCTGTGCCCCAGCAGGAGCTCACGGCGTGCCGCACACTGCGCTTCTCGCACAACAATCAACTAGCTGTGATCACATGTGAGCAAGAGCACACCTGTCGCGTCCACGATCTCGTGGCGGGAGTGGAGCTGCGCACCTTTTCCGACCACATGTACACGGGTGAGAACCTCACAAACGTGGCACTCTTCGACAGTACCTCGCAGCTTGTCCTGAATGACGCGATTCTATGGGACCTGCGGGCACCGGAGAAGCCAGTCTTCCGTTTTGATCGCATTACGGAGTCGTTTGCCAGTATTTTCCACCCAAGTCAGCCGATGGTTGTCATCGACGAGCGAGTGTGGGATATGCGCACGTGGCGCATGATGCAAACGGTGCCGACATTTCAAAAAACAACCAGCTTTCACTGCACCAAGGCGGGTCGTGTGTTGTACAGCTTCCGCGAAGCGTCGCGCTCCAATGGGACGCTGCTCCCCATTGTCTCCGCCGTCGACAGCTACACCTTGGATAGCATCTTTTCCGAAGAGGTGCGGCCAGCCTTCAAGGCGTTTGCGGTTGATCCGTCCGATCGATACTGTGCCGCCATCCTTGACCAGGACATCGAGTCCGTGATCCGTCTCTTTAGCCTGTCCGCTGGGCCGTATCCCGACCACGGCGCCTTTGCCTCTCCGGCGGTGCAGGAGGAACACGAAAGCTCGCTCGCCGACGACGAAGAGGAGGAGATGGGGCAGTGGTCAATGGACGACGACGACTACGACATTGGCAGCTCCTCGGACACCAACGACACATCGGAGGAAGACGAGGACGAGGACGACACTTCCGCATCGGAGGAGACAGAGGAAGAGGAAGGCGATGACGACGATGATAATGGGAGCTCCCAGGAGGAGGAGGAGGAAGAAGAAGAGGACGAGGACGAGGAGGAAGAGGAGGAAGACGACGAAGACTTTGCAACCCCGTCGGATTCGACAGCGCAAGATGAAGGTGCGCAGGGTGGATCTTCCGCGCCCCCGGAACAGGACGGGTCGCCTTCTGGCGTGACATAAAAGAAGAACGGTACTGTGAATTTGCTCGAAACACGTGTCATGTTTATTTACCACGGCGCATCTTGTGTGTGTGTGTTTTTTCTTCTAAGTAAACATAAAACATCATAGAGAGAAAATTGTAACGAGCACGTGCCCCAAAAACTAACCTACTTTTCTGTTTCATTGTCAGCGACAGCAGGAGGTGATTTCAGGAGCATTTTCACAAGAGAGGACTTCGAAATGGAAAAATGCTGTAAACTTCACACACACACTAAAAGCAGCTGTCGTTTCTTCTTTTCAACTATTCCCTCTTCGCTCACCCGCGCAAATCCGCTCGGGCAGAAAACCTATCGAACATCGTTTTTAAGAACATTATATATACATCAAAAACACGCACAATCTCTCTCTTATTATATTTTTTATTTAAGCCATGTTCCAAAAACTGCAAGTTGTTGAAAAGGGGAAGGACTTCGAGCGTTGCACGAAGATCAACTCGTACCCAATTCCAGACCATGTCGAGGAGGGCTACGTGCTGGTGCGCAACCACTACGCCGGGGTCAACGCCACCGACCTCACCTCCACGCAAAACGTATATGGGCCGCAGTATACGGTGCCTTACGACTTCGGCCTCGAGGCCGTCGGCGAGGTGGTGCTGCTCGGCGAGGGCGTGCAGCACCTCACCGTCGGGGACCCGGTGGCCGTTTACTGGCCTGGCGGCTACGCGGAGTACCAAGTAGCGCCCGCCACGGTGTGCCAACGCATTCCTCGGCTTGACCCGATCTACTTGACTGTAAATGTAAGTGGACTGACGGCCGCCGTCGCCCTTGGCGAAGTCGCCCAGCCGAAGCCGTCCGATACGGCGCTCGTCACGGCCGCGGCGGGTGGCACCGGCAGCATTGCGGTGCAGCTCCTCAAGAAGAAGTACAAGTGCAAGTGTGTGGTGGGCACCTGCAGTACGCCAGAGAAGGCGGACTACCTGGTCAGCATCGGCTGTGACAAGGTGATCAACTACAAAGTTTCAGAGGAAGAACTGGCAGCTGAGATGGATCGTGCCGCCCCGCACGGCTTCGATGTAGTGTACGAGTGCGTCGGCGGTACGCTGCAACGACTTGCGGTGCAACACCTCGCCGTGCGTGGCCGCATCGTGTTTATTGGTGGAATCAGCGGCTACGCGGACGGCACCGCGTGGCAATGCTCTACGGACACAGTGGATGAGCGCAGCACGGAATATGCGATGCTGCACAAAAATTTTCTGCTGCTGCGCAGTGCGTCGGCGATGGGCTTCATGCTGCCGACGTATCGCGAGGTGATCCCAACGTACTTCGCGGACCTGGTGCGTATGCTGGACGCCGGTGAACTGCACGTGCGGCTTGACCCGAATGGACAAAAGGAAGGGCTACAGCACGTCAAGGAGGCAGTGGACTACCTGAGCTCTGGCAAGAGTTACGGTAAAAACACGGTTCGGCTTGTTTAGCGTATTTTCGTAAATTTTTTCAACCCACACACGACGAAAAACACATGATAGCAGTCGCATCCATTCCTTTTTGTGGGTGCGTTTCTGTTCACAACGGTATTGACATTGCTTTTATTTTGAATTGTTTTTCCCCACTTTTCTTTTCCTTTTCTCTTCTCCCATCTTCATGTGCTCTTCGGTAGTGATCGATTTGCTTGCACAGGTATTAGTGTGCTGCTCTTATATTTTTTTCGACGTTTACGTCCGTGTTTGTCAACTTCTTTGAAGCGTGCGCTTTTACTGCGGTGTCAACAGAAAAGGAAATGGCAACGATGTCCGCCTCGATTCTCCCTTTCCATCCTGTTTAGTTCACATAGCGGCTTTTCTAGAATCAACGACTGCGCCTGCGATATGGTGGTTGTTCCTGTTGTTGGCAGGATACACGCTACAAAAAATTATATTTTAATGCTTGATGAGACACTCGTACCGCCGGGGCTTTTGATGCATATGTCATTAGAGCTGTGTCAGCGTCTCTTCTACACCAGTTCACCACGGCACCCTCCCTCTCCCCTGTCTCAACTGATTTCTGCATCTTTTCTCTTTTCTCTTCTTCCGCGTGTCCCCTGCAGCCGCCCCCGCGACAGGCTTTGTAAATGTCGATTGACAGAATAAAAGTTGCACACAAGGGAAAGCAAAAACCGGTCAAAAGCGCGGTAAAAACAAAACTCAGAAGCGATGTCGGCGCGCAACGAAGAGAGAAAATCAACAACAAACGTGCCGCTGCTTCCGCAGAGAACGGTGCACGGCCCCTTTGCCTAGGAAATGACGTGGATGAGGAGCACATCACCGCCTGGTCCACCGACACGGCTGCGCACTGTTGGGTTCCGCAATGCGCTGCGAAAGGGAAAGACGCTCGTGGTGCTAAGAGCCCATGTGATCGGTTTGACATTGCTGGGACCACCAATGTAAATGAGCTCGTACTTCGCCACGGGACGATGCCTTCCACCGACTTGCGAACGTCTCGACGGCCTGTCCTGTTCCAAAAAGTATCGCATCACGGTGCTGCACAGAAGAATGCAAAACAGCAGCGATCCACACAGCTTTTGAATTCTCTATTTGTGCTCGATCGCTACCTCTCCAACCTGGTGCGCGCGCTGGTGCACCCTCTTCACAACTTTCTTCAATGCCACCACGGTCTGCACAACGCGGACGAGGTGCAGGTGATGCTCATGCCAAAAGACGGCCCTGTTGCGGCAGCGGATCGCGCTGTCGAGTCAGACCTCACCTCATCAACGCCGCGCAAGGTCACCAACAGCTCCACCTTGCGGCGTTGCTACGTGGCGACAAACAACGAGACGCTCAGCGAGGCTAGCTTGCGCAATGCAGTGCAGGACTGGGGCGTGGCAGGTGTGTTTCAAATCTCCGAGTTTGTTCTCGTTCGTGGCGCCAAAGGCCAGCACGCGGAGCAGAAGTTGCTGGAGTACCTACGCACCTGCATCCTTTCCACGACGGTGCTCCACGTAAACGATGCTGCTTTAACAGCCGATCAGAAAGCGCTAGTTGTTGGGGAGCGTCTGCCGTGTGTGGCGTGCCGGCTGTTCGCCATTCCCTACGAGGACGTATCCGTACTGCTGCCCTCGCATGGCCACATGTACCTCTCCACCATCTCACCCTCTCTAATGGCTCTCAAGGCTAGTATAACAACCACGGAGAAGAGCAAGGATGTTGTCAGGTGCGCCTACGGGAACCCCATTGTGGCTGCCAAGCTGCTCCTTGCTGCGGGTCATCGGCGAGTGCTTCGATGAGAGCAGACGAGGCTGCAAGCAGTGTGTATGACTACTGCTTTCCTAAAGCTACTTAAGTGCAACACAGCGACGGGGAAAAAAAAAATAATGGTGCGATAGTGCTGGAGAAAGGGAGACGCTCGCAGTAACAGTTACAATCGCGCTGTTTGCGACACCATTTGTCTGGTCTCGATTTCTTTCTCGCATACTCATGTAGCCTCTTTTTTTGTGTGTGGTTGTGGTTATTGTGAACTACGTACTGGCATGTTGCGGCTTTTACTGCGCCGCACGATAAACAGCACCCACGAATTGTCAAAGTCACCACGAGTGCAACATGGCATCGTCGACGTCTTTCTTCTAGGGTGGAAAGCGACAATTGTGAATCCACCGCAAGCAGAACCGTGGTCGTACAGACTACATTCATTCAACCCGTTTTTTCTCTTTATCTTTACGAACCGCCTCCATCGTCACAGAGATGCGGTGTGCGCTCTTCTCTTTGACAGGAAATTAACAGCATAGAATTAAACACAGAGAAAAAATGACAGACAGGTCTGCCGAGCGCAGAGTGGAGACGACGCTGACCCGCGTTGGCCGCTGCAGCGAGGAGCAGTACGGCTTCATCAACGCTCCCATCTACCGCGGCTCCACCACCCTCTACAGAACCTTCGATGACGCCATGAACGCGCGTGCCCCTTTCATGTATGGCACGCACGGCAACCCCACCGTGGCCCATCTACAGAGCGCGTGGACGGCGCTGACGGGTGGGGCGGGGACGGTGATCTTGTCCTCCGGCATGGCGGCCGTTTCCTTTGTGCTGCTCGCCGTCGCGAAGTCAGGTGACAACGTCCTCGTCATGGACACCGCCTACATGCCAACGCGGCGCTTCTGTGATGAGTTCCTGCGCGACATGGGCATCACCACCACCTACTACGACCCCCTCATCACCGCGGAGGAGCTGCGCTCGTTGCTGACAAAGATGCCCAAGACGACCGCGCTCATTATGGAGTCTCCCGGATCGCAGACGTTTGAGGTTCAAGACGTTCCCACCCTCACGACGGTCGCGAGAGAGTTTGGCGTGACCAGCGTGCTCGACAACACGTGGGCCACCCCGCTCTTCTTTGACGCACACGGCAAAGGCTGCGACATCTCTGTGGAGGCAGGCACGAAGTACCTCGGCGGGCATTCCGACCTCCTCCTTGGCATGGTCTCTGCGAATGCGGCGTGGTACCCAAAGATCAAGCACACCCTCTCGCTGTGGCAGTGCACGCCGGGTAACGAGGACTGCTTCCTGGCGCTGCGTGGGCTGCGCACCTTGTACATCCGCCTTAAGGAGGCTGAGAAACGCGCGCTGGACCTCGCACAGTTCCTGCAGAACCGCGAGGAGGTGCTGCGTGTGCTTCACCCTGCCTTTCCCGAATGCCCGGGTCACGAGATCTGGAAGCGCGACTTCACCGGATCTTCCGGGCTTTTCTCCATCATTCTTCGTCCCCAATACACCCTGAAGGACGTGGAAAGGATGTTGGATGGGCTGCAGCTCTTTGGAATGGGCTTTTCCTGGGGCGGGTTTGAGAGCCTTATCATGTACTACGACTGCACAGCCAACCGCACCGCTACCACGTTTGCTCCTGGTGGTCTGCTCATTCGCATTCAGGTGGGCCTTGAAAACTTGGAAGATCTCAAGAGAGACCTCGTCGATGGTTTCAAGCGCCTTCGTGGTGAGCACCAACACTAATGAGAAGTAATGTTTTTTCTCTCGTTTCAATACGAACTATGAAGGAGTGCAACGCATGTGCTTGCGACTCCACTATTTTCTGGTCATTTTCCAACCCATCCCCATCCCCCAATATTCGCCGACAAGTCTATTTTGCGGTTTGCACGCAGTGTGCTTTCCAAACGAGGCTCCTTCATTCTTGCTGGTGCTGACGTGGGAAGCCAGTGGTACTATTATGGAAACGTAAGTCGATAGCGCGTTGGTACATGCGCATTTAAAGCACACCGGTAAGTTGTTCATTTCATTTTTTCCTTTTCTTTCTTCTCTACTATCACAGTGGCGAGGTATCTCCCACACATCGTCGAATATATCGGGGAAAAAGCTTCACCGCTATCAAATCTTAACTAGGTGTACGCAAGAGCCAGGTATTTCTTTCTGGGGCAGTCGACGGCTTGTCTGCAAGCTCTCTTGTGTGTGTGCGCCGTATCTGTGATGCGGTTTTGTTTTGTTTTGTTCTTCCAATGCGCTTTGAATGGCGGAACACGAATGACGGACGCAGACCCGTGCACGTCAACTTTTTCGGGGGGCGTGTCTCATGGATGCTTCGCTGACCGTGGTGGGTGAGAAGGGTCACGATTGTTCTTGATCTCTTTTTGCTGCTTCTCTCTTCCTATTTTTTTTCCCTTCGCTTTCCTCTATCTCCCTTTTCATGCAGAATTCAACTACACCAGAAATTAGTGTTCGGTTTGTGTACAACAGCCACAGCAGCAACATCAACGAAGAGCTGGCAGAAATGGAACTCCTTCCAAAGTATCTCAATGAGCTGCAGGACTCAAACAAGATGAAGCGATGTGCAGCCTACAAGAGGGTGCACGAGCTAGTCGGGTCTGGCAAAGACGAGCTTACGGAGGACGACGAGTTCTCCATCATCCGGGCGTGCCTCAAAGGTTTCGAGGACTCCTCTGAGCGCGCACGCGAGGAGGCGGTGCGCATCACGACGGAGCTCCTCTCGGATCAGAACGCCAATGTACTCGACTGGGTGCTCCCCTCCGTTGTCACCCGCATCGGCATCGTACCTGTAGCGGAGGAGAGCGAAGAAATCAGGCTCCTTCTTCTCCGCTTAGGCACAACGTGCATGACGTGCTTTCCGCACGACATCGGGCCACGCAACTACATCGACTTTTTCCAGGTGCTGTTAGAAAACTGCTTCCGCGATCCGTTCCCGGACCTCAAGAAGGAGGCTTGCAAGGCGGCGTGTCAGCTCTGTGCGATCGAGCCGAAGCAGGTCAAGGCGATTACCGTCCCTTTGGCCAAGGCGGTGAAAAGCGCATGTCTGATGCACAAGCACAGCGCCGTGCGCGCCGAGGCGGCCAACACGCTCGCGGTGCTTTTTCGCTGCGGCGCGTCGGAGGTGCTGAAGGACGGCAAGGACGAAGCCGAAAACCGCACCACGGCGTCGGAACTCTTCGTCCTCTGCAACGACCACAGCGAGCCGGTTCGTCTCGCGGTCCTCGATATTCTCTCATGTGCGCTGCTGGACATTAAGGAACGCGTAGAGATGCACCCCAAGTACCTACCGCATCTGCTGTTGCTGGTGACGGACCCCTTTGACGCTGTGCGGGCGCGGGCACGTGAAATTCTGGAGCGAGTCGGTCAACTGTACTTGATGGACAACGAGGACAACCGCATCGACATGGCGAGTCGGCGCGTGACGATGAAAGACATTGAGTGGTACGGGGACGACGAGTACCCCTCCATGGCCCTCACCTCCGCCGCCGCGCACAAGTACGACCTCTTTGCCTCCCGCCCCAGTCTCGGCGCCCGTTACGTCGTGGCCGACTCCGTCCGTGCGTTTCTGGACCGCATTCTCGCCGATGTCACGGCAGTCGACTGGGTCATTCCCTTCTCCACAAACAACCGCAAGGTGGTGGCGCTGAAGCTTTTGTGGACGACGATCTATTTTTGTGAGAAGTCCAGCGTGCAGTTCACGGAGCGGGTGCTGAGTGCGGTGTACAAGGCGTTTGCCGATGAGCTGCCCGCGGTGAAGGATGAAGCCGCGTTGTGCATTGAAGTGCTGGGGAAGTTTCTCGTGCCCGATCAGTACCTTCCGTTCTTAATTGCGAAGCCGCAAGCCGCAAGCCCGGCCGCCGCTGCTGCCACCTCTTCCACCACCGGCGCAGCGGATGCGACGTACGAGGACACCGCCATCGTGCAGAAGTCGCGTAACAAGACGGTTATCTTGACGTCGGTGGAGGAGGTGGCTGGTCCGGCGCCAACGCTCTTCTCCACTGCAGCGGTCACGGTGAAGTGCTCCATCTTGCGTACATTGACCTTTTTAATCGCGGGCTCGAAGGACAAGCTGACTGGCGTGCACGCCACTCGCATTACGCAGGCCGTCACGGCGAACGATTTGGTCGAATGCGAGAATGAGCCGCTGCTGCTCGCCCTCCTCGACACCATGCAGCACATCTTTCTTGTCTTTGTAGAAAAGGGCTTCATGGCGTCTCCGCAGCAGCCCCTTCCCGAGAGCATCCTCAACGATGCAAAGCAACGGACGCTGGACTCGATTGCCCTCTACGCGCTTCTGCGTATCAAGAGCGCGGACATTCCCTCCGTGCAGGTGAAAGCGAGCGACGCCATCGCAGCGCTCTCCTCGGTCGTGACGGGCTCGGCAACGGGCATCTACACGCTCCACGTCGCGCGGCTTCTGACCCGCTACGGGGCCGGCATGCCCGTCAGCGCTTTCAGCGATCTCGTCCTTAACGCCGAAAGCGTCTCGACACTCGGGGGCGTGCTGGCCAACATTTTCGTGTCGCGGCTGGCGGAGATCAACTTTGCCGTCAAGGTGACCGAGGAGCTGCGCTACCTTACCGTACTGGAGAGACTGCTGTGGAACAAAACGGTTGCTTTCCAGCCTAGTGAGGTGCAAGAGCTTCTTCGGGCCATCATTCTGCCGCTGGCCACCTTTCAGCCCGGTAACACGGCTCATCTTTTTCGAAAAGTGGCGGTCAATTGTCTGTGCGCGGTGGTGGACCCCTCCTACCGCGACGCGCTGCAACCGCAGCTGGAGGAGAGCAACTGTGCGCTCTCCATCAAGCTCATTAACGCGTGGTGCTCCGCTTCTGACGCCGACGATGGCGAGATGCGCCTTGTGTGCATGTCCGTGCTGCACAACGTCAGTGCCCTGCCCATGGTGACGGGGTCTGCGCACGAGATTGCGCAGTCGGTTCTTCTGCGCTTTGACGACTCGAATGAACTTGTTCGTCTTCGAACCAGTGCAGAGCTGCTGAAGACCCTGGAGAGCTCTTCGTCGGGGACTTCACCCTTTGTGCTCGACGAGGTCTCCTCGCAGATGGTGCCGCTCGTAAAGAAGATGTTGATCTATCTGGATGACACGGAGGAGTCGGTGGGCATTCGACCTGTGTTGACCGCAGTGTTGAAGAAGCTGGGTGACATCTCGCCGAACATCGTGGTGGACCTAACCCGATCAGCGCTGGAGCGGCACGAGGAGAAGCAGTACTGTAGGGATATTCTGCAGTACCTAGAAGCCAAGTATTGAATAAGCAGCCTACTTTGCCCACGCGTTGTTCTTTATTTTTTCTACAGGGTTCGTTTTTAAAGTGGTTGGAGTGCTTGTGTTTTTCTCTTGTTTTGTCTCTCCGTCTGTCTGATGTATATACGCACTTCAACGGAGTCAACTCTCTCTATCTTTTTCCTTATATTGCCTAGATTGTGAAAACAACCTACACCTGCGAATAGCGCCATCGCATCTTGGCCTTCGCCATCAGCAGACTGTTCTCTAACGTAACCATCTCTCTTTCGTCGCACCGCGTCTTGAGTGTCTACTGTGTTTGAGACAGCTTTGCGCAAACCTCTTGAAGGTCCGCTTGTGCTTCCAACTCCCTCCCCCTCCTCTTCCTCCTCCTCGCCCGACTCCTCACTTCTGCCCAAATAGGTTTCAGCACACGCGCTTTGTCGTTCACCCTTTGTTACTATTTTTTCCTGTATAACGCAGCTTCAGCAGCTGCGAGTAACGATGCTCAGCCGCACCTTCCTCTGCGCTCAGCGCAAGATCCCGTTCTACCCCATCAATGCGAAAAACCCGCAAGTTTTTTTCGACCTCTCGATCGGCTCGCAGCCGGCGGGTCGGGTGGAGATGGAGCTCTTCAAGGATGTGGTGCCTAAGACGGCCGAGAACTTCCGTGCCCTGTGCACCGGTGAGAAGGGCGTCGGCCGCTCCGGCAAGCCGCTGTGGTACAAGGGTAGCCGCTTCCACCGCGTGATCCCGCAGTTCATGTGCCAGGGCGGCGACTTCACCGCCGGCAACGGCACGGGCGGCGAGTCCATCTACGGGCACAAATTCCCCGATGAGTCCTTCGCTGGACGCGCGGGGAAGCACTTTGGTGCGGGTACGCTGTCGATGGCCAACGCTGGCCCCAACACGAACGGCTCGCAGTTTTTCATCTGCACCGCTAACACGGACTGGCTGGACGGCAAGCACGTCGTGTTCGGTCAAGTCACGAAGGGCTACGACGTGATCCAGAAGGTAGAGATGCAGGGCAGCCAGAGCGGTTCCACCCGTCAGCCGATCACGGTCACGAACTGTGGCGAGATCAAGTCGGAGTAAGAAACTCAGGAAAGGTATGCATTTTACGCTTTCATTCTTCTCTGGTTTGTCGAGCAGGACGTTCTCTCTCTCTCTTCCTATTTTTTTTCACTATCATGGTCTTTATATATATATAATGAGTAAACGCGTGTGAAGCAGCAAAGGTTACTCGATCGACTTTATCCCCTTTGTTTTTAGTACTTCGACAATTTTGCTTCTTAGCACCGTTAACAGAATTTAGTATCCCGATTTTTCTGTCATCTCCGTTTTCCTCCTCTGGTGAGGAGGTGGGATGGAGCGCTGATTCAGGTGGCCAATACACACATCTAAACCCAAACTTGGTGAAAACGGCAAACAAAGAGAGAGAGATGGCAGATGTGGATGGCCTAGTGTGCGGCAAAGAGCTCGGCCTGTGTCGATGAGCTGACGAAGAGCACACGGTTAGGATCCAGTATGTTGAGGGAGCAAGACGGTACGCAGACACTGGCGCAGAGCTACCTTCTTTCTCTTCGATTTCTGTTTCCCAGCGGGCGTAGAGGTGACTATAATGTCGGCCTCGCGGACTTTAGAGCAACCCCTCATCAAAGTACCACGACTGATTCGCTTTCTTCCCTGTCAGCTGATCATTTCCCTTTCCTCGGCAACTCACCAAGCTCTTTTACCTGTTTGTTTGAAAACATTTCTTTTCTCTTCCCACCCTCTCCTTCATAAATCAACTCTGCAGACGCGTTGCGCCGCAGCAATGGAAAAAGACGCCATTGCAGAGCGCACCAACGTTGAAGTTGCCGCGGAGCACGTAACGGAGGCAAAGCAGCTTCTTGTAGAACTCGACCGCCGCAAGAATCAATACCGCGAAGCCCAGCGAAAGATTCTCAACACTCGCCCCGAGGACGACCTTTGGATTCTTAGCGGCGGCTCCACCTTCGTTTCATGCGAGTTGAGTCACGCCGACACGCTGAAGTACTTCGAATGGCGTCTGCAGCAGTGCGACAACGATATCGAAGAGGCACGCGAGGATCTTAAGCTGAAGGTAGCCGCTTTAGCCGAGTTGGAAGGACCCGACAGCGCTTTGAACCGCCTGTATGAGGGCTTCAATCTGAAGGCGGTGTGATGTCGTGCTTGCGTGAGTGGAAGGAGCATTGCCATTCGGGGGGAGGTTGTGGGTTATCCACTAAGCGGAATTGTCAGTTGTAACTGCTTTACCCATAATAAAAGTGGGTTTTTTTAAAGTAGCTGTACGCTCTACTGCGTCCCTCGAGCTAAGGAATGCGCTCGTGAGGTAGAGAAGAATTTTCAGAAACTGCACGTTTATTGGCGTCGAATGGCGTACGTGGAAGTGCTAGAGCGCCTCTTGATGCTTTCTTGTTGTTGTTTTGTTTCTGAGCCGGAGTGGATCGTCAGCATCTCTACGCTTCCTCGGCCGTTCTCTCCGTTGTGCAAGCGATTCGGCTGCGCCAGAGCAGTCATCGCCTGCGTCGCCCTCTCAAATCTCCTCCTCGTTTAAACAAACCCCACTTTGCGCCCCTCAACCATCGCCTTTTCTTTTCAGTAACTATCGGCCTTTTCATGTCTTTCTAGAATTCCTTCTTTTTAAAAATGACGTTTCAATTTCAACGTGCGGCGGAGCTGCTCTTTACGTCGCAGTACCTCCTGCAGTTTGACGACACCATTAAATTCAAACTGGTCCGCGAAAGCCGCCGCGGCACTCTTCAGATATCCCCCGTCAACGTCCCTCCTTTCAGCTACACCACGATTGATTTCGTCGACGTGCCGGATCGCAAAGACAAAGTTCCCGCCACAGAGCCACTGACCGTGTCATGGGCGGTGAACACGGCGTTTCTCACCAACGTACTGAGCTGCTTCGACCCGCAGACTCCGCTGGCGATGGAGACGGCCAGCGACCTGGCATACGTCCTTCTGTACCAGAAGAAAGCCGATAACGCCAGCGTGCAAGTGGTGCAGGTAGGAGTGCTACACGATCTAGGACCGCAGCTCCTTGTCGACCACGACGTGCGAGAGCTGTACACCATCGCGGACATACGCGGGTTTAACGACGTCATCCGCGCTGTGTGCGCCAGCGACGACGACCGCTGCGACGTCTTCCTGCAGCGCACCTCCTCGCGTGAGTGTGAGATCGGCATGAAGACGAGCGGCGTCACGTCCTCGCTGAAGGTTTTGTTAGACGAAGGGCAGAGTGCCACGAAGCACCTGGAGGGCTCTGCGCGCTGCGATGACCTGCAGGAATTTGCACGTTTGTCTGTCCGCATGGCCAAGGGGTCGCAGAGTGCGTCCCTCATGATGGGGTTTGGCTCTGACGGCATCGCGCTGTTTCGCTTAGAGTGGATCACCGAATATGGTCTTCGCACCGCAGATCTGTTCTTCTGCGCGGCATAGAGTTCCCCACTTTTTTCATTTGCTCTTTTTTGTTGTTGTTTTCCCTTGTACCACCTTTACTCGTTGTTCCGCTTCAACGCCTTGTTGCGCCCCTCTACCACTCCAGAACTTAAATATATATGTGTGCATTGTAGTTTAAATGCTACGCTGCGCGAGCTACGCTGGCCTGGCTCAAGCAGCGAGCACCACCACGTCACCGCTTACGGAAGTGCATGCGCCACTCAAGTTTACTTCCCCTCTGTTTTTATGAACGTTCTCTATCACACCAACAAACAAGACAAAAACTGTTTTTCGGGGCAGGATGCAGCCACTGCTTTTCATCTTCCCTGATCTTTCTTTTCCTCCCCCTATGCTATTCCTCTTCTCTGTTTCTCCGATCTGTCTTTCTCCAACTTTTAGAAACCATTAATAGTGAGAGAGCATGCAGGGATCGTCGCTTAACTCGCAGCTTGGCGAGACCCACGGAGTGGTAGTCTACCACGCCGCATCTCTCGCCCCTGTTACGCTGCGTGCTGTGTTCAACAAGTACGGCAAGTCCAGCATTGTTCACACCTACGTGCTGCAGGACGGCAACTACGCCACCGTCGTCTTCTTTGCAGAGTCGAGCAGCAACGTGTCCTGCTACGTATCCCTCAGTCTACTCGCACAGGAGTCAAGCACGCTCGGGATTGTCAGCGTGGGCTGGATGCACGAGAACGGTGAGGAGGCTTTTGCGAAGCAGCCGTACATTAAGAGCAAGTACGTTGAAGGTGCGGCGTCTCCTTCGACCAGTCCGCCAGCGACGTTGATCGAGGGGTATTTGGCGGTTTATTGGAAGGGTGTCGCGGAGGTGGAGCGCGCGGATGTTGCGCGCATGGCGCATCGGGCCGCGAGTGAGGTCTTGGAAGACGAAAAGGAGGGTGGTCGCTCGTTTTTGCGGTTCCCTTCCGAAGACATGGCAGACGCGTTTCACTCTTATGTGGTGTCGAAGTACCCCTCTTTGCGGCGGTGCCTTTCCTACGCCGATGCGACGGATTTCGCGTTGGCGAAGAAAAGCGCGTGACCGGTGATAAATCAAATATGTCACACGTATAAAAGGAAGAAGAAAGACAGTAGAAACCGTACCTGGACAAGTCCAAGCGTGACAGCTTCGAGCACGGCTTGCGTTAGGCAGCTATTTTTTTTTTAATTTTTCTTTTGTCTTCTCGTTGGACGTGCTCTTCCTTCTTGATAGGAAGGAAGGGCACTTTCACGTACGATTGCTTCCCTCGTAATGCGCATGCCCTCGTCACCAACAACCTCTGCTATCCTAACCTCTTCATTTTGTTTTCTTTTCCGGGCATTTGCGGTACGTTTGTGTCTCGGGACGCGTTCTTCGTGGGGTTTTCCATAGCAAGGTACTTTTGTTCTTTAAAGGAACTCGTCCGTTATAACAAATGGGGAAGCACCGCGTGGCTTTGGTGTCAGACTTCTTCTTCCCCGGTTTCGGTGGAGTGGAGGTGCACATCTACAACGTCGCCTTGTGTCTCATGCGTCGTGGGCACAAGGTGATCATCATCACCCGCGCCTACGGCGATCGAGTCGGCATTCGCTACTACACAAACGGACTGAAGGTGTACTACCTGCCCATGCTCGCCGCAAAGCTTCCGCCGGGGTCCGTGACGCTGCCGACGTGGCTCGGTGCTTTTCCGCTGCTCCGCACCATTTACCTTCGCGAACGCATCACCGTCGTGCACGGTCACCAGACAACGTCGAACCTGTGCCACGAGGCAATGTTCCACGCCGGCACCATGGGCATCAAGACGTGCTTCACCGATCACTCCCTCTTCGGCTTCGCCGACGCCGCGTCCATCAACATCAACAAAGTCCTCGTCTGGAGCCTGCGCACGGTGGACCAGGTGATTTGCGTCAGCTACACGTCGCGCGAGAACACGGTGCTGCGGGCCCGCATCGCACCGCAGCGCGCCAGCGTCATCCCAAACGCCACCGACACCTCTGCCTTTACCCCGCCGGACGACCTCAAGTACAAGTCGTGGGCCTCGAAGATCGATAAGGACGGGCTCACCATTGTCGTCATCACTCGTCTTGTGTACCGCAAAGGCGCGGATCTCTTCGTGGACGTCATTCCAGAGATTTGTAAGCGGCACCCCGAGATTAAGTGGGTCATCGGCGGCGACGGGCCACGGCGCTCGCAGCTAGAGCAAATGATCGAGCGACACAACCTGCTAGACCGCGTGAAGATGCTTGGGGCGCTGAAGCACTCCGACGTAAAGAGCGTCCTGAACCAGGGTCAGATCTTCTTAAACTGCAGTCTAACAGAGGCGTTTTGTATTGCCCTCATTGAGGCTGCCTGCTGCGGACTCCTGTGTGTCTCGACAAAGGTAGGCGGGGTGCCGGAGGTGCTGCCGTCCCCCATGCTGCTCCTCGCCGAGCCCGACCCGTCCTCGATTATCGACGCTCTAGAGAAGGCCATCAGCGACGTGCCGCACCACTCGCCGTGGAACTTGCACGACAACTGCAAGCAGTTTTACAGCTGGGACTGGGTGGCGGAGCGCACGGAGCGGGTGTATGACCGCATTTCGGAGATGCCGCCGCTGTCCCTGTATCAGCGCCTCATGAACTTCGCTTCGGTGGGGCCGCTGTTTGGGCTGGTGTGTTGGATGCTGTGTGCGCTGGATTGGGTCTTGTACAAGCTAATGGAGTACTGGATCCCCACGGAGACGATCGACATCGCGCCTGATTTCCCCATGTTTTCCTACCTTCGCAACAAAGAGAAGATCATGCAAGACAATCGGGCGTAGTCGTGTAGCGCATGTTAAGCGTAGGCGTTGAGCTCGTTGGTGTATTCGGTTTTGTTATTTCTGCCTGTTGTTCAAGTAAGTTTCTTTTTGCTGCTCAGCTGTTGTTGTCAAATACACCGTTTCGAATCCCAGTATTTATGAATCACGGAGTTGCAATGGAAAGTGGTTGCTGATTGGCTTCTTAAGCGGGGGAGGAAGGAGGGGGGGGGGGGGCGTCGCGGCAATCGTTTCAAACCCACTTGGAGAATGCTACGTCGCTTGCGCAAAACACGAACAGTACAGTCAAGTGGAAGGTGAACGCAGTCGTTGATCTTTGCCGCCGGAAAGTTCGATGTTTCGGTGTTTGTCCGTCGAATGAAAATGGAGCATGTACGTATACCACAAAACCCTTTCTGGTAAACGCTTTCTTATATTGTATTCGCATACCATATCGTTCTCTTCAATTATACATACACACACACACACACACACACACACGCACATCGCCTTCCATGCATTCTTTTTTTGTTGGTGGTGGTGCACGCATCTGCCTTCCTTGCTCCCAGTAAGCAGCTCCCGTCGCAGCAGCATAAACTCTTTGTAAAGCGTTTGCGTCTCCGATGAACTGTCGTCGCTGCGGCACAGAAATAAAACACAAGAGCGCGAAAAAAGCCCTTTTCTTTGTGTACACGATATACACGAAGAGACATTCTTCGATCGACTCGGATACTTCGTAATTAACTTAAAGTAAAGGAATCGAACTCCGTACTTGTCACGCCCAGAGTTCGATGCCTACCATGTCCAGCAACGCTCAGGAGAAGCTTCCTACCAATCCACGGGAGTTCCCCGATGACCGGGTGCCTAACTTCATTCTCAAGGCAAAGAACGGCCACTTCCACTTCATGATGGTCGAGCCGGATGTCTCGAAGAACTACCTGTGGTACATGTCGGAGCCGAAGCTCGTCACCGTCCCTGAGCTGGAGAACGAAATGCGCGTCCCTGGTCGTCGCTGGTACGCCACCGACCGCCCAGGCTTTGAGCTGCAGCAAAAGAACAATGCCCTGGCCACAGAAGGCGAGCCGTACGTGTGCCTGCACAACATCAAGAACCGTGACCTCTACTACTTCGGCCGCCGCCACGCGGAGCCGCCGGTGGAGAAGGTGACCCTCGTCGCCTCCGTCGCAGAGCTCTACCTCAAAAGCGCCACCCATCGCAAGCGTCTCGTGCGGGTGCTGATCGACAACATCCGCCGCATCCTCAAGAACCCGCAGGTGTTCCGCAACGGCGACACAATGATTGAGATTCGCAAGGAGGCGCCGACGGAGGAGCAGCTCCGCGTGCTGGCCCTGCTGCCCGGCATTGCCAAAATCTACAGCGGTTTGGAAGGGAAGGAGGAACGAAGGGGCGACCCGCGCGGGCCGTACATCTGTGACGGCGCGCAAGGCATCCCGATCACACCGGACCAGCGGGTGTTGGCTCTCATCAGCGGTGGCATTGACAGCCCGGTGGCGGCCTACCGCATGATGACGCGCGGCTGCCTCGTCAACGGCGTCCATTTTCTCAACAGCACGAACGACACCGCCTCCGTCGTGGAGAAGAACCGTCGTATCTGCGAGCGGCTTTCGAGCATTCAGGGTCGCTTCGACATGCACTACGTGGACATCAGCACCCTGCAATCGCAGATCGTGGCGAACGTGCCGAACCACAATCGCACCCTCATCTACAAATGGTTCATGCTCTCCCTCGCGGCTGCCTTTGATGACTCCCTTTTCATTGTGACGGGGGACTCCGCGGGGCAGGTGGCGTCGCAGACGGTGCACAACATCAGCACCCTCTACCCCTCGATCCGCAAGGGCGTCGTCGCACCGCTCATCGGCATGCCGAAGAACTACATCATCGAGGAGGCGCGCAAGATCCACACCTTCGACCTCTCCATCCAGGAAGGCGCGGACTGCTGCCAGTACATGATGTGCAAAACCGGTGCGAACCTCATGATGGGTCGCCGCACCCTCGAGGCGTGTGTGCGCCGCGTGAAGCTGACGGAGCTCAAGGTGACGAAGGAGATCTACCGCGACGGGCAGCTGTGCGAGTCATCGGAGTTCACCTACTTCCCGGAGTCGGGGCTGCGCAAGGAGGGCGATAACCCGGCCGTGTCCGCCGGCGCGCAGTCGGACGCGTTGCAGGACGGATCGCTGGACGACGTCGTGTACTTCGACGCCGCAGCCGGCACGAAGATTGCGGAGCAGGTGAAGATGGCGATGCTGCGGGCACCGGAGGGCAACCCAAACAGCATGCACCTGAGCGGTCGTGCGGCGCGCATGGCGGTGGAGAAGGTGCGGGCGCAGCTGGCCAGCGTCCTCCACGTACCGGCGAACGATATTATCTTCACCGGCGGCGGCACGGAGTCGAACAACATCGCCTTGAACGGGTACCGGGTGGTGCGAGAAGCGTGGTCGCACGCCTCGACAAGCGAGAACCACAACGTTCCCGCCGACGCCCCTGTTGTGAAGGTGATCGACCTCGTGAACCACGAAACGGGTAGCCTGAACCGCAATCTCGTTCGCCCCCCGGGTGGGCGTCTGCACATAGATGCGAGTCAGGCGTTGCTGAAGGTGGACTTCGGCTCGCTCGACTTGAGCGAGGTCGACTCCATCACCGTCACGGCGCACAAAATTAACGGCCCGGTCGGCGTTGGTGCCGTCTACCTCCGCGGCCTGAGCTGCAACAGGCTGTACAGCGGCGGTTCGCAGGAAAAAGGCATCCGCCCGGGTACGGAAAACGTCCCTGCCATTGTCGGCTTTGGCGTAGCGCTTGGCCTGGACCGCAGCCACTCCATCCACAAGGAGATCGATGCCCTCATGGTGGAGGAGCTTGAGAAGATGGGCTGCGAGGTAAACCGTCGCGGTGAGGTGAGCGGGTTCATCGTGCACGCGACGCTCCCGGAGGGCTACAGCAACACCGACGTCGTCTCGCGCCTGTCCACCAAGTACCACGTGGAGATTGGCACCGGCTCGGCGTGCAAGACGAACGAGGTAAACACGACGGTGTACGACACTCTCGGTAAGAACCCCGCGCCCCTGCGGTCTATTCGCATCAGCTGGGACTCGTCTGCCACCCTCAACGATGCGGAACGCGTCATCAGCTCGCTGAAGAATGTGATGGATGAAATGAAGTTGAAGAAGTAAGCCGTCGAACCCAAAAAAAAAGGCAGAGAAGTGAAAATGTTTGCTGTTGTCTTTTTCAGCATGTTCAACTCCTCCTTTGTTTCTCTTCTTTTTGTTGTTGATGCGTGCTGACGTTGCTCGCTGGAGCGCGGATGCATACCAACAGCTTCAAAAAAAAAAGCGACTATTGTTATTGTGGTTTCTTCCTGCTCGTAATTCTTAATGGGTGCTTATTAACTATTATTACTATTAGTGTGTGTGTGTGCGTGCTTCTTACCGTACGCGCTTCAAGCAAACAAAACCGGTAGCTCCCAGAGTTATTCGCGGTTTCAGCGTAGGAAGGACGTACACTGCTGCTTTTCCCTCCCGTTTTTCTCTTTTTTCGTGGTGTTTTCTCGCTTGCCGGGGAATGAAGGATGATGTCCTTTCCCCCTATCCCTCTCTCTCCCTCTCTGTTTACAGAGGTTGATTCTTTTTGTGGGTTTGCCTGTTCTAGCCGCTACTGAAGTATTCACCAAAGTAAAAGCTGTCTTTCGTGAGTCTGATGATGATAAAGTGAAGCTAACTATTATTATTTTTCTTTGCCCGATCACATCCGTGTCGTGTGAACCCATTGATCCCTTGATTGTGCGTTTGAGCGTTTCTCCCCCTACGCATCACGATGCAAAGATCATCCTCCTTTTTTTTTGGTAGGCTTTCTTTTTTATTTTACTTTCTCAGTTGAAACGGATCGATGATCGACGATTAATCTTGGTAACAGCACGCCTAACATATGTGTTCTTTTCTACTTGCTTTTGTGAAGTGCTTTTAACTTTAAAAAAGATCACGAAACACTATCTTTCTGTTTGACGCTTGACAGCTTCTGAGGGAGAGTCGCGCAAGGCGTGTCTTTGTCTCGCACCAAAAGAAAAGGTTCTTGTAAGGTCTTTGCCTTGATGACCTTTCTTTTTCTTTCAGCGTAAAGATCGTCTGTGCGGAGTGTATCACCTTCTCTGTCGAAAGGGTGGACGTGGTTCCACCTTTCCCCTGTCCATCTCTCCCTGCGTGGCGACCTCGCCGTGCGTTCCTTCGCCGTATTTTTTTTCTTCTTTCTCCCTCCATGTTCATGTACTTCAGTACACTTTGTGAAAAAGAAAATACTATCTCTACTACCAACTGTATCTATCTCTTCTCAAGGACACACACACACGCGCGCGCCACTCAATGCGATGAAACCGGCGTCCTTTCGCCTCATCGACATTCTCTGTTCGCAGCTGCTCCAGGCGAAGCTCGAGCCGGTGCGGGTGGACAAATTAATCGCTGATGGCATCCGTCAACGCGTTGTTGACAAGGACACGCTGCCGCTGATCATCCAAAAGGCGGCGGTGGGCAAGGGAGAGTGGTGCCTGGCGCTGCGTGTTTTGCAGAGCAAACATCTCGACACGCACCGCATCCGCAGGGACGACACAATTTGGTCGATCATCGATAAAGGTCTACCGAACAACGACGCTAGTAAGAAGGCTGCGCAAGTAGCTTTACAGAAAATATATGGAGCGCGTTTTAAAAAGGCGAAGTCGCCGCGATCGATTCGGTGATTCGTGAGTGCCGTTGCTGTAGATGTTCGTGTTGTGTGTTTTTGCGATATTGGGAAAGAAAAAAAGCGGGTTTTCTTTTCTCTCGTGTTGTATCTGCTCTGTACGAATTTAAATCACCTGCAAAGCGATGAACTCTTGCTTCGTAGCGCTTTTGTTGAATGGAGCGTCCACTAAGTGTTTTCGCCTGCGGACTCCCGGTTCTTCCTCTTCTCTTGTTGTTGTGGTTTTTACAAGGCGTCAATCTGACCTTCTCACTACTTAGTTTCTTCCCTTCTTAACCCCTTCGTTGCCATTCTTTGTTGGCGTGACCACGATTGGTTTTGTATCGTAGAGCATTTCTTTCTCATCATACTTCACCTTTCCTCCTCTTCCTCTCCCGGACATTACTTCTTGACAAGTAGCAACATTTCCGCTGTGAGAGTATATGAACTGTTAGCTCATTTCGTTGTGGTTTCTTCACATCCTGCTATACATACATAATCTCACACACACATTCATACGCATAGAACACTGCTCTGCCGCCAGGCAACTGTATATAAAAGAAAAAAGACTGCTTCACTTCATCACGTCGTTATCCACCATGTCGCAGTGGAAGTCGATTCAGCGTGAGCCGGTCCCTCCCTCGTACCTCGGCAAGGATCTCTGCTTTCAGCTTCTAGAGTGCTGCCAGACGAAAGGCAGCCCACACGAGACGGTGTCCCGCGTGCGCCACGGCGAGGTTCCGATTGTGCGCTTGTACGGCGTCACCACCGAGGGCTTCAGCGTCCTGATCCACTGCTACAACTACGAGCCCTACCTGTGGATCGAGGCGCCGCCGAATTGGTTGCCCGTGCACTCCCACGCGTTCATGCGGGAGCTCAACAACCAGCTCAGCAACCAGACCCGACTGCAGGACACCGTAGTGCGCGTCGAGGTACATCAGCGTCGCAGTTTGATGCACTTTAAAGGAGTTCAACTTGTGCCGCACCTGAAAATTGTTGTCCAGCTGCCTCAGCACATCCCAAAGCTGCGCAGTCTGCTGTCGGACCGCGGCGTCTCCTGTCCTGGTGCGTGGGATGGCATTCGAGCCTTCCCCACCTTCGAGTCGAACGTGATCTTTCCCCTTCGATTCCTCGTGGACAACGACATCGGCGGCAGTAACTGGGTTACTCTGCCTCCCGGCAAGTTGGTCTCGTGCCCCGTCAAGACGTCGGCGTGCCAGATTGAAGTTGCCTGTTCGCACGAAGACTTGCAAAACCACGAACCCCTTGGCGACTACCTTTCGATTGCCCCGTTTCGCATTCTCTCCATCGATATTGAGTGCCAGGGGCGGAAGGGACTGTTTCCTGAGCCGGAGCACGATCCGGTCATTCAGATTGCGAACCACTGCGTGCTGTACGGGCACGAGTCCGAGCCGTTGACGAAGACCATTTTTACGCTGAAAAGCTGCGCTCCTATCGCGGGGGCGCAGGTGTACTCGTACGATTCCGAGTCGGAGATGCTGCTGGCGTGGGCGATGTTCATGAAGGCGCTCGACCCGGATCTGCTCACGGGCTACAACATCTGCAACTTCGACCTTCCCTATCTGCTGAACCGCGCCATCACGCTGAAAGCCAGCGACGCGTTCCATTACTGGGGCCGGCAAATTCATGAGCGCACCGTCGCACGCAGCAAGCAGTTCCAATCGAAGCAGATGGGCAACCGTGAGTACATGGAGGTGACGATGGAGGGTCGTATCATCATGGATGCCATGGTCGTGATCCAGCGCGACTACAAGCTCCGCTCCTACTCCCTCAACTCCGTCTCGCAGAACTTCTTGGGGGAGCAGAAGGAGGACGTGCACCACTCCATCATCGCAGATCTCCAGCAGGGCGACGAGGAGACCCGCCGTCGGCTTGCGGTCTACTGCCTGAAGGACGCCTACCTGCCAGTGAAACTGCTGGATCGGCTCATGTGCGTTGTGAACAACGTCGAGATGGCGCGCGTGACCGGGGTGCCGGTGGGCTGGCTGCTGGAGCGTGGTCAGCAGATTAAGGTCTTCTCAATGCTCCTGCGGAAGGCGCAGAAGAAGAAGATGCTCGTCCCCACGGTGGAGTACACCGGCGGCAACGACCGCGGCTACGAAGGCGCCACCGTCCTTGATCCCGTCACAGGCTTCTACAACTGCCCTGTCGCCACCCTCGACTTTGCCTCGCTGTACCCGTCGATCATCATCGCGCACAACCTGTGTTACTCAACACTCGTCCGCCCAGCTGATGTCCAGCTGTACCCCGCGGAGTCCCTTGACCGCTCGCCCACCAACGACTACTTTGTCAAGAAGGACGTCTCCCCGGGCATCCTACCGGAGGTGCTGCAGGACCTGCTCGCCGCCCGTAAGCACGCCCGTGCGATGATGAAGGACGTCCCAATGCACTCCCTCGAATACAAGGTGCTGAACGGCCGCCAGCTCGCCTTGAAGGTCAGCGCGAACTCGGTGTACGGCTTCACTGGTGCGCAGGTGGGCAAGCTGCCGTGCCTCGAGATCAGCGCCTCGGTGACGTCCTACGGCCGTGCCATGATTGAGAAGACAAAGAAATTGGTGGAGGAACTGTATCCCGGCACACGCGTGCTCTACGGTGATACCGACTCTGTGATGGTGGAGTGTGTGACTGACGAGAAGGCGAGCGACAAGGTGCGCTTGCAGGCCTCCATGGACTTTGGTGAGGAGGCAGCGGCGAAGGTGTCCAGTCACTTCTTGAAGCCGATCAAACTCGAGTTCGAGAAGGTCTACTTCCCTTTCCTGCTCATGAACAAGAAGCGCTACGCAGGGCTGCTGTGGACCAACACGGAGAAGTTCGACAAGCTGGACGCAAAAGGTATCGAGACGGTGCGCCGTGATAACTGCCCGCTCGTCGCCCGCATGGTGTCTGGTGTGCTGAACCGCATCCTCATCCACCGCTCCGTCGAGAGCGCGGTGGAGTTTGTAAAAGGCACCATCAGCGATCTGCTGCTGAATCGGCTCGACATTTCAAACCTGGTCATCACCAAGGCTTTTTCCAAGGCGGAAGACGAGTACGCCGGCGCACAAGCGCACATCGCTCTCGTCGAGCGCATGCGTCAACGCGATCCAGCGTCGGCGCCGACCATTGGGGATCGTGTCGCCTACGTCATCATCAAGGCCGCGAAGGGCGCCAAGGCGTACGAGCGCAGCGAGGACCCGATTTACGTCTTGGAGAACAACATCCCGATTGACACGCAGTACTACCTGGAGCATCAGCTGTCCCCGCCCATCATGCGCGTCTTTGAGGGCGTGCTGGATGACCCAAGTGTCCTCATCAAGGGCGACCACACGCGTCACATCGCCATCTCCGCTCCCAGCAAGAACGCCGGCGGCCTCATGAAGTTTGTGAAGGTTCAGCTGCAGTGCATCTCCTGCCGCGCCGTCGTAAAGGAAGGGGCGCTGTGCGAGAACTGCAAAAATAAGGCGCCGGATGTGTACGGCAAAGTCATTGCGAAGCGCAACCACTACGAAGCGATTTATTCACAGGTATGGACGCAGTGTCAGCAATGTCAAGGGTCGCTGAACCAGGAGGTGATTTGCTCGAGTCGCGACTGCCCGGTGTTTTACATGCGCAAGAAGGTTCAAAAAGACCTGCGCGAGCAACAAGTGCTGCTTGACCGTTTCGGCGTTGTGGATGATTGGTAACGCGGAATGATTGAGACGTTACTTACGCTTATCTATTTAAAACATCTTTTAAAAAGGAAGGAAAAGCACTTCATTTTCACGCAGAGCAATGCCTTTTTTTTTAACGAAATTATCCTTCTTATGAGAACCCGCTTATTCTTAATCGCTATCTGCCTCGCATAGAATCCCACTTCTCGCATCGAATGACTTGATCCTACTATTGTTGTTCGCTCTAAAGGAGTGAGGAAAGAATAGCTGTCAGCGCTAAATGCCAGCACTCGCGAATGAAAGAGACGCGTATTTGTGCACAACTCAAGTAAAAAGAAAACGAATCATTTAATGCTTCTGGCATGGATTCAGGCGTTCTGCACACAATACCGATGTGGTTCCGGCTGTAAAGAAAGATACGGGGAGCTGAATGTGCCGGGGAGAAAAGTCATACCTGTTGTGGAAATAGCATGCGCGGTAAACTCGTAGCTTCTTTCTCCTCCCCCTTTTTCGGTCATGTGGATCTTTTGAACGAGGTTGTTTTTTCTTATTTTTTCTCTTTTTGCCGACGTGCATTCTTCTGAGCAGCCAACGTGGCTCTTCGCGTTCGGGTTTTTATATAGAGAGAGTACGACATTAATTTGAAAGGCACATCGTTGCACTTAATTATTCCAGTTTGCTTCTTAGCTACTAAACCACACATAAATATTTGAGTTTGCTGATTTGAAAGATTTCTAATTCAGAAGTACTCAAACGTGCGTATCCGTCAGATAGAACGTGAAGGGCACCCCGTCTTTTTTCATTTTTGTCGCACACCGCAGCATCTCATTTCATAGAACACCGAAGAAAGACTTCGTTACATCGATCTTTTTTTTTTGAAGCATAAGGATGACGTTCACCATGGCACGCACGATCCGCAGACGACAAGATCTGCACAACACCCCCGCCTTCGAGCGGGAGATGAACGACATCGCTGCGGACGAGCTGTACGAGCAGCTCCTTCTCGGCAGCATCCGCAGCGGCACCGATCCCAATGCGAAGGTGGTCGTCGAGGTCTACGAAGGCTACGTCGAACCGAGCTACGATCCCGTCAAGGGAGCTGAGGTCGCAGCCGCCCACAGGGAGATCATTCGCGAGATTTACAAGGAGCGCGATGTGATCATTCGCACCCTGCGCTCCTCCGACGAGCATCAACAGCTTTCCCCGTTTGATCGCCTCCTGCGCGAGACAGAATTCTACACCGGCGTGCGCGAGTGGAAAGGTGGCGCCGCACGCAGTGGGAAGCGCAGCCACCTCTACCGCCACGCCAGCAACGACAACGAGGAGGACTCCACCGGGTTCGACATGATGCACTTAACAGAGACGCCGTCGTACATCCGAGGAAAGCTGCGGCCCTACCAGATTGAAGGCGTCAACTGGCTGCTTGGCCTCTTCTCCCGCGGCGTGAACGGAATTCTGGCGGATGAGATGGGCCTCGGTAAAACCTTTCAGACCATCGCGGCGATCGCCTATCTCAAGTTCACGGTGGGGATGCCGGGTCCGCACCTGGTAGTGTGTCCCAAGTCTGTCCTGGGCAACTGGTATCGCGAGTTCAAGCATTGGTGCCCCAGCCTCTCAGTTTACAAGTTCCACGCCTCTGGGGACCTGCGGCCCAGCCTGGTGAAGGCACACCTGCAACCACCCGACCACATCAAATACGACGTCATCGTCACCACCTTCGAAATGATTCTGGATGAGATCAGCACCTTCAAGCGCGTTGCGTGGCAGTACCTAATCGTGGACGAGGCGCATAAGCTGAAGAACGAAGAAGGTCGTGCGCACACCGCGCTGGACTCGCTGCAGTCCTCGCATCGGCTGATCATCACCGGCACGCCGCTGCAGAACAACCTGAAGGAGCTGTGGGCGCTGCTGCACTTCCTCGCCCCCCGGCTCTTCAACGACTCGGAGTCATTTGATGCGTGGTTCGACACCGCCTCCGGTCATCAAGACGCGAGCGTCATGTCCAACCTCCACAAGATCCTCGCGCCGCTGATGATTCGACGGCTCAAGGCCGACGTCAGCACCGGCATCCCGCCCAAGAAAGAAATCTACGTCGCGTGTCAGCTTTCGAAGAAGCAGCGGGAGTGGTACATGAACGTGCTGGCGAAGGACGCTGAGGTGCTGAACAAGGCCAGCGGCAGTGCAGCGTCGCTGACCAACGTGATGATGAATCTGCGCAAGGTGATCAACCACCCCTACCTGATGGACGGCGGCGAGGAAGGCCCGCCCTTCATCACAGACGAGAAGCTGATTCGAACAAGTGGGAAGATGATTATTCTGGACAAGCTGCTCCGCCGTCTCCGGTCGGATATAGCGGGCAAGCACAAGGTACTCATCTTCTCGCAGTTTACGTCCATGCTGAACATCTTAGAGGACTACTGCAACATGCGTGGCTTTCAGTACTGCCGCATTGACGGTAACACAAGTGGCTACGACCGCGACTCGCAAATGGCCTCCTTCAACTCGCCGAGCAGCGACTACTTCGTCTTTCTGCTCTCCACGCGCGCCGGGGGCCTCGGCATCAATCTGCAGGCCGCCAACCATGTTGTCATCTACGACTCCGACTGGAACCCGCAGATGGACCTGCAGGCGCAGGACCGTGCCCACCGCATTGGGCAGAGACGCAGCGTCCGCGTCTACCGCTTCGTGACGGACGGCACGGTGGAGGAGAAGATCTACCGCCGTGCGCTTAAGAAACTGTACCTGGACGCTGTCGTGGTCCAGCAGGGCCGGCTGCAGTCCAAGACGACGAACCAAGCCTCCAAGGAGGAGCTGCTCTCCATGATCAAGTTTGGTGCTGCAGAGATCTTTAAGACGCGGCACGAGGACGTGACCGAGGCTGACATTGATCGCCTGCTCGATGAAGGCGAGGCGATCTCCAACCAGCTGACGAACGAGGCACGGCAGCAGGTGCAGATGTCGCTCGCTAGCTTTCAGCTCGGTGCGGAGGAGGCGAACATCTACGACTTTGAGGGCGTGAGCTTCAAGACCGGCGCGGAGACGCGCATCCTGCACATAAAGCTGAATGCCCCGGTGAGTCAGGCGGAACTGCAGGCGCAGTGCTCCCAGCACGGTGAAGTGATCAAGACCGTCTTGCACCCAAACATGAAGGAAGCCCTCGTGTACTTCCGCTCCACCAGCGGCGCGATTGAGGCGAAAGCGAAGTTGCCCTACGTGTCCACCTTTGCCAGCCGGGACTCGCAGACGGTGGTGTCGAACGACATGATTGCGGAGTGCATCGGCGTCGGCGAGCAGCTCGGCCGCGGCCACCGCGTCCGTGAGCCGGTGCAATTCTTCTCCGAGGCGGACGTGGAGTCGATGCAGACGAAGGCCTCCAAGGCTCCACCGCTGAAGCTGCCGAAGCCGCCCAAATTTCACCCCTATCAGCTCTACAACATGAAGCGGCTTACCGAGCTGCACAACACCGAGGTCGCCCTCATGGTGCGCAACTGGAAGCGCCGGTACGAGGAGAAGAAGGAGACGGCAGCGAAAAAAGACGCGGAGAACGAGGAAGGTGCGGACGAGGGCACGAAGGAGGAAGGTGAGGCGGAGGAGGAGGAGGACGATGAGCTCCTCACGGAGGTAGAACAGGAGGAGCGGGAGCGGCTGCTCAGCGAGGGCTTTCCCAACTGGACCTTCTCCGAGTACCGCGCCGTCGTGGCGACCCTCACGAGCGGCAAAATGGACCTCACGGATTACCCGGCCATCGCCGCGGCGGTGGCGGATACCAAAACAGTCGGCGAGGTGCGCGATTACGTCGTTGCCCTGCTCGAGCGCGGCGAACAGTGCATCAAGAAGTTCGCCAACGTCGAGGCCCGCATCCGCAAAGCCAAAGCGAAGCGAGAAGCGAAAGAGAACGTCTTCAAGGCGGCGAAGTGGAAGGTGGAGTCCTGTGAGGATCCGGCGAAGGAACTCACCTTCAAGACTCGCGGCAACGTCAGCCTCGACCGGGAAATTTTCCTCATTGCGTACGACGCCGGGTTTAAGCAGGACAACACGAGCGAGCTGGTGCGCAGCAAGCCGCAGCACCGGTTCAACGTATGGTACCAATCCCGGCCGGAGAACTTCTTCGAGAGGCGCCTGCATACGCTGATGAAATCCGTGCAGCGTGAGTGGGAGAAGCCGGCAGATGAGGACGCGGGAATGCCAGAGAACAGTCGCCGCCGCCTGGAAGTGTGAAGAGGTGGTTTTTTGTGCTGACTTCTCTCCTTATGCTTTGAATGCTGGTATGCACTTCCAGGATAGTGGTTCTTTTCCTCTTCTCTGTTTTTTTTTTGAAGGAAAGCTCCGCAGTTTCGCAGGACAAATGCACACATTTTTGGATCTCTACTGTTCACTTGATGATTCGGCCAGCTTGATTATACAAGGCAAAGCAGAATGGGATTCTCTCTCTCGATATTTCTGTAGGAAATGGCGTGGTTTCTATGACTGTACGTCGGCAGCATAGGCGGAGCGCATCTCTGATGTACAGGCACTCTTCACTTCGCTACCTGGTCATTGTATCGTTGAAGCTGTGTACCTGAGAAAAGAAGGCTCGTTGTTGTGCTTTCTTCTTTCGCATTATACGAGTCTTCAGCAATACTTTTAGAAAGAAAGTGTTAAGATGACTCGTGTACTTTTCGTATGTGTTCCCTGCACAAAAACAAAAGCTCCCCTCCCCCTTCTCCTCTCCGGCCTCAACGTCGCTGCGATGCAACAAAAGGTGAAGAAAACGCCGCCGTTTCTTCTTTTCTCCAGGTTTAGTGTAATCCTTTTCTTTTGCCGTCGTGAATCACATCTACATGGGTCTCTTCGCACTTTGACCAAAGTAAGAAAGAGATTTGCATTGTATCATTTTTCTCCACCTGTCCCTCATCCTTTCTCGGGGCAACGTCAGAAGAGCACATCACACGTTGCGCTTTTGCTGGCATTTTTCATAAGCGCGAGTGTTTGTGTTCTTGGTCAACGGTATTCGTCAATACTAATAGGAATAACTGATACATGCGTGCGTGAAACGGATACCTTGCTCTGCTGTTTGTGTAGCGAACAACACGCTGTGAGGCTGCCAAGAATATTTTTTCACCTCCGCAGAGTATTCTGGAGCTGTCTTCTATACATAAGAGCTGGATAACTCGTCACAAAAACCGGTTGCCTGAGCACCCAGCCATCCTCCTAGCATACAGACTCCCAAGACAAAAATGCCGAGCGAGGCTCCGAAGAAGCTGATCGGTGGCCACATCGAACTCGGCCATGTGTTGGGCACTGGCGGCTTTGGTAAGGTGTACTACGCCTACGACATGAAGAAGAACGTGAATGTGGCCGTGAAGATGATTGACAAGGAGTTGGTTCGTAGTAGTGGTATTCAATCCTACGTGGAGCGCGAGATCGAGATGATGCGCAAGATCAAGAACCCGCACGTTGTTCGCCTCCTAGAAGCCATAGAGACGTCCAAGGCGTACAACTTGGTGATGGAGCTGGCCCCGAACGGCGAGCTGTTTGACAAAATTGTCGACTCACAGCGCTTCGACGAGGACACGGCGCGCAACTACTTCCAACAGCTCATTAGTGCCGTGCACTACTGCCACGCGATGAACATCGTGCACCGTGACCTGAAGGCGGAGAACCTGCTGCTGGGTGAGAACAACGTGTTGAAGGTGTGCGACTTTGGCCTGTCCCGCTACACCAAAGAAGGCCGCTTCAACGATCACGAGGTGCTCTTCACGTCGCTGGCGGGTAGCATCGATTACCAGGCGCCGGAGGTGCTGAAGGAGCGCGGCTACGAGGGTAGCGCGTGTGACATGTGGAGTTGTGGATGCATTCTGTTTTTCATGCTGTGCGGCTACCTGCCCTTCACCGACCGGTCCGACGGTCTCACTCGCAAGCGCATTCTGAGCTGCCAGTACAACAAGAATAGCCGCTACCTTCCCGAAGGCGCGGCGGACCTCATATCGCGCCTGCTCGAGCGCTCGCCATCGACGCGGTACAAAACGTCCGACGTGATCCAGCACCCGTGGTTCCGCGTGAACATCGACCCCGAGCTTTTCCCCAAGGACAAGGTAGAGCCGACCCCGTCCAGTCCGAGTGGCAAGGAGTTCATCCAGCGCGCCATCACGCCCCAGGCGAGCAGTTCCAGCTTCACAAATGCCACCGAGCTGACTCCGACGACGCAGAAGGCGGACGAGATCCACCAAGCGTTCCAGAGCTGCAACGTGACCGGCGACGGCTTCCTCAACAAGGAAGAAGTCCGCGACGCCCTCATCAAGCTGAACGGCGACGTGGAGGTGTCGGAGCAGGAGGTGAAGGATTTCATGGAGAACTTCCAGCTGGACGCCGAGGGTCGAATTACGGAGGAGGACTTCGTGATCGGCTGGACGAAGCACCAAAACTCACTGGGCAAGAAATACGACATTGCGAAGATGGCGCATCTCTTCCACTACGACTTAGAAAAGGAATTCCTGAGTGCGCTCCGCAAGGCCTTCGACTCCGTCGACGCGGAGCACTCTGGCACCATCACGAAGCAGAACCTGAAGAGCTTAAATTTGGGTCTCACCGACAAGGACGTGGAGTCGGTCTTCCGTACCATCGACACCGACAACAAAGGTCTTCAGGCCCTCACGTTCGAGTTGTTCGTGGGTCTTTGCCTCAAGTACGACTTCTTCAAGAACCACCCGCTAGCCATCCGCTTGCGTCGCCTGAACACCTTCTTTGAGGTCACCGAGCACGCCGCCTTCCGTACGTCGCTCAACACCGGCTACACCGTCTCGGGTCAGCGTGAGGTGATCAAGGCCCTGCTGTTGAGCAAGCAAGAATCCTTGGCGACCATGTTTGAGGAGGGCGACGTCAACGGGTTCCTGTACGGCACCCATTCCCAGGAGTCGAAGAAGGTGCTGGAGGTGGGTGTTCGCCTCCTGCCAGCCGCCGCCGGGTACACAAAGGTGATTGCCTATCGTATTGGCGGTAAGACGACCGAGTTCCACAAGTGGTTTCTCAATTTACGCAAGCTGATGAAAGATGAGCTGCTGCGGTGTGAGGAGGATACCGCCGTAAAAGGTGAGCCGGAGCTGATGTAGCGCTTTTGCAAAGTATTCATTACTCGTTTCTCTCTCCCTTGTAATCTATTTCGTGTGTGTGTGTGTGTGACGGAAGGCTCTTTATGGTCCTTCATTCACGTTGGCGCGTTGTGTTGTTGGATATATCTTATACTCGTGACGATCTCAAAAACTCTTGTTTCTTTTCTCTGTTTGTTTGTTTGCGGCTGTTGTTTTCGCTCGCTTCAAAATGGTGGCGGCAGTTTTTCATGGCACGTGCGTTGATATGATTCGTGTGTTTGTGGTCATCGATCTCTCCAACTCCCACCCTTCCTTTTTTAAGGGACATCAAAAAGAAGCAAGATGAAGTTTGTAGTTGTGCTCACCCGTAGGTATTTATTTTATTTAATCGCTTTTGCTGAACAGACACCTCCAACCTTCTTCGCTTTCTCTTTTCTTCTTCTATCGGTCTTGCGCAGTTGAGGTGTAAGGCGTAGTAATACTGCTGCGGTTGTTGTTTGCCAATGTTTCGTCTAGTTTACTGGTCGTGTGTGTGAAGGAGAAAGATGAGCAGAAAGGTGCTCGTGGTGCATTTGCTGGTGCACATTTTTTTTCCTTCTCAGCGTGTGCGTTAACGCTGTTCTCCATTAACTATACACATATATATATCTAGGCTGTTGCTGCCTGTGGTTGTCGCTGTTGCCGCAAAAACACACAAAAAAGCCATCTGGTTTAACAGCGACGACAGCAGTAAGCAATTCTTTACTCTCTCTCTCACCTTTGGCAGACAAGATTGTTGCGTTTCGCAATTGTTACTACCTCTTTCTTCTCTTTTGAACCACGTTTCACCGCTCTCGTTGTTTTCTTTCGTTGTGCAACCCCGCCTCTTATATATATATATGCGCCTTAATCGTTGTTGCTTCATCGCTGGTTTTTTGTTGTTGTTGTGTGTTGTGATGGTTATTTGGCGTCGAGTGTCTCGCTGTTCATTAGTTGTTTTTTTGTAAATGCCCGTCATTTGCAGCTCTTTGCGTGGCCGCTTCGACCAACATACATGGCGTTTAACATTAAAATAATGAGTTTCCTCTTCGTTTGGGGGTGTGTGTTTTGTTTTCCACTACTTATGGGCTGCCTCGTTGCAGTGGCTTCCATAGATGTATGCAACGGCGAAGCTTCGAGTCGCAATTTGCAGCTGAGCGCGGCGTTCTGACTCCTGGCTTGTACGTTTAGGATGTTTGATGTTGTTACCTGATCTTTCTTTTGTTTTCTATTAGAAAACGCCGTTAAGATACGTTTTCCTTTGTTTCTCTATTTATTTATTTATTATAACACACAAGACTTCGCCCAAAAATAAAGAGGAAAAAAACATACTAACCGACGCGCTTACATCAATGTGAGCACTATCCGTGCGAAACGAGCACACGCTTTTGTTGTCGCTCAAGGCACAAAGGAGTTCGGTATTCATAAAAAGGGGCTGAAGAAAGGTTAGAAAAAGGGAAGTCAGCGCACGATGTTTGGCATAGTGGCCTTTTCCCTCAGTTCTGTCGTTCATTGCACCCAGAAGAAAGTGGGTGTGTGTGTGTGTGTGTCGCCGTTGGCTGCTCTGTGACTGTCGTTTTTCCTCTCTGCACCAACAACAATACGATTCCAGTTGTTGACGTAAACCCGCTGCGGCCGCACACCGTGACACTTATTTTCTTATCTCTCTCCTCTCTTTTCTTTCGCCCATCCGCGTTGTGCTTCACTCCCCCATTTCCAATCCTCTCCGCGCTGTTTATGTATGACTAACCTACGCTTACCTTTTTCTGTGTTTCCGCCCGCCGTCTTCCGTTTGCACGAAGAAGCAGTCGTGTTTCGACCCGAACGCATCGAACCGCAGCTACGACCTGAAATTCTGTTCTCGTTGATCTCAGCGAATTTTTGTATTATTATTCTCACGCCCGCAAGACCCCCGACCGTTGCGCAACCACGCACGATAACGAAACGATGAGCTCAGGGAAGTTTCTCCTCTCCACCAAGAAGCAGAAGTACGCGGTGGTGGCCTCGGACAACAAAACGCTCCTCTCCCGCCACGATCTGCGTAGCATCGATCGCTTTGTTGACAAGCGAGTCGTCACGGCGACGTACGCCAGCGGCACCGAGCCGCCGCCCTCGCAGGGCATTCCGGCGCTGCCTTTCGAGAAGGTCAAAGAGAACTGCGATGACATCCTCCAGCTCTCGGTGAGTGCCATTCACGAGCACGAAAGTGCCCTGGACGTTCCGCTTCGCTTTGTGGCACCGGAGGAGTACCACGCCCCCGTTATCGAGGAGCCGCCGTCGCGGCTTCCACTCGCGCGGCGCATTGCGGCTCTCATCCAAGGTGCCGGCAGCACAGCCGTCTCCTGGCGCTACGCCCCGCCGGTGTCGCGCGACTACACCGTGACGGAGATACAGGCCACCAAAGACGCGGAGGGGCGCGCGCAGTCTTCGCTGCGTGGCGGAAAGAAGCGCAAAGCAGCGCAACTGTACTGCGTATCGGGCTGCCTCTTCTACAACTACGGAAACCTAGAGCGAGCGGTGAGCTGCTTTGGCAAGGCCCTCAGCATCGCCGAAGAGCTGCAAGACGCACGTTGTCTGGCGTTCTGTCACAACATCCTTGGCGTTTGTCACTACCGCCTGGGCGAGTTCAAGGTCTCCCTTATCCACCACAAGAAGCAGGAGGCGCTGGGTGGGTGCTACTCCCGCGCCGTGGCGGAGACGAACATGGGCGTCAGCTACGTCGCCCTCGGCGAGCTAGAGTTTGCGCAGCAAGCCTACGAAGATGCCCTGCTGAACGCGCGTGAGACGAAGGACTCGATGTTGCTGACGATTGCCCTCGGCAACGTTGGCCTTGTGTCGCTGCGCATTGGCGACATGCGCGCGGCCCAGTCACACCTGGAGCAGTGTTTGGAGCAGTGCAGTCTTGCGGGCGACAAGAGCGGTGCCTCCCTCTGCCTGTTGCTGCTAGGCGAGGTCTACTCGCTCATTCACGATCACCAGCACGCGTTGTTCTACTACGAGCACGCCTTTCGCGTTGGAGGAGAGGCGAAGAATCCTGATGTAGTGAACCTCGCACGCGTCAGCATCGGCATTGCCCGCGGCAACGCGGCAATTCGCGACGCCGTGTTGAAGGAGGCGGCCGCGATGGGGAAGACCAACACCGTCCAGAGCGTTGTAAATCAGTTGCCACAATGAGCGGAGTATCTTTGGCCAGGTAGAGGACGGACACACTTCTGTTGCTCTTTATTGCCGTTATGTAAACCACTTTTTGTTGTCGCTCCTGTTTCACGTGTTGCTCGCTGATTCTTATTTTTCTCGAATATGTACGGTAGCTTCTGTTACACTTTCTTATAGAAGCTGTTCTTTATCTCTTGCGAAGCTGCTCGCACACGCAAAGCCCATCACAACAGAAGCTCCATGACTGCATTTTGTTGCTGGTGTTGTTAAAGGTCGTGTATTTTGGACGCGTGCAGTCGCACGGCACATGTGGGATTTTTTGAGTTACTTTCTTCTTTAACGGATGCTTTTCATTGTCTTAATTCATGATGGTGCAGCGCTGCCCCACAGAGGCGGCTACCAGAAAACGCAGCTTGACTGTGTTTCATCACTTTCGCTGTTCCCACTCGTTACACCGTCCTGCTGCGTATTTGCGTGTGTGTCTGACCACCCTTCTTCTCTCTTCTCTCTTTCTCCTTTAGCTTTTCTAGAGCAGCAGACAGACGCCTCTGCACGTCGTTCGATAGTCTCTGTGCGAGTAGTGCGAGTTGTGGTGGTGCTTCGGTCGCTCCGCGAGTATATTCTATTTTCTATCATCATTCCCTTTGTTTTCTTTGCCTTTTCCACTCTCTAAGAAGACTCCACTCATCTGATTTGTTTGTTTGTTTGTTTTTGATTTGCACTCTCTTCTCCCTCTTTTGCTTTTGGCGGAGTTGAGAAGAAAAATGGAGCCGCACAAATTGCTCGCGCTGCTCTCGCGCACCCGCAAGCCCATCTTTGCCGCCACAGAGGACGTCACACGCACAACGGCATCGTTGTTGGCGCTGGCCCCGTACCTCGACGCGCGCGAGATCCGCGAGACCCTTCCGCCTCTGCGCAAATTTGCCCGCCACAATCCCGCCCTCCTGCACGCGGCATTGAAAGAAACGGAGGTGGTGCCGACGGTGGCGCTGCACGGCAGGCGTCTCGCCATGCTCGCGCGGGTGGTGCCAACGACCAAGACGGACGCGTCCGCCGAGCTGTGGGCCGTCATCACCTCCACCACAGTCAGTGCCCTTGCGGCTCAGGCATGGTCGCCGGCAGATTTCAACGTCATCGTCGCACATCTTCGCCGGCAAAGAAGCTACGACGCCGCCCTGGTGGACGCGGTGGTGTCGTACGTTGCCGCTGTCCTCCCAGACGCGTCGCCCACCGATCTGCCCGCGCTGATCTCGATTGTGGCATCTCTGCCGGAAGTGACCACGCACCCTGCGAAGCTGCTCGACGCTGCGGCGGAGCGCTGTGCCGCCGTCGCCGAGGTCTTAACTCCTGGTGCGATTGGGCACATATGCGGCCAGTTTAACCGCACCCTGTGTGTCAACGCGAACGCGGTCGTCGTCTTTCAGGAGGAGGCCGATCGCTGTGCTGAGAAGGGCGACGCCTTCACAGCTGTGCAGCTCTTCTGCTTTGTGGCGCGACACAAGGCGGAGCACATCAGTACGGACGCCCTCATTTGGCTGATGGAGCGGCTGGCGAGTGAGGAGCTGGACGTGGCGTCGGTGGAGTCGCTCTGCGCTGCTGTGGCGCACCTGCCCCACGCGGCGCGCGTCGCCCTGCGTCAGGAACTGACCGACTTTGTTAGCCACGTCTCATCGCAGACGAAGGAGTTGTTGTCGCAGGTGCCCGTGGAGCAGGGCGGGCTGCGTGGTTCGACTGACACGGAAGCTGTGCAGGTCTTTGTGTCCCACTTTCTAGAGCTGTCGACCGCGTTGAACGACACGGAATTTCAGTGGCCGACGGAGTTTCGCGAGGCGGCCGACGCGTGTGCGGACGCTGTGGAGCCGCTGCAGGAGAGTCTTCTGTCCGCGGAGAGCTCGCCCTTCGGGTTGATGATGCGCCTGTTGGAAGGCCCGACAAACAAGTGCAAGCAGCTCGGCTCAGCCATGCTGCGCGAGGCGTCGAGCCAGTGCATGTCATTCCCCGCCCTTCAAGTATTTCGCTTCCTCCTCGTCATGGGTGACCAAAAGATTCACGACCCCGCCACGATGCGCTACCTGCGTGATCAATTTGCGAAGACAGCCGCGGACATCCCGCCAGTGCAGCTGAGCACTGCGCTTCGCTGTTTGAACGTGGTGACAGAGAGAGAGGGGGGAGGGAAGGCAAAGGCAGACGACAGCAGCAGCGTGGCGTCGTCGAGCGCTCCTGCAGCGGGCACATCCGCACCGTCTGCCACCGCGAATGGCGTTGTTGCAGGGGAGTCAGAGGAGGAAGATGATTACGAGGAGGAGCGCCTTGCAGAGTTCCTTCGGTTTTGTGTTGAGAAGGCGCGCAAGCATCTGTCAGAGGGCGCCCCTCTGCGATGCGTGATGTCCACCGTGGAAAACCTGTACCACCTTGGCTGCCGTGACGCCGGCTACTTCGACGACGTCGCCGCCTACATCGAAGTGAAGAGAGACGCCGTGACGGCGGAAGCGGAGAGCGCGGACGCGGCCGCTGTTGTCTGCCTCGCCTTCGGCGCTGCCTTGCTGGAGCAATTTCCCGAGGTTCACGAGTTCCTGCTAGACGTGGTGGGGCGTGGCGTGAAGGGCGAGGCGGCCCTGTCGCCGACGCAGTGGATGAAGCTGCACGACCCCTCTTCCACCCTCTCCCCTCTCACGCCGCAGCAGCAGGAGAGCTGGGACATCGTGGAGGAGATGGTGCGCACCCGCGCCGACGACACCGCGGCGCTGAGGAAGCTTGCGGAGCGGTACCTGGAGCTGCTGCCCCAAACGCGGCCCGACGACCACAAGTACTTCTTTGGCGTCTTTGAAGAGAAGGTGCTGAAGGAAGACAAGCTGCTCAAGCAATGCCTCGACGCCATTGTCGACTCCGGTAAGCTGTGCCGCCTGTCCGCGCCGACCATTGCGGGCATGCTGCAGAGTCTCGCGTCCGTGCGCTTCACCTACTTCGCCTCGGTCAAGCGCTTCCTGTCGAGCATCACGACCGAGCAGTGGATGTCGATGGAGGCGGCGCCGCTAGTACAGATTCTCTGCGGCATGGAGAAGCTGTCCTTGCGCACGCCAGCGGTGCTGCGCCAAATCGGGGCTCGGCTGAGCGAGCTGTGCCGCTTTCTCACGCCGCTCGACACCGCCATGGCGATTCGCGCGTTCCAGTCGCTCGGACTCAACGATCCGCCGCTGCTGACCAAGTTGGTGGCGCACGCGGCGGCCTCGGCGAAGCGCTTCGACGAGGCCAGCATGACAGTGCTCTTCAGCACACCCTCCATTCACCGACTCATGGCGGCTCCGGCAATCGCGCAGCCGCTGCTCCTGCAGGCAAGCGTCAAAATTCACTCTCCGCACCGACGAGAGAAAATATCGAGCTGGGTACGCAAGTCAAGCTTGCCGCGCGACTTGATCGAGAGCACCACCACGCGACTTCAGCTGCCGGGCAAGAATGCCGCAAGGAATCAGAATGTCACGCTTCGTCTCACATAACGAAATAGTGTCAAAAGGAAGAAGAATTCAGTTTCTCTTTAACGAAAGTGGGCCGATCGCGTGAAGGCAATAGCACCTCTTTTTATTATTATTATTATTGGCTCCTTCTTTTACCACACTCTGTGTATGTGTGTGTTGGTTTGCAGGCGATGAGGAACGCCTGAGTCTTCGCGCTGAGACAGGGAAAAAAGGTAGCGCCGCATTGTGTGTACGGGTTCAACATCCTTCTGTTTCCCCTCTCACTTTACTTCGTGGTGCCTTGCAATTTTTCTCTTCCTCGCCGCCTCCTTCTTTTCTCTCTCGCCCTCCACAGTGAATTTCCTTTGCGCCTTTCGTCTCTCCAGCTTTTTACCGGTCTCTCTCATTTCAGAAAAAGAGTCAAAATGCCATTCCTTCACACCATTGTGTCCACCAAGCTGGACGATGCACAACGCGCACACCTAACCAAAGCCTTCAAGACTATCTGCAGAGAAGTCTTCAACAAGCCGGAAGAGTTCGTCATGACGGCCTTTAATGACGAGACGCCGATGGCTTTCCGGGACTCGACAGGACCAGCTGCGTACATCCGCGTGGAGGTGTTCGGCACCTACGAGCCGACTGACCCCGCCAAGGCCACCCCAGCGATCACCGCGGTGGTGACGAAGGAGTGCGGCATTCCGGCCGACCGCATCTACATCCTCTACTACGGCACGCCGCACATCGGTTGGAACGGCGTCAATCTCTAAGCACACTTCCAAATGCCTCCCTATATTTATTTCTCAGCCGTATGTTACCAACGCTGACCATTCTCGCCATCAAAACCCGTGCGGCCGCTCTCTTCGGTGAAGACTCTTTGGGGTTTTTTCACTGACGCTGAGGCGCGTCCGTTTCGATCTTCTCTTATTATTATTTTTATTATCATTGTTGGATGTTTAACACCTTCACTAAATCGAAGACAAATAAAATCTTTAGCAGGAAGAATAATGAAAACGACAGCGGAAACTCTCGGCGCGTAGAGACGAGCCTTCGGTTCCTCCCGCGGTCCTCGCGTCGTTGGGCTGCGCGGGCGAAACGCCTGCCTTTTCACCGTCCCCTCCCCTTCCCCCCACCGACCCCTGCCCGCCTGGCCCAGCCTCCCCGGGCGCCCATTTCCCCCGGCCGGCCAGGGGGGCGCTACCCGGAACCGCCCCAGCGGCGACCCGAACCCCAACCGCCCCGGAAAAGCGCAGAAGACAAACCAGAAACCAAGCAGAAGAAAATGGGAGCACTGGCAACAAAAAGACCATCACGATAAGAGAAGCGCAGGCGTTTTAACAATACGCAACTCTGCTAAAACCCGACCCAACGAAACAAACAGGAGAAAAAAGTAGTAAACGGCGGCGGGCTGCTGGAAAATAAGCCCCCCCCCCCCCGACGCCGAACCGCACCGATCAAAGACCTCTTTCAGGTCAGAAACCAACAGCAGCGTTCACAGAAGCCGCGCAACAAGCCAAAATGTGCCCTCAAAATATATAAGGCAAACTTCAGAAGATTCGAAAAGAGCATCTGTGAACCACTTTTGCGACATATTCGGCGGCTCTGCTGGAACCTTTAAAGCGAATTAAGACGAAGAGATAGCTGAACCATCTACGAGCGTACTACTAATTATCGAATTAGCCCGGCGAGAGCGTTGCAGCGCGTCACTTCTGAGGTCACCTTTACTGGTTCACTCTTGTGGCCTCTTATTGCTCTGATGCTGTTTCTTCTACGCACCGACGTGTTCAGATGCGCGGTCTCGCGGCTTCTGGACCTTTCTCTGTGGGCGCAAAATTAAAGGTTTAAGGCGATATGGCACTAATACCGCAGAAACGTGAAGGCTAAAGCTTTTATTAAAGAGAGGAAGAGAGAAAATTCTTAGTCGGTTCTACTATGTAGCGCAAGATGGGAGAAGGGAAGAGAAAGAGAGAGACAGTTAAGGAGATCCTTAATTAGGCGGAGCGTGTCGCTGGATTTGTATCTCAGCGTCCATTTAAAGGTTTTTATTTATTCATTCCATGTTCAGTAGTTTTTCTCAGCATATATCAAAGATCAATGGAAACTTACAACTCTTCACTTACGAATGGGAGGTTTGCCTTCCTTTCATCTTGAGGCTTTTTCAACTCGCGGGGAGGAAAAAGGGGTGGGATGGTGGGAAAAAGAAACGGATCCCGACAGCAGAAACCGACTAAGAGGAGGAGAAAGAGAGGAGAAGCAGAAAATATATTAACGAGAAAGTATCAGCTCCTTTCCAATTCTCCTGTCGCAGGCTTTCAGAAAAATTGTAGAAGAACAAATTTGGAACACAAAAAGGTGGTGGTACCATTGTCTGCGTCTCGACCGCTGAAGGCTTTGCAACAAAACAAAAGGGTCCGTATCTGTCCGTACAAAAGCTTTTACAGTTGTACAATTGTTGCCATACTAAAGATGAGAACCACTGAAAACAATTCTTGAAAGAAATAAATAAACACCACGTGTGCAATTGGGAATGAACTTGGAAGCGGATATGCTGTCGAGTTGTTTGTGCAAATTTTTACGGAAGTGTTTGAACGAGCGCTGCAGCACCGATGCCGAAAAGAAAGTCGCTTCAAAACGACACCCACGGTGGCCACGATTTACGCGGGAGCCACCCCGAGAGTGTGGCAAAACAGCAGACATATTTGACGCATCCTGGTGCAGAGCATTATAGCAACCAAGAAACACACCAAGAAAACTGCTGTTAGCAAAGCACGGTGATGGCAAAGCCACAATGCCGGAGAACACGATTCACTACATCACCGAACACGTGCCGTTAGCGAAAGTGATCGGAACCCAAAAGGCAACACGACTCTTTCGAGTTATGAAGATGGAGAAGACCAAGACGACCTTCTCAACATCGCGAAACACATAGCAGATCCCTTTTGGATGCAGCACCGCCAAACACCGGAAAGGAACCTGTCAACTGATGAAAAAGCTGACAGCGGCAACCCCGCACGGCCAGCCACAGCACAACACCATCAAGACCAGCTTTATCAGCTTGCAGACAAATGCTGTCATCTCTGCACGGCAATGATGCACAAAGAAAGAGTCGCAGGTCGTGGCGGCTATCTCGGTCGAGGCGCATGGAATCTGAAGAAAACAGCCATCACAGAAAAAGACTTCCCGCATCCGTTGTACGTGGGGAAGCTGCGCCTCTGAACGGTCAGAGAATTAGATCACGCATGAAACCACAGATCCGTCAGCGTGTGTGTGGACGATCTCCTTCACCTCCTTGGAGCAGGCTGCTGTGCACACAGTCTAAGCACAAAACAGGCACCAGTTTCTGACGCCAGGGGGTCACCACTCCCCACAACAAGTATCCCGAAAAGCTCTCCAGCACTTTCCGAGGACGACATGAACAAACTACAGAAGACCAACATCATCCGACGAGTTCACAGCGCGCACTCCGACACAGCAGCGGGTCGAGGCACGAGACAGCATACTGCCGACAGTAATACACCGTTTACGGTTACCGGGACCAAGCACAACGCTGTCCAAAGGCGCCTTAGCACGTGGCCGAGATAGAGAGAGAGAGAGCAACGACCATTCAGACGCACAAGGCTACCAACCAGATGCGCCACTCCAACACCTTTCGATACACCTCGACGCAGTAAACGCCGACATGGGCAGCGTACACGACCTGACATTCAGTTTCTTCCAGGTCGAGCTCCCAGATAGAATGCAACAACGCTTCGTCTTCGCAGATCCGAATAGCGGCACACAACGGTGCGTGACGCGGCCTCCGATCGGACACACGGTCTCACCGGAAATCGTGCAAATCCTCACGTCCACCGTGGCAGGCCGTCCGACGTAGGCGGGCAACGAGTTCACCGTGAACGACCCAGCCCTGACCTCAATCGACGTTTGGATCGACAACATACGGTACGCAGGCACGCGTCAAGCAGTCCAAATAGCATTCAGGAGGATGTGGACCACCGCGCAAGAGTGTCCAGTCTTTCTTCACACCGACGAGAGATACGCAAGAGAAGTCCCCGACTTCATAGGGGGTATATTTTAACCACGCAGCTCACAAAGTGGCCGAGGCAGATCACCTGATCCAGGTGATTGCTGGTCCGACGCCAAACATGACGGGCGGTGACTTGGAGCGACGGTACGCACAAATCCTCCGCAGCTCGTCATTCCTACATATCCGCACCGCAGAGTTCTATTGGGCGTTGAAGCTCATTAGACAAAGGCTGTCTCAGCTCATCCGGACACCTCTCCTGGTGAAGGAGCCGGCCTGCACACGCCCAACGGCGCATGCACAACTTAAATAGTGGTACGACCTGGCTCAGAAGAATTGTCCACCAGCGATAGCGCCGGCCACGGCAACGAGAATGCCAACGATGACCCTCTACACCGATACCTCTGGAGCCGGTTGGGGAGCGGTGTTGATGCGGCACGAGTCCCAAGAAATACTGAGCGTTGGCGAAGCATGGTCCGCATCAGAGCAGCGCCGCATAAACACGCTGGAAGCGAACACCGTGGTTCTGGCGGTGGATCACTTGCGGCGATGGATTCCCGCAGAGTGGCTAAGGCCTTCGTGTGAAGATCGACGACACGAAGGCCTTAGCCACTCTCGGGAAAAGAGCCGGGTTGACAAAGGCGCTCGATGACGCTGCACTTCGCATGGAAAAGCTCTCGCTAGATAACCAAAAACTTCTGTCTTTTACTTTTTCATTTGCTTCATTTTTTCCCATTTTCGGTACAGGCAGAATGGGTGCTGAAAAGGGCAGGCGGGGCAGGCTCCCACCAAAGCCCAGCAGTAGACTTGTCTCTCTTCTTTCTTTAATCTGCGCATTTTCTCACTTCTCTATTTTCCTACTTCTTGTTTTTATTCCTTTGTCTGTTCGCTTGTTTCTCTTTTTCTTCCGCGGCTTCTGTGCGCGGTTGTTCCTTGGGCGGGCGGCTCGCGGGCTGGGGCCTGGGGTCAGGTTTCCCGCAGCGGCCCCCCCCCCCCCGCCGACGGGTGGGCCGGCCGGCCAAACCCACGGCGGGACCGCAAATTTCAAAGGGGGAGAAGGGGGAGAAGAAGAGCAGGGTTGTGGATAGAAAGCCTGCTGGGCAGCGGCAGGGGCATGCGCAGCGCTGCGGCATCGGTTGCGCCGGCTGTGGGGGGTTTGGGGGCCACAAAGAGCCGTAAGAGCGGCGTGTCGTTTGTCGCTTGCCATGTTGTACAGAGAGAAAGGCTGCAGTTGACTGCGGCTTCAAAAAAAAACATATAACGTATAGGTGCAGCGGCAGACCCTTCTCGTTGCAGTGTAAAAATGAAAAGAAAAGGAAAGAAAGTACCGCTTTTTATTTCGGGGTGTGGAGGAAGTGCTCCGCGATGGCGCGGCTGACGGCAAAGGTGAGACCCTTCGCGTACTTGATGTGCAGGAACTCGTTGGGACCGTGAGCGTTGCTCTTGGGGCCGAGCACGCCTGTCACGATGAACTGCGCCTGCGGGTAGGCCTTGACCAGCATCGCAATGAAAGGGATCGCACCACCCATGCCCTGGAAGGCTACCGGGCGTCCGTACGCCATCGTGCTGCCCTCGTTCAGCGCGCGCGCCAGCCACGGCGTCAGCTCCGGCGTTGCGCAACCGTCACCGGCCGCCTCCGACTCAAACCAAACCTTCGCGCCGTACGGCGGGTCCGCCTCCAGCACCCGCTTCATCGCCTGGGTTGCCTTCTCCGCATCCGCCAGCGGCGGCACACGCAGGGACAGCTTCAGCGACGTGACTGTCCGAATCACGTTGCCAGCCACCTGCGGCTCTGGCAGGTTGGCGCCCACCACCGTTAGACTCGGCTTCCACGCGTTGCGCAGCGCCAGCTCCACGTTGTCGCCCGGCTCCGTCGAGACCCCCTCGACGGTGGCGAACTGCTCCTTGAAGGGCACCGACCGCATCGCCTCCATGGACTTGACGACGTGGTCGGGAATCGCGCAGTGCGCCTCGGGGATCAGCACCTCGCCGGTCTTCGAGCTCTCAATGCGGTCGAGCAGCTCGCGAGCAATGCGGAAGGTGTCCGGCACCACGCCGCCGGCGACGCCGCTGTGCATGCCCTCCGTCAGCGTCTGCACGTTCAGCACACCACCGGTGACGCCGCGCAGTGAGGTGGTCAGCCAGACCTGGTCGTAGTTCATGGCGCCGCTGTCGAGGCACACCATCAGGTCCACGTTGCCGATCTTCTCCTTGCACCGCTCCATGTAGTAGTCCAGGTCGAAGCTGCCGGACTCCTCGCACGCCTCGATGACCACCACGACGCGGCCGTGCGGGATGCCGTGGCGCTGCAGTGCCGAGACGGAGGTAATGGCGGAGAAGATCGCGTACCCGTCATCCGCGCCGCCGCGGCCGTACAGCTTGCCCTCGCGCAGGACCGCCTTGTGCGGGTCGAGGCCCTCCGCCCACGGACGCAGCGGCGGCTGCTTGTCCATGTGCCCGTACATGAGCACCGTGTTCTTCGTCGGCTCGGTGCCGGCGATCTCGGCAATGAGGAACGGCGTCCTGCCCTTCTCCTCCATGAACTCGTAGGTGAGGCCCTGGAGGTTCTGCGCCTTCATCCACTCAATCAGGACGTGGAAGGCCTTCTCGATGAGACCGTTGGTCGCCCACTCTGGGTCGAAGTCAGGACTGCCGCTGGGGATTTCGATGTACTCGGACAGCGCCGGAATGATGGTCGTGTCCCATTCCGCCTCGACGGCCTTCTGCACCTCAGCCCAATCGCGATCGCTCATTGCGTAAAAGAAAGAAAAGGGTTTATTTGAAGTATAAAAGGTGAAACAACAAGAAATGAAAGAGGAACAACAAAAGGCGGTAAGTGATGAGAGCTGTGCAGTGTGGGCGTGCGAAAACTGCGCGGTGCGGGGAAATCACAGAAGGGATCGGGAAGAGGAGGAAACGAAGAAGGCGAAGAAATAGAAAAAGAGTTCAACACGGAAAGCAGACTTGAGGGCAAACACACGAAGATGAGTTGAAGGCTGAGAGCTGTTTTTCTTTTGCCAATAATGTGAGCTGAAGGAATTATTAAGGTGAATGACTGTGACAGCAAAAACAAACAACGGAGATCAAACATCACTGCCTTCTACAACGACTGGCGCAGGTCCTCCACCGTGGCAAATTCGCAAAGATAGTTGCTCAGCGACACATCCGCCGGTAGGGTGCAGTGGACGGCGAGGCAGCGTGATGCGTGGCGACGTGAGAGAGCCGTTTCGTTGCCTAGCAGCGACGACCCGTTGGCGGAGGCGACGGAGAGCAGGCCCGCCGGCAGTCGGTCCGAGAGTGCGCGTCCGCGCTTGCTCAGCGGCCACACTTGCGCACGCGGCCCGCGTGACGTCGCGGCGTAGTCGCGCTCCGGACGACTGCTGCTCGCCAGCGTCCAATCGGTGGCAAGATGAAAAACGGTGGGCGTGCGATCGAGGGCTGCGCCGCTGGAGGGCTCTGGAAAGGATCGGGTCCACGGTCGTGCCGCGCGAGGGTAGCCCGTGGCGCTTACAAGGAGGGGGCGAAAGGACAGTGGGGGCTGCTCGTGTGGGCGGCGACGACAGCGACGAGCAGCGGTGAAGCCAAGATGCGCCTCCACCTCCGCTAGGCTCTCACACCCTGTAGTGCCGTTCGCCGCATCACACACAACAGGCAGAACGATGTCGTGAACGGTGTAGCGTGCTGCTTGGGGTTGGGTGTAAATGGGGGTGACTCGCGTTGGGTGCGGCAGCAAAGCGTGTACAACAAAACGCTCCTCCGCGCCTCCTTCCTTCTCGTCTGTGACGGCGGCGGTGGCGCACCGGACAAAATCGCCTGGTTCAGGGCTGGCCGCCATGAGAGCATCGCCGCGGCCATTTGTCGCAGCCGCCAGCTCTTGCAGGCGACAGCTCGCCAGCACGTTCCATACAAGTTCTGCTTTCGCACTCAGCAGACGGACCTGCTCTGCCGCGGGTACGTGCTGCATCCACCACGCCTGCCACGCCCCTTCCCGTTCCTCACCACTGCAGAGGAAATGAAGCGCTTGCTCGAGCCACGGCGCTAACGCTTGAGCTGTAGAAGACGAGCTAGGCTGCGGCGGCTCCGTCCCACACCACAGACACAACATCATCGCCGCTGCCTCTGCGTACCGCCCTTTTTCCAGCGCGGCGGTGACGTGGTAGGTGCGGACGAAAGGAACTGCCGCCGGGCCGAAGTGATGCGGAGAGAAGAAGTTCGGTATAGTTTCGCTGCACCGTAGAGCGGTGCGGTCGAGCTGATCGGCGGGTCCACCACGTTGGTCGAAGCCGCGAAGCAAAACGGCGTACTGCAGCTGAGGAGCTGCGCTGGCGGGCTCCGTTGAGGTCCCACCACGCCGCTCTCCTGCGCAAGAGTGTGGACGGCCATAGAGGAGCTGCAGCCCAACTGTGGGCTCGTAATCTTCGCCTCTCCCGTCGCTTGCGAGGTTCACGTGGGCGAGGGCACGGGCAACGTGCAGGCAATGCTGAACGGCTTCCTCCCTCTCCGTGCTGCCCTTTCCACGAAGCGCAACAGGGATGGCGACGAGCACACTGCACAGCTGCACCACCACATGCTCGTCATTCTCTGGCACAACAAGATTCACATGAACGTCTTCTCGCTGAATGCGTCCTTCCGCTGCGTCGATGACGCGCGCAACTGCAGCCGCCAGGGATACCCCTCGACGGTACAGCACGCAGTGCAAATGCACCTCGACGGGAGACGAGGCGAGGCAGGACTCCAGAGACTCGCGGAAAGAAACTGGTTTCCTACTGCGGTGCTTCTTCCTGCGCGTCGCATCGCTCGTCGTGGCGCCACCCTCATCTTCACCCTCTCCGTGCACGTGCGTGGCGGCTGCGCGATCCCCCACCGCCGCTGGATGCGTCGGCTGCGTGAACACCACCACCGCCCCATTCGGCAGCACCTCGCTGACCTGCACGTCGCTGACGTAGCGGAAGAAGCAGCGCAGACGCGGTCGGCGGCGCCGTTGGCCGTGTGTGCTCAACGAGGCGGCGGCGTGATGAAAGCTCAAGGCGATGCCGGCGCTCTCGCGCGCAGCGTTGCTCAATGCCCACAACGAAGTACTTGCAGAGAGAACGTCTGCGCGCCCCGCTGCTGGCGCGGGATTGGCGTGACGCACGCGACAAGCGTCCACGGCACGTCGCAGCAGTTCCATCGCCTTTGCGGTGGTGATGGACGTCTTCGCATCAACTCCTGCTTTCAAAAAAACGCCACCGCCGCCGCTGCTGCCGTCTTCCGCTGCCGCCGCGTCGTGCAGGTATCGCGCCAGTTGCTTCGCCAGGAACAGCGTGTCAGCGATGGCAAGGCGGGACGCGATGCGCTGCAGAAGCGGTGCCTGTAGTGATGGATTGTAGGCACGAACGGCGGCGGCAAGTTGTTCGCGTGATTCGTCTGCGCTCCTTTCCGACGTAGGGAGCGGCTGAAGCGATGTCGCGGTGGTAGAGGAGTCGTCGTCGAGTTCCAGTTGCACGTTTTCTTCCACCGATGCACGGTGCGGGGCGGAGTTTGCCACCCGTGTGGGTCGGTCCGTTGCTCCCTCTTCCGCCATAGCGTTGGCGTTCGACTGCTGCTGTCGAAGCTGATGGAATTCTCCACGAGACAACGCGAAGGTCGCGTGTGCGCGTTCAATGAAAGCCGAGAAGGTAGTGGGAGAAGGTAACGAGTCCTCCGCTGCGCCGTTCTGCTGTCGTTGCTGCCGTTGTTTTTGGGCAAATGTCTGCAATGCAGGAATTAAAAAATGCGCAGACCCAACGGAGGAGCCGAGGCCAACGTCCGCTGCGCCGTCTACATTGTTCCTTGGAAGGTGGCGGATGGCCCGCGCCATTGCCGCGGCGACGCTCTGCCCGCTACACCATCGGGTATTGCACTTCATCGTGAACGTCTCCTATACTTCGGTTTCGTGTGCTCGGAGCAAGAAAGAAGAAGAAAGGCAAGAGGAGAGAAGACAGATAGTGACAAGAAAAGCACAGCAACCTCCAACGAGGCTGTAACAGGGTGAAAATTATCAGCTGGGGTGTGAAGAGAGTCGATCTGGTGGATGCTTAGGCGAACATGACGCACAGCGTGCACGCACCGATTGCTTCCCATTTGTTTCAAGTGCGATCCGCCAGAGGATAAAACACTTTTTTCCCTTTTTTCAAACCTCAACTCCTCGAGCCATAACATCGGGCTGTTGACAAAACGGTCGTTCATGTACGATGTACCTCGCTCTCACACTTTGCTAACCTTTAATGTGTTTCGTTTTCTCTTTCTTTTTCGAGTCTTTCCCCCAGTTGTCCAATCATAGGAATGAACCAACGCATCATCCTTCACTTCTTTCGCAAACACACAAACAACCGTTAGGTTTTCTTTCCCTTTCTGTCTGTTATTTAACGACACGCAAGATGTGCTGTTTACATTTGTGCTTTCAACCTGGTTTTTCACGGGATCAGGAAACACAGACCAAAGGTCTTTGTTTGCCTCTCACCGCGTCCATGAGAAAGTCATTAATAATGAAAATAAAAACAAAGAAGAGACGCACGTTGGCAAATAGAAACGTTGAAACGTTAATTTTTTCTTTTTGAGTGTCTAACAAGCTTCTGTTTTTTCGGGCTTTCTTTCTTCCTTCATCCACACTGTTGCGTTAAGACTTGTTAGGATACAGTGAAAATAGATAAATAAATAAGAATGTTTTTCGACTCGAAACAACAACCTAAGAGCTCCGTTTTTCGAGGTTCTCCCCCTCCGTTTTTTTCTAGAGCTCTTCAGCTCACTTTCATAGAAATTGGAAGTCCTCCTCTTTCTCTGTATGTTCAGCGTTTCTACTCCTTGCCCTGGCGCAGCTTCGACTCCTTCTTTAGGCGGCTGTGGTCGCCATTCAGAAACGCAAAACGGGTGACAATCTCCGTAAAGATCTGGAAGTCAAGGATCTTGTTCACAACGCGGAAGACGGCGCACGTCGTACCCTGGTCCCACACGGTCAGACGACCCGCAGAGGCGAAGATCTGATCAGCAATGTTCATCGGCGACGCGGCGGCCTTTTGCGCCGCCTTGAGCGAGTTGAGCGACGGCCCTTCGTTCTTGTAGAAGTTTGTGTTCACCGGGGAAGGGTGGATGACGACGACATCGATGCCGAGGTCGTGGTTCTCCGCGGCGATGGTGCTGCCGAAGTTGGTAAGGAACGCCTTCGAGGGGCTGTAGAGGGTCGCGGTCGGCCCCGGCAGGTAGCAGGAGGCGGAGGAGGTGAAGGTGATGAGTCCCTTCACCTTGCGCTCGATCATCTTGCGCAGGAAGTGGTGCGTGATCGGCACGGCACACCCCGCGTTGCACTCGAGGTTGCAGCGCAGGCGCTCCAGGTCGGTGTCCGCGAAGAGGCCAGTGCAGATGTAGCCCGCGTTGTTGAAGAGAACGTTGATCTCCAGGTCGTCTGTCTTGCTCTTGATGTCCGCCATGTAGGCGTAATCCTTGGCGGCGAGGTTGACACCGACCTTTCGAAACTCGACGCGCGGGTACTTCTTCTGCAGCTCCTGGAAGGTGTCCTCCAGAATCTTGTCATCCAGTGCCACGAGGACGACGCTGATGCCCTGGCCCGCAAGCTTTTCGGCAATCGCCTTGCCGATGCCGCTGCTGGAGCCGGTCACGAGGCCCCACTTCGCCTTGTACTTCTTCGCGAGGTCCTGCGGGAAGTACAGGGCGATCTGCTCAATCGCGATGGCGATCAAGTAGGTCAGGATACTGAGGAGTCCGATCCATCCGCAGATGTAGCAGAAGATGGCCCAAATCCACGTGTCAATGTAGATCATCGTTAAGAAGAGAAATTTTTTTTTGTTGGCTTAGTGGGAGATGCTCGGAGAGCTGCGCTGTCACGAACGAACAACAATAAAAGAAGAGGGAAATAGTAGGAATAAGAGAAGACAGGGAAAAACAAACACACACACTAAGAGCGAGGCAAGCGAATGAAATGTCAGCAAAGATCAATACGGTATAACTCAAACAACGACACGCAAGTAGAAGATGCAAAGGTTGTGAGGGTCGTTTCGAGATATTTGAGGAGGGAAAGCAGCAACAACAATAATAACAATAGCGAAGAGGAGGAAGGTGAGGAAAACACGCAGCGTAGAGATGGGGGAGGGGGGCGGGCGGTGAGGAGTGCGGAAAGGAAAGAAGGGGTTTTTAAAGAGTGCATGCGGTGGACCATAGGTGCGGCATTCGTTCGTTTGAATAACAGACCCGGGATATCTTGCAAGACAACAACCGCAACACATAAGAAACACGACAATAACACTCGTTTTCTCACTACGCGTTCGCAAAAGAAGCAACGAAATTGTGTCGAGTTATTCGGTGTTGTCCATGTGTTGCCTTCGTGGCACTTGCTAGCATTTACTCTTTACCGAGGCGCCGCTCATGAGCCAGACGTCGGATAATGACACTCCATTACAAAGACAGCAACAACAACAAAAGAAGAAGGCGTGCAACTCCGCAGGTGGGGGGATGAGTGGAGCAATTATATATATATATGTGTGTGTAAATATGACACGGGAGATCAACAGAAGCAGCAGTCACAAAAACAAGAGTAAAAGTCGAAACGCAGAAGCAGAGGTTAGAAAGCTCGATAGCACATTTACCGGACATGTAGAACACGTTTTTTTCTGCTCACGTCGCAAAAGGGCACCGCACTAGGAGACTGCAACACGGGCCGTCGCCGCTGCTCCTTGCGGCATCGCGTCCGTCTCGCGCCGATAAACTGACAGGGTACCGCAGCTGAAAGGCGAACAGGTCACAGGGTAACGGGCTCGCAGCGACTTCGTCTACCTTCTCTGTCCACGCGCCCGTCTTCCCGCTTCTTTGGGCCTGTCGGTGCTCTCGCCGTGGCAGAAAACGCGCGGCGGACGTCGCGACATCGCTGCGGGTCACGAACAGCGCCGCCCCACTTTCCTTCACGAGCTGCGACGGCAGGCACACCGAGAAGGCGTAGGGGTACCCCACACGCGGCAGGAACGTCTTGTCGCTGTAGTAAAACAGCACCTGCTGCAGCCCACAGCCGAAGAGATGCATCGTGCCCGAGCTGGTGAGGCAGACGACGATATCGTGCAGGGCCTCCGTCAGCAGCTGATACTGGCGGTTCGGCAAATCCGCGTAGGGGACGACGACACCGCTGTCACTGCCGCAGCGCTCATGGCCCTCAGCGGCGCCACCACCGCCGTTCACCACCGCCGCGGCGGAGCGCAGGTGACTACCGGGCTGGGGCACGGAAACAATGGCGAGCGACACGGTGTCGGTTACAGCGGGCAGTCGTCCCCGCTCAAGGCTCAGCCGCTCGCTGATGATGTCGTCCCCCACAAAGTCCACCAAACGAAGGCGCATGCCCTGGTTGCTCATGGTGACCCCGCTTCTGCCGTCTTCGGTGATGGCCACGGCACGCAAGGGAGCTTGGTGCAGCACGCGGTCGACAAGTCGGTGACTCTCCCCGGAGTTGAAGGCAGCGGCGGGTGCGCTGAACGGGCGCGCGGGGCTAGCTGGGCTGTCGTACGCCGTCGCGGTCAGCACCGACTTCTTCAGCGTGAGGAGGCGGACCTCGCCTTTCTTCTCCCCGGGCAGCATCACGCGCAACCGCTGCACCATCATCCCTGCCCCATTCGAGGCAGTGAAGGTGGCCGCAATGGCGATCATGTCTGTCAAGTAGGCGTTGCTGCTTGGGGGGTACACTGGGAGGGTGTAGAGCGGACGGAGGCGGTGGTCCAGCACGTAAAGCGTGTGGGACCCCGCAATTTTCGGGTCGCCAGACGAGGCCGCGATGACGGCGTGCGGGCAAAGGTGAAGCGCCGCCACGGTGGACGGACACTCCGCGTAGGCGAGGGTGGCCGCGATGGTGGAGGGCGGCACGCTGGCATTCGCAAAGGCAGACGCACACCAGCCTTCGTACCACTCCGCTACGGCGGCGTTTTCCTCCACTGACCAGGGTCGCACCGCTCGAGACGCAGCCGTTGTTGTTGTAAAGAAGGTGGAGGGCGGTGGTTGGCTGATGTCTGCCAGCTGCACTCGTGCCGCCGCCGACCGCCGTTGGACTCCTGTGAAGGCCACCACGCTGCACTGCTTGTAGAGGCTCAACAAACCAACACCACCGTAGACGGCGCACCGGCACACCTCTTGGAGAACCCCGCCATCCTCCGTCTCCGCCCGGCCGCTGATTTGGGGAAGGGGCGTGGAGCCGAGCGACGCCCCGCTCAGCGTACTGACAAGCGGCTCCGTGCTGTAAACGAGGAATCCGTCCGGCGTGCCGACGCCGATGTTGCGGCCGGAGGCGGACCAGGTAACGCACGTGACGGTGTGGAAGTTGGATGGTGCCGTGTTGGCAGGGGTGGGACTTGCGTGCTGACTCTTTGCCTGCCGCGGAGTCGCTGCCGCGCTCGTTGAACCCGCCGAATACGACGACATTGGCTTTAGGGTGTATAATGTTGGTGCGTGTGTGTGATGTCGAATTCAAGGAGGAAGGAAACCTTGAAAAAGGAGAGGAGGAAAAAGAGGCACTTAACGAACCACAAGCAAACCAGCAGACGGAGGCGTGTTCTGCCGTCAGACGGGAAGGAGATATTCTTCTCAAGGACGGTGGTCGAGATGGGTGTGCGTTTTCATAGAATTTTCTTGCGGTTCCTTTAAAGCGCACATATCAAATGAAAAGAAGAAGAAGAAAGACACACCACAGAAAGAAGGAAAGGTCATTAAAAGTCTGCTGCAATGCGACTCGCTTCATTTCCCAGATGCTGGCTACATTGAGCATTTGTTTTTCTCCAAACACACGCATTTCGGAGAGCTTACAGCACTTCAGGAAGCGTGCTCGCGCGGGTGTCGCACCACCGATTGCTGCTACGTCAGGATGTGCGTTTCCTAACTTCCTGCGATATTACTCTTTCTCTTTCCTTTTTGTATATATTTAAACTGTGAATCCCATAACCACATCGTTGGCACGTAATACAAAAACTTCGTTCTGTCACCGCACAGAGAAAGACTGCCGAAGGTTCTCCTCACGCGTAGACATGCGGCGAGCAGCATCACTGCAGCCTCTGCGGGCTTGTCCGTGAACGGTTGTTGCGGCCGCAGCCGACGACACCGATGACGATGACGCGCGCTGCTGTCGAGCGGTCTGGCGGTGTTCGAGGGCCGCCTTCTCACGCGAGTGTTCGTGCACAGAGGTGAGAGCGTAGGCGCGGAGGCGGGCGTGCTCCGTGGACGGGGCCAAGACGCGAACAGGCGTAAGTTGCGATGCTTCATCCGACGAGGTACGTTGTTGCTGCTGTTGCTGCCAGTATAACGCGTGCGCACAGTACGCGAGCCGCGCAGATGCCTCCTCACACATGCACCCAATGGAGAGCCACCGAGGCGGTGGAGGAGAAGGAGGGATCACGGTGCTTGCAGGAAAATTCAGCGCCTGCCGGAACCGCGGTGCTTGACACATGAGGTCCCACTCCTGCGTGGGCGAGAGGACGCATATTCGCTGAAGCTGGCCGCTTCTTGTCGCCGCGTCGCACTGCAACTGCAGCAGCTGATCGACCGTTTGGAGAAGGGCCTGTCGCGCTTGCCGCTCTTGAAGTGAAAGAGGCGAGGCAGCCGCGACAGCAGCGCCAGGGGGAGAAGCGGCCTCGCTTTGTTGCGTCGAGGGCCGCCAGTAGGCGCTCCGCTTGATTGCCCACAGCGCCGAAAAAGGCACGATGACGGTGGGCATCTCATCCGTGTTCGCCGCGCTGTGGGCGTCTAACGCAGCCGCAGCGGCCCGCACATCCTCCATCCACAGGCGCAGGTAACGCCCGCCCAGCAGCGGCTCGGTCAGGAAGTCGCAGCTGCACAGCTCCAGCGCAGCGGGCCGCGTCTGCCACGACGCCTCCGGGTGCCACCACCAGCGATAGTGCGATGCGGAAGGTGCAACAGTGGTGTGCAGCTGCACCTCGGACCAATGACGCGCAAAGAGACTGGTCCAGAAAAGGGCATCGATGGACCGCTTCAGCGTGTCGTGCCGCAGTTCTCCCTGGCCGGGCAATGGACGACGCTGTGCGTTGGAAGTCGCCGTTGCCTTCCACCCTTTGCGGACGCCCACGTACAGGGTAAACCAATCGCCGTACGCGACGTGGGTGGCATCGCGGTGCGGCGCGGAGAGGAGGCGCGTGGCAAACAACTCCACGGCTGCATCGGCAGAGGGGGGCGCTGGGGAGAAGGTGGTCGACGCCGCACTCCGGCTTTGCCTCTGCAGAGAAGAAACCGCTTGTCTGTGAACGTCAGTTATGCGACGCCACGTACATCGCCGTGCGGGCGAAGAGGAGAAGCTCGTGAGGAAGAGCTTCCTCGTTGAGAAGACTGACATCGGCGGCTACAGTAGTGTACACCAACCGCGTTGGGGGGGGGGGGTCCGCTCTGGAGACGTTGCCAGAACAGCTCACAACGCAGCGTAAAGAACAAGACGCTTTTAATTGTTAAAGCAAGCAGATAGTTGGATATCAGAGCGTTCGCTAGACAACAGCGAGAGTCGTGGAGCATCGGGATTACACAAAACGATGGCGGTACACACGTAGATGGAGAGTCAGGGGGGAGGACAGAAGCATGGCAAAGTGCAAAGGAAGGAAAACAATACGGTTTCAAAAACCAAAAACGTGCAGTTTTAGCTGTTGTCTTCTGTGAACGCTCCTGCTCAGTGACGCGTGCGTTCCTTCACAGCACGACGACATCAACTCTTCCATCTGTCCCGCTTCCAATTCCATGCCAGGACTTTCGCTAAAAGCGGGGGACTAGAGGAAAGCAGCCAATTCAGGGAATGACATCGAAGACACACGTGCAGGCGGGTTTTGGATTTTACGTCTAATAATTCATTTTTTCTTCTTTTTGATCTGTCCGTATAATAAGAACGTATTAAGGGTGAAGAAACAAGAACGAAGCAAAAACCAATAAACCACCCGATTTACCTCTTCTCAGCTGTTCATCCACGGCTTCCCTCCGACCGACCCAGGAATGAACATCTCACCGTACAGATGAATAAGTGAGAAGAAACAAGACACAACACACACAGAAACAAAACCAACAATACAGTTAAGATTTGCGGACCAGTCGGGGAAAGAAAAGAAAAAAAAGTAGATCGAAGTTTTTTTGCGCTGCTGAGAAGAAAAGCCGTTCGTCAGAATTCAGCCTCTTTTGATCTTCGTTGTTTTGCTTGCTTTTGTATGTATGTATGTATGCGGAGGAATTGCTGATGAATAGGTGCCGAGACGGGTGACAGTAGAAAGCAGCCTTTCGTTGCGTATCCTTTGGTGCTTTGTACGCAAAGCCGCGGCGGAGTACAACCACTCTACCGCTTTCCACAAAGGGCAAAAACAATCGAAGCGGAAGGGAACACACACGAGGAAAAACCACACGTACAGATCACCATAATAATAAAGAATCGCATCGTTTTCGGGAGCTGCAACCATGGAGGAGGAGGAGAGAGAAAAAAAGGCACGAGTCTACAACGTTCTTGAAGGAGAACGAGTTCGAACGTCAATAGGGCAGGTGAGGTGCGGCTCGCTAGCACACTCCACACCAGATTAGCCCTTCCGGTGTATTCTTTTTTGTTTCCTGTGGAGAAGTGAGGGCCGTAATCAAATATCACTTCGAAGGTAGAGGGGAGTGAGATGGAAAAAGGCCAGCATTAAGTCCGGGAGACTTAGTACTTGGCGGGGGAAGCAAGGGCCGTCTTGACGGCGTTGCGCAGCTCGTCCACCGCCTCCTTGCGGTTTTTGGCCTTGAAGACGGACGTGCCGGCAATGAGAATGTTCGCACCGGCGTTGGCTGACAGCTCTGCGGTGCCGTTCGCCACACCGCCGTCGACGCCGATGTTCAAATGCGGAAAGTTGCGGCGCAGCTCCGCGATGAAGCTGAGGCGCTCCTTGCGAAACGACTGCCCACCGAACCCTGGTTCCACCGTCATGACGAGAACCATGTCGACGTAGTGGTGTTCAATCAACTCCCGCAGCTCCGGCGTGAGGGAAGTGGCCGGCTTCACCGCCACTCCCACCTGCATCCCGTGGGAGCGGATGAGCTGGCACACTCGCTTGCTGCTGTCGGTGGCCTCGATGTGGAACACGTACGACGACGCGCCGGCCTTCGCCATCTCCGGCACCCATTTTTCGGGATCGCTGACCATGCAGTGCACGTCCAGAAACACATTCGGGAAGCGGGCACGCAGTGCGGAGACGACGCCGAAGCCGATGCTGATGTTGGGCACCATGTGTCCATCCATCACATCCACATGGATCCATTCCACTGCTCCCCCGGCAGGCGAAACCACGCTCTCCACCTCCTCGCCCAGCTTGCAGAAGTCGGCGGCTAAGATAGAGGGGTCAACGATGGGCTGCAGCGGGGCATTGGGGCGCTCCACGGTGTTTAGCCACGTCGACTTATCCTGATGGTTGTATAGATTAAACATTTTGTGCGTGCGTCGCTGTGAATTTCTATGACTGATCTACGGTGGTAGTAACAGCAATACGAAAGCAGTCTCCGCTCAGCGAAAAACAAACAAACTCAGCTACGCTGTTTAGATTATTATTTCTTTTCTCGATGGATCAGGCAAACGGGAAAACAGGAAGAGCAACCCGGAAAAAAGGTTATAATAATAGTGACAGTAATGGTGAATGAGAGAGGGAAAATAAAGTAGGACAGATACGTTTAACAGGATCCTGTAGGGAGAGAAGAAACTAATTATAACAGAGAATTTATGAGAGAGTTGCTTTGGGCAAACCCTTCAGGAGGTGAGATAGTGAGGGGATACAGCGTCGAAAAGCGAAATCGTGGAGAGGAAAGGGAAGTAGAGCCTGTGGCACGGTGACGACGCTTCGGTAACAAGGTCTCGTCGCGTTGCATGAGGGGATATGCACGAAAAGCTAGTCACGTAGTAGAACTATGCAGATTGGAAAAGGAGGAAATGCAGCAACAACCAATTTCCCTTTCAAGTACAGCGAAGCACACGGGTAAAGTAAACGCTAATGATCCTCGTGACATTTCAAAAGTTCGACGGTTTTCGTTCTCTGTGCTTTATTAGATGTGGTGAAGCAACACCAAATGACAACAAGTCCAACCTAAAATAGAAACGTGCATATCTATCTTGTTTGTTCACGTATGGAAAGAAACATAGTTCTTTTATCTCCATTGGCAAGCACGCCGTCACCAGCACCGCATTCGTTTTCACACACATTGGAAAGAGTAATAAAAAGGCAAGCATGTAAGTACGCATGTATATATACAAAAACATGGAAGTGCACGGGGGTGACAGGAACAGAAGAGGAATTAAATAGCATAAACAACCAAGAAGCAAAAAGGAAAGCAGCAGTGCCGTGAAACCATTACAAATGGCCAAGCGTATGTGTGGTCTCTCTGTGATGGGTTTTTTTTCATTTCCCCCTTTCCTCTGACGGGAGCGTCGCTGCGCGGGGCAGGGGGGAGGGGGGAGGAGGTGTACTATCTTTTCATTTCCTCTCTTTCTACTAACGGTGAAAGAGGCCACAAAAGGACAGCATTCTACGCAAGAGAAGAAAACATGTGCTGTTAAAAAAAAGAATATATAAAATCACTTGCACGACTTTCTTCTCCACCACGCACGCTGCTACATGTGGCAACGACCCCCTCTTCCCCTCGCTGGCACATTCGCGTCCACCGTTAAAAGCAAACAAAACAGACAACAACAAGGAGAAAAGAAGAAGGCCAACTAAATCAACGGATTAATGCAAGCAGAGCCACGAAAACGTGGAGCACGGCTGTATACGTTGAAAGCCTGCGCGTGTGCTACAGCACGTATACGTTATCACTTCGCTGATTTTCAGTGAAGAACGAAGAAGAATTACGCGCAGAAAACTCAAAGAAGTTTCTCTACTTGTTATTTTATTCGTAGTAGCTGAGCTACTGCGTTCGAGCGCTACGTGACACTCCCCCAGAAATGAAATAGAAACAAACTGCCCATACTCTGTGCGCACACTCCTCCCCCCCCCTCCACACATAAAACACGATAAATACGAATTGATATTGCATTTTTTAATACTCCCCACGATCGCCTCAACGACTCTGCACACCGTCGTCATCACTTGGCATATTTTGCACGCTGCTGTTCAGACTGCGCAGCGACGGCGATTGACGCTCAGGGCGGTACAGCTGCTCTGCACCTGTCTCCGCTGCCGGAGGAGCTGCAGTTGGACGGCGCGCTGCGCCACCGTAGCTGCCACCGCTGCCGCTGCTACTCATAGTGCTACTGTGAACGCTGATGATGCCGTTTTGGCCGCTGACGGCATCCAACACGGCCGGCACGGTGCGCACGTCCGTCTCCTCAACGGGGCGGATGGCGGCAGCAGCAGCAGCAGCAGGAGGAGAGGCAGAAGCTGCAGGGGTGGCGTGAGCGGCGGTCTTCTCATCGGGACGAGTCACCGTGACATGCTTGTGCGGAGCGTCGCCCGCATTGAGCCCGCCGTCAGCTGCTGTGTGTGCCGCAGACGACGGGGGAAGGGTAGTGGAATGCAGCGTCTTCTCTGCCTCCCCCGCCTCCCCCTCGCCGTACAACAACCCGCGGTCTTCTCCATCCGCCGTCGAAACGCCGTGCCCGGCCTCCTTGACCGCAGCGGCGTTGTTACTCTCGTCATCGTTGTCGAAGTTCGTACCACCCCACATCGGCTTCGGCCGCGTTGCGCGCTGCATGTACTCGAGGCTCATCGTCGGTGAGGAGGCTGTGCGTGCGGCGAAGCTGCTGTTGTTGCGCTGCAGCTCCTCCAGGCAGTCGTACAGCCGCTTCTCCACCTCCAGCTCCGATAGGCGCTGCTTCTCCACGATGGGCTTGTTCTTCTTGTTCTCGAGGTAGCCGCAGACCACCGTGATAACAACAGTGAGCCCCGTCGCGGCGATGAGCAGCTTCTCGTAATGCCCCATCATGGCTAGCGAGCAGAGGAGGAGGAGGCAGAGCACAAACACGTTGAAGCTGCGGGGACCGAGGAGCCGGCCGATCTTGTTGCCCACGAAGACACCAGCAAAGCCGAAGACGACCACGTCGATCAGCAACGGTGCCATTTCCCACATGAATGACCCTTGTGCAACGGCCATGAAGAACCGAATCACGTTGCTGGGAATTGACTGGGCACTGAAGTTCACCCGAACAATGTAGTTCGGTGCGTCGTACAGGAGGATGAAGATAATCTGCGGCGGCGCATTCACACCAGTCAGCGAGGCCATGATGCCCGCCACGGATGCCGCCACGGCCGCGCCAATCTTCGTGTTCATCTTGATCTTTCCGTTTGCGTCAATGTTGCGGTTGATGCGGACACGGGTGTAGGTCATGGTCCGCGACGGCGAAATCTTCGACGGGGTCAGCGGCGGCACGTTCTCCTCGTTCACGTGTGGCTCCTGCGTCTCCGGTGCGACGAAGACTTCTCCACCGATGGTGCTGAGGAAGGCCTCGGTCGTGTCCGCCGGCAGACCGGTGCGGGCGTCAACCACAATCGCCTGCGTGTTCTCTGCGATCACCGTCGCGCCCGGCATCTCCAGATGGTGGTCCGGAAGGGAGGACTGAATAGACTGGCTAATGAAGGGCATGTTGCGGGCGAGGGCAGCCATGTTCGGCTGGCCGCCGGCTGCCCCGCTTGGGTTCGGTGGGTGCGACACGAAGATGCTGTTGTTCGGCGCGTTCAGCACAAAGCTCGACTGCATGTGCACAATGCTGGTGTTAAGGCTCCGCTGCGCCTCCTCAGCCAACGCGTCCGCCTCCACGACGAGTTTCACGTGACGCGCCCGGAGTTCCTGCACCTGTCGCGTCTTGCGCCACTTACGGTAGATGATAATGCAGAGGTACGCGATGGCAAAGATGAAGCTGGTGATGCCCAGAACTTGTTTCAGAACAGCGCCGTTCAGTTTCTTGAAGAGCAGCACACCAATAATGGAGAGGATGGTGCTGGGGACCGCCATCATGATGGTCATGGACCTGGAGAAGATGCTATCATTCAAGCCCAAGTACACCACCAGCGGCGACATGAAGAGCAAACGGACGTACATGATCAGGGCCACCACCCGGACCGGCTCGGTGCCCAGCGGGGTGTTGCTGAACGCCTCCGGCCACAGCCCGGTGGCGAGGAACCACAGCACCTGCATAAAGATGGCATCGCCAATACCCGCGACACCTTGAATGATACTAGAGATAAAGTTGAAGATGCCAAGCGTCACGAAGACAACGATTGGTGTCGCCATTTTCTCTTCGTTTCTCTTTGGTTGAAACCTCCCTTCTTTTCGACTTGTTCTATGGTTTGTACGGTTGCAGAAACTAATGAAAGAGAAAAGAATAAGAAGCGTAGACCGGTAGTTTTTGATGGTAGGCCGCTAGCGGACGCACACACACTCACACACACATACACACCACACACACATACACCCAGGCTTGAACAGTCCGAGTTGTGGTAACGTTGCGTGTCACAGAGAAGAAGCGCGATAGAAGGAAGAAGAGAGAAGGCGAGAGAAAAGGGTAGAGGAGTGAATCGAATCACTCAGCAACGTATCTTCCTGCTCGTATTCATCCTCTATACATTTCTGTACAGCTGAACATCAGGTGGTGAATGGTAGAGGAAAAGAGAGAGCGTCAACAAGCGAGCGCTCTTGGAGAGAGGGACGGTTTAAATCACAGTGTGAGAGTAGACGTGTGGATTACCCCTAGAGGTTGTACGGTTTTATTGACATACATATCCTTTCCACAGCAACAACAAAAAGAACCAGCTCAAACGTTGGCTAGCAGTATATCTGACTCCTCGGAGAGGTAAACATTGCGGCAGAGACTCCATCGCGTCTCCACGAAGGACTCCAACATCCCCACCGCCTCCACCAACGTCAACGGATCAAGGGGCGCCCCATTCATCCCATTCACAAGGCCCATTCCAGGCGGTGCGCCGACTTCCTTTTCATCGTTCAGTTCATGCAGAGGTAGCAGCGCCGCACCTTCCGCATTCAGTCGGCCCTCTCGTGCGAGGACAGAGGACAGGTAGTCCGCCAGCACGCTGGCTCCTCCAGATGACGACCCAGAGGAGCTTAAAAGAAAGCGTCGAGTGTCGTGGCGCAATGCCAGCACCATTTCCTGAAGCACACTGCCCATTTTGATCGCGCACGCCACGAGTCCGTACAGCGCTGCAGAGAGCTGCGACGGCGTTAGCAGGAACAACGCTGACGGAACGAGCCTCGTGCTGCCTTCCACTGCTGTGCCAACGAGCGACTCCACCAGGGCCATCTTTGCCCTAAGCTGCTCCACTTTCTGAGGCCACGCCTGCTGTGTGACCCGAGAAATGACCCCCAGCAATTCCTCTTCATCGCGCTGATGCAGTGCGATGAGGTGCTGTGTGGTGGAGGCTGGGAAGGCGGCCAACACACCCAAGGGAGACGTGGCGACGGCGGTGGTGGTGTGCTGGCAGCGCGGATCGGCTTGTCTGTTTGGGTCGCGAAGCGATGCAGCAGCGTCTGGATGTTCACGTACGGCAGAGGTTGACGTGACGCTTGCGCGACTGTTCTCTGATGGCGCCGTATCTTCATCTTCTTCCAAAACGAAGAACGATGACGGACCCGAAAAGCAGTGCTCACGTCGTCGCACCGCGCCTGCCAAGGTGTTTTTTTGCATCATGATATTCTCTAAAGCGGACAGGTGTGTGTACAAGGTGGGAAGGAGGTTTTGAGCTTCGCGATACGTCTGCACGACACCCGACACACATTTCTGTAGTTTGTCGGTCATCTTCTCTGAACTCTTGATCGTTTCTTCTTTCCTCTTTGTTTCTATCGTGACTGCCGTGACGATGACCCAATGTGCGTGTGCGTCAGTTGGAGACAAGCCCACACTGACGGCTAACAACCATGCAGCGAGGCAGAAGAAAAAAGGTGGAGAAAACCAAATGGTGGGGGAGAGAAGGCGAAAGAAACACTAGCGTAGAGGACGGAAAGCGTGAAGCACATGCCGGTGAATTTTTGAGCGTATGTAGCTTCTCAATCAGCACCACATAGAGGCCAAATCCAACATGCCTCAGGTGATTAAAAAAAAACCTTTTCCTGCTTTACCTGGACTCAACGAACATGCCGTCATGAGCTTAGGAGAAGGGAAGCGCTTCGTCGCCTATTCAGTCATCGGAACGAAGTCACCACTGCAACTTTAACACCTGCGTTGTTTGATGTCAATTCAGCCTATTCTTCTATTTCAAAACAGCGACAACCGACAACAACAAAGGAATGCACCATCGTGTTCAAGTTGGTATCGTCCACAGGAGAGACGAGGCTGGGAGCATTCACGAGGCACTCCTCTACGTGACTACTCTTCAGCTCCTCGAATTGGCTCTAGAGTGTGGGGCAACATTGCATCGATCTCCTCATCCTGCAACTCCACCCACCGCTTCACCTCCTCAGCACCCATCCCCCGCCTCCCGTCCGCCGCCAGCGGCTTCTGCGCGGCGATCTCGCCAGCCGCAGGCACGCTGACCAGCATTGACCGTGCTCGCGCAGCCGCGTTAGCCGTGACACGAGTAGCAGCGGCAGCAGCCTCCGCGGCTCCCGTGCGTGTGCCGTCGACGTACTCCCAGAGAGGCGGAGGGCGGTGCTGCTCGGCACGGCGGATGCGGCTCGAGGTGCGGCTGCTGACGCCGGTCGACACGCTCGCCGTGTCCGCCAGCGCCGGGCAGCTGACGGTGCGCGAGCACGCGGGGTCCCTCGTCTCGCTGGAGAGGGACGGCGAGGGCGGCGTGGCGTCCGCCGTGGCCTGTCGTGACAGCAGCGTAGAGCGAGGACCGGGCGCCGCGGCGGCGGTCTGACTAGCCTTCGGCGCGTCTGCGGGGGGCGGGGTGGCACTGCCGCTTGCAGCACCGGTGGGGGTGTTCGGTGCCGCACCTCTGCGCCGCTCCTCCAGCTCCGTCTCCATCTCCACCTGCAGCTTCACCTTGGCGGCAGTCTGCCGGTGCTCGTAGACGGCCGCACCGACGGTGAGGAGGGTGGTGCACGCCGTGAAGCCGACCAGCACGGCAACGCTTTCCGTGATCATCACCAGCGAGGAAAGCAGCAGCAGCACCAACACGAAGACGTTGTAGCTCTTAGGACCGAGCATTTTACCGAGCTTCACACCGAAATAAATGCCGAGATAACCGCTGATGACGGACGTCGCAAACAGCGGAATCATCTCCTTCGTGAACAGGCCCGTGGAGCAGGCGTAGATGAAGCGGAGGGCCGCGCTCGGAATGGACTGCATGGCGAAGTTGACGCGCATGATGTACTGCGGCACGTCGAAAAGCAGAATAAACATAATCTGCGGAGGCGCGCCCACACCGGTCAGGGAGCCCATAATCCCAGAGACCGCCGCTGCAATGGCAGCGCCAATCTTCGTGGACAGCTTGATCTTGCCGTTCTCATCCAGGTTGCGGTTCACACGCACGCGGGTGTACGACATGGTGTTGGACGGCGACAACTTCGACGGCGTCAGCGGCGGCACCTCCACCCCGGCACCCGACTCCGTCACCTCGCGCGCCTCCGCCTCCGTGCGGCGGAACGGGGAGCCGGTGGAGATGCTGACGAAGGCGGGCGAGGCCGCATCCACCGACGGCTGTCCGCCGTTCTGTGGAGCCGACTCGCGTGTGAAGCTCGAGTTGCGGCTTGCGTTGAGGTCCGCCTCCACGGCGTCCGTCTCCGGCAGGATCGTCACGGCCGTCGCCTCCATCGCCGCGCCGTGGTGCTGGCCAGCGCCGAGGCGACGCAGCTTGCGCCTGCGCAGGACGTACTTCGCGATGAGCGTGACGACGTACATGGCGGCGAAGGCGAGACCGGAGATGCCCAGTACCAGCTTCAGCTCCTCGCTGGTGGCGCCCCTGAAGATGAAGATCCCACCCAACGCAGTCAAGGTCGAGGGAATGGCCATGGCGATTGTCATTTGAAGCGAGAAGACTCCATCGTGCAAACTCATGTACGCCAGGACAGGTGTGGAAAACACAATGCGACAGTACATGAGCAGCGTCACTGCTCGGACCGGGGAGTCGCCGAGGGCGGTGGCATTAAAAATATCCGGTGAGATGACCGTGGCGGTGTACCACAGCACTTGCAGCAGAATGGCATCGCCGAACCCGGTGACACCTTGAATGATACTCGCAGATAAGTTGAACAGTATTAAAAAAAATAGCACAGTTAATGTAGAGCTCATTGTTCACCTTTCTTCTCAACATAGAGTGCAAAACAGGAAAGGGGTAAGTGTTACTACTTTGGTGCTAAAGTGGAATCCCATTAAATGAGTCTTATTGCGCCTGCTCCCGCGAACGGCTTTTTGCTGAACGCACGTGCTGAAGAAATCACTTCGAAGCAACGATTACTCCACAGCGACGAGTGCGGAAGTAAAAAAAAGAAAAACAATCCAAAAAAAGACAGCGTAGCTGACTTGATATCACTAGAAAATAGAAAATTTCATAGAGGAGAACACCAATATCAACAGAAAGGGAGGCGGTGGTAAGAAGAGAAGAAACGAAAATCAAAATGAATAAAAGTAACAATAAGTGATAAACGTCTTGAAGTTAAAACTGTGAGAGCGATTTGCAGGCAGCAGCAACGTTAGCGGAAAGGTAAAGTCGCAGAGAACAGAACAACAGAAAGGTATAAAGCAGATTCTACGTTTGTGGGAGATCGGGGATGATCTTCAACCGACACAGTACTTTTAGCGAGATTCAGTAATAGGGTATTTCGCAATATTACTAGCATGATTGTGAGGTGCATTAAGCGTTATTGGGGGTGAGGAAGATTCAAGGGAGGAGGAGTAGGAAGAAGAAAAAGAGAAAGACTAATTGCTGTCAGACGGACACCGCAAACACACAACAGGGTCATAGAATTGGAGGGGTCGAGGTGCGACATTCCGACGTTCCTTGTTGCTCCGTGAAATGGTCGATATGTTGACTGAGGCGTATTCCACCAACGTTAAGACGTCTACGAAACAAGCAAGGAGGCCGTTTCAGCGACTGGTGTACGGAGAAAAGCGAGAAGGAAATTGAAGCGTTGATCACAGTCTTTTTTCCCCAGTAGTTGCGCTGCGTAGGACTCGAAATGCAGCACTCGGCCTTTTCCTTCCTTTTCTCTCTTTCTCATGAAAGACGAGAGAATCACACGCACACACCCAAAGATCCTTGCCTCATCTTCGCATTCATCATCTACAGTACCAACAGGCAAATAAAACAGAAATAGAATCATTTGAAGCAACGCAATACAAACCTGGTAAAACCCCCAAAACAAACAAACAATCAAAAAACCGTAGCGACGAGCAGCACAGTAGTCCCCGTCATCTGCAGAACAATGCGTCCACGCCCTTCTTGAGTTGTGTGGCGAGAATCACACCCTACCCGCAGTAGAGTAAAAAACGGATAAAAAGAAACGATCCTAACTACAACCACAGCAAGTAGAAGAGAACGAGTACCACAAAGATGAGACGCAGAAAAAAAAATAATTAAATCACGTGAAGGAAGATAACGATGAGGTAAGGAAAATAATAACAACAAAATAGTCTCGGCTGAATAAAAAGAAGAAGAATTCATAATAAAGAAGACGTTGATGAGGCGCAATGTACGTCGGAGATGTTGATTCCCTGCATACCGTTTTCGTTTTCCTTCGTCTTCTTTGCGCTATGCTATTCTACTTCCTAAAGAACCATAACCACAACCACATACAAACTTTGGTTTTAGAAAAAAAGCTTCGCATTTTCCAAACACTCAGGTTCAGCGAATGCAGCGTCATTGAATCAGCGATAAAAAAGAAGACCTAATAGAAAAGATCACTAACGAAGAGTTAGCCGTAAGACCGAACGACACAGGCACACATGCTTTCAAATAGTTCAGAAAGGTGTCGGGACGCTCACACCTACAGGAAAAAAAAACTCAATAACAAACGGGACTTCTGTCTTTAGACAACAAACCCCCCGACAAACCATCAATAAGTGTGTGTGACATCTCCACCCACCGAAAAAGGAAAAGAGAGCAATCAATAGCTATTGCGTTCGACGAAGGATAAAGAACGCAGATAGAACTGGCGGTGCTGAACTTTGGCTTTAGTCAATTTCGAGATTTCACTCACCGACCATTTTCCATCCCGTGCTGTCCCTTGCCTTCATGTTTCCAATATATGTCTACGCGCGGAGAGGTCCCAAGACAGCGCCCTCCTTGCGCATCATCATCTGAATCTTCGGGCTGCGCATGACGGTGTTATAGTGACGGTACACGGCCCGGTACTCTTTCGCCAGGGTGTCGCCGTGCTTGCGATTGCACCGGTAGACCCACTGAATGGAGAAGGCAACGGCGATGTCGGCAATCGTCATGCGCTCACCGACGAGGAAGGTGCGCACGCTCAGCACCTCCTCCAACCCAGCCAGCACCGCCCGCACGGCGTCCAGCGCGTCCGCCGGGACGTCGTTCGCCGTCTTGTAGTAGGACATATCGATGTAAGGCATGTTCGCCGCGTCGATCTCGGTGCTAGCGAAGTCCAACCACATGTCCACCTGACTCGCTTCAAACGGGGTGCGGCCATAGGGGTGCAGGACATCCTCAACGCCCGCACGGGCCACGTAGCGCAGGATTGAATTCGCACCGAAGACGGAGGCGTCTGCGCCGTCGCCCACCTCCAGCACCGGGTACTCGCCGCACGGGTCGCCCAACGCGCGCTCGGCGCCTTCGGCACTCGTCTTGTTCTCATCGCACGGCACCGGGGTAAGCTCAACGCCGGTGTACGCCGCCGCGGCGAGAATTTTCTGCGCCGGCGCGTTCTCGGGGTTCTTCTGGTACAAGAGCTGCATTGCGTTGGTGTGTCCTTCTTTGCTGCTGTGAGACGAGAGAAGCCGACGTGGCGGGGAAGGGGGGGGGAACAATAGCAAAATTGTGATCTGATGCCACACACACACACGGGAAAAGACGACGATGCCGCTGAATGGCGTAGGACTTGCACACGGGTAAACTACACCGTAATGGGAGCAAAACAACAACAACAGTGCTGAATACAACGAGCAGGAAGAAGTCAAACGTGAAGAGGTGGAAGAGCGATGGAGCAGGGCAGACAGGACGGTCCTGCTTTTCTGAAAAACGCATTTTTGTTTGTTGTTCAACCTTGGGGTTTCACTGCAAGAATCAGTGCGAGCAGGCTCGTACACAAGCAGAGAGGAAAGCAACACAAATCCAAACAACAGCAAAAAAGAATCACCCACAAAGGCGCCAATGGGCTGTGAAGTGTGCCACTTGTAGAGGAGAGAGAAAGATAGATTTCTGAGTGGGGTACTCTTATCGCATGAGCAACACATACACCTATAATGCTGTTCACCCTTTTCGTAAATCCAATGCAAAAGTCCACGCGCCATGGACAGAAGCGTACATCAAAGAGCAAACCAATAGAGTGCACAACAAACATGTATGAGAAAGAGAGGGAATTGGATGAACACAGACATACAAAACCCCTAGCTGATATAATAGTACTCAACATGGCGATGTAATAATTTACGCAGCAACAGAAAACAGTTGCACAAAGAACAACAGAAACAGTAAATGGAAATGTCGTTAGATGTCCTTCGGACTAAGAGCTTACGAGTAGTTGAAGGGGATGCGGTAATGAGCAGACAAGTGGTAATACAGAGAGCACCTGCTCAATTAATAATAACAAGAGTGAACAGCCGCTGTCCCGTTTCATGGGTGTGAAAAAGAGAAAAGAGGAAGAGAAATCAAAGCGTCTACGTCGTTTGCAGTTTTTCTCCAACGATAATACTAATAATATAAACAGAATAAAAGACAGACACACCCATTCCTATGCATCAGAACCACAGCATGTCCAACCCGAAGGTGAGATGTGCGCCCGGAGAGAAAACTGTCCTTTTTTTCTTCGATATGAGAGTCAAAAGAAAAAAAAAGCGAACACAACAGCGTAAGGTCCTGCAGCGTTGTACAATGTCTCCGTGAACCGTGCTGTAGGATGAACAAACCTCGACAGCGTTGAAGGAAAGAGTCGTGGTTCTCACTTGTTGGAAGCAGCTTTGACGGGTACGATTATAATCAACTCCTCTGCTTCGTCCTCGCGCGAACGCACGGGGAGGCCCTCCGACTGCAGCGCACTGCGTCTCGCTAGTAAGTACTTCCGGTCTCGTTGCTGCTGCGGCGGGGGCGGCAGCGGGTGCGCTTTGGGTGTGGGGGACACACTCGCCGAAACACTCGCGGACCGTACGGAGTCCCCACTCCGCTCACTATCCCCCAGAAAAGCCGAGGTGTTTGAGTTCATGGAGAGGACGCTGCCTTCCTTTTCGTAGGCGTCGATGGCCTCCTGGCGGCGGCTGTGCTGCCGCCAGTACAACTGGAACGCCTCCACCTCTGCGGCAGTGGCCGGCGTATTCGGTGGTGCCGGTGGGCGGTGGTGCTCTGGCTGCTTCTGCTGGCGGAAGATGGCGACCGCGACAATGGCGCAGCACGCGGCTGTCGCCAGAAAGCGGATGAAAGCTTCCTTGATGGGCACCAGCATCAGGAAAGCTACGAGGAGAAGGGTGGCGAGGGTGGAAATCATGAAGGTGGCGTGTGTGACCGCGTTGTGACGGCTAATGTGAAGGCCGAAGGCCACACCGCCCCAGGCGAAGACCACTGAGACGAAGTAGTACACAAATAAGCTCTTGTACGCGAAGCCATCCGCAATGCCGACGACGGCGCGCAGGGTTGCCGGCACAATACTCGACACCGCGTAGTTGATTCGCAGCTCCGGCACACTGATATCCATAGCGAGCGCAAAGATCATCAGCGGCGGGTCCGCCACACCGGTGTAGCTGCCCAGCAAACCCGAGAAGAAAGACGAGATCATGGCAGACATCACCACGCCACCATCCATGCGCATGAAATGCACGAGGCGGTGGTGATGATGGTCGCGGGCGTACTCGTGCGCGTTGAGCTCCTGCAGCGACTTCAGTTGCTGCTGCTGCGCCTCCCGCAGGCCGATGTTCAATACCTCCGTGTGCCCCATCACAACGCGACGCGGTGCCGTTGCGGCGGCCATCGCGATGGACTTGGTGAGGTCGATGCTCTCGTCGCCGTCCTTGTCGCTCCCTTTGCCGAGAAGCGCCCTCCACCCTTTGTGCAGCGCCGCCTTTTCCTTTGCCGCCGCCGCCTCGCTATTGTGGTCGAAGCGAACGGCACGGGTCCGCGGGTCGGCTGCGTCTGCAGGCTCGCTCTCCGCCCCCAAACGCGACCGCTTCCGCTCTGCTCTCGAAGAAGTGTACTGGGTCGCGCTCGAAGTTGTCGAGGTAACGGTGCTGCTGTCGCCTTCCGTGTCGCTGTTGTCGCCGGTCGAGCTGCTGCTGCTGCTCGAGGACCTGCTGTGCGAGCCGCTGCTCGGTCTGCTCCCCCCAGGGGAAGACCGGTAGGGGGACATGATATCTCCACCTCCCTCGTGGCCTTCCATGGCACGCAGCGTCCACGCCGCCAGCTGCGCCTCACGGGCGAGCTCTTTGCATGAAGAGTCGACATTCCGGCTTATCTCGGACAGACGCTGACGGGTGTACGTCTGCACGTCCATTTCCTCAATCCAAAAGCGGTGGAGGTGGTGGCGGCGGCGGTGGCGCCCTGTTGACATGGGAAAGCCAGCGGAAATGGTCTCGTCTCCGCCTGTCACCGACTTCGGCAGATGGACGTCGCTGACTAGGTACGCATGTGGCGGCAGAACCGGAGACGCGCCGTGCACTTCGAGTGGGCGACTCGTGCGCCTGCTGGTGTGTGTGTCCGAGGCGGAGCCGCTGCGTTGATTGGCCGCATTGTTGGGACTGCGGAGCCCCAGATTCGGCTCGAGCGGTGCGCCTTCCAACTCGGGCACCGACATCATGTCGCCCTCGTTTCCTTCAATGAGCGGCACCATCACCATTTGGGAGGCATCCCCACCGTTGCCAGAGGCGGCGGCGGCGGTCTTGCTGACATTACTATTAGCATTATTAGTGTTACTATTATTGGCCATCAGCGCTTTCATGAGCTGCTCATGTCGGCGTATTTTCTTCGCCTTCTTCGCCTGCTGTCGCAGCGCGCGGTTGCGGCGGCGGCGCTCCTTGCGCTGCTTCCGACGCCTCTGATCCTCCATGTACTGCAGTATCACATGGCGCTGCACCTCACTTTGCATGCGCATGAGCATCAGATCGTCCCGGATTACGTCCTCTGTCTTCTTCTTCTCCAGGTACTTCATCTGGTAGAGGGAGAGGAAGGTGAGCGCGAAGAAGAGGGAGGAGCCACCGAGGATGATGCGAGAGCCGTTCTCGTGCACCGCCGGCATCGTGTAGACGCCCACCGCCGCCCCTAGAAAGGAGCACGGGATGAAGGCGAGAAGCAGCACACCGTTCAGCTCCGACGGCGCCGGGGGCACACCCTGCGCCAGCTGCTGCACCCGCCTGCGCCGCTCGCCGAAGAAGAGCAGACCGGTGAGGACGAACTGGATGAAGAAGGTCAACACGTAGGAAAATTCGGCGATGCTCTTCACGTTCTCGTCGCCGAAGGCGTCGGTGCCGTGGAGGACCTCCGGTGCGAAGGTGACGGCGGTCTGCCACAGCGCGTGCAGCACGAGAATGCTGCCACAGCCGGTGAGCCCGTGGAGGACGTTTGCCACGAAGCAGCACACAGCCAAAACAATGAGCACGCACGTCTCGTTAAAGTCCATCTGGAATGACGGAGGAGGGCTTAAAAGGGGTGTTTTGACGATAAGAAAACAACAACAGCAGCAGCAGCAGCAACAGTCAGAAAGATCGTCGATTACCTGCGGGGTGAAAGAAAAAAAAGGAAAAGATTGATATCGGCTCCACAGATCGAAAACACCGGTCAAATTCAACGACAGTTTAGCATTACAGCAGCACAGACAGAAGTGCAGCTCGGCAAACAGCAACAGCAGCAACAACAAAGGGAAGTATAAAAAATAAATAAAAGAAGTTACTTAAAGAGAGAGAGCGAGAGAGCGTGTGTGGGAAAGTAATCCTGTTAAACAATTCTGCTACGAGGCGCTGGAAGGAGCTGATGAGAAGCTGCTTCCCTTTTTGGCGCACAGTTGTGTTTGAGTGAAAATAGTAGAATAGTAATAGTAATCGAAATATCAGAGAGGCTCGATGACGCAACGCTTAAAAAAAAAAAAACAAAGAGATCGAGTGCACAGTCAGATACGATTCGGGCGAGGAAAATACAACTTTGAGAGAAAGATCAAGATGAGTAGAAAAGAAGCAACAGACAAACAGAGAGAAGGGCACTGAGTGGAGACGCTCAGTTGTGTGTAAGAAATAATAAAAAAGACAAGTACAGAGTCAACACAAACACACACGCACACACGGTACGGTAACCAAATGTAAAAATAACAAAAAAGAAGGGATAACAGGGCTGTATTGCGTTTGGCTGTGGTAATCTTTGCTGTTGAGACAAACTCATTTGCTGATGCGCGAGTGTAGCTCACTCCTTCAAATAGCTTACGCGTGTGGTTTAAAAAAAAAATGTATCTAAAATACACGAGACAAAGGACAGGTGCATGTGCTGTGCAATACAAACACCTGTGTCTCCAGTTTCAAGGAGGTATGAGGGAGAGAGATATGAAATAGAGATGAGAAGTCGGTCGTCCCGAATTGCTAGCGTATACAAAACGAGAGGTAGATGAACACCAGAAGAACCTAAAGTAATGTGCAACAAAGGAAAAAAAAAGAACGGTATGTCAGCACTTCTGGATGCTTGTTCGCATTGAGATGGGACGACATCACATGCAACGCGCCTCACGCTACACTGGTTTCCGAGACGCATATTAAGCTTTTTGGGAAACGTTCAAATCTTTGTATTTTAGAAAATAAGCTTTTGCCTGTTAAACAGCGGGACACCTAAAAATTTGCATTTTCATCTGAGACAGATACAACCAAACAATGAAGAAACAAAAGCACATTTTAGAAAAACAGAAGGGTGTTCATGTGTCATCTTAGCGCGGAGTAACGTGCCGACATCACTGACGTGACATTATTACTATTGCTTAGTCAAAGATCATGAGAAGAAGAAAAAAAAACAAGCAAATTATATCTTCGTTATTTCTAAAAACAACAACAACAACAACCTTTTATTCCAATCCTCTTGATCACGAGAAGCACAGGTCCAGCAATCATAGAGAGAGAGGGAAACGCGTAGAGCTGAACAGCTTGGCTGCAGCAACGTTTAACGGAGATGAAACGCAAACAGAGATACATACGGATGCCTTCTCGCTTACAGAGTGCGCTTACGCGAAATCAAACGCAGAGTCCTGAATCGGAGGACGACGCATGCCAGCGTGTGCGACAGAAATACCGAGCGAGGTCAGCAGTAGCCAAAAGACGGCAGAGCTGCCGCTGGTGAAGTAGAAGCCCACCACACCAAAAACAATCAGCATCAAATACAGCTGCGACACAGTGAAAGCGTAGGCTGCGATGTACACCCTTTGTTCCTCCTCTGGGGCACCTTGAGCCGCCAGCTGGGATACCGCGGCTGCGCGGTTGCGCACGAAGAGGTAGAAAAAGACCGTGATTGCCACGTAGATGGAGAAGGGAAGATTGATGAGAAGGATGTAGGAAGAGCAGACGAGCGAGAGCACGAGGTAATTGGCGTAGAAGTAGGGCAGGTTACGGTTCAGGCGGTTCACTACATCTGTCACACCAGCAGGGCTGTGGAAGAAGGTCGAGTCGAAGAATTCGGACCACGGACGCAGAGCGGAGAAGTTGCGCTGAATACGCTGATGCGTGACGCCGTAGAGCCGCTGCACCTTGGAGACGATCGGCTCCTGCGCACTGAGGATGGCGGCGTAGGTAGGGAGAGGTTCGTCGTTGCTCTGCTGGTAGAGAACAGGCTGGTTGTTGACGCCGTGGGCCGCACCGGCGCCGCTTGCAGTCGCAGGCACCGCATCCACAAAAGTCATCTTGTCGGACATTTCCACCTTGGCCGTCTCACCATCCATCATTGCTTGACAGTGTACGCGTAAGATGAACGAGCTGCGGGGGGAGGAGCGCTGCAGCAAAGAAGGGCTTCGAAAAAAGAGATGCGTCTTTCTAAGAAAAAAAATCAACAGCAATATGGTGGGAAAGAGCACACACACAAACAAAGTAGATTTATTTAATCCAACGAGAACAAGACAACTTTTGTTTCGCTTTTGGTTCTAAATGACAAAGGAAGCACCCAATATCATCCTAATACGAATGCTCTAACTTATTGTAGTGCTTCTACGGTGGGTACATGTAGGGGTCAAAGTGTATGCCCGAGAGAGAGAGAAAGAAAGTTAACAACAGCGTAATACAATACAGAAACGACAAAAGAAGAAGATGAAGAGGAAGAAATAGAGAGAGAAAAAGCAAAAATACCTCCACGAGAAGCGCAGATGATCGCTTTTACGGTAGAAAAGGCTTTCTGTATTTGCCCATTGATCGGCTTTCATTGAGCGGGGGGGGGGGGGGCGGGCACGCCGCAGCTGCGCACGGTCGCGTCGACGAGGAACCCCATACATAACAAGAGGTTTGCCAGCGGGAAAAAATGTAAAGGAGATAGTGTTTTTGCTTTCTTTCTACGTTCACAATATAGGAAGCAATAGTTGTGCACACATGATTAATAGTAGCAATAGTAGTGAAACAGAAACAGAACGTTCGAGTATAGTAAAGCAGAGCGGCACTTATTCGTTTTGCTTTCAAGGCAACACACGTAAACGATCGAAAAAGCGTGTCTACCTTGACCATTTTGCCTCGACGAGAGCAACAACGTCAACAATAGAAGAAAAAAAAAGGGGTTTCCCTCCATTTCTATCAGGTCCTTCTTACCCCTTTCCTTCGCGCTTCTCCAGAACGGCTGCGAGGCGCTTCTTTTCCCGCTCGACAAGTCGTCGGCTCATCGTCTCGTCGTTGTCACTAACGTCGCCTTCCAAGTAGTCCAGGCCCAACAGCAGCAGCACAATCCCGTACTGAATCAACTTCGGACGACACTTCTCCAACTCCTCATCATCAAAGTACGTCGGCTTACGCAATACGGCATGCGGGACGATGACGCACAGGTTCAGCACGATCACCCACATCATTGTCTTAAGACCGTTGAAGAACATGAAGAGCATCACAAAGGCAAAGAGCAAAACGTGAGCTAGATTGCGGTAGCTGATCGGCCTGCCTAGCACCGTGACCGATTCGCCGTAGACCTGCGTGTTTCGGCGCCGCAACGCGACAGAGTGGATCATCGCCATCGTGAGAAACGTCACGAGGAAGAAAGGGGTGTTGAACACCAACAGGAACGGCATCGTCACCACGTAGAAGACTTCAACGTAGTTGGAGGAGTAGTACGGAATGTTAAGGTTCAATCGGCCAGCCACCTCCTTCACTTTACGCGGAAAGCCCATCTTTTGAGCGTCTGCGAAGTCCGTCTTCCACGGCAGCCGATCCTCCTCGATTGTCTCATACAGGTGCTTCAAGTGGCTGACGTAGTAGCGAAACTCGTTTCGCACTGAGAAGGCGCCGCAGTTGTGTCGGTGGAAGTAGGAGAGGGGGGCGTCCGACAAGGACATGCGATTCACCCCGATTGAATTGCTTCGGTTGCGCCGCTCTGAGCTCGCAATCCGCTGCGCCGGCGAGGAAAACGATCCGTGGCTCAGGCTGTTGTTGTGGCCGCCGCCGCCGCTGATACCACTATTGCGTAAAGATTCTTCTTGGAGCGTGCTCGGCCGCCGGTGCCGGTCGCGCTGCTTGGCGGACTCCAAGTGCCCGGCGCCGTCTGCGTAGCCTTCACTGTTGTCGCTGTCATCCTCGCTGTAGAAGTCACTGCCGCTGCCTCGGCTGCTGGTGCGGTGGCCGTGGCGCACACTACCGTTGTCGCTGTACGCCCCGGGCGTTTTGGGCGAGCCGTACGCGGCGGACCCGTTCACGCTTCCATTCTTATCACTGCCGTTGGTCGAAACAAAGGAGCTGCGATCGTCGTTGGAGTTTACGGGCGATAGGTGGGTACCGTAACGATCGTTGGGGCTATTGCGGCTGTTGCTCATAGTCTCTGCGGGCATTTGTATATATATTTCTTTACACGACTGCCGTTTGGCGTATTCTGTGAATGGTAGCTTCCTGCTTCTCCAAAGAGTTTATAGGGAAAACAAATAGAATGAGTAGAGTTCTTGTTTTATGTCTTGACTAAAGTGGCGTTGCACGGACAGAGCTGGAGAGTCGAAATATGAGAGGGCACGGCACGGGCGCGCTGTTGAAGACGAAAGATGCGAAGCAATTACCAACAACAGAATCAAAACGCACGCCAAACATTACAAGGAGGCGGCGGAGAAAACACACACACACACAGAAAAGGAGTATGCCAGAGAAGGAAAGAGAGAGAGAAAGTCAATGGAAAGGTGAGCTGCCATAAAGTCGCTTTAGCGCAGGAAAGCTAGAGCGACTGGTTGGTGCCGGCAGAGCGTTTTAAGGGAGACGGGTGGCAGAGCTGACATTAATAGAAGCGTTGTTGCCGAATAAACGTGCCTCTTAAAAAAATTATTGGTGTATTTCGAGTATAATGTGATCGACTGACTCTTGCGAAAAACAACACGATAACGATTCATTGTAGATTTGATGCCTGCGAATAACCGAAACGAGTTCTGCCCTACAGCGAAGTTACTACGTAACAAACCCACGCTTGCGTAGCTGCTCCCACGCATCCGCGTCTCGGTCAGAGAATACAGCAGCAGAGCCCACAGCTTCACCAGCTGTTAGCTCTTCGTTCACCTGCAAGGAGCCAGTGATGCATGTTTCTGTTCACGCTGCACACATACACACACACACACACACACACACAACTACGTGGCTGGATGCCTGTATTGCGTCACTTCCTGCCGCAGTTCCCGCAACGCCTCCGCCGGCAACCACTGCTCCGCTCGCTCCTCCGTCAAGACGGCAAAGACATTTTCGATGGTTGTGGGATACTCCGTGGAGTTTCGCGTCGCGCGGTGTGCGTGATCACCCCTGCTGCTGCTGCTGCTGTTTTTGTGTCTGTTAATGCTACTGTTATGCCTGCTGCCCCACAAGATACCCTCCGGGAAGGGATGATTCGCAGAAAACTCGGAGAAGAGCTGCATCGCTGCTTCCCACTGACGCACCTGTCGGAGAAGCCGCAGCTTGAAGAGAAGTACGAGGGCCGGGTCGGGCGCGGCGCGTTCAGCACTTTCGAAAACACGCAGCGCCTCCACCCATCCAGCATCTGAAGAGAAGGTAGATTTCGGCTCGACGCCGTCGCTGCTGCGGGCACGGCGCAGGACACAGGAGGCAACATAGCTGCTGAGTTTTGCGTGGTTCAGTAAGGGGTACCGCGGCGTCGGCTCGCCGTTGCGCAGAGCCGTCCACCACTCAATCACCTCCGCGTACGCCTCCGCGTCCCGCAGGACCATGACCACCGGGACGGCTGCAGAGGGCGTGAGGTGGGCACGGAGGGGCCGGCTGAGAAGCAGCTCCTTCGCGAGTCGAGGGCAGCGCAGACGACGGAAGGCCTCGGCGATGGTCTTCAACACCACGGCATCAGCACAAAGCACGGCGGCGGTGGCTTGCGTTGGGGCAGCGGCTAGCGGAGGTACCTGTTCGCTTTGACTCAGTTCCGGATCGGCTGGAAACACGTAGGTGCGTACGAGAAGATCAAATTCGGAGATGCGCCTCCGCTTGGCGAGTAAGCGACATAAAGCCGTAAAAACGTGTGGGGTGACGCGCTCGGCTGGGACGCGATGCAACAGATCCAAGGCGATGGACCAGTCGTTGCGGGTGGAGTGCGCGGATTGCAGCAGGGCGTGCAGCTTTGCCTCTTCCTCCGTCGCTGCGGAAGTCGCTGGGAAAGGCCTCGCAGTCGTAGGCGTCTTCTCCTTCTGGAAGTCATGACGGGCTTCGTTCGAGTGATCGGCAGTTGCCTGTGCATCGGGTGCCGACGGCGCAGCTGCGGGTGCGTCCAGTGCGGACAGGTCAGAAGGAGCCGACGACGCAGCGGTGTGATGCGCGACAGCGGCTCCACGCAGCGCCGCCTGAGAAGCCGCTCGCAGCTGTGCCATCATCGCCTCTTTCTGCGCTACGGAAAGAGAGGGTGTGACGGGGGCGGCACAGAGCTGTGCCTGACACCACGTGAGCAACGCCGCTGCACTCGCCGACTCCGGCTCCTCTGGCAGCCTCGGCGAAGAAGGAGGAGAGGAGGAGGATGGCGGCGGTGGTGGTGGGGTGCCCACGAGTGAGGCAGTAGCGGCTTCACTCGGCCCACCTACCGTCCCCTTCCCCGCCGTGATGGAGGGAGGACGCACGTAAAAGGCCTCCGCCGCCAGCGCCAAAGCCCCCATCAGGGTTTTCTCCCACTCTGCTGCGTTGGGGCTGGCCGGTTGGGCAGGCGAGGTAGACGCAGGCGGCGCATCGCCGTCCAGTTCGGCCGTTTTTTCCTTGTAGTAGCGGAGGAGCAGGTCGTGGTACACCCGCACCCGCGCATCCAAGTAGGCACTGCTGTAGGTGCAGCCCGACGGGGAGGTGGAGGGGGAAGGCAACGGCGACGGGGCACAGCGCAGTGCGGCAAGCGCGGCTAACCAGTTCCCATTTTCGACTAGAATGCGAGCTATGTGGTGGTAGTGCGCGGACAAGCCACTCTGCGCTTCCAGATGCTGTGCAGCAGCGGTGGTTGTTGTCTTCGGCAGGACGTTGAGGGCTGCTAGCCACTCTCCTTTGGCCAAGCTCGCCTCGACAAAGAGAGTCAGTAAATCGCGCATGTTCGGCCTTTTTCTTCTTCCTCCTCACATTTCACTGATTTCTCTATTTGTCCGGGGAGTGGGTGTGCGCGTCAGCCGGGGAAGGTGGGCGCTTCACAGGTGACAACGCAGAACTGAGAGAGAAGACGTAAATGGCAAGTGATAGAATGGAGACTCTTTATAGAACGCATATTCGTATCAGAGGCAGCTGAGCGTTGCGCATCTTCAACAATTTTGGGTTTGAGGATTGATTGCAAAGAATGCTGCTCGGCTCCATCGTGAACACGCGCACATACACTCACGCTTCGATTTACACGTACACACATCAAGAAGACACCAGTTTATGCAGTCCTTTGTTTATCCGCTACCGTTCTAACGATCAGATCTATGGAGCACACGTACACACACGAACAAACACACAAATAGGAATAAAAAAAGCTAAGCCGGCTCCGTATTCGTTGACCCCCCACCCCCCCACCAAACCCTTCACGGCAAAAACAACGAAAAAGAAATACATCAGTTTTCCTTTCGAGTCTTTGGCGGAGTTTCACCTTGTCCCTTTTCTACACAGCGATGGGGCGCGGAGGGTTAGTGAAAACAGAATAATAATAAAAAAAAACAGAGGAAGAGACAGAAAGAATCCTTTATGACGTGTATTGCCGCGTGCGTACCTCAAAACATCTATGAAAAAACAAACAAACAAACAAACAAACAAGCAAAACAACAGCAATTTGACAGCAAGAAACACCAAATCCAAACACAACTCCAACACTCAACACAACGGTAAAAGAATTGTTATTCACCGCGTCAATCGTGCGAGACGTCAATCACGTCGCCGCTCACAAGGTGGTAGTGCGCCACCGTGTGCCGGTCCTGCAGCGTCGTCACGGCGCCGTCTTGGTGCTTGACGCTGAGGGTGCAGCGGGAGAGCGGGATCAGCGTCTTGCGCTGCACTGCGGCCCGCAGCTTCAGCACCTTCTCCTTCGCCTGCACCCGCTCCTGCCAGTCCTTTTTGCTGTGCAGGCAGTCCGTCACGTGAAAGCGCAACAGGATGGTCGCCTCCGCTTCGTAAATCCACACCTCCTGCGTGTTGCCAGCGCCGTGCGAAAAAGGAGAAGAGGAGGCGGAGGCGGAGGAAGAAGAGACGGGGTTGCGCAGGGCGGAGGGAAGGCCCAGAGTGGTGTTCCCGACCAACAGGGAGGGATCGAGCAGCTTCATCGACGGCGCAGGGGGCGCCGCACTCGTGGCGGCCGCAGTACTACCCGGTGGAGAAGTACTACCGCCTGTCCCGGCCAGCCGCCACTCCTGCCGCGTGACTTTAATTCCGACGTTGCCTTCCACAATCGCCATGACATCGCTGATGCGGTCGCTGACGTGGGCGGTGACGCTGAAGGCTTTGGAGGGTGTCTGCGCCACACGAACCACGAAGGTGCGCCACACATTGGAGGGGCTCGCAGTAGCCGCCGCAGCTTCGGGGTTGGACGGCACCCCGGCTGAACGGTCAGCTGCAGGGGCTGGCGCGCGCAGATCGGAAGAGGGAAAAAGTGCGACGTCGACCACCACCGCTGCCGCAGTGCGTGGTGTGCCGCATCGAGACGACGACGACTGCTGCTGATGCTGAAGGGCGGCGTGACAGTGCTGCATGCTCGAGGCGGCGGTCTCCACCGTCAGCGGCACGCCAAACGCGGCCCACATGGCGTAGTTGTGGATAAAGTACTTCACAAAGTCCGCGTAGGAGACGACGGGAACGCTTGCGAAGAGGTCGGTCACCCAGCGACGCCGCTCCCCGGCCGGCATCTCCACCGTCCGCTCCACCAAGCAGTGATCGACAATGTACTGCACCTCCTCGGCCGCCACGGCATCCGGCACGTCGCGGCGCAGCGCCACGAAGCAGAAGCGCGCCGCCGCCTGCACTGTCAGCTTCGACGCGTGGAAGGCGAAGGCGACCATCAACTCCCGCAGGTCGCCCGCCGAGATTTCGGCGGGGCTTTTGTTGCAGAAGGTCGCCGCGACGTGCGCCACTCCGTCGTCGAGCGTGGTGCGGCCCATGAGAACGTCGAAGAGGTGCCGGAGGTGCTCCAGCGCGGGCCGCGCCTCCACCACGCACTGCCGCTTCCACCGCCGCTGCGCCGCCTCCGCTACGTGCTGCTGCGACTCCCAGGCGATGGGCTGGTAGGCGCCAGGTGGGGTCTGCGGCGGCGCACGCATGCCCCAGAGCTGCGCGACGTGCTGATGCTCCTCCTGATGCTGTGGGTCGTTGATGCGGAGACACGCCTCATCAGGGCAGCGCGGCGCGTCGGCCGTCAAGGGCGTGCTGGACACCCGCATCGAGACGAGCAGGAGGCCGAGGTCGAGCCCTTGGGACGTTCGCGCCGGTGCTACCCAGTGGATGTCGCGGTTCCGCGCTGCGGCAACATTCAGCGGTGGCAGCGGCAGCGGAATCGTTACCTCATGCGATTTGGACGGCTCCATCGCACTCTGCACGGTGCAGTGGAAGGTGGCCCGACGCAGCTGCGCCTCGGCCGCGCCGCCCTGCAACGTGAGGCAGACGGGCTGCGCCGGGTCGGAGAAGATGAAGCGGTCCAGCCCACCAAACTCCACCGATGTCGTGTACTGCGCCCCGCGAGTGTAGGCGGCGGCCCGGGCCAGCCACGTAGCCCGCAGCGCCAAGCCAACCGGAAGTAGCCCGGTCGGGGCAGCAGCGGCCTCGTTGCCCAGCAGAGCTCCTCCATGCGGCACCACCGCCACTTCCCAGCTGATCGTCACAAAGCCAAAGTCGTCGAGGTGGCGCTCGGCGAGAAGGGCGTTGTCTTGTAGAAAGAGTGGGTCGCTAACGTCCTGCGCGTTACGCGGTGCGAGCATCACGCGTACGGGGGCCGCTGCAGGCGCAGCGCTGCTGCAGTGTGGACTGAAGGGCGCGTAGGCTTCTCCGTAAAAGGCCGTGCCATCGGCCGATTCGAGCGTGATGACGACGTGGTCCACCACACTCACCGTGTTGCCGCCACCGCCGCTGCTATTCACGTCCGCGCCGTCGTCACGCTTCTTTCTGTTCGGCGCGGAGGTGTTGGACAGGGCGGACGGCGCGGCGAGAGAGGTGAGGGCGCTTGTTTCCGCCACGGTGAAGTCGAAGGACTCGTTAAAAGAGGGGTGAGCGGTGAAGAAGCAAGGCTTTGTCTTACCCACCTCCCTCGCGTTGAGCACAATCCGTACGCCGTCGTTTTGCGCGTCTGCCTGTGCGTTGGAGGAGGCTTTCGTGGGGCGTGTCGTCTTCACTGTGACGACGTGCACACGCGCGACGGGGTCACTCAGTAGAACGCCGGCAGAGGCGAGGAAGGCCTGGTGGAGGGTGAGGTGCACATTACTGCTGAACCGCACCGGTAATGGGATGATCATGTGTGCCGCCATTGCTCATAAGAGTTCGAAAGAGCAGCAACAATAAAAACAAGTACTATGGTTCGTGGAGCTTTAGCAAGGAGACTGACAGACAGTGGTTAAGCTTTGTTAACTGATCGCTGATGTGGTTCACTCTCCTTTCTTTCTAAGTAGAGCAGCTTAACAGTGGTGAAACGGGCAAAACACAACAAGAGTTGCTCGCACACGTTCGTGCTGTTTTCTCTGTTCGTTCTATGCTGAGGGGATGTGGCAAACTGGCAGTGCTGATGGCTGCAAACGCCTTCAAAAGTGTTCTCCTGGTCACAGTAACGGGAGCAAGAGGAGGTTAATCTGCGGATGAGCTGCAGCAACCTTCTATAAAGAGTTCTTCAAATCTATTGATTCTATTTAGCTAACAGCTGTACTAAAGCAGCAAATGATAACAATAAAGCACTTACTGAGAAGAAAGTGCGATCAGGACAAGAAGAATTTTTTGTAGCTTCAGTGTAAAACAGATGTAGAAAGAGTTAGAGAGAAAAAAAAAAGCGTGATGAAAGCAGTAGAGCAGTGTATGAAGGAAGCTGTGAAGATTGTTTCTGCGGCTCAGAAGGAAAAGGCTCTTAGAAAGAAGCTGTTTTCTTCCAACTGAAGACCTATCACCGGAAGACAGTGATTTGAGAGCATGCAGATTGACAAGCATGCAGCTGTTTTTATCAGTTTTTTCCTCCTCTCGACTTCTAAGTCCAATCAGAACAGCAATCTTCTTTTTTGGTTGTGGTACACAATAAGAATTGGCTTTCGCGATTCGTGATGTTTGTGTTTTTTTTTGCTATTTGGCAATGAATATGCCGATATGACCGTCACAGAAATACCAACCGTTCGACAAGGAGAAGGAAGAAAAAATAGTGGAGGAAAACACTGTCAGAAGACTGCGTACAGGGACAGCAAATAAACAACGTTAACCACACAAACCAGCAATAATAATAATAATAATAAAGAAAACAGTAACTACAAATTGGAGGAATCATAGTCAAGAAAGAAGTCCTCCTTTCTTTTTTTGTAGTTATCGAGGCACCTACAACAAACAATACCGATCAGACACTTTGCTAGCCACCTGCAGTATCCCCCCAAAAAATGATAAGCAGGGAGTTTCATTCAGAGGACACAAGAACACAAGCATAGACGCACGTGGGCATACAAAGCAGAACCATACAAATAAATATATTAATATGCAATGTTGCATCTATCTTTCACACACACACAAACACAAGCCAGCAAAAAGTACTCACAGTTCTGACAAAAAGTATACTTTGAGCACACAACAGACGGTTCGAACCAGCAACGCAGTCGTACTGCATGTGTAAGCCTTGGCGTAAATATGATGGCGAATAATATTAAATATAAAGGAATGAATTCAATACAGCTCGAACGTTAAATTCAAACCAAACAACAACAACGACAGCAGCAAAAACGTAGTAATAAATGAAAACAACAACGCACACCCTTTATTAGCACACGCAAAAACCAGACCAGAAATAGGCCAAGGTTCACCGTATTTTTTTCTTGCTCTTTTGTGTCCTGTGACTCGATGACCGCCTCAAGTATCGGCATTTAGCGGTCCTCTTTTGAATAACAATTGATCCAGCCAGAGAGACAAACCAACGTTGAACTTATCCTATATGTTAAAAACAGCGTGCGAAAACAAAACAAACAAAAAAAAAGGAGGTGGAGGGGCGACATCAACCACAACCGTTGAATCGGAGCGAATCCACCGCTACAAGAAGCAAACAAACAAACCGAATGAAGATCAACAACCGCAGAGAAACAGTACGGAGCAATCCCACTCATAGCGCCTCATCACAGCTTGCAAGTGCACGACACGGACCAAGCAGGAGAGAGAGAGAAAAAAAAAAAGAAGATACGAGAAGCAACAACACCATGGGAGACGGGGCTGCGCTTCGGGTACGCGGCTACCAACACGATTTATGATTACGAACCTCTAAGCCGACCCGATCAGCGTGAAGGCACCCCACGTGTTTGACGACATGCCCTTCGCTCGCGCCTCTGCGATTGTCGTGCGCAGCGCCACGGCGTAGGGGTTACTCAGCTTCCACCGCATCACCTTCCGTAGATTGGAGAGGAAGTGTGCGATAAACTCGCGGTGCTCCTCATTGGGGTCCAGGCCGCGAATCACGTTGAGCCGCAGCACCCGCCGCACCCCGAGCGACATACACAAGTTTGCCGTCATCCCGGCATTCGTGACGGACGGGTAAAAGCCGCGGTCGGCGGTGAGGATGAGGAGGTCCATGTGTGTGCACAGCGGTGGGAGTGGGATGGCGGGGGTGGGCGAGAAGGGCACGGCGGCAGGAGCGACGTGCGTCTGGGCAGCCCCACTTGTGGACTGACTGCTGTTATTGTTGGTGGTGGTACCACTCGTCACTCCGCTTCCAGCGGTGTTGCCGCCGCCGCCGCCCTGCGTTGCCGGCTGCGCTCGCGCATGTTGGAGACTCTGAATGATATCTTGCAACGTCACGACACCGTCTGCCACGCGCACGCCGCCTTGGTCGATGGGTCCGAGAAACATCAGCGCCCGCGTTCGGTGGTTGGCGAAGGCGTGAATCAGCTCCTTGCGTGTGCAACCGCGGTGAACCTGCCACGTCTTGAGCAGACCGTCAAACGTGCCATGGTCTGCAGGGGCTGCAGCGCCGTCTGCCGAGGCATCTGCCCCTGTCGCGTTTACAGCGGCAAAAGCGGAGTCCCGACGCGTGGCGCTGGCCGCATTGGCGGTTGTCTCAGCGGAGGCGGTGGCGGCTGTCGAGGCTTGCGCGAGTAACGTAGAGCCCCCGTTCGAGTGCGGCGGCGTCACGGAGGGCCACGACAGCGGCGAAGCCGTGGAGGAGGCGCTGTTGGTAGGCTTGCCCATTGGTGCTCCAGTGCTGCTGCTCGGGTTGAGTACCAATTGAGAAGCACATGCAGCGCTTCTTGTGGCCTGCGACGATTGCTGGCGCGGGTGCGGCGAGCTCGGAGCGGAGGAATCCGCCGCGGCGACTCCTGTGGACATCTGCGGCTTCGCCGCGACAGTGGCGCCGGTGCTTATGGCGTCGTACGGGATAAATATGTACCGGTTCGCCGTTGGGTCGAGCGCGTCACTCTGGTCGTGCTGCGCTGTCATTCCGTGGTACACGAAGTGCGTCAGCGAGGGCGTGACGATCAACGTGAATTGCTCCCCAAGTGGGGCGTCCTCCCCTCCGTAGTGGGGAGACGGCATCAGACCGGCAAAGGGCAAGTGCAGCAGCGCAATATCTGGCATGATGATCAACGTTTCTGCGTCTTCGTAACTGACGTGCTCGCGGCGCATGCGGTCGATGATGGGCTGCCAGGCGTCGGCGTGCAGGTTGAACAGGCACGAGCGCGTCTCGTCGTCGAGGGCGGTGCGTAGGGCGTCGGGGCGGACGTTGTTGAGGGTGGGACTTGCACTGGCACTGGCATTACTACTTCCCGCCGCTGCTGCTGCTGCTTTCGCCACCGCGCCCCCAAAGGGGTGCGAGGTTGCTGCTCCCGGATCAACGTTGTTGTGGTTGTAACCGCCAGCAGAGGGCGGGGGCGCTATCGCGCGGTCCGCCAATGAGGCCTCCGCGGAAAGGTTCGTCAGCAGAGAATTCACCACATCCTTGCTGTGATACTCCTTCAGGGACACCTGCGTGCGCAGCTTCAGGAATCCGGCCCTGCCAGGCGGACGGATCACCACATCGCACTGCGCCCCGTACTCTGTCGTGTACTCGGCAAAGTAGAAGACAAAGAGGGAATGCGGATGGGCCAGCAGGACAAAGTCGATGGCTTCTGCGGGGGAGTAGGGAATCACGAGACGGCTGACACTGCGAGGGACGAGCAGCAGCTGCACCGCGGCCTCCATCATCTCAATCGCGCCGCGGTAGTACGTCGTGCGCACCGTCGCGGGCTTCCGTTCATGCTGGTTGTCCTCGCCGTCTTGGTGGGCCAGGGTGCCCGCGGCCACACCGGCGCTGTCACGGCCATCGGCAAAGCCTATCCCACGCACGCCGCTGCCGGGCACCAACGGCGATCCCGTGCCGCTCGACCCCACGGCCGAGGTCGGCTCCGACGCGGACCGCCCGGCGTCCACCGGCATCTCCAGCACATCCGTGCCCGCCGCAGCCGCCGCGGGACGACTGCAAATGGACACGTTGGCGAGCGCCGTCGGCGGTGGGATGTAGTTGCTCCTCGCACTCTTTGTCGCACCGGCCACCGCGGCGTTGCTCGACGTCTTCACCGCCGCGGTCGTGATGTTCGGCGTGGTCGGCACGGCCTTGGCGGTACCCTTTGCACTCGCGGACGCCAGCTCGGACGCCGACGTGGCGTCCTTCGTGTCTACCACGTCCTCCGCATCATCAGCGACGTCGCCCATGTTGAAAAACATGTGGTTCATTGCCGCGGCGTTGACGGCGGCGCTCACCGCGCTTGCGTGGTGCTGTGAAACGAGCGCGTCCACGTCATCGTCCATCGTGAGCAGGGCCTCGTCCACCTCGCGCCGCCGCCGCGCCTCGTCTTCGTTTTCCTCCACCACGGCGTCGTTGTCGCCCGCCTCCGACTGTCCGGCGCTGCTGCCACTGAAGTTCAGCTCCAAGTTGTCCGGCTGAGCTGGGTAGTCGCGCAGGGAGGGGTTAGCGCTCGCCGCGAGCGACGGCGGCTGTGTGGCGCAGTTCGGATCCTTCGGGTGGAAGGAGCTTGACAGGTTGCGCCGCAGCACCGACGTATCACTCTCGTCCTCCTCCTCCACGCCAGCTGCTGCTGCTGGTGCACCTCCTTTGTCTGCTGCTTCCGCCGCGTTGTCGCCGACCGGCTGGTCCTTTTGCTTCTCCCCCTCGTCGTCATCCCGTGCTTCTTCCTTGGGCGGCTCCGCTGGCCGGTCCGAGTCGGTCAGGTTTGCACCCCGCATCCCGAATAAACTGTTGTTCGCCAACGCACCACCGCTACCATTCCCACCACCAAAGAAATCGTCTTCCTCCTCGTCACTGCCGTCGCCCCGGTGCAGGCTGCCCGACATGAACGACGACGACGACCGCCGCAGCTCCTCCTCCTTCGCCAGCATCACACCAAGATCGCCGCTGCTGTTGCATAGGCCACTGTCAGTGTAGCGGAAGTCTCCCCCGCTCGCCTCGGAGTCGCTCGTCAGGCACCCACCCGTGTAGGTGAGCGCCGGGTCGACCTGCACCGTGGAGTCGTCTAGGTAGGCGTAGTGCACCAGCCAGCGCGCACTGTCGAGGGCGATGTGTTGGCAGTCCTCGTTCAGCGTCTCGGCGAGGGCGAATGCGTTGAGCGTGGCCTCGTGGTAGTGCCGGGCCTGCATGTTTTGGCTCTCCGACGCGTAGGCGGCCGACAGGGCCGAGTTCGCCCGGCCGAGCTCGACCCAGTTGCACAGGTTCCGTGCCTTGGCGGCCCAGCTCTGCATCACCTTGATCGCATCGGCCGGTTTGTTGAGCCCCATGCGCGCCTTGGCCCGCATGCTGAGCAGCCGCCCGTTCCACTCCGCCGACTTCTCCTGCACCTTCTCGCGGTTGTCGAGGGCCGCGATGCAGGCGTCGTACTGGCCGAGTTGGAGGTTGGCGTTGGCCAGTGCCTCGAGCGCAAAGCGACGGTCTGCCGCGGCGTCCTCGCCCTCCTCGCCGGTGGCCAACTTCTCTAGCTCCTCCGCGGTCTTGACGACGTCGAGGTACATGCCAGCGCTCTCCTGCCCCGCCACGATGTTGCGCTTCGTCTCGCGACTCACTTCTTTGTCTTCGTACTCTTTCGCGAGGTCGCTCACCTTCGCCCAGGTCTCGCGTGCTTCGTCTAGTGACCCGGCGGCTGTGTAGAGCCTGGCGAGACTCAGCATGGAGTTGTAGGCGAGCAGCTTATCGTTGCACTCGTTCGCGTAGTCGAGCACGAGGTTGTGGTAGTGGATCGCAGTGGTCGGCTTGTCCAGTGCGCGGTACACGTTCGCGAGTTTGCTCAGCACGAGACTCTCACAGGCGCGTGAGTCCATGCGTTCCTCATCCGCCACCACCGCACGCAGGTCTTTCGCCGCCGTCGATGCCGCTAAATCGCGGTTCAGCAGGTTGTCCGCTAGAAGCCCGTCCTCCTCGTCCCACAGGAAGAATTCCTCGTCCAAAGGCACCACTTGGCCCCAGCACTGCGTTGCGCTGCTGCTCGCCATTGCGGTGATCCCTGCAGCGTTGTTGTAGTTGTTGGTGGTAGTGGCCGTGGCGCTCACGGCATCCCCACCTCCACCGCGTGTGCTGCTGCCGGCGCCACCCACCGTTGCTTGGTGACTTACATTCGCCGCACCGGCCACGTTTGCTGGCACCTGCGAGGTCGCCAGAGAGTTCGTGTCGTCGTGATTGCCGCCAGCTGTGGACGTGCGAGGCGACGGCGCGGCATTGCTCGGGGTGGCGTATTGACTTGCACGGCGTCGTGATTGCGCAGCGGCGTTGGCGGCTTCGACTTCGCTCATCGAGATGACCAATGCGTGCGAGTAGCTCTTCAGCGCCTCCTCCCAGTTCTTGATGAGGGATTGGGCGTCGCCACTGATGATGAAGATGTCGCGCAGGGCCTTGCGGATGTGCGACTTGCCCTCGCGCAGCGCGAAGAGCGCCGTCATGCATTCGCTGGCGCTCTCCATGTGTACACGCAGGGTCGGCGTGCTGGGGGACGCCTTCGCTGGGCCGATGGACGTGCTGCGGACGCCGCCGCTGGTCCCCGAGGACTGCGTCGCGAGGAAGGCGCCACTGACGCTAGAGTTACCGTTGTTCCAGAAGTCCGCGTCGGCGCTGCCTCCGTGGGTCTGCGGTACGGTGCTCTGACGGCTGCGCGCGTGGTCGTCATCGTGCGCTGGGTTTTCGCGGGAGGGGTCGACGCCGCTGCCGGGATCACCGCCGGCCGTGTTGGAGCATCGCGGGCGTAGCGGCGCGTCCTCCGGAGAGTTGAACTCAGGGCTGTGGTAGCTGGAAGAGGAGGTGGACTTTCGCCGGGCAACGCTAGCGCCGGTGGTGCTCATGTTGTTGTTCGTAGTACGGTGGATGCTCAGCGAAGCGGCATTCATATGATTCATGTGCAGCGGTGGCACATCCGTGGTTAGGATAGGTGACGCGGCCGACGCCGTCGTGTCCGCCCCACCGCCGCCCGGCTTCGTCGCACTCACCCCGTCGTCACTCTCATCGTTTGCTGCTGCTGCTGCTGCTGCGGTCGTCTTTGCGGCCGTGGCCGGTGCGGTGAGGCGCGGCAGCTCCAAATTGCGCGTCGCATACGGCGACGTCGTCGTTGGCGAGACGTTCTTGTCGCTACCGCGCACCTCCTCCAGGGCGCCGCGCAGCTTCGTGCGAATCGTGTAAATCCACGCATCACTCTCTTGAAGAAGCTGGTCCACCTGGGTAACAGCCCGCAGCGCGCGCTCGCCGTCAAACTCGGCCAGACAACGAGCGTAGAGCATGTACACTGCGATCTTGACGGAGCAGACGTAGGTGCGCAGCACCACATCTTCCGCGGTGTATGGGTCCTCGGTGGGGTCAAGGATTTCGCGCCACATCGGCGGCCTCACCAGCGCGGAGCTCGGCTTGTGCTCAATGAGCGGCTCCAGCAGCAACGCTGCCTTGCGGGCCTGGTTGAGCAGCAGCAGACCTTTGCAAATGACGATGAGGCTGCACGGCACAGCCGTCAACAGCCGCTTCGGGGTACCGCCTTTCGTCTGCCACCGCTGCAGAGACCGTTGCGAGCTGTAGGCGTTGCTCACCGCGTTGCTCAGCTCCTCGCGCCGCTCCCGCACGTTCACCTCGTGCTCCGCCTGCGTCACATAGGAGAGGGCCAGCATGCGCTCACTCTCCGCCACGCGCCAGGCAAACTCCAGATCATCCGCGGCCGCCGCGGACGTGCCGATGATGTGCTCCTCCGCGGTGTAGAGCTGGCCAGAGCCGGCGCTGCGGAAGTGCAAATTGCGGTGGAAGTGCTGCCGTGGGGCTGCCGTCGTCGCACCGGACTTCGCACCAAGTCCGGACGTTGCCGTGGAACTCGCGTTGTTCGCCGTCCCCATCGCTGCCGCTGCAACCACCACCGCTGACGCCGCTGCTGCCGTATCGGCGTCCTGCAGCGACTTCTTTGCGATGTTCACCGCTAGCTTAAAGATCTCGACAGACTTCTTGTAGTCCTTCGTCTTCATCAGCTGCGAGCCTCGTTCCATGTACGCGGCAAACAGCTCCGACTCGCGCGAGCGACGACGCAGCATTTGCAAAACCTGCGCGCACTGCGAGAAGTACTTGGCTGCCTTGGCGTGGTCGTTAAAGGCAGCGTGAGCCATCCAGCACTCCTTCAGCAGGTAAACGTACGACCGCAGCAGCTTCGAGCGGCAGTCTGCAAAGCGAATAATGCAGTCTCGCCGCGGGCGCGGCGCCAGCACCTGCAGCATCTGCTCACACAGCCGCGCTTGTGGCAGCACAAACTGGACCGTTTCAATCACGGCTCCGTAGACGCGGCACGCCGCCTGCGCGCGGACGAGCAGCACCATGGACTGCAGGTACCGCAGGGCGGAGAAGATGGTTTGGCTGTGACCCGTCCAGTCCTTCTTTTCGAAGCGGAAGTGCTTCTGCGCGTTGCGGAGTGCCTCGACTGATTTTCCGGCGGCGAGGCGGGCGTTGATGAGGGAGACGAGGGAGCGCTGACGGGCGCGGAATTCGCCAAAGACGCCGGCGACCAGGCGTTCCTCCTGCGCGTTCTTCTCCGCCTCCTCCAGCCGAGGGGGCTTCGCGCTGAGACACTGCTCCCCCCGCTTGTGAAGGGCAGCAGACCACGCCATGTTCACAATGCGCTCCAGCGCGATGCCGCTCAGTGGAAAGCCGAACGGGTAGAGAGAGGGGGGTGGAGGCGGCCGCGGAGGGAAGGCGGCGGCACCTGCTGGCGCGACGTCACCGCCGGCCAAAAAGCTCGGCGTGGTGCTGTCGCCTTCGCTGCGAATTGGTGTTTCTCCGATGTTGGCGGTTTGCTGTGTTTGCGTTGGCTGCTGCGACGTTTGGTTCGGCTGCTGACTCGATAGCATCGGATCGGCCTCGGGGGCCGGGGTCGTGTTGCCGGAGAGGGTCATAATGAACCCAAACGGGGTCCAGGTGGCGGACTGATCTGCCGGGTAGGACGCGTACGGATCCGCTGCGTTGTTGGTCGGGTGGGCGATGTGCAAAGCTCCCGAGGCCGTCTCAACGTCGGAGCCACCGCCGTCACGGCCGAGCTGCAGTGAGCCAGCCAGCGGGGTGCTGTAGTTCGAGGCAGCGGCGTTGCTCGCGTTGGACGACAACAGTTGATGCGCCACCAGCTGCGAGTTCGGGAGGCCACGATGGGAGAGCGCAGGGGACGCGGCAGAGGCGCTGGAGCCGAAATGAGAAGGGCTGGGCGCCGTTCCTGTGGCTGCCGCCGCGCCGGTCCCACGAGAGGATGTGTCCTCGACACTGAATTTCGTAGGCGTGAGGGCCACGGCGGGGGCGGGGTGTTGCGGACTCGTGCAGGTTTGCAACAGCGAGGCGCGCTCGCTGATTGTGGGCGGCACCAGGAGCGTAATCCCTGTGGCGGCCGCAGAGGGGCACGATGTGGTCTTTTGCTGCTGCTGCGATGGAGAGGCAGAGGCGGTCGCCGGAGGGGGGACGGGTTCGCTGAGCGTGTTCGCATCTGCTGCCGCCGCGAACGCGGTGGTGGTAGTGGCCGCCACCTGCGTCGGAGAGGCGGCGGAGCTGGTGCCGCGGCGGATGTTGCGCCGCGTCATCGCCGACACGCTGTAGCGTTCCATGCGAGAGCGCATACTGCGGTAAAGCACGGCGAAGCGCCGCTCCCGCTTGCTCTCTGCCCAGTTGTCGGAGCCGAAGAAGTAGGCCGTGGCGAGGCGGCAGAGGGTCGTGGTGTCCGTGATGCCTTCCAGCGCGCGCGGCGACTCCGGCGCGGAGGGACAGAATTGGGTGCTGGCGGCGCTCTGCTGCTTCAGGAAGGACTCGTCGATGAAGGGGAGGGAGGAGCTTTGCGGCACCGCCGGAGACGTTTTCTCGTTCGTGTCACTCTTGTCCGTCATGGTGGCATCCGAGGTGCTGCGGGGCACGATGGAGTTGGCGTACATCGTCATTTCCGCCTCGATGGCGTTTTCCAAGTATGCACACCACGTGTCGCTCACAGCTCTGCGGTAAACGAGCTCGAGCTGCGCGACAAGGTCATCCATCACGAGCGTCGGGTCGTCCATCATGGCTTGGATCGAGGAGGCCAACGGTGGACTCATCTTGATCACGATGGGGTTGGGAGGGGCAGCGCTAGCCGTAGAAGTGGGATTCATCGTCGCAGCGCCACTACCACCACCACCGCTTATTGTAGTCGTGTTGATGGTGCCACAAGGGGTCGTGTTAGTCGCAGCGTTTGTGGCAGACGAGGGCAACGAGGTCGAAGGAGAAGGGGACAGCGTGGCCGACGTCGGCGCCCCGGATGTGCCCGCTGCCACCACACGCGGAGACGCCATCGGCGTCGAAGTCGGGGCCGCCGTCGCGAGCACCGTCGGATCGGTGTGGCGCAGCTTCTCCGCGTGGCGATGAATGTTTGCCAGCAGGTGACGCGGCTTCGGCTCCTGCAGCATGCACATCACCATCTCTCGCCCGTCATCCCGCAGGAAGCTGGCGCAGAGGGTGCACTCCGCCACGAAGTGACCCGGCGAGTTCCCCATCCACCCATCCAGCTCCTGCACGACCGCCTCCCAGTCGATGTACGGGAGGTCGTCGTAGGGGTCCGCATCGTGGCTGGTCTTCTTGGAAAGAGGCCCCGCACCGGCCTCTTCGGCGCTGTGCTCCTCCGCGGCGCCGTTTGTGGGGGCAGAAGGTGCCAGCGGCGGCAGCGCTGAGGCGAGTGGTGGACGCCGGCCCGCGCCTGCCACGCTGTTGCCGGTCGCCACGAGTTCAGCCGCCATGCCTGACAGCGACATGTCGAGCGCCGCCCGTTCAGCCGACCCGGATGGAGCATTCGTCTCCGGCAGCACAATGCCAGCAGAAGCACTGCCACCACCACTCCCAACTCCCCCGTTTGCTTTGCTGTTGCGTCGTCGGTTGTTGCCGTTATTGTTGAACATCTGCAGGTGATGGCGCAGGATGGCCTTGATGATGGCCCACGTGGCTAGAAGACACGCCACCGTCAGCATCTCCTCCAGAATCTTCTTGTCCTCCTTGGAGACGGAGTAGCCGACGCTGCTGTCTGGGGAAAGGATGCTGTTTTCTTCCAAGGCGCGCCTCATCTTCCCGACAAGAGAAGGCCGATAAGCGGCGGTGCCGGTGCCGGTGGCCGTGTGGGCGCCACCACTCGGCGGAAGCGGCGACTCCTTCGGCGTCGGCTGCTCGCTCCCGGTCGCCGCGGTGGTGATCAAGACGGTGGGGATCGGCAGCACCAGCAACTCCACATCTTCGGGGGACCGGGGAAGCGCCTCGGACCGGCTTAATCGCAGCTGCGGCGAGGTTAAGAGCGCTGCCGCCGCGTCCACGTCCGGCTGCCGCGCCTGGCGGGTCGGCGTCAGGGAGCCCGACGCTGCCTTGTCATTTGCAGCGGGCAGCACCTGCGAGAGGCGCTGCCAGCGGAACTCCGTCGTGCTGCCTGACGGACTCGTTGAGGAGGCCGCCGGCACCCCAAGTGCGAATTTTTCCATCGCACGGCGGCGCACATCGGCCAAAAGAACGCGGTCGATGCGGACAATCACCTCGACAATCTGCAGCAGAAGGCAGCGCCACTCATAGTGCGTGAAGATGACAGGCGCCGCCGGGGCGGGAGACGATGCAGGGGAGGACGAGGAGTCAGGGTAGGGGACGGCGACCATCGACAGCTCCGCCGACTCCACCGGTGTCGCGATGGTGGAGGGGTCGCGCGGGGTTGCCACATCCATCTCGGTGCGCGTGCTGTCGAGAAGAGCGCTGCTGTTGTTGGTGTTTTCGCCCCAATTCATGTTGGGTGCCTCCGCTGCGGAGCCCCCGGCGCCGGCATCCGCTCCTTCCAGCAGACCCGACGGACCGCTGGTGGAGGAGGAGGGGGAGACGACGCAGTTACTCTGTGTCATCGACTCTCGCATGTTGCGGCCGTCGGCACTCCCCCCACCTGCCGCCACCGCCGCCACCGTAGCAGCAGTCTTGTCTGGACGTACTTTTTCCTCCTCCGCGATTGTGTTCTCCGGCACCTCCTGCAGACACACATCGAGTGCGTCAATCATCTCCGCACGGATCTTCTGCAGGCTCTGCAGCCTCTCTCGGGTGTCCGCCGCCGGTGAGGTGGGGCTGTGCGCTGTCGTGGTCGGTGCCGTGTTCGGTTGACTGATGGGCGCCTCCGCCGCGAAGGTGCCCCCCGTGCGCGCGCCACCGGAGTTGACGGGCACGACATCCAACGGGGACGGGGCGGCGGTGGAGAGGAGGGAATGGGTAGAGCGGGGGCTGAGGTTGGACAGCGGCTCTGCACCGGCGCCGACGTGGCCCTCGGCAGCTTCTGCGGTGGCGGCCTCGTCCTCTTGCTGCTGCTGCTGCTGCTGCTGATGCAACGCTTCACTTCGCTCCTGCACCACACGCTGGATGTGCCGCAGAACGTCTTGCGTACTCGTGTTCGGCGGCAGTCCTTTCAGAATGCTAGAGGAGGCGAACATGGAATTGTCGCCGAAGGCGGAAGGCATACCGAAGAGGGGGGATTCGATAAAACTTGTGTCATCGTTTTTCTTGGTGCTGTGTGTGCCGGGGAGACCGGCCGCTGCGCTGCGGTTCGCCAGGGTGCCTTTCCCGCTGTTCACGCCTTCGCTGGCGGAGCTGCTCGCGCCGGCGTTGTTTGCGCCGGTCTCTGCCCCCGCTTTTTGTTTGGCATCTCTACCGGCATCGTCGCGACCGCTGCTGCTGACTTTTTTGAGAAAGCCAGCGATGCTTTTAAAGCTCAACATTGTCTCGCTCCTTATGTTCTAGAGATTTGTGTGGACGAATCGGAGGCAGAATCGGTGACTCGCTTCTCAAGAAGAAAAGAAGAAGCGAAAGAGACAATATATAAAAGGAAATGTGTCGAAGAGTAATTTGCAGCTATACCCAGTTCGCCGACTGACTTGTTTGCCGTGAATACACCTGCCTTTACGAAATACACAACAAAGCTCTTGGTTTGAGGAAAAAAAAAGGCCCCCAAAAAGCACAAGGACGACCAAACACACAGCACGAAAGCGCAAACACACACAGAAGGAAAATACGCAAGTACGAGGAACCAGCGCTTTCGCATACATCAATGGCAATGCCCAGAAGAAAAAAAAAAGAAAATGCCAAACAATACAACCACACCAACAAGCTAGAAGAACAACGCAGGTGTGCAGGTATATTAATAAATAATGAAGCAGAGAGATACTTATAAACGACGTCTCGTCAGTTGGCGAACACTTGAAAAATGAGACGTCCACCTCGATCTGCCAGTGCTGCGGAGAAAATAATAATGTACGCAACAACACCGCCAGCAAGTAACCGCCAGTGCGACCAGCAACAGCGACAGGAAACAAGAAGAAAAGCAAAGGAGAAAGAAAAGGGCGATTTGTGCTTTACACAGCAGCGCGCAAAGAGAGAGCTACTCAGCTTACCGACTGCTGATACAAAACAACACCAACACCACCACAGAACCGTATTGTATCCGTAGAGCATATATAAATGTTGGGGAAATCACACACGCACACAAAGAAAAATAATACACAGCTGTAATGAAGAAATGCCGTGTGTGGGTGGATGTGTGGGCGCCCTGCCACACCCGTCCTCCTTCCTACAAAAACAACAACAACAACAATAAACCTGCTCTTCTGGTTTCTTCTCTTGGTGAAGGGATGAGTGCAGTGAAGGGGAGAGATGCGTAGTACGTGCAAATAGCTCGCACGAGAACAATGACAAAAGGAGAAGTACACAAAAAAGAATCTGGGAATGGTGTCCGGAAATTCGTAACATCCCTGTGCAACACACAAGAGCGCCACACGGTAGAAAATGTGGGGTGGTGCAGGCCAAACAAAGGTTTCGTTACGGAGAAAGAGCGAAAACAGAAAAAGAGAAGAGAGAGGGAGAGTGAGTTGGAGAGGCAGAGAAGCACGACACACCTCCCTCCCCAAAATGAGACCGAGGGTCTGCATCGGCTAGGCGAGAAGCAGTAGGACCTTTCCTCATCGTGTTCAAGAAGCCGCTGAGAACTCTGCACGCATAAGAAGAAATAATTGCGTTGCATCTTGCTAGCAACGAGTTTTCGTAGCAAACAACAGCAACATCCCCATCAGTAAAAAGGCGAACTTTGCCACCTACTGATCCGGAAAACGTCGACCATTTACCAGCGTTGCCTTCGCGCTGACCGCAGTTCCTTGTGCTTGTGTGGCTCTTCTCTTTGACGCCTGCTGCCTCTCGCCTTACGGCGCAGGTAGCAACAGCTCTCTCATGTTAATTCACAGAAAAAACAACAACAAATTCACGATGAGGGAAAATCAAAACAACCAGAAGATTAAAAGAATGCTGGTAGCGAAAACACAACAAAACAAACCCCTGCGCATCTCGACCGCCACGACCAACCTCCCGGCGTAGGTTGTGGGGCATCCGCAAAGAGAGAGAGAGAGACCCAATGACTCCGCATTCTGAGGAAAGAATGCTTTCAGCCAACGTTTCCGCCGTCATCGCCAAAACTACCGCTGCTGCTCCAGAATCCGTCGAAAATAAAAAGAAAAAACCACTCTTCGTATTATCCCACCCGATTCCATGCAGCACTGTCAAACCTGCTCGCCAATTCCACCACCACCACCAAACTTCTCTTCCTTCCCTTCTTTTCCCTCTTTACAGGCCACTCGCCTCCGCGTTGCCCGCACGCCCCCACCACACCACCCACGGCTCCTGCTCGTGCGCCTCACGAGAGATGTGGTCGAGGTAAAAGGTGGTATTGTGAAAGACGCGACGTTCCCACCCAGGCGGGAGGCGGCCGCGCATCGCAGACGTTAGCGCCGTGCCGCTGCGCCTGTGCGAGGTATCCGCCGTGCCGTTCGGTGCCACGGCGGCCTTCCCGTCGGAGGTCAGGGCGTTCGCCATTTCCGACAGCGCCCGTGGCGCGTGCGAGCCCCCGCGTGAAGACGGTGACATTACTGGGGTGGCGGCTGAGGTCGTTGCTGCGGTCGTTGTTGTGGCTGCTGCTGCTGCTGCTGCCGTCGAGGCGCTTGCGTTTTCGTTTGGGTAGGTGTCCCCGGCCGGGCAGAAGGCGCGGTAGATCTCCTCCCCTGTCGCGTCCGCGGCGACGTGCGTGACGCCGCTGAGGCGGCCGCGAGCGAGGATGACGCGCAACTCGGGAATGCGTGCCGAGTAGAGGGCTGCGTTGCTGTTGGAGGAGGACGGATGAGGGGGGAGCGGTGCCGCTGTAATTGCCACGGCGGCCACCGTGGGTGGGGCAGAGAACGGTGGGTGTTGCAATGGCGGTGCCAATGGAGGCTTCACCTGAGGAGGAGCCGGTGCGGGAGAGGGTGCATGCGGTGACGGGGGTCGCTCGTAAAAAGTCACAGGTAGAGTGCTCGGAATGGAGCTAAATGTAGCTGGCAGACACGGCGGAGGCGGAGCTGCGGTTGCTGCTGCGTTGCTAGACACATCTTTACGCGGAGGAGGGGGAATGGAAAGCGGGTTTGTGGATATTGTGGTGGTTGGCGCTGGTTGTGCGGAGGCCTGGGAGGTGGAGGATGACCGCGGAGGCGGTGGAAGCGGCGGCGGAGGTGCAGTCGGATCCAACGACTGTACTTGCGCCTGCGCTGCGGCCGTGGCGAGCTGCTCGTTGATGAATGTGTGGGCGTCTACCCGGTACGGAGGAACGTAGGACATGGACGGTGCAGTGTCCTGCCGTGCGGCGCCTGTCACGTGATGCGGGTGACTCATGGTACGAGACAGCAGTTCATGAACATACGCGCATATACAAACAAGACCAATAAAACAAAGAAAGACAGGCGATGAGCACCAACAACAAATTAAGACGGTAGGACAAAACCAACTACTACAAACAGTCGACACGAGCCTGTAATGATTTCAAACAAGGAGATGCAAGAACGCAAAACTAAGAAGAAGATGAGGATGAGGAACAAAGAGAGAGAGAGAGAGCAGCGGGACGGCAGTGATAGTAAAAGAAAACCAACCGAAAACCAGTACTTTGGTTTGCGTGGTGGTTGCTGCTCTGCCACTTTCATCTCTGATAGACACCCACGACTGCGTGTTCCAACTTGTCCGATGAAAAAACAACAACAACAACAACAGAAAACAAAACTAATGATCGCGCTGATTTTCCGTTGCTCACACCGCAGCAGCGCCTCCAGTTGTACGTGAGGCATGCGTGCACCGGCTGCGAAGACACACCGTGCAGCGATTCTTTTCCCCTTTTCCTTTTTCCGGGTTTAGATGCATCACTTCCACAGCGGCGCAAGACACAGTAAAGTATTTATATATCTTTTCTTACAGTTGGCATTACATTCTACTAGACATTCAAGACTGTATGCGCTTTGTGGGGTGAGTCACAAGCCGCGGTTGTTGGCACTTGTATAGAATAATGTGGCCTGAAAGGTGCGAACACAACAACAAGAACAAAAATAAACAAAACACAGGCTGGACACAGACGCACATGAAACCGCAATCGTAGTAATAGCAGCAGCGCTTTAAAGCGGTCAAAGAAAAGAAGGAAAAAAGAAAAAAGAGAAGAAAATGGAAGCAGCTGTAGTATTCTGAAAAAGAATAAGACCCCACAGTTTAACCACCACATACCGGCGCACACGCAACCAACCATCACGCCTACATGTAAGTTGACCGCTACCCATCAACGTACAGGGAGACAAGAGAGAGAACACAATCGAAAAGAAAGAAAAACACACGCACACGGTAAGCAAAGTAGCAGGAAAGAAACAAACACACAAACAAACATAAAAAGAAGTACGCAAAAGAAGGAGAACGTACAAAGAAAATCCGAAATGATAATAATAACAATAGAGAAAATAGTAATAGGGAAAAATCAATGGGGAGGGAGGGAAGCGTGTATATTTCCCGTGTCTCCCGTGGAAATCAAACCACACGAAGCAAACTATTATTTGGTGAGACTTCAATTGCTTTTCACTTTTCTTTCCTCCATACCTTTCGGTTTTTGCTTTCTTCACGCAGTTGGCTGCGGCGGGGGAGGGTTTGTGATATTCTTCTCGCGCAGCTTCAACGCGTGCTCGTAGCCAAACGGGGAAATGCGCTCGCTGCGACGACAATACGACACCTGGAGCGGCTTTTCACGTCCCATGTTGTAGCGGTCGTGCATCGACATAATCGCAAAGTCGGCCTCATCTGTCTGTCGGAAGGTCACGAAGCCGCTACCGGTGCTCTTGCCGTCCGCGTCACGCAACACATTGGTGTGGATGACGTGTCCGTAGAAGGAGAAGATCTGCCGCAAGTCGTGTTCTGTCGCATCAAAGTTCAGCTGCCCGACAAAAAGACGCGCCGTGCCCGACTCCGCCTTCTCGCCGCCGTTGGTGGAGCCCGTCATTGCCACGGAGAGAGAGAGAAAGAAGAAGAAAGAAGACGAAGAAAAGCGCGCGTGTGTGTGAATGATCAATGATGATGATAATAATAATAATAAAAATAGGTATCTATAATTCAGGTCGACACTCGAGAGGAATTTTTGTTTTTACAGCAACAATGATAATAATAAAAACAAAAGAATGTGGTAATGAGGAATAGAAGAGCAGTTGGGGGAAATACACTGAGGTAAACTTAGGTGCGACAGAGAGCGAGAAAGAGAAAGGAGCGGGTGGATTTCAAATACCCTTGAACGGAATCCGTGTTGTGCCGTTTTGCATGATGTGAAGAACGATTGTTTTTGGATGCAGTGTGGAAAGGAGAAGGAAGGAAGAGAGAGAATAGGAGGGGAAGGAAAAAGACGAGGTACAGGTTGAACAGAAAAAAAAAAGGTTTGCAAACGCATCTCTCTGGACGCACACGCATGCGGCCTCCCTCTCCCTCTCCCACACACACCGCCTTGAGATTCTCTTTTCATCCAGACCCCAGCAATACATCACGGCTGTGCGAGGTAGAACGACACAAAAAAGGAGTTAGGTTCGCAGTTGCAGTGAGACTCGTGCTGAAGATCATCGAGAGGTCTTCTCGCACACACGCATGCACAGGTGCCGCCATCAGTTTCGAAAACAGCCTCGACCTTTGTTCTTTTCGTCCACACAGAGCTCAAGCCGACCAGCTGCGGTCAGTGCTGCAAAGGATTTGGTACATCCGTTGATGGAGGCGACTTCCTCTTCTTCTTTCCAGAGAAAAAAGGAAAACAAGCAAACAAAAGAAAGGTGTTTTCGATTTACTTCGATTGTTAGACTTGCAGACCAAATCTGATTGTGGTGCGCAATAGTAAAAAAAAAGGAATAAAAATAGGTATTACTTCACAGCGGTACGCATCGGGCTGCAGATCAATGAACGCAGTTGGCAAGGATAAAGGGGACTCTAGGATATAAAACTAATAGAGGCAAAAATAAAAGGATACATGGATGCGGAAAACAAGGCTGACATAAGACTCTCTCGCGCAGGCGGAGAAACACTCATACCCTCAAAGGAAGAGAGCAGAAAAAGAAAAAGAGAAAAAAAAAACAATAGCTCATCACCAATCTGAAACGAAAGGGATCGTAGCGCATCAGGATAAGATTAGAGAAAAGTGAATCCAGTCAGGCAGACTACCATCGAGCAAACAGGTACGATAGGTAACTCATTTGAAGCGAATGAGAATGCAAGAGAGAAAAAAAGGTGTTCGGATAGGCTCGTCCCTTTTTTCTTCTTTTTTGGCTGTCGCTTTTAGTTCTACTGAAACCTTCTTCGACCCTCTCACCATGATCAAGACCTTCGCTTTATTCTCGTGGTGGCGGAACGAGAGTCTAACACACCGCGAAGAAGCAACCGCACCGCAGTGCTCCTCTCATCACCTACTCCTCTGTCTCCTCCGCCTCCTGTATGGCAACGGAAGACGCACACACACACACACACACACACACAAACAAACAGAATAGAAGAAACCCAAAATGCAATAAAAAAAACACAGCTGTTACAATAAACGAAATAGAAGAGGAGCGCACGCAGAGCGCGGAGGTTCAAATCGCTTGGTTTGAAGCCAAGAACACCAAAGGAACTATGCAAGTGATGCTTAGACACATGCACACGCACACGCACACGGTCTGCTTTTTTTTTTGTGTTCCCGACGTACAGAGAGTTGGACTCAACTACACCGCGACAGCTCCTCGGAGGGAATACCTTTCTCTTTTTTTTTTGGATTCTACTGTGAAGGAAGGCGTATAACTTAAAAAACTTTTATTATTATTGCTGTTGTTAGTATTAGGTTTGCATTCTATGACGAGGTTTCGAATGGAGGATAAATAAACTTGGAAGAAAAAACTGCAGCAGCAACAAAAAGGTCGACTGCGAAGCGAATACTCGGAAAAAAAAGAAAGAGCGCGAAGTCACTTTATCTATCTTCAACAAACACCAGCAGCAACAACAACGAAAGAACGAAAAAGCGAGGCAAGATGAGACGAGAAGAAGGCAGAGACTTTTCTTTGAGAACAGAGCAAACCTACAAAGAGAGAGAGAGAGAACGCAGGTTTTCTGCAGAAGATGCGTAGATGATCCGTACACACTTCTTTTCCTCCCTTCTTCTCCATCCCTCTAAGCCCTTCCCTGTTGACTTCTTTCTTTCTTTCTTTCTTTCCCGACCAATGCCGATACGTCATCAGGCGAGTCAGTGAGGCCACTTCATTCCTATCGCAGCGTCTTCCACCTGAAGGTCCTGCACAAACACGTGGAGAAGAACAGTAGCAATAATAGAATTTATAACAAAATCTCTCATCGTTTTCTCCCCTTCGTGTGGAAACAAGAAAGAAGGAAAACAGAAGGGAAAAAGATGAAGCTCTTCCGGAGAAGAATAACAACAGCAAAAAGCCAGAAAAATGAGTTTTTTTTTTCTTGAAAGAAAAGAGAATGTGGACAGACGGTGACGCGCACCTTCTTATTATGGTTATTAAACTTCGTCATTTCAGCGAAAGGAATAAAGTGCGATGGAGCAAGCGGGAAAAAGAAAACTAGAGTTTACGTAGTATGGGATACTCAAGAGAAAACCAACAGCGAGCTACAACAGCAAAAGGAGGGAGTATACTTTGAATCATCTCGTGTGTATGCTTCAAAAAAAAAAAAGGTTTTATACGTGCTCGTTAAAGGCGCAATTTTGTCTTTTCCTGCTTGACTTCCAAGGAGAGGAAGGTGTAAGCTTTCTACGGGTTCATCGCATATTACAAGTGGAAGGCACCAAAGAAGTGGGTACTGGCGCCGCTGAAACGATCGGAAACGATGGAATGCGTTGTATGCTCGAATAGGTGAGATTCGCACCAGGCAAGAAGAGGAGAGCCAGGAAGGGACACGTATGCGCGTCGCGTCGTTCGCGTGGTGCGGAGAACGAAAAGGAGAAAACGCTCCCCAAATAACAAACAGCAAACACCACCAACAAACGACGAGGCCTTTTCGATTTGTGGGCGATGCTGCATCGCAGGGAAGAGAAGACGTAAAGAAGGAAATAAAACAAAAAAAACGGAGAGAGAAAAACGGACGAAACACACACGCACAGAAGCGGTGATACGAACGACAATGATGAAGTTTACTACGTAGAAGGGAAAATAACACACACTAAGAAAATGCCATAACTAAGTTCTACCATAAAGAAAAAAGAAAAAAAGAAAGAGGATAACGTTAGAGGGTTATGAGAAAACAACAGCAACAACAAAAACACATTTTCGGTTTTGTGAAATACATAAATATATATTTGGCGGTTGGTGCGGACGGAAAGGAGAGGTAAGCACGACCCCCGAAAACCTATACACCGCACGGAAGACAAAAGAGACAGCCCAAGAGCCATTCAAGAAGAAATCACGAGGGACGATAAAGAGAATTCAAAGGCACCGCTGCAAAGCCCCCGTTTTTTTTTTCAATAACGAGGAGCCAGTGTAAAGGGATAGGAGAAGGGGAAAGCAAGAACAATACCATCTTCCAACCAAGCCGTGAGTGAGATAAAAATGGGAGAAAGAAGAGGAAAAGACACCTCGACAACGCCCTGCTTTGCGAAGAGCTGACGGTGACACAAACAGGGACAAATCGAAGCTGCATGGCGTTGCTGATGCGTCATTGAAGGACAAAACAAAAGAAATGAGAACATTAGAAAACAACCCCCCAGAAAAATAGTAGTGAAAGAATGGATTTCAGAGGGGGGGGGGGAGGACAAGGAAACGGGAGTCAAGACACCGCTTTGCGTGTTGTGGAAAGAGAAAGAGAGAAAAAAACTGTCAGCTAAGCTTCAGAGAATCGACAGAAATGAAACACAGAAAAAGAGCAGAAAAGAAGTCAATGCCACGTTGGACTCGCAGCAGTCGCGACGCGCAACGGCAAACACTACTTGACAAGTGGCCGCAACAACAACGACGACACCAAAAACAACAGCTGGCTAATCCTCGGGTTCGAAGAGACTACCAGAATCAGAATCAGAATAGTAATAAATATATATACTGCGGGTAGACATGACACAGGGATTAATAGTAATAATAATAAAACATGTCAGCCCAAAGCCGTGTATGCAAAGCTATTACACACATATGTTTAAAACAATGTAGATGAAAGGAGAACAAGGAGGAACGTAAAAAGAGTAACGAGAAATTTGGGGGCGGGGGAGGGGGGGGGGGAAACAATACATAAAAAACACCCCTCCCCTAACACACATACACACGCCCACCCAAATATTTGCATGCATACGTCATGAAATATCTTTCCGCCTGACCTTGAACCTTTTCCGTATCCCCTTACCCTCTTTCGCTTGCTTGGAATTCCACGTTGACCCTCTCCTTTGGCTTCCTTTGCTCTTCTTTCTCACTGTCGCCTACTTTTACATTCTGCAGTGTTTGCCAAAGCTTAGAGACGCGGAGAAAACATGACTCTAGTGAAGCGAGCGAGTAAAAGCTGCAGCAAAGAAGAAAAAAAAAGCGGTTACATCTGGATGCGTGAGACAGCAGATGAAAATCAGAGCGGTGAATACGTAAAACGGAAAGCCATCGGAAGGAGACCCGAACGGAACAGAGACATGCACATGTATGTAGAGGGATCACGCCAAGGACGACGAGAAGGTTCAAGGTCTTCTGCAGTAGGTGGCTGTAAAAGAGAACAATGCGAAGAGCAGGACGGCGCCGCCTCCCTCCCCCTTCCAACTCCGACACAAACTTCGACAGCGACAGCAGTAGAATTCGAAAGAAGAAATATGCTTTGAAGACGAGCAAAAAAGAAAAAAAGGTATTTGCTTTTAGTAGACCGTGAAGAGAAGGCAGTGACCGCGTTTATCGCGCCTCCCAGAAAAAAAAGAATGCTGAGGAAAAAGGAAGAGCGTCTCGTCTTCGTGCCTTGAACTGTTGGGCCACAAATAAAAACAATCATCATCAGTAAACAACCAGAGAAGAGAGACACTGCTGTGGCCACTTCAAGAGCGTGTGGTAGCACCGTCGCGAAAGCATACAACAGGAGGAGAGAGAGAGAGAGAGAGAAAGCAGAAACGAGCGAGAGGAGGGAAAACAAAATAATCTTAAAAATAAAAAACGCTGTTGGGAAGAAAGAAAAGGAACGAACCGATTTTTATTAGCCTTCTTGAACTGCTTACATATAGAATTATATATATACAATTTGCTAGAAACGTACCATTCTCTTTCTTTTTCCTTCTCTCTCCTTTCCGAGAGTTTCTTTCAGCGGTGTGTCGGGGTGCCGGACTTCAATGGCATCGGATTGTTCGTGTTCTCCTTGTGCAGACGCACGGCGTGCGCAAAGCCAAATTGCGAGATGTTCTCCGTCGCCTGACAGTACGTCACCTGCAGCGGCCGATCACGACCCATCACGTACCAGCCATGCAAGGCGCTGATCGCCGTATCCGCCTCGATCATTGAAGAGAAAGTCACAAAGGCGCTGCAGCGGCGGTTTGCTTTTTGAGGAGACAGCGTGGGATTGCTGCCAGTACTGTTCGGCGTTGTCGGCGGATGAACGGCCGGTGCAGTGGTCGCGGTGAGCACTGCCGTGCTGAGCATCGGGGGAGCAGTCGGAGGCAGCCCCGACGACGATAGGCTGCCGATGCGATAGCTGCCGCTGCCTGACAGCGGTGGGTTCAAATACGTGCTGACGTTGCAAGGGTCGGGGCGCAGGATGACAGCGCCAACGGTGGCCGCAGTTGTTGCTGCTGCCGCCGGCGCACCCGTGTCCCCGCTGCGGATGATCTTAACATCCAACACGTGCCCGTAAACGGTAAATATTTGGTAGAGGTCATCTTCGGTGGCGTCGTAGTGAATTTGACCGACAAAAAGACGAGCGGCACCGCGTTGGTGGATGCTGAGGCGCCGCAGACACTGATCGCCGCTCTGGCGTGCGGTGGACGGAAGAGAAGGGAGAGAGGTGTCGGGTCCCGTTGCGGAGGCGGATGACCCGGATGTGGATGCTGCGCCTAACGATGAAGGCGGCAACGCTGCGAAACACAAACCCGATAGCGCGTCCGCCCCAACGGGCTCCACGGCGCGATACGAGGGCGGCTGACCGCCATCTGGATCGGCCACTCGTGGCACACTGGCGTGGACTGGCATCAGCGTTTGCCCGGGGTGGAGCACGAAGACCTGCGAGGACGTGAGGGCGCCCTGTTGCATGACACGACTGGGCGGTGTGGTGGGCACGAGGGTCACACCGGCTGGTCCAGCGTTATGAGGGACAGCGGCGAGAATGTAGTTCGCAGGCATCGCATCCTGCTGCTGTTGTTGCTGCTGGGGCGGCTGCAAAGACAGGGGCATGAAAACTTGCTGGAGCGGTCCGAGATCTTGCGGGTGTACGGGTGAGGCGACGTAGGGGGTGCCATTGATGTAAACCAGCAAGCGTTGCGCGTCTTCGGTCCTAGACTGCATGGCGCTTCACGCTGGCAGGAAGAGCGAGAGGAACTGAAACCCAATCAAGCAAACGCGCACGAGGAAATTGGCTGGCACGTGGGGTGTGCTGCTCTGCCGTAGGAATAGTTAAGGAAAGGACGGAAATAAAGAAGAAGGAGTTCGTATATGTATATAAAAAACGTTTTTTTTTTTGGGAAAAAATTGATCAAAAAAAGAAGTATTTGAGACGTGACCGTTGAAGAGACAAAAAGTAAAAGGGAGGAATGTGTGTGGAGTAAGTTCTTTTTTTCTTGGCTGCGCTCACCGTACACCTAACTTGCACCGTAGAACAACAACAACAACTTTATTCTATGAAGTTCCTTTCGAATGCGTACCGCCCAGAAGCACGACGGCGCTAAGGAAAAAAAGAAAGAGAAAGAGGAGAACGAATAGGCAGCGGAGACGAGCTCGATTCACCGTGGCACAGTCTTCCGCATACAAAAAAAGTTCGTGGAAAACAGAAATAATAATAATAATAAATAGCACCCCAAAGAGAAATGTGGATAGGGAGAAAAACAAGCAATAAATAAAGAAATAAAGGGAATGTTGCTGAGGAGTTAAATAAGAGCGACAGCAACAACAGTGGCGACACACACACACACACACACTAGAGAAGAACTTAATCCTAGTGAGGAAGGGAGACTTGGGGGAGGGGGATGTGAAAAAAAATAGAAAATGAGACCCCTAAATGGCGAAAGCACGAGAAGAGAAGAATACACAATATTTGAAGATAATATGCGCTGTTTGAAAAAGAGAGAAAAATAAAAAAAGCCAAAGCACAGACGGAACAGAGATATATTTTGGAATACGCGCTCTACCGCAGGTAAAGTAAAACGACAGTTGGAAAAGGTATTCTTTGCTTTCTTCAAATGTGGAGAAGCTCACGTCGCACCCACTCTTTTCAAGTGATGGAATGAAAAAGAGGAAAAGAAGAAGAAAGCGTTGGTTTCAATCGTGATGAGCGCGTCCGCAAACACTTCTTCTTTCTCTTCCCAACGCTCTCCGATTATTTTACGTATTTGCTCAAACAAAGAACACAGGCACAAACGAAGTATGTCCAAAAGAAAGAGCTAAATAGAATTGCAATGAAGATTCTCTCTTTCTCAATTCTACACTAAAAAGGAAAAAAACGCGCTTTTGCTTAAAAGAAGAAGAAGAGAGCGCCAAAAACAAAAATATGTTGCTCGTTTTATTCACCACGTGGAGTGCACGCTATTTTTCTTGTTGGTTTTATCGCTTCTTTCGCTATCTTCTTCTATTATTTTGTTTCTGTTTCTGCTTCTTGGAGAACTAATGCACACGGATGTTACGGCGGCTGCCACCACGCGTCTGTAACCGAATTCTGTAAAAAAACAAAAAAAACACTTAGAGGCAATTTGATGGAAGCAACAAAGTCCAGCAAACGGACCGAGAGAAGAAGAAAACCAATATGAGCGAACCAGTAGGGGCTGTCCCGGTGTGTTGCTACCACACTCAAGTAACACGTGTACGACAGAAAACTTGACAGGCGAAGTAATGAAAAAGGGAAGAAAGAAAAGAATAGGTGCGTGAAGGCTTGACACAACGAGAGCCAGAACAGATTAACCATCAAATAGGAGTGATCGATGTAACAAGTGGGGGGGGGGGGGAAATGAAAAAAAAAGAAAGCACACGTTGGAACGTACCAGAGACACTGATAGAGGAGGAATGGGGTGGAGAATGGCAAAGAGCGAGAAAGGGGAAGAGAGACAAAGGAAGAGAAACAAGTAAACAGCAGCAACAAAAAGCGAAGAGCGATGTGAGAGTGCCACGATGAGAGCAGCGCTTCAAGAAGGAAAAATGGAAGGCTCAGACACGGCGTTAAATAGACGTGGGGAGCACCCGGTACACCTCTACAAATTCGTCACCAAACACTTCAAAAAGAAGTGGGAGAGAGAGGGGGGGGGGGGAGAAGAGCGTAATGTCTCTTCTTTTCACTCCGCACAAACACGTATTGTGGAGCCACAAAAAAAAAAGGAAGGAGGAGAGGTCAGAAATAAAACAAAACAAAGCAGAACAAACAAAAAACGATTGTGGGCTTATGATGTAGAAAGACTAAAGGGACACGAACGGATGGGTGTCAAATACATTCATTCTCGGTAAAGGAAAAGAAATTGGAAAGGAAAGAAAAAAAAGCCTTTTTGAAGAGCGAGGCAAAAACTTTCCGCTTCTTTTCCTTCTTTTCTTTTAAAATTATTATACAGCTTTCAACGGCGTATTTTGGCGAGGCCGAGAGAAAGTGTTGTAGTTGGGCTTTGCTGCCTATATTTAGATCTTAAGAGAGAGAGAGGGGAGGGGAGGGGGAACCACGTATATAAATATATATGTAAGACAAAGAGATGTTTTTTCGACACAGAGGAGGTGGAAGCGGGACAAGAAAAGAGAGGTGTAAAAAGGCGCTTACTACACGATTGGGAGCGGAGCCTCAGTTTTCTTTTCCCGTTTCTCTTGGCTTCTATACTGCTTTCGCTCCATTCAAAGGGAAAAAGGCGTTTCTTTTTCCCTTCGCCGCGAAGAACGGGCTCGATAAGCGCTGCGCCACTCTGTCCCTGACACACGTGCACTAGCAGGTGTGTGTGAGAGAGAGAGAAGTCAGGTGGCGTCACCGCACGCGCGTTAGCGAGTAGCAGCGGAACGTTGGGGTCGACACACACACACACACACACGCATTCGGTGTATTCCCACCAAGAAGCGCTTAACAGTTGCTTTTTCTGCTTCTCTTAAGCAGATCTTTAAATTATTTTTAAAAGTTCTCATGAGGAGGACGCTGCATTCCGTGATTTGAGAGTTCATAAACTGAAACAGAGCCGAAGAAGAGTAACAACAACAAAGAAAACACGCAGGAGAGAAACACGCGTTGCTGCCCTTGTCTGCCGTCGTCTCATCATTGACCGTTCCCTCCTTCCAAAGCGTGTGCAAACGGAGCAGCAGATACGTGGCCCGTAAGGAGAGACCCAAGCAGAGAATTAAAGAAGAAGACGAAAACAAGCAAAAAAAGAAAACACACAACTTATAGCGACTTATTTCGGCAAATGAAGAACTTTTGTTGCCTACAACAACGGAAAGGGTCTTGCGAAGAAGTGCAAAGAACGAAAAAAAAACACAAAAGGAAAAGAAGAGCTAAGCGATTTAAGAATAAAAGAGAGCAAAAAATCCCATTGCAATAAGTTGACAGGAAGGTCCAAAAGAAAATCAAAATAAATCGAGCTTGATTGAACGAGAGTATGGCTTATGCCTCCACTGGGCCTTTCGCCGGAGAAGCGCTGAAGAGAAAGAAAAAAAAAAGGCAAGACAATCTCTTCCTTTTGTTGTAAGCGGAGAGGCGTCCTGCGCTCAGAAAGCCAAAGACCCCCAACTCCCTCCCCCCCACACTCACACACGATAATGAAGAGATGTTCGTTACGATGGAAAAATGAGATGAGAGAAAAAGGAAGAAGACGAACGAGTTGGAGGCGTTTTGCGTGCGCTGCAGGATTCTCCACCGCTACAACAAACACCGCACAGACGCCAATAGCGGCATTAAAAAGCAACAAAACAACAACACAGGAAAACAAAAGAACCGTGCACGGGGAATACAGAAGGAGCTCGTGTTACGATCTCATAAACCGCAAGTACGTGAAAGTTAAGAAGAAAAGAAAGAAAGGCGAAAAGAGATATGAGACCAAAAGACTTCAAGGCACACACACACACAAGCATCGCTTCACCTAGAAAAGACAGTGATTCAACAAGAGAACAGTTTCCGCGTAATTAAAAGATGGCGAGGAAGCAGGAAGGAAGGGGGGGGGGGGAGGAGGAGGAGAACAGACCGAGAGGCCAAAGAAGACGCCTCGACAAAATGCGGAAACAACAATAACAAAAATGACACACATTTGCGGGGTGCGTCCAAGCGAGTGAGGGCAGAATTGCCCACGGCACACCCGCCCAACCACAACGTTAGACGGCAAGGACTTGTTCTCTCTTCACGCCTCACTTCGGGAAAAACTTCCGTTGGTTCTTCGTGGGCAGCGGGGCCGCATGCCGCTCGGACGCAACCCCCTCTTTCTTTTCGTTGGGTTTCCGCTGCGGCAGCTCCTTGAGCCGAAGCAGAAGACCAACAACAGCACCAAGCCAGAAGTGTCACTGCTGATAGCCACACCCACCCAAACCGCGACCGGCAGTCGGGCTCCGCTTGATGTTGCTGAGCGCCCTTCCTCGTTGCGGCAGATGCTGGTGAGGTGACCCTGGCAGCCCCGTCCACGCCTTCCCTCCCTCCGTCACGGGCGTCTCGTCGGACGAGAGAATTGTGCGAAGTATCCTTCCTGCTCGAGCGTACGAACTGATAAAAGGAGACGCGGTGATGGTCGCCGTACCGCAGGCGCGTCGATGGTCGCAGCGGTGGTAATGGGAGAAGCCAGCACTGGTGCATTTACATCGGTCCAACGGTGGCTGCGGCGCAAACCCGGCAGTGGCGCACTGGGGGACCCGAGAATGCCGCCGGTATTCTGGGTGAACTCGACAGGTAGCGTGTCATGAAGCATTTCATTAGGCAGCACCGCACCGTGCTGTTGCTTCGGGTGTTGGTGACGGTGGTGGTGGTGATGTGGTGTAGTAATGCGCGCTGGGTGGTGCGCGGAAGGCGTTGCCGTTGCATCGAACACTCGCGCCGTGGCTGCTGCGATCTCAGCTCCGGTGATGGATGCTGCTAAGGACGGGTTGCGTGACGTGCTGGCCGTAGACGTGGGGCTCCCACCAAGTGCGAGATTCTGCGAAAAGGAAGAGCTGAAAGGCGAGCGGGCGGCGTGTTGGAAGTTGTAGGGCGTGATGAGGGGCTGCAGCGGACCGGCAGACGCGGGAGCTGCCCGAGCTGCTGCTGCTGCTGCTGCTGGGCGAGACGTCGAGGAGAGACTCGTCAGGGAAGTATGCCCGGTGCCTTTTGCGCGTCGTCGGCGGATCACAACGTTCTTTGTCCCCACCGCGTCCGCACCTTCGAGAGAGCTGACGGTGGTGGAGAGGTTGGCGGAGGCCGTGGTGGCGGTCGTGGAGCTCTGCTCGAACACGCTCGGCATCTCAATGAGCGGGGTCTCGGCCGATATGAGAAACGACGCGGAGCTGGCGAGTAGGTTGGCAGCGGAGGTGGTGCTGGTGTGTGCACCGTCTTCCGTGCCACATTGCCGACTGCTGCTGCTCACACCGTCACCGCTGTTGCTGGGGTTGTGGTGGTGACGGTCAGCCTTGCTACTGCTGCCGCGGATCTCACCGTTGCGGGGTGCAGCAGCAGCGAGGTGTGCCTCGGAGGAAGAGGCGAGAGGAAGAAGTCGATGCGTCGTTTCGCCGTTCTCATCGCCCAGTACGGCAAAGGCCTCCTCGTCTTCGATGCGCAGTTTCGTTTTGCGGTGCGAGCGTGTGGCGTGGGTGCGGCTGCGTGGATCGTCGCTGGGACTCTCGAGTGGGCTACGCCCGCGAGGCACGTGCTCCTCGTTTGCGGTAGCGGTGGTGGTGGGAGACGGCTTCTGCGCCGTGGTGTTGGTGGCCGCCGTCGCCGTCTCCCCCTCGCTGCTGAGGGGAGTTTGCTGACGTGCGCGCTTCAGTCCGACGAGGGTGGTGGTGGAGCCATTGAAGGCCTTCAGCGACGTCGGCGGAGAAATGCCACCTGTGGTGCTGCGCATCCCATTGCTCGGCAGTCCAGAGGAGTTGGCGGACGAGTCATGCGAGTACAGCGAAGACGACGACGTCGTCGTGCACAAGCTGGATGTGCTGCTCTTCTGCTCACGGCCGGGCCCTGCTTCTGTGTGTAGGACCTGCAGCGTGGACGGCAGCACCAGCTCCGTTGCCTCGGCCGTCGTGTTGGGCTCCAGAGCCCACTGCGAGCTCGCCAGTGGCGGCTTTCGATTGAAGAAGGGCGGCAGCTCCACTTTGGGGTTGAAGTGGTGGAGGCGCGTGTTGTGCATAATGCCAAACCACGACCACTCTGCGGAGCTCGAGGCGTAGAAGAGCTGCAGCGGTCGATGCCGGCCCTTCAAGGTGCGTCGGCCGTGCAGGGCGGCGATGGCGGCATCGGCGCCGTTGACGGAGTCAAAGTACACGAAGGCCTCGCCCTTCACGTGCTGCATACGCACCGACACAACCTTGCCGTAGGGTTCCAGCAAATCGTACATGTCTGCATTGAAAAAATTGGAAAAGGGCAGCTGGCCCACAAAAAGGCATGCCATGACCCGCCCCCAGAACCGCCAAAGAGGCAACCTTTAGCGCCGAGCGACACGTCAGAAAGAAACACAAACTTGCGCGGTTTAACTAGGCAGGGACGGCGCTTCGATGGAGCAATGCGAACGGGGTTGAGGGCGCGAAAAGAGAAAACAATTCGAGTTAAAAAAAAAGAAGGAGGAACAATTTTTGAAGACCCTATGCGTCGCTCCCTGCGTGCGTAAAATCGCAATGCCGTAGGAGTCGGAGAAGCCGAGGGCGTGGTGCACACGTGGATCGCAACGAGGGTACGTAAAACACACACAAAAAAAGAGAAAAAGAAACACGCAGAAGCTATCAAAAAAGAAAAAAAACACCTATTTACCGAATCTGGAAGTGTTGTGGACGAGACCGTGGACGAGACCCTTAACACACACCCGATGTTAACCAGAAACGACAGACACACAAACAATCACAAAACAGAAAAGAATCAATCAGCTATTGCAAATGAAACGGGTAGTAAACAAGTGTGTACCTGTCCTCTTGGTTTTGCTCTCCTTGGCGATTCTACTGGTCAGGAGGAGGAACAACACCAGAAAGACAGCGCAGTGTAAAGGAGGATGAGAGGAAGAAAAGGAAGGAACCGCAGGAAACAAAACAAAAAAGAAACGCACGTTCGTGTACCGCTGATGCAATGCTGCGGAACAACAACAAAAAAGAAATCAAAGAATCAAAGAAAACACGGTGAAGAACACAGGAGTACGAAGAGACTCTTACAGAGAACTCGAAAGAAGAGGAATTCCTTTCAGTGAACGTCTACCTGCTCAATATGTGTCGCTTGTACTTGTACTTTACTATCATATCTACACGGGAAGCGAGTGGCAAGAAGCGACCGCTAGCAACCAAAAGGAGTAAGGTACTTCGTTTGAGTTTTGAGAGGAACCGCAGAAAAAAGAAAAAACGAAACAAAACAGAAGCAATAAAAAAAAGGCGAGAAAAACAAAAAGATTGAAACCGTTTACGTACACACGCAGAAAAGATTTTTAAAACTATTTTTAAAGTCCATCACAAAACGGTGACAGTAACGTTCACAGACTATATTGCCAGTGAAGAAAGAAGGCAGGAGAAGTAAGCCCTTTGAAGGCAGAGAATTATTATACAACGAAGTTGCTTACGCCCGTAACAATCATATTTGAGACTCCGAGGAAGAGAGAGAGAGAAAAAAAAAGGGTTGGCTTCAGCGTATAGCACAATGCGAAGACTTTAAGCTTTCGATTTGAATTAACGCACGCGTCAACAATTGAATAAAGAGGACGGCCTTGGAGTGTCAATTCCTTCCGCGGTTGCTGCACAACGCGTAAAGGGAGAAATGCTCACAGACGACACGTAAGTAGTCCACCCCCGGAACGAAAAAGGAAAGTAAAATTGCAAGACTCGGAAAACAAACGAACAAACCGAGAAGAGAAAACGAAACGGTAAAATAACAAAAGAGAAATCTGCGAAAAACAATAGAGCTGGAAATAAAAATGGGAGCTGAGAAAAACAAAAACAATGACATCAATAACGTACCGGCAGCAACGAGAACAGGCTCGGTGCAAACATCCACGGACAAACACACAGAAATCTAAAAAAAAGGAAGAGATCAATCTGCAGCGCAAAAAAAAGCTTTGACCCCGATGTCGAACGTAAATAAGAATAGCAAATACAAGAGCAAAAACAAAAGATTGAAACGATCGAGTTAAAGTAATCACAATTACCTTCCCGCAAACGAGACCGTTCTTTTCAGGTTGTGCAGGAGCCAGGCACAGCAAAAATATATATATCAAAATACGGAAAAGCACACGACAAAGACAGAAGAACAGTAACAACATAAAGCAATGTGCACATAAAACATCTGCCGGGTAGGAAACACGCGACTGCACAAGCGTTAAATCCTTGGACGGAGGCCACACCGTTGCACGAGTTGCCGAACACACAAACGCACAGACGCAAAACGAAGAGTCCGTAAGAAGATGAAATCGTATTAGTGCTTATTATTTCGTTTTTTTTTTTAATATAAGAGAAACAATTAGATGAAGACGGAATGAACGATCGATTAAAAGGGAGTTAGACAAGAGAATCTTTAGCTTACAAGATCAAGGGAGCTTGAATGCAGTGCAGCAGCAAAAAGCCAAGAAAAATAAATTGTACACAGCAGACGAATAGATCGAATGCTTCGTGTCACGTGTGTGTTGCCTTTTTTGTAGATGCCCAGCAGCAGCAGTAGTTTTTCTTTTTGTTTCGCTGCTATCTGTCCTGAAGTGGATTTTCGTGGCTGTAACACACACACCGAGTTATCTATCTTGATGGAGGAGTCTTTGGTGTGGTGAGCAATGGAACAGAGCAGCGAGGGAGGGAGGGGGAGGGAGAGAAGAGAGAGAGGGTCAAACGTACACAGACGTAGTAATTGTGAAAGCAAATCTCAGAAAGACGCGTTTGTACTGCATGTATATCACGCGAGGAGGAACTGGAGAGAGAGAAAAAAAGAAGTAGACTGAACATGTGGGGCCAGCCTTCACTTTGATCAGACGGTTGGAGGAGTGCTTCAATAGTTCCTTTTAGCGCTGATCTGCTCTTTTTCCCTTTCATGATGTTATTTCTTCCCATAAATGGGCATATGTATGTATGCATAAAAGCTACTCGCAAGGTGTCTCTCTGCAACACGATCTTATCGCCACGGCGTTGACGGGCTGCACCTTCGAACGTCACCGCCTCGTCTCGTTTCCTTTTGTTTGACGGTAGAGTATCAGGAATCTGTGTGATCCACTTCCAGCGGCTTTCGTGCGGTGGCAACTTCTTCGCAGTGTTAGACAGCTCTTCCCGCAAACAGCGCGGCACCAATCCCCAGGGTGGGCCACACTCGCGTCAAGGCGCGAGTAGCGCGTTGTCCATCGACAACGGGGTGCGATGACTACTGCATTTCGATCATTCTCCCCAGATCCGTATGCACAGCCTCCGATGGTGCCGTGCAAGGAATTTTGAGCTGGATTGTGCTCGTCATCCGCCGTCTTCTCTTGAATGCCGATGATCCGATCGTGTCGGAGAAGAAGGCGGAAAAACGAAAGGTCTTCTTGCCCGCTGCAGTGATATCTCGGCACCATTTATCGGTGGGGAATGAGTTTTTGTGGTCTTTTTTTGTCTTTTTTTCAAAAGCGAAGTGCCGCATCGCAACGCTTCCTTGAAGGGAGATGCACACCGCATTAGTTGAACAGCAGCAACAACACCACCAACGCTGCACACGTTCCGCCGTCAGACAAACGATGAGGACAGGGGGAACGACCAAGAGGAGGAAGGAGAATGGTGATGGAAGATTCAAAGATGGAAAAAAAAATAAGACAGACGACCGAGGAGAGACAGCACAAAAACCCGCGGCAGACTCGCTGCTGATCCTATTGGACATAGAGAAAGGAAGAGTGCGGCTACTAGCATTCAGCCCTGCCCATGTGTCACGTGTTCGTTTACTTATTTATCTTCATTGAGGGCATGGCTGCCTTCGTGGTACACACTCGCATCTCGATTCCTGCATACCAAATGAGGTAGCGCGTTTCACTGATAACCCATCTGAAAACAAATGAATAAAAAAGAAGACCTATATCAACGCAAAATCACTCTTGGCCACAAGGAAAAGAAATCAATACACACACGCACGCACCCACACACGATACTGGCGCAAAGGAAGAGCGGGGAAAAAAGGGAGGATAACGAAACGACTTCCTTACGACAGTGAAAGTGGGGCGAGGCAGTAGAACGAACAAACCGTGCATCAGTGGTGTTGAAGAGGCGACCTGAAAAGAGTATTTTTTTTTTCCCCTCAAAGCGTTGATGTGAGAGGTAATTTCGTGTTTGAAAACTGCATTGATTCACACAGAAAACGGCGTGCGTGTGTGCGTGTGCTCAGTGCGAGACAAGAGAACAGCGGTGATAGCACTCACAGTGAAAGCGTAAAACCAGAAAAAGGATAGTGAGGGGACCCATTTCCTGACAGTTGCACAGAGGTGCTAGAGTGTTGGTCCGTGTGGTTATTTATAGAGGTGTTCCGCTAACAGCTGCGAGCGCTACGAATAAATCTTCTTTTCCCCTTGGGTGTTTAGAGTTGACCGCTTTTATCCATTTTTTTTTTCGGTTTAGAAGGGGGGAGGGGAGGAGGGGGAAGGCGGGGAACAACGTACGTGCTACGCCAACAGTTGTAACACGAACGTGAAGAGAAAGAAAAAACAGAAAACAAGAAAGGGTTTCATAACAAAACAAAACGGAATAAATACGTGAGTTTCTCCAGAAGAAGAAAACAACGACCCCCCAAAAGAGCACTTTCTTTCTTTCTTTTGTTTGTTGTTTAAGTGAAAGCGTCGTTCGATATGAAGAGACAGAGCAGATCTTTTTCTATTCTTCCTTTATGAAAAGCAATAGTGATACGGGAAACGTTCGCGAGATCCCCCCCACACACATACAAAACATATATCGAAACGAGGGCGGCTTGGAGCGCGGTGAAAACCAATAAAGCAGGTAATAAAGCCAACGAAACGGAGAAGGGAATCAAAAAGAAAAGATACCTGCGCTTCTTTCCATTTTTGTTTTCGGAGGAGGGCCGGAGATCAAGAAAGAAAACCAGCAGGAGAAGAACAGAAAAGCGAGTACCCGTATGTGTTAGCCAACACACACACACACACACACAACAAATCTTACGAAGTGTTTTCGAACAGCACAGAGTACGACAAAGAAAACGGTGAGAAGAAAATGAAAAGAAGAGAGAAAAAAAAGCAAGAGGAGGAGACAGTTGTTGATTAAGAAGGGCGAACCCTTCCCCCCCCCCCACTTGCGTTAAATCACAACGTACGAGCGAAGAAGAAAGAAAAGAAGGTGGCGAGTCCATTCATTTTCCAGCATACGGCACGGCAAGAGGAAGCCACACCTGCTAAGGAAAGCGAAAAAGGTGAATCCTCCGCTGCATATATCTTATTTCTTTTGTTTTTTTGAAGAAGAGGGAAACAATATACTCGATTACACTGCCAAAGAAAAAATCGTAGGAGGAGAAAAAGGAACGGGCTTTTTGAAAGAGTCGACTCACGAGGAGAGCAGTATTCAAAAAAGAAAGCGATAAATAAACGAAGCAATGCAGGTGCTGGGCGTATGTAAATAAACATTTATCTATATATGTTTCTTACGAGTGCATTCAAAAGGTGCAGCAGGAGGCGCACCACCGTTGAAACAAAAAAGGAGGAAAAAAAAGCATGACTCCCTCACACTTCTCCGTTACAAGTTCGTGTGGCTTTCTTTTACCTCTCGCTCTCTCTCTGGAGAAGAAGTAAAGCGCTAGCTCAACACTTCCCCACCACACACACACACACCCATACTGAAGGGAAGCGACGCGGAGCACACGTGCATGTTGGGGAAGCACAACATGCACAAGCAACAACAGCAATACTAAGAAATGACGATTCTCAAGGTTGGAATAGCAAGAGGAAAAAGGAAAAACAAAGTTAAGGTGATTCAACCCAACAGAGTAGCTCAGAGCAAGCGAGCGAGCGAAGAGCAAGAAAACAGAGGAGAAAGGTAGCAAATAGGATGCCCGTTGGCGGACAAACATATATGCATAGAAGCATAAATATATAAAAATACAAACAAAGCACAAGCAGTGGGAGGAAAAAGAAAGGAGAGGCACACAGAATAAAACAGGGTGGAGAAGGCATGAAAGAAGAAGAAAAAAATCTAGCAACACATGAAGATTGACATCTACAGGTCGATACTGAGCTAACGGTTTAGAAGAAGTACAAGAGGTGCCAAAAGAAGTGTACATTTCAATTCACTAGCGAATACGTTTGGAGGAAAAGAGGATAACAAAACAATCGAAAACAATAGTCAGCGTTATAGGAGGAGGAAGTGCACTGCAAAGAGAAGGGTGGAGAAGAGATAGCGAGCTTAGGCTTCACATATACAGTTACAACACTAAAGGTTTTAATTATTCAGAGCTTCTTCTGTTCTCGTGAATTCAGAAATCTCCAACAAAGTTTGTTCCATCATAACGTGAAAAGTACAGGCGAGTTCCCCACAATCTACAAAGGGCTTGATAATTGAGCCGATACTAACGAATTAATGAAAAAGAAAGCAGTTGGACAAGCGAGGGGCTTGCGAGAGGTAGAAACGAGGCCACCAAACACCGAGTGCTCGGCAATCTCCTAGTTTATTAATATCACTCTTATGTAGTCGTCTCTTGCCTCATTGTTCTTCTCCCTTTTCTATGAATGAAAATCTGCCACAGACACGGAACTGGTAGTAACGGGAGAGAGAGCGAGAGAGAGCAATAATAATAAATGTAAGAAAAAAGGAGGGTGGTACTCTACACAAAGAAGAACAGAAGTCGACCGAGTACCGCGACACAATACATACCACCAAGGCACGGTCAAACAAACAAACAAACAAACATGACAGGGAAGAAGGAGGGAAGGAAAAAAAAATCTAGTTTGCCTTCTTGTGGAGAAACCTGCAAAACTCACGTAGCTCGGGGAGGTGCGAGAAGGAGCGTCATACACACATATATATATATATTTAGTATACAACAGAGAAATCGAAGCAGCCACAGAAAAACGCTTGACAATGAAAATAAGCAGAAGTCAACAACACTTGATAAAAATAAAAAGCGGACACACACACAGAGACAGAGAAACCTCTCTCGGCACGGTAACCGCGTTCTACACGAGAAATCTGTGAAGAGCAGCAGAACGGTAGATAAAAGCACTAATGAAAGGAATTAAGTGATGGTAACGGGGGAAGAAGAAGAAGAAGTGGTGTGTGGATAGAAGAGAAGAGAAAAGAAAAAGAAAACTGAAACGTGAGACGGAAATAATAATTATAGTAGTAAGAAAAATATGGATATCATTATCGTACAGGAATAACACTCCAGAAGGAGGAAAAAGATCCTTGCATTCGAGTGCTGTTCGTTCCACTTTAAAGACACCTTGCCAATATATATATATATATATATATATATATTCTCTAAATAATGAAGTGAAGAGAAGCTTTGCTTCTTTTTTTTTTCCCTCCTGCTGTTGCGTGCGCTTTCGGGTGTCCTTCATTTTCGCGAAGAACAAAGTTGTCAGTGCACACGGAGATGCAAAGAAGGGCCTGAAGCACACGCAGAAACAAGCAAGATAGGGAAAAAAAAACGACGCATGCAAAAGCACGCGGAGAAGGAAAACAATAATAATGAAGCAAAACACTTTATCCGAAAATGAACAGAAGAAAAATATATGTTGGAAAACACTGGCGAATAGAAACCTCGCGCACTTTGAAGTGGTCACGGCAACTACAGCAAAAAAACGGAGTGTATAACAAGCGGGACGGGGAGATGGAAAGAAGAAGAGTCCCCCGAAAGTACGATGAACGAGCGTGAGATTAGTGATCCTAAACGCAACAAAACGTCTTGAAAGAAATCACGAGAAAAGAGTCCTCAAAGCCGGTTTAACCTTCTAAAGAGCAACAAGCAAACAAACAAGCAAAAACAACAGCAAAGACGAGATAGTATAAAGTAAACAGTGAACATACAGAAAAATGCAGACTCTACCAACATAAAGAGACAATACACACACACACACACACCGAGAGAGAGAAAGGAAAGACCCCAGCCTGAGATAAGACGAGGAGTGATGTGATGGTTAGGAAAAAGAGAAAAGAATAGCATTCTTTTCTACTGTCCAGATGTTCTCTCGCCTCGCATTCGAATTTCTGAAGTGAGTAGAGGATGAGCAAGAAGCCTATTGCCTCCCTCTCCCAATATATATATGCTTTCCTTTTCGAGAAGAAGCGCCTCCGCTCATATATATATGTATACTCCCGCAGGCACCGAATGAGATGAAAAAGAACACACGGATACAATCGAATGGCTAAAGAAAAGATGGAGTTCATACGCAAAACAATTAAAAAGACAATATCAATTGAAGATGCCATGGTGCCTACGACGTTCGTCTCTTCAGAGAAGAAACGACGTGAAAAACCACAACAGAAAAGTATCAAGGAGAGAGAAAAAAAAAGTCCAATACAGGAGACCCTCGAGTCGCACAGAGGAGGAGTGAGCGATCGCCAAAAGGAAAAGAAGGGGAGGAAAACCCCTCAACAACGTTTTTATTAGTATAAATATATATAAGGCGATACGGGCCGTGTTTTTCACCGCTTTATTAAAGGCATCAACGAAAGCAGACGTTTCGTTAGGTTGACCGAAACAATAGGAGTTCACAAGCAATCACTGCACATATATATGATGTACCGTAGTGAAGACAAAACAAAAAAAGAATGTTCGGTTTCGAAGAAAGTAATTCAATTGAAGCAAAAAAGAAGAAAGAGAATAACATGAAAGAGCGATATAATTCACTACCAAACATCAGAAGAAGAACGAAAACAAAAACAAGTGTTTCTCAAACAAGATGGGGAGAGAGAGCTGGAAAAAATAAACACAATGGAAATAAAACAGCTGACTTAGTCGCAACGAGATCTTCATCCACCAGAAGAAAACAATAAAACAAAAATGGTGAAATAACAGAGAAATAACCAAGAAAAAGTATTTAAAAAAGAGAAAGAAAAATAAAACAAAAATAGAAAGGACGTTATGCGCGAAAAATAGATTTGGAAATGCATACACAACTTTGTGAACGTACCAACCATAGAGAGAAGAATAGGGCAGCGAAAGGAAGAAACGGTAAAAACAAACAAAAAAAACATGCCGAAAAGGCCGCCAACGAGACAATGCGTTCGAAGAAGAAAGGGAAGAAAAGAAGAGAAACAGAAACTATTTCATCATCTTATTTTTTTTTTTTGATTTGTGTGTGTTCACAACGATGAGAGGAAAATAGGGGGGAGAACAAAGACCACATCGATGGTGTTCCTAAAGGACAGTCAGGTGTATCAAAAACGGGGTTGCTACATATATTTTCTGTAATTGTTGTATTTAATGTATATGCTGAACACACACACACACATACATACACACATACACACGCACAAACACAGACACCCATAACGAGATACACGGTGTCGAGGAGCTGTCCAGAACAACTGAATGAAAGTAGTGCCAGTACGTGTATTCCTGTCGTTAGCAGAAGAAAACACATTCCCTCCCCTCCCTTGGCTGAAAAACAGATAAATAAAAACAGGAAATAATTGGAAAAAAATTAACGAATAATCGTGAAATAAATCGAATCAACGGAGGAAAAAAAAAACAAGAGAGAGTGTGTGTGAAAGAAAACACTAGGCTGAGATAAAAAAAAGGAAACAACAGCAACACAAACGCAGCTATTCCGCTTGAAAAACAATTACCGTTGTCAAAGCAAAACAGAAGAGAAGTTTTTGAAAAAACTAAACAGATAAATAGAATAATAACAGTAAAAGAAAAGTTGCTACACGTATCTCAACAGAGAGAGAGAGAGAGAGAGAGCCCAACGAAATCCTCTCGTCTGCCTTGTACAAGGCACACACACACACAGAGTGCTGAGATAAGTTGCTGCAGCAGCATGTATATACTTCGAAGACGAAAAGAAATGCGTCGTCGTCGAGGAAATATATTAAATGAAATTATTGTAACTATATAGTTATTTATTCTTTTCTTTCGAATGGGCGATGCTCCATGATAGAAGAACGACAAACAGCAAGGAGAAAAATAAAAAGAAAAAAGAAGGACGACAGAGGAATAATCCGTTGCTGCGATTCCTTTTTCTTCGATTATTTTTTTTGTTTACTTCGTCGGTTCCAACAGCGTTGGGTGGCTTTAGAAACGAGAGAACAGGAGCGGATAAGCGTAAGTCACATTAACAGGCGCTTACGGACAGGGAAAACGTACGGCCTTGACAGCAAAAAAAGAAAGAAAGAAAGAACAGAAGACCACCCACATGGCAGATGCAGCCGCAAACAAACGAAACAACAACAGTGAAAAGAAACACAGAAGGCAGAACAAAGTAAGGCGACCAGAGAGTGGATCCTTTTTTTAATTATGCGTACTAGCTGCTGTTTTTCATTTTTACATGGGTTGCATCTGCATGTAGGCCAGCGAGGGCGGAAGCATCTGCTGAGAGAGGTACGCAGGGCTCGTGGGGGTCGGCACCACGTAGCAGACCGGCATCCTGCCAGGCACGCCAAACCCAGTCGCCATGGTCGGGGTAGAGGAGGACATCACGACGTAGGAGAGGGCCGGTGGCGGCAGCGGTGGGGCAGCCGGACTTGCCATCTGCGACGGTGGAGACAACACACCATTGTTGCTGCTGTTGTTGCTGCTGCCATTACTGGTCGGCATCAACATCGTCGGCGGGGTCATAGCCCACTTCATCGGCGTACCGTACACCATCGGATCGACGCTCATCAACCCAGACACGTAGGCCTGCTGTTGCTGAACTTGACGTGTGGCAGCGGCGTTGAGGGAGTACATGGAGGGGTTGCTGAAGATCCCGCTGCCCATCATTTGCCGGCCCTCGTCGTCGAAAGAGATGTCAATCGGACCGTAGCTGACGAAGGAGGCGACGCCCGCGCCGCTCCTATTCCCATTGGCACCAACCTCTTCCGCACCCGTGGGGTAGAGCCCCGTCGCTGGCTCGTCCTTGAGCTCGCCCGACAGGCCCGCCAACACCGCGTCATTCAAGGAGACGCTCTCGTTGTTGATGCTGCTGTTGCTCGTCGCGCTCAGAGTCTCTTTGTTCCGCTGGCGGTCCTTGTTGCGGGCCAGGCACAGCGAGCGATGCTGCAGACCAAACGCGGAAATTAGCCGTGTGCCTTTGGAGTACATCACCTGAATGGGCTGGCTGCGGGTGCCGAGGGAGCACTGACCGTGCAGGGCGCTAATCGCCGCATCCGCCTCGTCGGTCGCCGCGTAGGTGACGAAGGCGTTTCCTTGACGGATGTGCAGCTGATGCGCCACTACGTTGCCGTAGGGACGGAATAAGTTCAGCAGGTCTTCCGGGAAGAACTTGCTGAAAGGAAGCTGGCCAATAAAGAGCTCCGCCATCTTTTTCTTTTCTTCGTTTTTAAAGTGTGTTGTTGGTTATTTGCTGTAGGTGCTTGGTTCTGCGGTAACGGCGATGGTGTGTTTAACTCTGAGAGGGGAGAGGAACAGAAAGGCAAGAGCAATAGGACAGTTAATAATAGATGCATTTTCTTGTGCTGATCTTGGAAAGCGAAGCCCTACGCAGTGTCTCCGATCTTTAGTCCACGTCCGTCGCTCCGTTCGCTGACGCCTTCCTGTTCACATGTCATCGTATCGTGCACATACGTCCCGCACCCACGCTGCCCCGGCGAAGGGTGCTCAACACCTCACGACTGCTGTCTCATCGTAGTTGGAGATGCCGCGAGACGAGACGTGCGGGTGCGGTGAAGAGAGACCGCACAAAAGGTAAAAACCAACAAAACCGCGATTATTCTTGTGGACTGCTTTTGACAATTACATCTCAACTCCGTCGCAGACTCCGTGCAGTTCGGCCGCGACGTACACATCAGCACTGCGCAACCCTACCTCACGCAACTAGCACCCGGTAGGGGAGGGGGGGGGGGTGGGCCACGAGGAACGCGGCGAGGAAAGCAGCACTGCAAGAGTCGGTCAAGCTCCTGTTAGATAAACTTCTGTTGCAGACAAAGCTAAATGCCACAAAACAAATAAGAAAAGATCACAGCGTCAGAGAAACGACAGTTCTACAGTGTAGCGAGTGTGTGCATCACGCGACGCCCCAACGTGTGGGACGCTCAGTGGCAGCGAAAAAGAGTCTCATCACAGCTGCATGTGCGTGCTCGCCGGTGTGGCGGCGCCGACGCAGCACGCGGTCACTCGGTCACTCGGCCCCGGGGACGCGCAGCGGTCAGCAGGTCGAGCAGGCGGGCGAACAGACAGGCGCGTGCACACCGGCACAGCGGCATCCAGGCACTCAGGCACTCGGCCACACGGACAGCGCCGCAGCATCTCGGCCCATTGTTCATCAGCGGAAGCTCACGGGTGCGGAGCAGGCCGAGCGAAATGGGTCGGCGGTGACGCGCGACGCAGCTCTCGGTCTTTACCATTCCCCATATGTGCGTCATGGGTGGAGCCGCACGGGGTACACAAAGACCTCGGTCAGTGGCTGGGGCCACGCGAACGGGCAGCTGGAGAGGGCAGGCAGCGAGGAGCAGCGTCAGAGAAACGACAGTTCTACAGTGTAGCGAGTGTGTGCATCACGCGACGCCCCAACGTGTGGGACGCTCAGTGGCAGCGAAAAAGAGTCTCATCACAGCTGCATGTGCGTGCTCGCCGGTGTGGCGGCGCCGACGCAGCACGCGGTCACTCGGTCACTCGGCCCCGGGGACGCGCAGCGGTCAGCAGGTCGAGCAGGCGGGCGAACAGACAGGCGCGTGCACACCGGCACAGCGGCATCCAGGCACTCAGGCACTCGGCCACACGGACAGCGCCGCAGCATCTCGGCCCATTGTTCATCAGCGGAAGCTCACGGGTGCGGAGCAGGCCGAGCGAAATGGGTCGGCGGTGACGCGCGACGCAGCTCTCGGTCTTTACCATTCCCCATATGTGCGTCATGGGTGGAGCCGCACGGGGTACACAAAGACCTCGGTCAGTGGCTGGGGCCACGCGAACGGGCAGCTGGAGAGGGCAGGCAGCGAGGAGCAGCGTCAGAGAAACGACAGTTCTACAGTGTAGCGAGTGTGTGCATCACGCGACGCCCCAACGTGTGGGACGCTCAGTGGCAGCGAAAAAGAGTCTCATCACAGCTGCATGTGCGTGCTCGCCGGTGTGGCGGCGCCGACGCAGCACGCGGTCACTCGGTCACTCGGCCCCGGGGACGCGCAGCGGTCAGCAGGTCGAGCAGGCGGGCGAACAGACAGGCGCGTGCACACCGGCACAGCGGCATCCAGGCACTCAGGCACTCGGCCACACGGACAGCGCCGCAGCATCTCGGCCCATTGTTCATCAGCGGAAGCTCACGGGTGCGGAGCAGGCCGAGCGAAATGGGTCGGCGGTGACGCGCGACGCAGCTCTCGGTCTTTACCATTCCCCATATGTGCGTCATGGGTGGAGCCGCACGGGGTACACAAAGACCTCGGTCAGTGGCTGGGGCCACGCGAACGGGCAGCTGGAGAGGGCAGGCAGCGAGGAGCAGCGTCAGAGAAACGACAGTTCTACAGTGTAGCGAGTGTGTGCATCACGCGACGCCCCAACGTGTGGGACGCTCAGTGGCAGCGAAAAAGAGTCTCATCACAGCTGCATGTGCGTGCTCGCCGGTGTGGCGGCGCCGACGCAGCACGCGGTCACTCGGTCACTCGGCCCCGGGGACGCGCAGCGGTCAGCAGGTCGAGCAGGCGGGCGAACAGACAGGCGCGTGCACACCGGCACAGCGGCATCCAGGCACTCAGGCACTCGGCCACACGGACAGCGCCGCAGCATCTCGGCCCATTGTTCATCAGCGGAAGCTCACGGGTGCGGAGCAGGCCGAGCGAAATGGGTCGGCGGTGACGCGCGACGCAGCTCTCGGTCTTTACCATTCCCCATATGTGCGTCATGGGTGGAGCCGCACGGGGTACACAAAGACCTCGGTCAGTGGCTGGGGCCACGCGAACGGGCAGCTGGAGAGGGCAGGCAGCGAGGAGCAGCGTCAGAGAAACGACAGTTCTACAGTGTAGCGAGTGTGTGCATCACGCGACGCCCCAACGTGTGGGACGCTCAGTGGCAGCGAAAAAGAGTCTCATCACAGCTGCATGTGCGTGCTCGCCGGTGTGGCGGCGCCGACGCAGCACGCGGTCACTCGGTCACTCGGCCCCGGGGACGCGCAGCGGTCAGCAGGTCGAGCAGGCGGGCGAACAGACAGGCGCGTGCACACCGGCACAGCGGCATCCAGGCACTCAGGCACTCGGCCACACGGACAGCGCCGCAGCATCTCGGCCCATTGTTCATCAGCGGAAGCTCACGGGTGCGGAGCAGGCCGAGCGAAATGGGTCGGCGGTGACGCGCGACGCAGCTCTCGGTCTTTACCATTCCCCATATGTGCGTCATGGGTGGAGCCGCACGGGGTACACAAAGACCTCGGTCAGTGGCTGGGGCCACGCGAACGGGCAGCTGGAGAGGGCAGGCAGCGAGGAGCAGCGTCAGAGAAACGACAGTTCTACAGTGTAGCGAGTGTGTGCATCACGCGACGCCCCAACGTGTGGGACGCTCAGTGGCAGCGAAAAAGAGTCTCATCACAGCTGCATGTGCGTGCTCGCCGGTGTGGCGGCGCCGACGCAGCACGCGGTCACTCGGTCACTCGGCCCCGGGGACGCGCAGCGGTCAGCAGGTCGAGCAGGCGGGCGAACAGACAGGCGCGTGCACACCGGCACAGCGGCATCCAGGCACTCAGGCACTCGGCCACACGGACAGCGCCGCAGCATCTCGGCCCATTGTTCATCAGCGGAAGCTCACGGGTGCGGAGCAGGCCGAGCGAAATGGGTCGGCGGTGACGCGCGACGCAGCTCTCGGTCTTTACCATTCCCCATATGTGCGTCATGGGTGGAGCCGCACGGGGTACACAAAGACCTCGGTCAGTGGCTGGGGCCACGCGAACGGGCAGCTGGAGAGGGCAGGCAGCGAGGAGCAGCGTCAGAGAAACGACAGTTCTACAGTGTAGCGAGTGTGTGCATCACGCGACGCCCCAACGTGTGGGACGCTCAGTGGCAGCGAAAAAGAGTCTCATCACAGCTGCATGTGCGTGCTCGCCGGTGTGGCGGCGCCGACGCAGCACGCGGTCACTCGGTCACTCGGCCCCGGGGACGCGCAGCGGTCAGCAGGTCGAGCAGGCGAGGCGAACAGACAGGCGCGTACACACCGGCACAGCGGTATCTCTCGTGCTGTAGCGTCTGTTGTCGAAATGGAAGGGACAGCAGGGGTAAAGTGGATGGAGTCGATGTATGCTGTGACGCAGCGTCGAATGCTGCTTATGTCTCCAATGCGTTAGCGCGGTAGCTGACTCAGAGGGAAATGAAGGAGATGAAAGAAAGGGGAGGGAAGGTGGAGAGGAGAAAGCGGTTCCCCAGAAGTGAGTTTTTGTGTAGTGTGTCCCGGTAATGAACTTCGCTTTAGCGCGCTGGATGTCGCAGAGGCGCACAGGGGGGTGATGCATCAGGGATGTTCATGGCGCCCGAGTAAAAAGCAAGAGCGAAAGCGTCCGCTGCCGCGTTGCTGGATGGCGCTTCGGGAGAATGGTGGAGGCCGACCGCCCTCCTTTCCGAGCGGATTTTCAGGTGCCGAAATGACACAGCGGTAACGGAGAAGAAAAGAGAAAAGAGAGAAAAGAACGGACAACGAAAACGGACCGAGTTCGTAGTCGACGATGCTCCGTAGAGGTCAAGACGAGAGTTCTTCTTTTATGATGTTTTGCAGACGCCTATACGCTCGTTGCTTATTATTATGTTTTGTTTTGTTTTGGGCAAGGGTTTCTGTTTCAGGTAGGTGAGTAATCAGGAAAAAATGAAAGAGGAGAAACAGAAACAGAAAATGATAATAATAATAGCATCTCGAAGGAGAACGTTGAGTCGAAAAGGGTTGTGAAACGTCTCGCAATGGGGTGGAGGGGGGAGGAGTGGGGAGGGGGGGGTACCGAAAATGAGAAAGTCCCTGCGTGGGAGGTGACTGACACTCCATTCGCCTCCCTCCTTTCCCTTCCTGCAGGTGTGCAACGCAACTAATAGTAGATAAACAAGTAAACAAATCAATAAACATATTTTCCGAAGCGCAACTGTAAACGGCACATTACTTCATTCGTCTCGCTCCGGTTTGATATGATCCCGAGCGCCCTGCGGCGCTGTTACGTGCATCGTAGTTCTTCTTGTCTTACTTTATTCCTCGCGATCGACCCTCCGAAAAGTCATAGTTGCGTTGCTGCGGGTAGAAGCCACACGTGTGGGACAGGAAAAACAACAACAACAACGTGTCATGTCGAGCTGTTAACGTGAGGGAAAGAGGAAAATAAAAAAGAAAAACGCCTCCGTGAAGTCACACAACAGTAACAACAACAAGAAATAATGAAATTATACTACAAATAGGAAAGTGAAGAACACCAGCCGCAAAAAAAAAGAAAATAGTTTAAAGTGAGACAGATTGTGTTTTCCCACGCAAGGTGGAGAGAAGCGGATGAATGAATTGTGATCTATTTATCTATTTTTAAAGAGGAGGCTGGGTTGAGTTAAACAAGCAGAAAAGGCAGCCGTCCAGTGCAAGCGTTTACACAAAAGAGACACCCTCAGACCCTTTAAATTCTTATTATTTTTTCCCCCTTGCGAAAACGGTGTCCATCACTGAGAGAGAGAGAGAGAGAGAGAGCGAGGAAGATGCTCTCCAACACCTGAGTGAAAGTTCGTTTTTCTTTTTTTGCTTCTCAATGATCGCAAGATATTCTTGTTCCCTTCAGCGTACACCAAACAGTACGCAAAAAGAAGATTAAATGCAAAACTGTGAACGGAATAATCACACACACACACACACACACACACAAGCTAGGAAACATTAAAAAGGAAGCGGAACAGCACTTGAGAGGCACGCGTGGGAAGAAGAACAAGGAAGAAAACAAGACCGTGTTAGTTGTTGCTGTTACGCAGGAGAAACAAAAAAACAGATAATAATAATAATAATAGGAAGCTTGGAAGTTAAAGCACAAACCATAAAACGCTCTCAGAGTAATACATATTTTTTCCCACGTCTCAACAGTTAAGAAACACAAACAAAACAACAGTAACAGGAAAACACCTCCTTTGCCGGACTAATTCTTCAGTGGGAGGATATTTGTTGCTCTACGGAGGGCTCATATACATATAGGACAGGACAGAAGTGGTACATTTGATAGAAACTCACTCACACAGAAAGCGATTAAATACAACAAGTTTAGTTAAATTAAAAAAAAACACAAGAAAACACTGAACTACACGGAAACAATCAAACAACAACAACAACAAAATAATACAAGAATAAAGAACGCGTTTCATGCGAGGGTTTCCAAAGACACGCGCGATACGCACCCCTGCCATTTCATTACGCGATTTATCACGGAGAAATTGGCAGTGAAAGCGAAGGCGTACATTTTTCCTTCGCTTCTTGCTTTCATCTCTATGTATGTAAAACAGCGTCTTTTCTCAAACAAAGCATTTTGTTTTTAAAATAAGTTTATTGAAGGTTTTCTCTTTATTGAATTTACTATCGCCTTTTCACTGTAAAACAATTTTTATACTTGAGAGTTTTTCTTCTTTTTTTCTCTTCCGGCAACGATTGCCTCCTCGACAGCCAGGAGCAATGTTATGGAAAGCAAATTGCAATCGACCTTCCCTTCTCAGAAGAGGTCCATTCAGGAATGAAATACACAAAGAGACGTACTCTCCGATTTCCCTCCCTCCAAAAGCGGGTGGAATAGAATCCACCACCACCATCACCACAGAACCCGAGAGAGCACTGCCAAAACACACAGCTGATCCGCTGAACGAATCAACACTATCCGTTTCAGCTTTGCCGTCTTCGTTCGCTTGAATAATATGCAATAATATGTGAAATCACGAATCATTACAAAGATGTACGGAGCACCGCTGTGTCCACGTTCGACCAGCAAAGTCGACACGACGGCGCAAGCCAGCAAGCAAGAAAACAAAAACAAAACAAAGCACGAGAAGGACAACAACGCCCTCAAAAACAAAAAAAAGAACGGAAAGCTGCTGCCGCAGCGTACGAGATTTTTTAACACCCTTTGCCTGTTCAAAAAAGGTTTCTTCTATTCGAGCGGTAACGTGTGAAGAAGGAAAAAGAAAAGGAGAACAAGAATACCTGCATTTCGATAAAAAAAAAGAAAAGAAACACAGAAAAGCGAAACGAGATGATGCACTTCCGAACTTTTAAAACTGCAATGACACACTTACCTTCCAACTTCTGCTGCGAAAGTACTGCTGGGCTTCGGAGCAAATGGCAGAAGAGTAGGGCACATTCTGATTCTTTGCAAAAGATAAAGCAAATCGCGTGCGTCCTCCATTAGAATAGAAAAGCACAGAATGTGAAGACTGCAATGCACATATCCACAGCTTCTCTTGCGTCGTACGGTGAGGAGAGTAAGTCGCTTACTCCCCTCCATTTCCCGGGCAGCGATAACCGCTAGCCAGTTTGTCGTTCTACGCGATACCCCCAACTGATCAAGGTTCAGTAAACGTGGTGCTGTATCGAGAGTCCGCAAACACTCTACGACGCGAGGAAACGAAAAGAAAAAGCCAAAAAAAAAAAGAGAGAAGATGACGACGAAGAAAGGGCACTACAGTTTGAGGAAAAAAAGATTAGCTTGGTTTTGTATTCGTTAACAACACAACACCATCGACAACAGTTTTGTCTACCAAGCAAATGGGAAAAAAATGAGATAAAGGAAAAAGGAAAGAAAGCATTGAAAAAGAAAGCATCGATACATACACAACACCTCGCAAGTCCCCAGTCGCCGGGTAACACCCGGTGGAAGAAAATCGAAAGATTTCCCTTAATTCTTTTGAAGTTAGCAGTCATAGCGGACAACACGCACACGAGAAAAGAAAATAAAAGAAAGAAAAAAAAACATTAAAAAAAAAGGTGTGAAAAGGGACAATGGTGATGAGCTTTGAAAAAGAAAAAAAAACAATTGAAGGAGTCAGATCAAAAAGAAACATCTAAACCCTCCTCTTTTTTTTTTCTTTCCCTTTGCACATCTTCCTTGTAAACGAGGAAAATAAGTGAGCGCTGCTTGAGCTGAGTTGACGAACAGCTCTCTACAAACCCCAAACAGAAGTATTTTATTTATTCTACCAATCCACACACGCCAGCGTGTGATATCGCTGGATGGATAATGGAAGCAAAAGGAAGAAAAGAGGAAAACGCGAAGACCGCACCGCTGCTACAATATATGTGTTTATATCAAGCACTTGCACATTGTATCATTAAAATAGAGAGAGCAAATCTGGGTCAAGTGATGACTGCTCTCCGCAGTTTCAATCCCCGATGTTAAGAAGAAGGGGGTAAATAAAAAAAACCATTGGTACTGCCTTTGCAGCGACGTAGTGTGCAAAAAAAAAGTTCACCCACCTCGATGAGTTTGTTTCTCTTTTTCCTTTCTCCTACATAGCAGCTTCGTGGGGGCCAAAAGGGACTGTGCAGCTCCGGGTTGTACCAACGGCCACCGTCACAAACCGATTGATGTTAAAGGAGAAACAAGTGGAGAAACGTGCCTGAACAAAAGCAGATGACTGCCCCCACGAACGAGAAGATAGAACTCAGAAAGTGGATTTCAGAACCAAATAAGCAAATGAAAAAGAAAAAACAAATAAAGACGAGAAACTGAGTTTGACGTATTATCGGAACTCATGGCAAACCAATAATCTGCAAGAACACAGGAGAATTGAGGAATAAACCGGGCGAGATGCATGAATACCACAGAGGAATACACGCACAAAGAAAAGAGAAAAGAAAAATAACCCCACACCCGATAAAACGTCGGCAACGCGCGTTGCGCTCGTTATTCATCGCTTTCGTATTTAGTGCAGAAGTGAAAACAAACAAACAAAACATTTTAGCATCCTTTTCTATGGGTACCGAAATTTAAGTCCTTAGGACCATGGTAATAGAGTCCTGAGCAGGCACCGATTCACGTGGTTTGTATCATATATATTTGTGTACGACTTCTCTGAACAACGGCGCACGCGCCTCCTCTACCATTTTTTTGAAAAGACAAAACCGAAAGCAAAGCAGAAGAAGACAAAAATATATAACGAAAACACACTAAAAACCGCAACAACCTAACGGTAACTCTTTATTTAGAGGCAACTCGCACGGCGGGGAAACGCCAGCGCTGCATTTTCCCTTCGAAAGCTGTGATGCTCGTTCTTCAAAGGTGGGAGTAATATACATATTGTTTCTGTTCTTGTGTGTGAAATGAAAAGGTGCAGAGGGAGACACGTTCGGTAAGCGAACAAAACCCCCACAACCACAGCACCACAAAAGGACAGCCCGCAAGACTTGGGGTCCTGCTTCCACACCCACACACCACACCGCTGCACGCACCTGAACACACACACACACACACACACAACAGGCATATATGCACGCGTGCTGGCGAGTGTGTCGATGTCACCGTTGTGGAATGTGCGTCGTTGCGGGAGGTACGGAGTCCAATCTCCCCCGCATTAGCGGAGGAAGAGAGGCGATGGGGTGCGTTGATGCGTGTCCTGCGCGCCTGCACGCGTCTCTGCTCACGAGGCACGACGTCTTGTCAGAGCGGCGCAGACACCGGATGGAAAGCACTGGGGCAGGCGATACGCCAGATAATAGTAATAATGATGATAAAGTAAATCGAAAGCCCAAACTGGAACACCTGGCGAAGTGAGGAGACAAGGGAGTGGGGACGATGAACACCGAACAGAACCCGGCACATATATGTGGCGGAGAGAGAGAGAGAGAGAGCTCGTGATGGCTGCTTGTCTGCGGTCACGTCTTGTTTCCTTTCTCCGTCTCACTCCCGCGGGAAGCTCGTTAACGGTGCCGGAGCGGTGGTGGCTGTGCAGCACGATGAGAGAAATGGAGGGAAACGGAGGGGAGGATGGGTATCGCACCGCTGAACACGCCCATCCGTTTCTCCCCTTCTCCCTCCCGCTCTCCTGTCGTGCACATGCTGCGCCGACACACACGCAGACCTACAACACACAGCTGCACAGGCAACACCAAGATCGCGGCGCACAAGCGAACACGCCTGCAAACACGTTTAAGGGAAAAATGCAGAGAAGAAAAATCCACGCATGAGAAAAAAAAGTTCTGTAGAAGTCGAAAAGAAAGCAGGAAAGACAAAGCTTAATGCACAAAAGGGAAAAAGCTCATCAGAGAGAGAAACGCCGTCTTGTGTTGCGGCTCTCCGTGACACAGCTGGAGTGTGATCCTGCACGAGAGGCAGCAAACACACGCACTCTCTACGCGAACTTGATAGCGTAGGCAACGGAGGGCGTCGGCGCAACGCTGGGGATCGGGTTGGCGGGGTTCTCCGCGTGCAGCTGCAGTGCGTGGCGGTAGCCGAAATCGGAGATGATGTCCGTTTTCTGGCAGTAGGACACTTGCAACGGCTTATCGCGGTTGTCCATGCAGCAGCGACCGTGCAGAGACATAATAGCGAGATCGGCCTCGGCGGTCGTGGGGAAGGTCACAAAGGCAGAGCTGCCTACAAAGCGTTTGCTGTCCTTGAGCAACACGACGTTCACGACGTGGCCGTAGTAGGAGAACAGCTCGCGCACGTCTTTTTCGGTCACGTCGTAGTTCAGCTGACCAACGAAGAGCACGGCGTTGCCCTTGTTTTTCTGCTGGCGAGGAGGTGCCATGGAATACATGGGCGCGGCGGCCTGCACAGAGGACATCATCGGGTACGGCGCCATGACCATCTGCGGCGCATAGACGAACTGCTGCGGCATCACAGGGTACACCGCGTTTGGCGGAGGAACGGCGTTCATGACGGGCTGCGCCACGTACTGACCCGTAGGGTGCCCGATCGACTGACCAATCGGCTGTACGTACATCGAGCTTCTGTTCTGTTTTCTTCCCTCGTGTAGTAGATATTGTTGACGGGCAAAATGGTTGGAGGGGCACTAGTAATCGCGCAGACGCAGCAGCAACAATGCAAAAACAAAGAAAACCCACAAAAAGATAACTGCAAAGACAGGAAGAAGACAAACGGCAACGCAAGACGAGAATGAAAGGAAGGAGAGGAAATCTGCAAAAAGAAAGAGAGTGGGCTGAAAGAGAAAAACAAGAAAAAGAAGGAAGAGTTGAAAAAGGGCAGAAGGGCGTACAACTGCGGCCACGGCGTCGTTGGTACAGAAGAAGTTGATGAGGTGAGAGAGATGGAAGTGAAAGTAGGTGAAAAGGATGGGTGACCTAGAGGGAGGGAGAAAGAAAGAAACGCACAGGCAAACACGTCCACACACACACACAGACAAAAACATGGCAGTGTGCATTTAACGTAGTAGCGTGAGTAACAAAGCTTCTTCTTCTTCTTGAAATACACAGAGAAATTTCCCCAGTCGCTAGGTAACGGGTAACAGATTTTTTCACCAGCCGGCGAACTTCATTGTTTCTACACCGAACGGGGAAAACGGCCCAGCTCCTCACGATGGTAATTTATACAGCCGCTGACAATGCCACACGATGGCGTTGACAAGCCCGCTTCTCCGTTTCTGTTGTTATAATGATAAACTTTTCTTTTGCTGCTTACTAGGTTATCTCTCCAGTATTACATCGTAGATGCGGTGAATCACTGAATATCAAAAAAACAAAAAAGAGAAACAGAAAGAAAAGGAGGAAATGTAACGAGAAATTAACGAGAAATTAACGGAAAAGTAAAAAACCCGTCGTGGTGAAGCAGTGAAAACCACAACGAGAAGCCGTTGCTAACGGCTGACATAAATCATAATTGTCGGTCGTTTGAGGGACTTCTTTTTCCACTTCTGTGTCCAAACAGCGTTAGACAGGCAGAGGCGAGAGAGATCACACCTCTGATGTGAACAACAATAATAATAATAATGACGGGGAAAAAAGGAGAGAGGAAAAAACGTGAAAGAAACTAAAAAAAATAGTACAGGAGATAACATCGAAAACACGACGAAAAACGGGGCGGCACAGACATACAACGTCAACAGATTTTAAAGATCAAAAATGATTTGGGGTTCTGCTTCCACACCCACACACCACACCGCTGCACGCACCTGAACACACACACACACACACACACAACAGGCATATATGCACGCGTGCTGGCGAGTGTGTCGATGTCACCGTTGTGGAATGTGCGTCGTTGCGGGAGGTACGGAGTCCAATCTCCCCCGCATTAGCGGAGGAAGAGAGGCGATGGGGTGCGTTGATGCGTGTCCTGCGCGCCTGCACGCGTCTCTGCTCACGAGGCACGACGTCTTGTCAGAGCGGCGCAGACACCGGATGGAAAGCACTGGGGCAGGCGATACGCCAGATAATAGTAATAATGATGATAAAGTAAATCGAAAGCCCAAACTGGAACACCTGGCGAAGTGAGGAGACAAGGGAGTGGGGACGATGAACACCGAACAGAACCCGGCACATATATGTGGCGGAGAGAGAGAGAGAGAGAGCTCGTGATGGCTGCTTGTCTGCGGTCACGTCTTGTTTCCTTTCTCCGTCTCACTCCCGCGGGAAGCTCGTTAACGGTGCCGGAGCGGTGGTGGCTGTGCAGCACGATGAGAGAAATGGAGGGAAACGGAGGGGAGGATGGGTATCGCACCGCTGAACACGCCCATCCGTTTCTCCCCTTCTCCCTCCCGCTCTCCTGTCGTGCACATGCTGCGCCGACACACACGCAGACCTACAACACACAGCTGCACAGGCAACACCAAGATCGCGGCGCACAAGCGAACACGCCTGCAAACACGTTTAAGGGAAAAATGCAGAGAAGAAAAATCCACGCATGAGAAAAAAAAGTTCTGTAGAAGTCGAAAAGAAAGCAGGAAAGACAAAGCTTAATGCACAAAAGGGAAAAAGCTCATCAGAGAGAGAAACGCCGTCTTGTGTTGCGGCTCTCCGTGACACAGCTGGAGTGTGATCCTGCACGAGAGGCAGCAAACACACGCACTCTCTACGCGAACTTGATAGCGTAGGCAACGGAGGGCGTCGGCGCAACGCTGGGGATCGGGTTGGCGGGGTTCTCCGCGTGCAGCTGCAGTGCGTGGCGGTAGCCGAAATCGGAGATGATGTCCGTTTTCTGGCAGTAGGACACTTGCAACGGCTTATCGCGGTTGTCCATGCAGCAGCGACCGTGCAGAGACATAATAGCGAGATCGGCCTCGGCGGTCGTGGGGAAGGTCACAAAGGCAGAGCTGCCTACAAAGCGTTTGCTGTCCTTGAGCAACACGACGTTCACGACGTGGCCGTAGTAGGAGAACAGCTCGCGCACGTCTTTTTCGGTCACGTCGTAGTTCAGCTGACCAACGAAGAGCACGGCGTTGCCCTTGTTTTTCTGCTGGCGAGGAGGTGCCATGGAATACATGGGCGCGGCGGCCTGCACAGAGGACATCATCGGGTACGGCGCCATGACCATCTGCGGCGCATAGACGAACTGCTGCGGCATCACAGGGTACACCGCGTTTGGCGGAGGAACGGCGTTCATGACGGGCTGCGCCACGTACTGACCCAATCGATTGCATATACATCTGGTCTGGGTTGCGGGGGGAAAAAAAAATAAATTAATGATTGTTCGTGATGAGTTAAAGAGATTTCCGAAGGGGAAGGGGGGAGGATAGTGGGGGGCGAGTACAGCGCTTGTGAGAAGGGGGAGGTGGTAGAAGAAAATGCCGTGAAGCGCTAAAGGTTAAAAACTATAGCGTTTCCAGAGATACGATTGTGATGCCGTGATTAGAGGAGATAAAAAAAATAAAGACAGAAGAAAAAAAGAAGAAGAGAAGAAGTGGTGAGGAGCAAAAGAAAGACGTTGTCTTCTCCGGGTGTGCTAGATGAGCACGACGTTGCTGTTCCGTTGCCTCAGTGGAGTGCCTGCTCGAGCTGAGAAACGTCTGACTCGCATGCGGCGCTGTTGTGTGCGCGATACAGCCGCTCAGTTAGCACAACACACGCGCATCGCCCCGAATATGCGGCAGCGGTCATCTCGTTTGTTGTTGTTTTTATCGAATCACAAACCGAGATTTGGCCATGAGGGGGAGGGGGGGAGGTAAAACCCTTTGCACGATGCGTTCGTTGCCAGGCAAACATCGACATTCATCTGAAAAGAAGAAGAAAAAAAGACAGAGATGGAAGAACGCAGATTTTACCACTTTTTGTGTTTGTTGCGGTTGTTGTGGTTCACGTACGTGTGCGTTCGGTGCACATCGTGGTGCTCCGTTGCACAGAGAGAGAGAGAGGAGAGAAAAAAGTGTGAGCTGCATACACAATTTTTCAGAGGTAAAGGAGGAAAAGAAGGTACCGGAAAAAAAAAGCCCATATCTATAAAAGAAAAGAAATGCGTTTTCGTAGAGGGTAAAACCAAAGAGCTCATGCGTGTGCGCTTCTTCGGCTGCTCAAGCACGCGTGTTTTTCGTTATTATCATTATTATAGTTATTATCGTTCTTATCGTTATAATTCGTATTCTTATTCAAATGCCTCCAACTTCGGCATCGTAAAAAAAAAAAGAGGGTCAATCTGCGACCCCGGCGTGTTAATCATGAACTTTCAGTACAATATATTGTTTCAGAGAAAAGGGAAAAGAGGAGACCAAGAGAGCACCTTCACGAGCGTGAAGACTTGGTTGCACCATTTTTGTTTTGTTGTTGCTTGGCCTCACTCTCTCGTTCTCTCTATTAAAATAAGCGCTTTAGCTTTTTTTCTTATTCGTTGTTTTGAGGCCCAAATAGATCAAGGACCTATACGCAGAGGGCGGGGTGGGGTGGGGCGATCAGAAGAGAAACAATCAATGCATAACACAAACACACACCCAAACACGCTCAAAAATAATTGAATTATTAACATCATTACTGTTATTAGCGGTAGTGGCACTATTACTAATAGTTGTTTTTATTACGAGGTACACGGAGGAAAAACAACAACAACAAGTACATTAACCGTGACTTAAAGAGTTAGAATAGTTTTAAATGAAGGAGGAGGGGGATACGAAGACACACACAAACACACACACAAACTCACACAATCAGATACAATAGCAGGCACAGACAAGGCTAGACACTCTTTACCGGAGACACACAAAAAACTGGGTAAATAAACAGATTAAAAGACGCATGGAAGAGGATCAATGGTAAGTGACAGAATAGTTGCTCAACGATTGTCATACGTACAACCAAACGCTTTTTCCCCATCCTTTCCTTGTTGGATCTGACGAAAGCGTTACGCATATACGTACTGTGGACGAGCAAAGAAACAAAAGACTGTTTCGACAGTAGAAGCTGGCAACAGAAATGAAGATTACGCAAATCAACAACTACAAAAAAAAGTTCGTTTTTTTGTTTCTTTTTAATGGTGCGCATGCGCATGAAAGGAAACGCTATCAAAAGAGAATCTGCTTCGTGGTGGCGGCAGTGACGAATCTCCAAAGCCAGCCATCTCCTCCCGGTGCCTCATCCCTTTGACTCTCGCATTCTTTTCTCATTTTTATTTTATTCGTGTGTACAACTTGATTTCCACGGCGATGCTGACACGCGATGCTGCAATTCGTGAAGCTCACTGCGAAAGAATTGCGAAGGAGGGAGTGGGAGAAGGTAATCCCCATATCAAAGGAAACACTAAAACAACAACAACAGCAATAGCGCACCGATTGGTACTAGCTTGTCGTAGGAGTGAAGCCAGTGAGCTCCGTCAGCCCCTCGCGGAAGCGTGGAAACAATGTATATATATATATATAAGTATTTTCAACGGAAAAAGGTTTGGCAGAAGTGCCTAACACCGTGTCCGAGTCGTAAGTGATCTCTAATGCATCCCTGCGCAGTTATGCTTCGACAATTTTCCTCCCCATCCTTCATCATTGAATCGCTGACGGAAAATGATAGCTAACAAGTTTTAGGTGAGTAAGAGTGTCCAAGACCGAGCACGAAATATTTTAACGGTATACTATCAACACTCACATTCACAAAACTTGCACAAAATGTCCTCACCCTCGGACGCACAGATTCCATTCTCGGCGGAATGCGAGAAGAGGCTTAAAATCCTTGAAACACATCGTGCAGTTTACACAGAGGTGGAATACAAAGAGGAGCGAAGGAAAATTCTCGCCCTTTTAACGTCGCCTCCCCAAACGACAGTTTCAAACGATGTCACTCTAAGCAAAACGGTCGCGTCCCACTGGGCCGAGGAAGCCCAAAAAGCCCTTTACCCTTGGTGGTCCCACAAAAAGAAGGCCGAGAACCGCCAGGCGGAGATCGAGACCCGGAGCTACGGACGGAGGATGAAGGGGCAAGAAGAAACGGGCTTTCCTGCCTGTCGTGACCATCTCACGATGCTCTTGCGATTTGGGCGGACGAGCCCATTCCGGAAATTTCAATTTCTCTTTTCCTTTTATGGCCGGGAAGCCTCGAACCCCACAGTGCGCACTTCTGCGCGTTCCAACCCAAAAGCCGCGGTTTGGATTAACTGCGGTAGGCTAGGCCCGTCTATGAGACGCCTCAGCACCCCCTCCTCTACGTCAGCCCCAAAGTTCCGCGAGAAGGTGTCAGCCGGGTTACTCTTTTCGTTGATATAGAAGAACAAAACGACCACACCTTCTTCGTGAAAAAGTTGGTTAGTCTGCTCATACAGCTTGTTCAAGGCATAACCCCTTCCGATGCCCCCAAAACCGTTCAGCCGACGCTGTGCGTAGGCGATGGCGCTGTGATCCGTGACGATGGCATTTCGAGTTCCACGTGGTATACCTTCTCTTCGTAGCTCCCGTAATATGCATCCGACTGCTCTGGGCTCGCTGTGTGCCGAATGCTTTGCCGCAAAATGTGTTGCAAGCCCTTTTGCAGGTAGGCCCTCTTCATTTACTGGTTGGCCTTCCGACAACCAACGCTGCTGCATGCTCTCAGTCGTTCCATCTCTCCACGACAGAATAGCTCCCCAACCCATGCGCGACGCATCCGTGTACACGATCAGGTCATACGCGCTGTCATCCATCGGGGTGGCGATTCGGGGTGCTATGTCCCACCAATCGTTGCGGAGCAGCTTCTCTCCCAGGGTCGCCAGCGCCTCCTTAGCCTTTTCCGACACGAAAGCCAACGGTTCGTCCCACAGTCTCCCTCTATCCACCTGCGCGAAGATACCCCTGTACACCGACATGAGGTAGTACGATCCTGCGGGATTGAGGCGTGTCGTGTGTAGCATGTACATAATCAACGCGATCATGCTGACAAACTGGCGATTTGTGTACGCGGTCTTTTGCAACGCCAGCTTGAGCTTTGCCACTGATTTCACCGAGTTTCTCACCACCCGGCGGTCCTCTCTCCACTCGTACTCCTCCCCCAGAAAAGTGTTGGGGCCTTTCGCCAGGTCCAGCAGCCTCGCGTCCGACAACGCTTCTACCTCTTCCGTCGACGGGGTCGTCTTCAAACGAGCGGTTTTGATCCGTTCTACTATCCTTCGTACAGCACTGCAGAATGCTCCTTCTTGGCCTATCCTTCCCGCTATCAAGATATTGTCGATCATGGTGTGGATGAAGACGGGGGTATCAATGTCAACAATTTTGGAAGTGATGGCCTGCCCCACCGCCACGCTCCAACGTGCGCCTGTGGGCAAAGTGCAACAACGGAAGAATTGCGAACGCACGCGGAAAACGAAGAAGTTCCGAACCGACTCGGGAAGCGGAATGGCCTCGTAGAATGCGTCGAAATCGATCTGAAACATATACCGTGCCGCCGCCAAGTCTTGTCGAATGCCTAGACGCGACGGCCGCAGGATCTTCGGCACTGTTTCCTTTCTAACGGGTCCGTTCAGAGCTGGCTGCGTAATTAACCTGCGCCTGCCCTTGTGCTCTGGTACCCAAAAAACCGCCATCGAATGCGTGTCTGCCGCCAATGGCTGTTCGAAACCCACAGGGCACCTTTCGAATTTCCCCTTCCGTACCGCCATCAGGAGGTCGTCTTGCTGCATTTTCGTCGACGAGATTGTCCTCGCCGTGTGATAAAACCTGAAGATACCTTCTTCGAGGTATTCGAGTGCTCGGTTGAGGTCAACGGCTGTTGAAGTTTTGGCCGAAGGCATCGCCTTGATGGCTGGAATATCCGCCAGCGTCACGTCTTTCAGGTGCAGTGGCCAGCGTGAGGGGTCTCCGTGTATCTGTCCCGGGGGGAGTCCCTGCATGCGGCGGATCTCGTCGTGCAGCTCGCTGATCGACAGACCCATTTCATGCCACGAGGGGCGTGAGTGACCTAAGGCGTTGGGTCTCGGAGGAGGGCTGAGGCGCTGTCCTGCGCCATTGCGGCCTCCCGGGTGGGCTGCTCCGAATAGTTGAGGTATCGCCTCAACGTGATGACGGATGTGTGGCCCGTCAGGCGCATGATGTCTTCCTCCGCCACTTTCGCCCTCGCCAGGCGGTGTACCGCTCCTTTCCGTAACGACGCCAACTCCAGCTCCGGGACCACTGACTTCAGCGCTGCGCGCACTTTCTTCTTCATCGCCGGTGGATCCTTGAACAGGGGACTGTTCGCGGGTCGCTGAGACAACAGGTGCGCGAGCTGCGCGCCGTCTTGCCTGCTGAGGTGCGAGGCCACCGGGTAGGGACCGCGGAAATGTGTCGCCTTTCCCTTCCTGTACGTCAGGCCCACTGGGTACGATTCGCGAGTGGGGGTCTGCATGTGCACGTCCGTCGGCTTCAACCCCCCGATGTCGCCTGGCCTCGCTGCGAAACTCCACATCATCATAAGGAAGAGGCGAGCCTCGGGATCTGATAGGAGCTGGTACGCAGCGGCGTCCACCTGGTGCTTCAGGATAAACGGTGGTGGGTTTGGGATGTCGCTGTTCATCAGCTGGTGCCACCGTCCGTAAGCCGACGTCCACTCTGGTGACTCTTTCAGGTTGATCGGATGTGGCTGGTCCGTGTAGAGGGGCAAGTGCATCAGCGCTCCGTGCATCGTTGCAAACTTGCTCACTATTGTGGACGCCTTCCACTTCCGCAGCTTCGCCATCCTGTGTATGATTCTGATGGCCGCGGCTGCCAGATCGAGTGCCAGAAGGTCGTGTGGCATGTTCGCCAGATCTTCGATCGCGATTCGGTGTTGCCTCCGTGTGTGCGGCGAGAGTTTCTCCCAGGCTGCTTGCGACGTCTTCGCGGGTTTTCCAGCGTAAACACGCCAGTGACGGGGGCAGACGTACCCACGCGGACGACTGCCCCTCCCGTTTAAACCCGGTGCCTCTTCGTTTAAAAGGCGCGCTCGATCCGGTACTTCCTCTGCACTTGGTGGGGTTTCTGCAGTTGGCATGTACAAGCCCCACTGCGCCTCTGCTGCGATTTCCGTGAGTGCGAAGTATGTGTTTGTGCGCGGTTCAACGTCGCGCGGTGTACTGGGGGAGGACCTCGGTCGGGAGTTCCCTCGCTGTGTGGCCGGTGTGGTCTCTTGTATTCTGGTTGTAATCCCGAGTACGAAACGTACCCCTCGCAGGGTTCGCGGCAGTGCCCCGTCCTCCGTCTTCCGGAGAATGTACGGGTCGTCCTGTGGGCGGGCCGCCGCGTCTTCCTCAGCAACCTCACCCCGGTACGGGTGGACAGCCGTCGGGAGCATTTCCAGAATTTGATTTGGGTCATCAGTTTCGATATGCATCCGTAGCTTTCGCATACTGAGCGCGTCAACCGAGAGTGCGATCTTCACCCCCAAGCACCGCCTGTGAAGCGCCACCGAGGCCATGAAGCCTGTCATGTTCCTTCGGACCAGCGCTTCCCTGTGCTGCTCCGCTTCGTCTAGAATCTCCTGGGTTCGTTCGTCCTGTTCCGCTCTGCGAGTTGCGTCGCACCGCCTTTCCGCCACCAGATCACGCAAGAGAATGTCATCCTCGTCCGAGTCTGAGGCGCCTCCTTTCATCACGCAGCTCGTTGTCGTTGTCTTTTGTGCCGTTCGCTCGCCGAGGAGCTTACGCAGGTTTTCCAAGAAGACCTTCTTACCTGGCTTCATCTTCAGAGCCTTGTAGAGAAAAGGCCGGACTCGGGCCGGGGCCGTTGTGGGATCAACAATGCGCTCTTTCATGGCGTCGGAGAAGATGTGCGCCAGCATGTAGATGCCACAGTCATTGCTGTTCCGTTCCTGGCGTGTGCACTTCACGAACGAAATCTGAATGGTAGGGTCGATGTTTTTGTAAGCGAGTTTTACCTCCTTTCGGACCACGTGCGACGGAGCGGAGTCAAAAACTCGGAGTCGCAACTGCGTGGGGTCGTTGTCCAGCATCAGGATACCCGCCAGCCAGTGGTGTCTCGTGTGGAGTGGGAAATAGAAGTTCTCCCGGGTCTCCCGCACCTGCTTTACCACTGCCTTTACTCGATCCTTTGTAACGCTAAACAACCTCGTGCACTTGATGTACCTCTTTCTAGGCATGTACTGCGTGAGTAGTTTATCTAATTCCAGGTTGGTCGTTGTCCCTTCTAGTAGATCACCACCGCTGAGTACATCCTGCTCTGTCTTTCTTCTTGTTGGGCTGTCCAAATGACAGCCCGGCCTCAGTTTTTTGCCACGGTTTTTGGCTCGTCCTCGCCTTCCATGCATTCGTCCATGTTTCCTCCTCTGAAGCCGCCACGGTATCCACCCCGACCGTAACCACGACCTCGGCCGCTGTAGGCCCTCATGCCTCCACGTGTCGTGTAGCTCCGAGCGTATGTTGATTGGGTAGTGGGCTGTTTTCTGACGTCCTCAATTTGTTTGTTCATCCTCTGCAGGTTGCAATGCATCTGTTCTGTGAACGTGTTGAGCTGCTTTTCCAACTCGGCAAGGTCACCCACTCCGACCTGGGTTCCTTGGGCATCGTAGACAGGAATGTAGCCTCCACCGTGCAGGACATCCTCTTCGTGTTTTTTGTAGAAGTCCTTAACGGGGTCCTCGCCTCCTCCCGCCATCGTGGTCCCCGTCTTTTGTTGCGCCCGGATCAGCTTTGAGTTCAGCTCATTCATGGAGGCCGGAAACAGGGGATACGCCAACTCGGCAATCTGCTCGCCGCGAGAGATCATCGTGCCTTCGTCCCATAACTTGGCAATGTACCAATTGTGTGTTTCCACACACTCTTGTGAGGTGTAGTTGGTGAGCATGTACATCAAGATGTAGCGCGATGCCTCAAGGTTTTCAGCGTACATGAGATAATGCCCGATAAGTACGTTTATCGCCGGCAGCTCCTTATTTCTGGCGTTTGTCAGGAAACTCTCCTTCAGCTTTTCCCAGTGTTCTCCCTTTGTGAACT